AGGACGCTACTTGTGATGGTATCCCTGATCTGCCCTGTTCAACCTGATTCTCAGGCTGATTTGGTGTCCCTTTCGATGATCTTTATATGCGCAACCTTATCTGTTATACGAGAGTCGTCACTTATCAACTATGACTTTTGACGATAGCCATGCGCGATGAAATTGGGCCTTTCTGGGTTTCATTCCCAGGCACTAATCTTATTATGTTTTCCAAATACCCGAATTTCTATCATGACTATCATAGATGCTCATCAGATATCATATATTTCCTATAGTCACTGATGATGCACGAGGGACTCCTGGATGTCCTGACACAGAGCAGATTGAATCCTTACGTTTCCCGAAACCTACCGACAGTTCCCCATATTGGGACTTCCTTTTCATTTGTATCCATATTCTTTCCTTTTATTGGCAAAGAGCTAGTTCTCGTTCACTGGGAAGAGAATAAAATACGGGAAAAGAATGAAGATGTATGAGTTGAAAATGCATCGTGTGTATGTTCTTCTTTATCGCTAGTCTTTCTCGTGGGAAACCTTAACTAACTTTTTTATCTATATAGCCAATGAGGAAAAAACTCGGAGACCATTAAGTTACTCAATCGGACGAGCTATATGGGCCTAGCCAGAGGTTCAAGATTTTAATCATCTCTGCTTGAGATGCGGCCCTGTTCTCGAAGCGAGTAGGATACTTGCTCGTTATATAACAGAGGAACTCCAGCAATACGACGTCCTGGAGAAAATCTCTCTTGCTCGGGGTAATTTTGGACGGATACTCCTTGTCATCATTCAGCAGTTGCTGTGGGCTTCGTTTAGGACAGCCCACTTTCGACTGTGGAAACTTCAAACAAGAAAGAGGTACCATTGGGTACGAATGCGTCCCGAGTTTCGTATCAAATTGTGCCTGTGTGCCAATGCTTTTCATCGTTGTTTTGGGTGATTTCCCCACGAGACTTGACAATTTTTGTTCCTTGTACGGATCATCAGTGTCTCGAGCCCTGAAACGCGTGAAGATCGAAGGCGAAATTTCCAATTCGAGACGTCCAATATGAACGAAGCTTTCTGAATGCCGAGTGCCGGGCATGTCTGTCTTCCAGAACATCTGTCCGACTTCACCCCCTTCACGTCAGATGACCATGATCCGACATCGGTTTTTTGCCTCACACACAAGGCCATTCACAAGTTTGTCTGGCAAGATAATGAGCTCGTCGGCGGTGCCGTCGGGCATCATATCGCGAAAATATGGGACAAATGTCTTATCCGGCGATGCCTCTCGTAAAGAATCCCCTTCTCCGAGGGCACAGTTACTTATCGGCGATACCACTTCAACGGTCACTCTGAACCAATTTCCAACCGAGTAATCATTCGAGGACCTCACAAGCGCCCGGCTCGACTGTGCTTTGTGAAAAGTGAAAAGGCAGAATGGCCTTCCGATGATATCCCCCCTGTTCTTGAATTCTCATTTGCCTTGGTACAGCTATACTTTGGTTATTAGGCCACATTCCGCTGGTTCTCTCCAGGACAGAAGCTGGAGATGCCATTTGTCGTCTGTGTGCATATTTATGTGATTAGACCATAATTTTCTTCATCGTCTCGATTAGTTGCCAAAAGTTCTCATCAACACGATGAACGTTGGACTGGCGAGGGGAGCCCGCCCGAACTACATGATAATTCGAATTGATAACGCTGTACTTTGGGTTATCTTTACCACAGTTACTTACTAGACGCGGATTGGTGAGGGGTGGGAGAAAGACGCGGAGGGAGACCTGGTCCCGAGAAAAAATCAGGAGAATGTTCAGCAAACTTCTACAACCAGGGATCAGTCATCATCTTCCGCATTCAAGCGCTACATCCGCCCCAAATTCGTTTGGTAATGGAAGACCAGTATCGTGGATTCATGGTCCAGCGCCTGCATCTGAGATTGCGCCTTCCTGGCCTGCAACTTATCCGCCATCTGTCACTCGATCACAATCCGTCTCCGCCACACGAGCTCTCACCATGTCTTCGAGCCAAGACTGATGACAGTCAATCTGCTAAATTATCGTACATTGTCATAACATTTTACTCTTTATATGTTGATTTCTCCATATCCTGGTAGATGACTTATATTGGTGTTAATAGGAGTAATGAAGGAAAGCTCCTCCTATATTTTCCAGAGATGGAGTTCGTTTATTTCCTTCTGTCGAATACCGCCGGATATATTATATGGATTGCCTCAGGTCCCTGCCGGGAGCATGCTTTGCACGAAGAAGTGTTCAGGGCCAATCATACGATGGCTACAGCACTTGTAGTAGTTGTCGTGTAATTCGTCTTGAGCGCGAGCTTTTGGACCGCTGGTATCTTTCTGATGTTGAACATAAGACAAGATCGATCTTGCATCATGATGTGTTGCAACACTTGGAAAGACTTCCTAGTGTTCTTTCCAGTGCGAAACCAGCACAAGATCCTTGTTTTCCCTCTTTGCAAGAGGAGTACTCTGAAGAAGATGACGATGAAGATGACGATGCCAGTGAGCGGAGCCACCTATGGCTAACACTTCGGGGAATATTGCCTAAATAATGTTAAGGACGATACTCTTGAGGACCATTTCGATCATTTGTGGACTCAAGATCTGTGCCATCGTTTCGGCCCCCAATGAATTTGCGATTGAGCGAGAGTCGCGAATTGACGAAAGCATTGGAAATGGTATACGGTCAAATTTGATCATCGAAAAGCTTTTGTTCGGCCAACTTTCGACTCATTTGTTTGTTGAATGCAAACGGCAAGAATATAAAAACGACGAGGGTAAAAAGCTATCAGCTAAAGCGCAATTGGAATGCTATATGGTTGAATACCGCCAGCTTCATGGCTTAACAGGATATCTCGTTGGCCTTTAATCTTATTTTAGCTTGTGAGAATCAGTACTTAGACTTCTGGAACCTCGCGGTATACTATGACGCTAGGAAATGATGTCCCAGCGCCATGGACGAGTTCTTCTAATAGATCCTCCGCTGGCCAATTATTTTGACGGCTTCTCCAGCCGTGTCTGCTGTGGGCTGGTTTGAGGTGGGGGCTCGCTATCAGCGTCGTCAGGACGAAATGCCGTCTGTTGAGTACAACTGCACAGAACTGTTTATGCTGCCGTACCTGAAACTAAAAGTTGAAGTCAGTTCCCCAAAACTCGAGTTTTGATGAAGCCAAATAAACATGTTGAATTTACCGCTGGGTGCCTTCCCCAGGTCGGTGTGCATGCCAGCATCTTTCTGCTTTTTCATATCTATCTTGGATGCTCACAATCCTTCTTCCAAAGGGAAAAAATACTGGTGCTATCTCGTATTGCCGGCGCCGGATGGAGTCAAAACAGATATACCGTTTTCCTCGTTCTTCTACATTCAGCCACATCGAAGAGACATGCAAAAAAAAAAAAGGTTCTTCAGGCAAGGTGTGGACAGTGGGATTATTCCGCTCTCCCTGGAACATCGGGGGTGAGTGGACAGAGAACAGTGACGACTATCGCCAACGCTCGTATGGATGTGACGTACCTGGTTGGAGGCTTGCGTGGGGGTCCGGCAATTCTTGAGGAAGAAACCTAGATTTCATGGCTTTTTTGTTCCACTCAGTCTTTGGCAAGAAGCTTACTTCTACTGGTCTCGCAATTTATTATCTAGGCCCAGACACCCTGATTGATATAATGCAGGACCTCTGCGAGGTCAGAAAAAAGCACAAGGCATGCAACAAAATCAACCATAGCTGCTCTCAGTAAGTATTGATATTCTAAAGACATACTAGTCGTTACTAACCCTTACCAATAGTTAGCTTCTACCCGAATACTCGTGCTACTAGAGGATCTCAAAAGAAAGAAAGCCAGCAATGTTGACAGCGGTACCGGTGCTACCGGTGAATCTCTAAGATCATATACATGAGCAAACAGTCGTGCATCGTACCTCGTCCTAGGAACAGATGATACTCGACCGAAGACACTCCTATCCTCACAGGGGTTCCGCGGGAGCATGGGATATCACAACCTTCCTTGAGGTCGCGTTACACAGAACGAAAATCTTGCTAGGGACTCGTCAAGAAGTTCAAGCGCCCTACATGATCTCGAGTTTATAAGGCCACTTTCGCAGTTAGCCCAATGTCGTCAGAACTGTTTCAGCAATCATCTTACTGGCTTTTGAATAAAACTACAGAAGCAGCGGCATAGGAGGGATCCCAAGTGGAGAACTTCTTTCCACGTCCCCCATGTCATAATATGGTTTCTAGTCTGGCCTATGCCGACCTTCGAGCGAATTACCGTCCCTTTGACGACGTAAGAGGCTGGTAGAGGCGGGCTTTTAGGCCTTCTTCTAGCTGGCGAATGTGACCATGAGCCGCCTGCCGGTTCTCCTGAGAGTCGAGCGGATCTCCTGTCATCTCGGGACAAACGTCATGTAATTAGACGAGCATGTAATTGCATACTGTTTATTTGCACAAATATTGAAAGAAATGAAAAATATCCAATAGTCTCTGGATCTTAGTTTTCCTTTCCTCTGTAGAAAGTCAAGTTTTCCTCGTAGTTGTCGATAACCGCCAGACATACGGACTCGCAGCTTCTTTAGAGTAGTCGAGACGACTTCATCATAATTCGTACACGTAGCCTGTGAGTATCTTTTCCCCCCCTTCGTGATAGTCTGTCCTCCAAATGGATATTCTGCTACTTATTTGGCAGCACGTCGAGAACTACCAGACAGAAAGCAAGACTGTTCTACTGTTATATTGTCTGGTATAACCTCGGCTACATATATACCTTCGTGTAGAAATTGTCTTCTTCGCCGTTTAACATGAAGAATCGGCTTCGCGTGGATCTCAGCAATTACGCTGACTTGAATAGACCCAACTGACCAACTCTCGTCGAGGCAGACGGGCATAACTACCGTTGATGGTTGATGCAGCTAGTCGCACTACGAGTCCGAGTGTCTGAGAAGATATGTATGTGATTCTTCTATTCATCATTTTTTATTTCTCTCTCTCTTCGAAGATCATCACAACCTCATAAGAGGTAGAAGGGGCCTCTTCTTTTCATTCATTTGTGCTTTCATCACGTATCCATCCCTTTTCGAGACCATCAATTAGGAATAGGGAGAGAAGTCTCATGGTATGACATTCACAGGAACTTGCTGGCAAGACTCAACAGACCGCTGGGACCACCGGTGCCACCGAGTCCAGAGCCACCCTGATTCTTCAAGTACATCTTCAGAGCCATCTCAGCAGCGGAGTTGATGGCGGATTGCTTGTCGCCGGACTGTAGAGTTGGGTAGTTAGTTTAGTAAAACGTGAAGTATGTATACGGGAATTTCGCAGAAAAAGCAAGGAAGGAAGGAAGGATACATACAGCATTACCGCCCTGCTGGTCCCAGAGCTTGCTGGCCTGCGCCATGGCCAAACCAATCAATTGACTCTTGTCGTCACCGCCACCACTGCTTCCCTGGGTGAACTTCTTCAGGGCCTCTATGGCGGCACCGGCTCCCACGGACTGGGAGCTGTGCTGCTGGTCACTGTCACCGCCGCCGCCGTACAATGACTTGTGGGCCTTGACGGCCTGCTCCTCGTCGATGTCGGTGTTCGAGGAGAAGCGGTCCTTGTTCTGGCTCAGGAAGGAGGCAGCCTGGGAGAAGAACGACGAGTTCTGATCGCTGTCGTCATCGTGTCTTTGGGCGTGCGACACAGCTCCGCTGTAGTCATCGTTGTGGGAGGAGTAGCGGTTCTGAGGGGTATCATCGTAGCGAGTGTCGTTGTAGCGGCCTTCGGAACGGTCACCACCACCATATTCCTGACGACCACCACCATATTCCTGACGACCACCACCATATTCTTGACGGCCACCACCGTATTCCTGACGGCCACCGTCATAGTCACCTCCACGGTTGCCGTAGCCATCATCACGGCGGTTGTCCGAGTACTCGTCGCGGCCATAGCCACCGTTGCCGCCGCCACGGCCGTACTCGGAGCGGTCGTTGTAGTCGTTGTAGGACATGGCTGCTGCTAGAAAGAGAACGTCTTGTTTCTTGGAGAAGTTCAGGAAGAATGGATGGAGAAATACAAATAAATATTTACAACAAGCGGGGGAGGGACGATGACGGAGCTGATGTTGCTGCTGTCGGTGGGGTAATTAATAGTCCAGTTAATAGTCCAGCCATGCGGGGCAGCAACAAGGCGGACGCGTCGACGAAACATCGCCATGTCCAGTTAGATGCGCTTCAGCCACGATGCCCAGACACCGGACTATGGCTGAGGCGGCTAAGATCGCAGACAAGACGATCCCCGATGACCCTATCACACGCTATCATGTATCAACTTATGAGAGAATGAACGGATGGGGCCAGGTTTTCTCCGTTGCCGGCACTGTCAAGTGTGGCTGTATCTACAGAAGCCAAGAAGATGCCAATAATAATGCCAATGACCTCAGCGGAGATCAGGCCAAGGAAGAAAAAGAAAGAAGTGATAGAGTGCGTCCCTACAGTTTGCCGGGTCGGCACAGCATGACACACACAACACACAGTCAAATCAATACAGAGAGCCGCCCCATCGTAACATGTACATAGTAGTAGTATGACCCAATATCCGATGCAAGGAATAATGCCCTATATGCCAACTCCCGTACCGGTGGTATCTAGAATCCCAACAGACAAACATCAAAAGGGGAAAACATCAAATCATTATGTCCAAGACGAGATAGCAAAATGCCCGGTGAAAGAGAAGTGCGTTGCCGACTTCATATGACGCTACAGCAAGAGATCATCGTGTTCTTCGTCATCGAGGCTACGGAGATACCTCAACTGCCGCTCCCGACGGCTGAGAAGGCATCGGTCGTCTTCCTCCAGATCAGCTTCCAGCGCCCATTCATGAGGCAGATCGGGGCGGTACTCCTCGCCGCGGGCTTCGATCTCATCGCGCGCGGTGAAAGACAATCCATATGGCTGACCCCATTGGTGGCGCTCGAATTCCATAAAGCCGCCAAAGCGCTCGTCCGCGTTGGCAACCCAGATTGAACCACCGTCAGGACTGTAGTCCGCTCCGGCGATCTCCCCGAAGAAGTCGTGCACCTGGCGTGTCTGGTACGTCTGGGCATTGACAAGGACGACGCGATCTGCAGGCTCACTCATGAGGAGCGTGCGAGGACCACCGCCCACCGGAGAGAAACGCAGGGATCGATACCCTGCAACATCCGAGTCGATCGTTTCCAAAAGACGCCACATCCGCACGTCCCAGATCTTGACGGTTTTATCTTGGTTACTAGTAGCAATGTGTAACATATCCGGGGACCACGCGCAGGCGAAGCCAAAGTCCTTATGACCTCGAAGAGGCCGCAGTGGGAGACCCGACTCGGCCTCGATGACCCAAGCCTCAGGAGAGTCACCGATGACAACGCGGAGACGGCCATCGCTGGAAGTATCGGTGCAATTGATGGGTCGCGACAGAGTGTGGTCACTGATAAACCGTCCCTGTTGGCAATCGAAGGTACGTATATGTTTGTCGTTCGAGGCAAAGACTACCACAGGGGTCCGATTCGAACGATGCCGGACTATATCGATATGGTTTGTGATGCCGTTGGGGTCCGCGGTCAGCATGCCAACTGCACCATTGCCTTCCGCACCGTCGGCGCGCATGGCGTATTCCCCGCAGAAACCGCCTGCAACCGATATCCCATGTTTCCACTTCATGGTTGAGATCTTGACTGGACCCTGCAGACCAGTCTCCACCGACGGCTTCGACAGATCGATGAGACAGTTTACGTCATCATATGCTGGCGTCCATGCGTAAACTTTCGACTGGTAGGAAAATTGGACGGTATTGTGAGACATGACCGACATCAGATTCCGCAGCTGGAAATGTTCAATCGATGGCTTCTTTTTAGTGTACATGGCCTTTTCTCGGAAATAAAACTCCTCCCGGGGCAGAATCTTCTCCAGCTGAACGTGAAATCAGAATCGAAGCTTGTGGTCGATCGAGACAGGACTTAGATAGAGACTTACCCCTTGCGGTGAATATTCTAAATTGTGGTAGGAAGTGTACCACGTATCACGCAGGGCTCGAGCAGCCGACCTGCTCACCCGCAGTTTCTGCCGCCAGGGAATTTGCTGAATATCGTAAAATTGATGCGCGTAGCCGGCAGGCCGTGTGACCCTCTCTGGTCGCTCCCAATCCAGGACATTGGCAGCCTCCACAGAGGGCTTCGGTGCCTGGTGAGGCAGAAAGTCCCTGAAGGGTGCAATAGTAGACTGGCAGAGCCATTGTCTGATGAATTGGTCCACCGTGAGGTTCCGTTCATAGGCTAAAGGTGGAACTTATCAGCATCAGTTTGCACATACTACGGAAAGGAGCTGCATCATACTTGTTCGATGGATAGAGGGATCGGCCATGTGAGTTTCAAACTCCGCGTCGGTAATTTCCTCCTCAGGGATATGTTCAAACTCAACAGCTGGTGCCACAGTCTCTGTCGATACGGGCACATAATTTGGATCTCGATAGAAATCCTCGAGATCTACGTCGGAGACGGGCTCTGACGAAACGTACGTCGGAATGCGCGCCCTTATGTTGTTCTCTCCCAGATAGAACACCCTCATGTTATCAGGGTCCTCATCGTGCTCGAGGGATGACATACTAGACGACCGTTGTCTCTCGGCAGTCGGATCGTCATAGCCTTGAAAGAGATCACCCGCATCCCCGTCATCGCTGTCCTCCGGAATAGTAGACATGTTGCGGTAAACCGGATACTGGAGAACAACGTCCATGTTCGCATATTCCGCGCGGGGAAACTCCATCGTGCCGTCGAACTGCTCGAACTCAAACTCCGGCATGTCTAAATCAGGAATCTCGTCTGGCCGTGATGCGAAGGGAGCTGTATCCTCCTCCAAAGGCAGGCTGCCGACACTCTCAAAGTGGAAAGATTCCGTGAGACCGTGAGGATTGTTGACGTCTAACATTGGCGCGACAACGGTCGAACTGCCGTTGGAAGCACTCGACTCGGAGGCTGCAAAGAAGTAACCAGGGACCTCCATCTCCTCACCCGTCACACGATCCGAACACAAAGATCCTGGGACGAGTCAGACTTGAAGTCCAAGATCGTCTATCAGGAGCAGAAGAAACCGACCTGTATCATGAATAATCTACAGAGATACATGACAGAATGGCACAGAAGTAGTCATCAGCTCAACAGCAAAAAAAGAAAAGAGACTTCGTGCGGTACTTTGACGTCTATATCCAAGGAAGCGAGGGTACGTTGCGGGGTTCTGTCTCCGGTGGTAAGAAACCCGTTTTACGCCGGTCACGGTACAAGGACGTCACAGATCTCCAAGCGTTCGGGTCAGGTCAGGGGTGACAGACACTACAGTCATGGAGATCGCAACTATATTGCAGCTGGAAGGCAATATAGTGATAACAGAGACTGTTTGAGTCGGCTGCGTCACGAGATTTAACGCAGCGCCAAAGTCCAGTGCAGGGGACGCTAAGATACCACGTTAGCTGAGTCGAATCGGACGTGTTGTTAATCAAGACAGGCATTATCGTATCAATCCCCCTGGTGCTGACCCTCCAACCCCTGCGCATGACATGTGCTGCTGGCAGGATGTATGTATGTATGTATGTCCGTAGCCATACAAACCTTACATTCTTACCCCGGTCCGGGAGTACAGATTCAGCCGCAAATCTTCCGGGATTAAACCACAAAGAAGCCCTTTCCTTTCCCTTTTCTTTCTGTATTTTTCTTCTCCTCTTTCTTTTTTATCTGACGGTAATAGTTTCCGGGAGAAAATCAATGCGGTTATCTCCCAGACATACCAGGAGGACAGACATGCGGGGTCAAGGGGATCAGAATCCGAGGTGTGGTCGAATTCGATGCCACGACTGGGTTAGGGACAATTCGGGGACGCCACTCACCCGCAGCAGAAGATTCGACTGCAGCCGCCTGTGCGACAGCACGACCCTGAGGGGTTGTCTTCGGTCCTTTGGATGTTTCTCTGGCCCGTCTATTCGAACAGAGAACTCGAATAATGGTAATCGAGAAGGTAGTCGCAGAGACGGCCGGAGATGGCAGCGACTGACGGTTGTAACTTGTGAGCCCGACTAACTGAAAGCGCTGTGTCCTGTCGGAGCGATCCGACCGCCCTAGAACTCGACACCTGCGTCACTAGGAAACAGAACGCAACGAGAGAAAGGAAGTGCGAGAAGCCACTCTGACCCCTGTATTACTGATAGCGATTTAATGACGATAAGTTAGTGGTTGGTGATAGAAGTAGTAGTAGTAGTAGTAATAATAACCCGCCGTTCGGACAGGTCGCGAGACCAAGAGAGAGAAAAAAAGGCCCGAGCCACAGAGAGAGAGTTGGCACCACGAGCAGATGACCGTTATGTGCCCGCCTCGTGCTCGACAGTTTCTGGGTCCGGAGCATCCACTCAGGCACCTTCACTAACGGTCGAACACTTTCTAGACTACAATCTACCGTTGAAAATAATAGTGCGAACGATGTTGCAGCTACCTCGGGCAGACGCAAGTCGATTGCGTCGATGGTTTCCTACCCACTCTATGGTAGTCTCCTCAGCCACAACCCGGGACAATGGGCTCAATGGCCAGTACGCACTTCCTCCAGCCAGAATATCCGTCGCCAGAGAGCATATTGTTATTATTGTTGTCCTCCTTCCATCACAGAAGAACTGTCAAATGCCTGGCCCTATCTCTCATCCAGGTCACTACCTAGGAGGCTGCGCCGCCAACGAATGCGCAGCGTCCAAGACTGGAGAATAATAGCCCGATATGACAGCTCATGCCGGGACCCCGAACCGCTCCTACGCGCATCCGGGCGGGACTCACCAATCCCGCGTGGGGAAATAGGGGCAAAGAGAAACGGGACAAGATGACAGCGCCGAAACATACAATAATTCAGGCAGAATGAAGGTTATCGAGCAAGATGACTGACTGGTCGTATACATCTGTTCATATTTAATATTGATAGGTGGTCGTATGCTACATCATGACTGCTATGGCTACCCTGTGGGGGAAGACTACCCTGTCCCGGGAAATCACCCGGTCAGTTTCCCGCCCAGAGGCCCCGGAATCGCTGGAGAAACAGAAGCAAAACACGCTGCATACAAGAATAGAACAGGGATAGCAGCATAGCCATTCCTGCCTTCCTTTTTGAAACAAAGCAAGCAGGGCCCCCAGCAAGGGGACCGAAAAGACGATATGTCAACCGATGTACATGTGCATACATACATGGAACACTATACAAACGCCATCGACATGCGTTGTCAAAGCAGTATTCCCTGATGAAAAAGATGCCCGTCGGAGATCTATCCCACCCGAAATGCCATTAAAAAGAAAAAGGGACTGGTATTACCGATATAACACAAATGAGCAGACCAGCGCTGCAGGGGAAAAAGAGATGATAAGATAGAAGGAGAAGGAAGGCATCAGCGGTAGTCCCCGTATGATTCATACATGCTGGGATGCGGGGGATACCCGCCCACCGCAGCACCGGGCTGGGGCCATCCCGCAGCCTTGAGGCGACGCTCTGCAGGAGATCCGTCAGTCCATCGCTTTCTTCTACAGAGCCTAGGGGCAGAGTGATGTCCTTACCTTTTTCGAAGTCGCGCCACCTCTTCATGGTGATCTTCGTGCTGTCGAACTCTCCCTCATACTCCAGTCCGGCTTTCTTGGTCTTCTCCCCCGCCGTCTTACGCGTGTCTCCCCAGCTGAAGTCATCGAACTTCCAGTAAGCGTACGTGGGTAGGATGAAATTCCAAACCGGGAGCGAGATCAGGTAGATCAGCATCCACAACAGGTATGAGAGGCGGTGCGCGGTCACCACGATCAGAACACCGGGGAGACCTAGGATAAGGGCGAGCAGGACGAGAGGGATGGTTTGCACAGGTTTCGAGACAATAGACTTGATCACAACGTAAAATGTGAAACTGATGGCTGCCGGCAAAACAACCGTGCCGACCAGCTCGATGAAGACAACAAACTGCATACTGAAGCAGAATGTACCACAGAGATCACGAACCAGGACAAGCTCCATCAGGTTGTGCACCGTACTGTTGATCCACCGACGCCGCTGAGAGAGAAGCACCTTGAACTCGTCCGGCACAACGGTCTTGCACACGGCTTGGGGCACGAAGACTTGCTTCCGCTTGGGGAAGGTCTTCAGCATCAACGTAGACAGATACCGATCCTCACCCAAAAGCAGCAGGTTCTTCTTGTGGAGCGTATCCACCACGTTCTCCGAGTAGTGCTCGACCACATCAGGGTTCGCCAGGATAGGCACCCAGTAGTTCTGACCTCCCTTGGGGGATTTGATACGGTACATCGAAAAACATCCGGGCAAACACGTGACACCGCCAAAGAAGGATTCGAACGACTTTGCCTGGTGATGGGAGATGAAGTATTCGAACACCTGAATCATGGAAACCCAGCTTGCAGTCTTGTTCGCGATCTTCGTCTCACCACACAGACCCATGATCTCGGGGTCTTTAACCATGGCGGAAACCATGTGCGTCAGACTGTCCGGGAAGACCTTCGTATCGGCATCAACCATCAGAACGACTTCGTAGAAATCAGGGGAGATGCCGGTGATATTCCAGAGTCCGTTGAACATCTCGTATTCCAATTCTGTCATCCGCTCGTCGAACATGACTTTCTGCAGGAACGACATCAGAATAATTTGACTATCTCGCTTGCCTCGGTTGCCTGGCTTGGCCGCCTCCGCTTCGTCTGGTGTTCCGCACTTCACTACGACCAACATGGGTACACGTTGCTGCTTTTCGGGCGGCACGACAGAATGTGCGCCGTAGTCGTAGAACCCGGAGTAGATCTTTGCCATGTTGTGCCTCTTTGCTCCAGTAGCGACAGCCACGTAAGAATGGGCCTGCACTTCCTCCGGCAGAACAGCATGATCACACATCATCCCAAGAACGATGTCCGGTGTCGAGAATTCCTCTCCTTTACCCTTGATAATACCATCACAGATAACGAGAATCGTCTTGTGGCTATTGGGGTAGTCTGTCGTGGCAATGGAGTCCAGGGTGGTCCGCAAACCCTCTTCACCTTCCGAGTAACAAGTGACCAGGCAGAGTGAATGGACCAGTGGGAAGCCAAATGGCTCCCATTCCGGCGGGGGCTGAGGAACAACGGCGCCATGAATGAAGCCCCCAGGTCCGGTTGTGTCGGACTCCACCGGGGCGCTGGAATAACGCGTATCTTGTCCTGTATAGCTAGACGCACTGTTCTGGTGGGAAATGGGATCTACGCTGAGTGTACCGCCACTGCTGTTGTGGCCAGCCTTGTACATCGAGGGAGAGGTGGTAGGGATAAGCCGTGATGTCGAGTTCTGACTGGCCATGGTAGTCGGGGCCGGTCGTCGTTTACTTGTACCTCCCATCACATAAGGGCTGGAGAAACGAGAAGTGGTGGGCAAGAAGCTCTTGCGCTTATTCGAACCGTCAGGGATAGTAGGGTCCGCCAGTCGAGGACCTGGCCGGTAGATATCATTCGACCAATCCTCAATCTCCTGGTTCCGCCTCTTCGAGTCCGAGCCCATGCTTGTCCGGCTTGCCGCATAACGGCGACATACGAACCACTGGAAAAGCAATGCAAGAACGAACTTCGCACCAACGATACCAAGAATGAAGGCCAACGATACATAAAGCACGACCTTTGAGGCGATGCACCCGACTGTTTCTGTATCAATGGAGCCGACCCTGATGATCTCAGTCAAGCATTTTCCGATCTTCCTATCTGCTTTCGTCTGGAAAGCATAAGTGATATCTTTGCCCTTGATGTCTGGATTCTGCCGCAAATCGTCGAATTGGGCTGGGTACGAGACCTGGCTGTGATTGAACCATTCTAGCAAATCCAGATCGACCACAGAGCCGGAATACACCATCAGATTCCTGCTCTGATTCCTCACATCATCCCACGTGAAATAGACGTCTCCCTCGCTCCTGAGGTTGTAGAAAGCATTTCGGGCGTTTGCACTAGTATGACAAGCATAGCCGAAGTAGTAGGGTATGGTCAGATTAGGCTTGCTGGAACCATCCTGGTTGAATGCAGTGCATGGGAAGTACCACGCCAAATCGCCGTTGTCGTTGGTAGGGACGTCCGAACCTGGGGCAAGGGTAATAAGATCTTTGCAAGCGCCGTTGACATTCTGGAAAAAGAAACTTCCATCCTGTCCACCATACTTGTGAGGAAGATCATACAGAACGTTGGAGCCGGCCGGGATCCCTGCCGCGGCAGGGTGCTTAGACTTCGAAAGATCATAGGCACTGCCGTGGAAAATCATGTATCCGCTGTCGACCTGGTTGACCTTCAGACGCACGGGAGGAGCGGCGCAGACCACTGCTGTGAAGCCGAAGGTGAGGAATCCAACGAAGGTACAAATCAGGAGAATAACGCTGATGAGACCCATCTTCTCACGCCAGGCTCTCCGTTGCGCTTTCGCGGGCATACCGAAACATTTGAGCACGAAGTCGGGAGCCCAGAAGGTCACAATCGAACAATACACGTTCCAGGGACTGGGCGGACGTAGTTGCTCGTCAAGCTGCTTTTGCAATTGTTTTTCTTCGAGGTCAACAGCTTCCTTGCGCGACAGCTTTCGCCGTCTCCTTTTCTGACTTGGGACGCGTTCCATGGGCTTGTTCACATTGCCATGGGCACCGTAGAGCTTGTCTGTGTCGACAACGTTCATTTCTCCGCTTTCCGAGTCGCCAGTGTCCGGCTCGCCATCTCCCTCAAAGATCGGGTCGTGCCCTGTACTGGACGGGAACGTGTCCATGTTCTGCGCATGCTGACGGTAGTAATAGTTCGGATGGTCGCGATCGATGCGATTCCGCTCCGGTCGCACCAAGCTGCGTTTGCGATTGATGTCTGTCGGCGATGGCATGCCATCCGAGTCTCTGAGGCTGTGGCTCCGGGAGTGGTGAGACCTGTGACGACGATGCCGGCCTGGAGTCGCAGGTTCATCTGTATATCCACCTGTTTCGATGTCCCGTCGACGCCGTCGCGACGACTCCCTGAACCCGATATTAGGCTCCTCCGGCCTCGACGAAGCGTGCGACGGTCTCCGTGGTAGGGACATGGTGCCTCTAGAATAGTAGCAAAGAGAATGTCAGTATCCCACATTCCAGAACGAAGCCACGCGCATGCTGCCACGGGATTTCCACTCACGAGGTCACTGGAATCCCACCCCTCAAGGTGGGAATACCAAAAATAGATATAGGGCGAGACAATCAACGTCGTCTTCACCACATAGGCACGGTATGGAGTAGGAATTCGTCTATTCTCGACGGTGAGAGTTCGTATCAGCGCAGAAAGTCTGCTACTTTTCCTGCACCTTCGACTATGGAAACTGTTTAGTCCGGAGAACGTCCCTTTGCGCTGCAGAAAAGGTGATGGAGATCTCGTCAGACGTACAGCTAGGCAATGCCCAGAAAGTGGTCCAGCAGAGACTCTTCCTTACTGGCCGCCCCAGACACTGACGATCCGGTGGACTGAATGGATCGCAAGTACTAGTAGTCAAGTAGAAATGGAACAAGCGACTAGGGGGGGCTTAGGTCCATAGGAAAACCCCAGGCTCGTCCTGGTGTTTTTGTGAATGAGTGATGAGAGATGCAACAAGTGATGTTTCATGCAGGAACAAAGAAGACAACAAGTTTCTGCTTTTGCCTGATCACAACATTAACAAGCCGAAGCAGCACATGTCCCATGCTGTCACGGGGGGGTTGGCGGGATCTCTCTCTCACGCACCCGTCGACTGGATCCGATTGTTTCCCCCGGCGACCATCACAGTAACTCTTGTCCAAGTGGAGGCAGGGATTGCTTTTGCTTAGCAGCTCATCCAGACGCATGGTTTGTTTAGTGCATTAGACTCTTTTAGCTCCCTCACTTAGCCAAGGGTCTGGCTTTCCAGCTTGGGAGCCATCCGCTCGGACGCCAGGCGCTGACTGGGCAACAGCAAGACATCTCTAACCGATCTTGCGGCTTAGCGGGGAGGGGGAATTTTCTCCAGGCGTCCATGGGGCTAGGAACTAGTCAATCAATCTGGGCACGGCACGCTAACTTAGAATCTTCTCTAATCCGGGTCCAAAGTTCAAGGAGGAGGCGAAATTGTGCCCTGTGCGGTGCCTTTTTGTCGCGAGAGTAACGGGCTTTTACCAATTCTTTACCAGCCGACCGTGGTCGAGAGGCTTACGAGGTCACGGGAGCGCATCAATCAGCCTGGGATAGACTAAGTATAGAACAATGCAGGCTTCTGGCATCTTCCCTCTGGCACTCCCGGCGCATCCGTCGTCAACGTTGTCCAGCTGGCAGCTAGTAGTGGCAGCATGTCCCATAATCTTTTCTTCTTTCCGTGAACTGCGGTCTGGAGTGAAGCAAGGCGGTCATACGACATATGCCATATCTAGTCTATGGTACTCTAGTACGGGGGCAGTTTCTCACTTAGCCAAGAAGCGCACTTATAATTAATTTGAATATGGGTCTGTGCAGACAGACCATACTCGACGGCGTCTACTCGAGAGGGCCCCCCAAAGACTTCGCGTATTGGAAAGGGGCAATTATAACCACGCTCACTGTACTATATCCAATCCCGTCCCTAAGCGGACCACTGCCCAGAGCGCACCCATAAATAATGCTGAAAAGCAAAAAAAGGATTCGGAACTCGGAAGTTCAACACGACGAGTTATGCATGGAGTGCAGCGCCAGAATGAAAATCTCTCGTCCTGTAATAATACTCCGTAGCAAGATGAGGACAGCTCGGTAGCAGACACGCATCAACCATACCCGAGGCGGCTGCAACAGCCCAATTAAGTCTGACTGTCCTCAGGCGTGTTTGTCGCTGAGCTGAAACTCTGCTCTCCTTTCAGTGGGTAATTTTTCGTCTTCCCCCCCCCCCTGCAGGTTGGTGACACAGCATCTCTCAGTAAGCATCGTCGCTGGTCCAGTCTCAGTCGAATGCGACCTAGAGCGTCAGCGTCAGACACGAGATGATAACAAATACAGACTTCGTATTTTATGGCGTCTCTCCTGTGCATCGCTGTTGCCATCGAAGTTCACTTCTAGAACCCTGCTGCATAATGATATGTCGGGTATGGCGATCCCCCTTCCCGGGCGGCTGCCAACCCTATATGTTGAGGAACAAGGTCACATGTTTAAACGCGAGAAAGGCTCCTGAAATTATAAAATAATAATAATATCTTCACAGTGAAACAATGGTCTTTTGGTCAGTCACCAGTATTGAGACCTGCATCTTAAAGTTAGTGTACCTACTCGGTTGTATCGCACCGAACACTTCCCGTCTTGGCTGTCAACGGCAGGTGATCAACCTCGTCTTACGACATATTGTGATATAACTATAAGTGTATACTTCATCAGCTCAGAACATAGCCAATTCTTCCTCGATTAAATATCAGGTTTCTGCAGCAGTCTGTATGCTCTGACCGATAGGGGTCCTGATCGGATCGGGCCGATCTACAGTCTCTCCTGGCGATCATAATAACTAATATTCGACCTTCTCCGGGCCAAAGCACTCTGGGGGCTCCAGCCGGGGTCAGACACGGCAGCGTTGACGGTTAACCGGGGTTTTCTCAGAGCAGTTAGAACATCCAAGGGGACCTGCAGCGAGATAAATATATATAGGGCTGAGCGCTGTTCCGATTGCTGCGATATGAAAAGCATGCGAGATAAGAGCTGCAACGCACGATGGCTCGTCTTATCACTCACGCCAGCCCCGTCTTGTCAGCTTCCCGACGTCCTGGAAGGCATGATGGAACGTGCGGGGATCGACGTAATCGAGATAGCGTCCGCAAGGATGGATAATCGATAAGTTAATCAGGAAATCTCAATTTGGACCCCGACATAATTCTTGGCGCTCCAGAAAACAATGACGATGATAAATAAACAAAGGAGAGCGGGATGTGGGAACAGTACCGAAAATCCGAAACATCTCGATGGCTATCAGAGGTTCGGTTCCAGTTTAACGCCGTCTGCCCTGGGGTGGCCCTCGCACAGTGTCTGGCTGTCTCTGAATGGGTCTCTTCTTTGACAGTGTGGTTCGTGCTGGTTCTCTGAGCTAACTTAGAATAGATCCATCAAACTCAAGCTGGATTCCGGAGGAAGAGAATAATATCTTACCACTCGCTCGCTCTACCCGACCCAGCCGATGATTAGTTAGTTGTTATTAGACTCGAATGTCCAGTAGCGCGGTGCCGGATTCTGCCCTTTTCTTCAATGGCTGCATCTCATGCTGAGCCATAGGAATAGAAAAAAGAATTGAAAAAAAAAAAAGAGAGAGAGAGAAAGAAACTATTAGCGCCTTGCATCAGCCAGTCTAGTTCCACAGTTGCATCCACGCGCTGAGAAAGCGAACGTAGAATCCATCTCGGGGCACGCTTGGACCCAGCCCCCGGAACTAGGTACTCTAGAGAGTCTATGCGTAAAAGCTCTAAGGAGGAGAGGGACCGTAGGCCATGGGATCGTGCTGAAACAGGAAACGCTGGTTCATCTTGGAGTTTCCACCACTGGACGGTGGTACTTAGTAGTAGCTACTGGCATCAGTGAGACGATGGGTCTTCAACTTGGATTGGGGCTGGAAATGGGATGAACCAGGAGGCCAGCAAGAAGAGGCGCAAGAGCTACCATTCCGCCAATTCTTCGATTTCCTCTCACTTCTTTTCTCTTCTTCATCCTCTTTTTGCAGAGCCTCAACGGCCAGGCGGTTGGTCCTGTAACTGCCGATAGCTTCCATCAGTTGTCTCTTTCCACGCGTTCAGTCCATCAGCTTCGGTAACTTTGAGAGGCTGGAATAACGAGAGCACAAGAGATCCCTCCTCCTCAGCGCCATTGCTGAGATTGTCAGCACAGTGAACAGTGTTTTCCGAGACATCCACGGGCCCTGTACTCCGTACTTCGATCAGCGTGCGCTTGCGGGCTGTGGAGCAAGGATCTTGGCTAGGCGGTGCACATCATTAACACTGCAGTACTCACCATCATTGCAGACGCTTGTTTGGTATCCGCGGCGAGCGTCGGCATCAGCCCTCTTTCATTCCACGTACACCACGCGGGGGAACTGACCATTCTTCCCTATTATTCTCTGTGCATCGCCGGAATTTACTCTCACTCACAGGTCCGCGTTTCATCTGGATGGACTAAGAAGCAGACGTTACAGTCTTGAGTTGATCCGTGCCGTCGCTCAACCGACTTCGGACAGAGATCCATCCCCCGGAGCGGGCCCAGCGACTGCTCCTCTCCACCTGATCTGGTGGCATCTAGCTGTCACGTCGGAGGCTGAAGGACAACATCTCAAAGTGGTGAACAGTCACCCGGAGAGATCTGATCCTGTGAGTCGACTGTGCACTGCAATCAGACTACATTTCCGGACACCTTGTGCACGGAAGCTTGGAGAGTCAAGCGCAGGTCAGTTCCGCCGTCAGAGAGCAATTGCCTCGTTGCCCCTCCCTTCCTCCCAAGCTTCGATAGATCGCCTGATGGATTTCGATCCAGAGTATCCGTTGGCCTTGTTAAATTCACGGTGTTGACTGATTGTCTCCTGTAGGTGTGGCATCCTGCCAAAGACCTTGGCTTCTCGGTTCCCTCCGGCCAACTCGACTTCCTCCACGCCGCAGGAAGTAAATATCTCAATCTCCATTTCTCTAGGACGATAACTACCTCAGTCGCTAAACCGCTGTTTTCGAGACTCCATGTGTTAGGGTGATATTTCTGCCTGCTGCCTTTCTACACGTTACGACACCTTACCGTTGGTGGATCGAATAGCCTCCTCTTAACTGGGCAGAGGCTTTACAGGAAGCACATACGCTGCGTGCAATCATGGCCAGTCCAGCCACCAGCACTTTCCGTCCCCCTATCTCGCCTCCTGCGCCAGTATACCTACGATCATCTCCACCGCCTCCTACAGAGTCGGATATCCCTCCCCCTCCCCCATTTCGAAAGGGACTATCAGACAGTCCAGAAGCAAAGCCTAATGTTCAGAAGATTTCGAGAAAGCCCCTACGGCCGACTCCGCTCGAAATTGGTCACGATGCTGTCATACACAATTCCCCGGTGTCCCCGGTTAAAATAGACGACGGGAGTGAACTTCCCCAAGCCTCTAGTGCTCTCATCGAGCACTCGAATCACGGCTACTCCGAGCACACGCCGCCTGTCGAAACATTCTCCAGAATGTCTGTGAACGACTGGCCCCATTCGCAGCAGCAGGGTGCCGGGGCCGGCCGGCCAAACTCCGTACCACCACCACGGGCGGATTCTATTCCTCCCATTCAGCTCTCGCAGCCTCAAGATCACCGTCATACCCCCGCAAGTAGTAGCTCGTGGTCGTTAGTCGGGCCGCCTGGCAAGGATGAGACTCAAAGCCATGACAAGGCGAATGCCATGCCAGAGGAGCATAGCTCAAACAAGAGCACTAATGATGCCAGTGACGTCTCGCGTGGAAGCGTTGATAGCATGCCAGAACCTGCTGAGATATACCAACCGCTGCAATATCACCACCAGCCATTCCGCGACATCACCAATGGCCCAAATGGAGCAGGTCCGAACGGCAACCTGGCAACTGCGCGCAAGAGTTCTGCTGGGCTTTCCATTCCTCGACCTAGTTCAGCATATTCGTCTGTCTCTGATCTTGCTAACCGTGGGCGAAATCTATCCCCACATCCTTCCCCCAACTCACAGGCTCGAGGTTCTTCACGGGATTCTACTGCGTCTCCGGATAACCGACCGTTGTCTTATATCGATCTTATGAACGTGCCCTACCCTCAGCCACCTCCTGCACCAACGGCGATGAGCAAGTCCTACCTTCGAGCTTTTGTCGGCAACAATGCTTCTCTCCTCGGCCACAAGCAGACATTTGAGATGTATCTGGCAAATGTCAAGAAGGCAAATGACCCTTCGATACAGTATGAGTTCGCCGTCTTCATGGTTAATGCTGTCAGGGAGATGCCTCCTGAAGAACTCGAGGATGGTGAGAGCTCAACGCATTCCGGGGCGGAGTCGTCAGAGATCACAAGAGCGCGACTTCTTCGAGAAGCCCGCTCAATCCTTCAGCTACTCGCAAGCCGCGGTCACCCCTTTTCGCAGTATTATCTCGCTGATGGATATGCTTCTGGGCTGTTTAGCAATGGAAAGGAGGACTACGACCGGGCTTTCCCTCTTTTTGTCGCGGCCAGTAAACACGGTCATGCTGAGGCAGGTTATCGGGTCGGTCTCTGCTATGAGTTTGGCTGGGGAAGTAAGCTTGACGGCGCCAAGGCCGCGCAGTTCTACAGACAAGCGGCTTCGAAGAATCATCCGGGTGCCATGCTGCGGCTTGCCAAGGCATGTCTCGCAGGCCAGATGGGTCTAGGTAAGCGCTATCGTGAAGGAGTGACTTGGTTGAAAAGAGCGGCGGAATCTGTCGATGAGCTGTACAATGCTGGTCCGTACGAGCTGGGATTGTTGCACGAGACGGGGTATGGGGATGATGTCTTTCCCGATCCATCATATGCGGCTCAGCTATTCACCAAATCCGCTGAACTGGGCCACCCCGAGGCGAATTATCGACTGGGAGACGCGTATGAGCACGGCAAGTTAAATTGCCCTCGGGATCCTGCACTCAGCGTGCACTTCTATACAGGGGCTGCACAGGCTGGGCATCCATTGGCGATGATGGCATTATGCGCCTGGTACCTTGTGGGAGCCCAACCTGTGTTGGACAAGGACGAAAGTGAAGCCTACGAATGGGCTAAGAGAGCTGCTGAGACTGGTACGTCGACAACCTACTTTCGTGTTATAAGCATTTCCTTCGACCATGCTGACAACTTTCCAGGGCTCGCAAAGGCACAGTATGCGGTTGGCTACTTTACTGAAATGGGAATTGGTTGTCGCAGAGACCCTCTCGAGGCCAACGTCTGGTATGTCAAAGCTGCGGATCAAGGCGATGAGAGAGCAAAACATAGGATTGCAGCCATTATGGCCGCTGCCGAAGGCGCAAATCCTGCAACACCCGTTGCTACGACAAATAGTGGCTCGAAACAAAAGTCCAAATCGGACATTTCGCCAGGTATGTCAGAACGTTCAGGGAGTCGAAATTGTCAGGTGTCTAACATGCCATGCTTAGGCGGAGATAAGGCGAAGCCTAAAAGATTTGGTATCTTTTGATCTCGTTCTAAATCACGACTTGCGTTGTCTAATGTCTCATTTTACATAATAACGACTGGCACTGCCCATACCATACTGCCTCTTCATATTGTACTTTTCTAGTTACGGCTGGCATTTTTGTCGTCCTTATCGGAGTTATGATGGGTCTCATTTCCCCTATTACATTTTTACGTGGCTGCATGATGAGGTGCAAGTGTTTACTGTTCCGCGGTTGTGCTCTCATCTCTTTCAATAGTGCCATTGAGCGACATCTCTATTTTTGTTCGTTGGTTGCGGAACCTTGCTCATGTGGCGAGGAGAAAAGCTGTACAGCTGGCGATATAGATTCTCGTCAGTTTCTGACCTCTCATCTCAGCGAAGCGCATTATTGGGGACACTATGCTGTTTCATTTTGCAGTACATTTGTTTTTGGCCTCCCCCCTCTGGTCGGTTTTCAAGCTCCCTTGTGCAGTAGGCTTGGCCTTCATATCAATATTGCATCATGCACGGAACATACACCGAAGGTTCTAATGTTTTTTTGAGCGGGATATATCAGGGGCTCCGAGAGAATGGAAACTTCTATCTAGCGACTCTTTTAATAAATAATAGATACTGACGCAGAGGATCTGGGATCAGTTGGGCAATGGACTTTGCGTAATTTGTATGCCCATAAAAGCATAGTTTTGCTCGATGTAGCCCCTATTATCCAATTGTCATGCCGTCGATTATATCAAATTCCATATTTCACGCCTGGAGTAATTCGCCGCTGCCCTCGCTCTATATTTCGCAACCACCCCTGCCAAAACGACCCGACTACATATTTCATCCTAGTCTATGCCACGTCACAGCACCAGCCTCCAAGGCACCCTAGACACTCTAGGCACTCTCTGAATGCACAGCCTTGCACTAACTACGCCGCAGTACATTTGCTGCCTATCCTGTATACCTTGTTGAGGATAGATACTTTGCTCTCTGTGTGATATATATTGCGCACACTCTCATTGTTCGTTTATCAAGCGGGGTGACTCCTCACTTGCATTGTTTCCTTGGCGCTCACTTAATCTCAAATGCGTGTGAGAAAACCGGATACGGAGTCTTAACTGTTTATTTTGAGTGCATTTATATATCTTCTTATGTCGTCAAGTTTCATTTCCATTTGAATTCACACTCTACCTTCAACATGTCAGTGGTTGCCGTCGCATCTGAGTCTACCTCGAATGGCATCCAGAGTCCAGTGCAGCGTGAACGGGCTGGATCAGGACGACCTCCCATTTCAAACGTAGGGTATGTCTCTTCAGACTGATCTCACAGTATATGGAAGCTCTAAGGGGGAAAAAAAGCATAAATCTGATAATCATAACCAGGGTCTCCACCAAGAAAAACAGAAGATCCAAAAAGAACATCTCTCAAAGGACACCTATAGCTTCACAAGCTGGAAGTGCCACTTCGACTACGGGTCAGGTCCAGATTCCTACTGTCACCGCAGACTCGTCGTCACCACAGCAAGAAGGACTGGTAGCAGACCAAACAAAGCGGAAGACTGAGAAAAGTGCCATTTGTCGTATCTGCAAGCGTCGATTTGGCAATAAGGCCGCGTTGAAGATGCATATGCGGAACGTACCCGGGCATCTTTCACAACAGCAGAAGACGGATACCTCACAGAGCTCTATAGCTGCTACTGCTGCAGGTATTATGACCATGGATATTAGTGATGGAAACAGACCAGCCAAGGCTGGTGCAGTGAATGAGCCTACGTCGCAGCGCGGTAAACGAGCTGTTGTTTCTACGAAGAAAGCCATAAACAAGGCCGAGTTACACTGCGATATATGCAAGAGGGATTTTTCTAAGGAGAACGGACTGCGGATGCACATCGAGACGTCAAAGGAGCATAAGGCCAATCTAGAAAGACAGAGATCTCAAGTGGTGACTTTTCCAGCACCAATTTCTCAACCACCAACGTTTCATGGGCCGACATTCTCCGATACGTTCGCTTTTCTCGAACGTGCAGCAGAATCTATTGGTACGACAGCGGCAGTGGTAGTCGACTCGGACCAGCAGACAGACACTCAGCCATTGTCGATTAACGCCAATGATGGGATTCAAGGAGGATGGTCCGATATCCCCAAAGACATGTGGGAAACTGTTCTAGAACTCATGAGGGGGAAGTGCCATTCCGTCGACCAGCTCGAGAAGGACGGATATATTCTTCGTGAGTCGACGCCAGAGGAAATGGAAGGTTATTGGAGGTGTGAAAACTGTAGCGGTATGTACCCCAATCTTCGTTTAATACGCTGGATATAACTCTGGTTTTTTCTAATTCGCTGACTATATTTATTTATCCAAAGGGCGCCGCAAAATAATGGAAAAGCGTAACTTCGAGAAGTGTAAATTCCATCCTGCGAAACGAGACTACGAGGTATGTCCATCCTACTCCTCTTTTCCCACTATAGTTACCAGATAAAACAGTTACCAATTACTCACATGAATACACAATCCAGAAGGAAAAGAACAAACCCTACCCCAAACAACGCCCCTATTCCTGTTGCAAGACCCGCGAGGGGGGCTGCACCATCCTCCCATCTCACTCATACTTACCTCCAGAAGACCGCATCCTCTTCAAATTCAACGACTACGCCCCTGCACCTCCCTCGTCCGCAAGGCATCTCACTCCAGCATGCCCCGCAGTAGTGCTAGACTGCGAAATGGTCGAAGTCAACCACACCACCAACGAAGTCGCCCGTCTATGTGCCGTCGATTTCCTCACGGGCTCGGTCCTCATCGACACGTACGTGATGCCCACGGGCAAAATAACCGATTACCGCACGCAATACAGCGGCGTGACTCCCTCATTACTCTCCACCATGGCCCTGCGACGCCGTGCGTTGAACGGCTGGGCCGCTGCCCGCGCCGAACTATTCAAGTTCATTGACGAGTCGACCATCTTGATCGGCCAATCTTTACATCATGATCTGGATGTGTTGCGCGTTGTTCATTTCAACGTGATTGACACCGCGATTATCACGCAGATGGCGGTCGATAAGGAATGTAATAGACGATGGGGCCTGAAGACGCTATGTGGTGCGTTTCTGGAACGGGAGATTCAGAATAAGAAGACAGGCCATGATTGTTTGGAAGATGTGTTTGCTACGAGGGAGGTATTGTGGTGGTGTTTGAGGTTTCCTGATAGGTTGGCGGTTTGGGCAGAGGAGGAGAGGGAGGCTATGAGGAAGAAGAAGGAGGAGGAGAAAGCGAAGAGGGCTGCGGAGAAAAAGAAGAAGGAAGAGGAGGAAGGAGAGAAGATGCAGAAATAATCTAGTAGAGCAGTGGTAGGAGGCGGAGTTATCGATGTGTTTCTGTTATTACTTCTTCGTCTTGATATTGTTGATTACTTATTCCGAGCATGATGTGTTTTGTTTCTCGGGTCTGAACATTATTATCTGTGAAAAGGAATGGATCTCCTTTTCAAGATACGGATTGTCATTATTATTAGTAGTATTTATTATTATCGTACGTAGACCGGGTATTATAGCCTCTAAAGTCTATATAACACTTTATCCATGAGATGAATATGACAAATGCACGCTCAGGGAACAGGATTCCCCTTTCCCAAAAAAAAAAGAAAGAGAAGAAGGGAGGGGGTGCTCCATAACAATAGAAAGCGGCCGTGACATCAAGGTAAACCATCAGAGAGGAGACTCATTAAACGACATCAGAAAATATATATAACAGAAAGGAAAAGGCTCCGGGGCCGCATTCTGCAGCTTCACTCATATCTTGACTTCATCATTTCCCTCCTCCTCCGAACCTCCACTGGACTTCTCAGCCCTCAGCCCCTGACTCGTCTCCAGGGCTCTGTTCAGATCATACTTCTGAGTCAACAGACTGAACAACCCAGCCACGCCACATATAGCACAAGAGACAGCCCAGACTATCCGTAAACTATCCGTATAAGCCTGTTTCAGATCTGACTTATTCGGTCCATCAGGCATGTTTTTAATAACCTGGACCAAACCCGCAGCGTCTTTGCTATAAGCATCAGCCAAGGGAGCCAAGGCCGGGTATCCGAGGAGGTTATCATGCATGCGATTCTGGAAGACAACGCCGCCGATAGCGACCCCAATTGCTTGACCGAAGGCGCGGAAGAAACTGAACATTGCGACGGCGATAGAAAGGTTTTTAGGCGTTGCGGAAGCCTGCACGGCGAAGCCGATGGAGGGGAAGAGGATACCGAGTCCGAGTCCCGGGACAAGGTTCAGGAAGATCCAGCCCGGGATACTGGTGTTGAAGTCGATGATGCAGAGGATACCCATGCCGAGAGTCGCGATGGCCCAGCCGAGCCAGATCGCCCAGCGGTATCGGCCGCTCCAGGTTATGAGAATACCGGTGATCATGGCGCTGGGGGCGACGGTGAATGTTTCGGGGAAGAGGGCAATTCCAGATACGATGGGACTGTATTCTTTCACGGCCTCGTAGTAGAGTGGCATGTAGTAGAGGGCACACCAGAGGACGAGGCCCTGGAGGACTGCGCCGACGAAGGAGACGACTGCGGTGCGATTCTGGAAGATTGTCGGTGGGATGATCGGGTCAGAAGCAATGTAATATTCGTAGGCAGCGAATGCAATCAATCCCACTGCACCGATTATGAGTGGAACGAGGGTGCGCCAGGAGTCCCAGTCGTACATGACGCCGCCCCAGGACAAGGGGATCAGGAACGAAGCGGTGCTACCGATGAAGAGCACTGTTCCGGTATAGTCGACGCGACGGAGCTTCTCAGCAAGAGAGCTTGGGACGAAGTTGAGTTTCAGGAACAGAAGAACAAGAACAACTCCAATACCGATAAAAGGGAAATTGATGTAGAAGATCCACCGCTACAGAAAACCCAGTTAGTTCTAGTAAGTATCAAGCAGTCATGTATGGAGTTCAGAGGGAAATGCCTACCCAAGTGACATTCTCTGAGAATCCACCGCCGAGGATAGGACCTGTGACAGAGCCAATACTCCACATGGCACTGAGGATGCCAAAATAATTTCCCCTGAGTCGCAGTGGGACAATATCAGTCACGATAATCTCACTGAGGGCGATGATACCGCCACCACCGACACCCTGTAGAGATCGACCGACGAGCATATAGACGAAATTCTTCGCGACTCCTGCAATAACGGCTCCAACGAAGAAAAATAGAATAGACGTTAGGATTAGTGGCTTCCGACCAAAGATATTCGAGAAGGAAGCGAAGCTCGGTTGGAAGACTGGCAGTTTCATGTCAGATAAAAGCCTCCACGAAGACAGGGGATATACCGCAACACACCTGTAGAACAGAGTAGAAAAGAAGTGCCAGCCCAAAAGGCCTCAATAGCTGTCCCATGCAGACGCTCCGCAATAATCTATACTTTCTGTCAGCAATCCTTGCGGATATGAAACCCATATTAAGGCAACCATACAGGTAGAGCAACAGAAATCGAAGTCCCATCCAGAGCCGCCATCAGAGTGAGCACAGAAAGAGTGAAGAATATCATAATAGCACGCCTCGAGAGCTTGAAGTCCTCGCTATCAGAGTCATCTTGCACCGTCCCTGCAGTGGAAGAGGGAACAGGCGTAGTAGAACCATCAGCGATAGAATGTCTGGCGACTTGGTCCCTTGAGGGATCCTCTGTCTGAACGTTCGTTTCCACAGTCATGTTGTGCAGGCGTCTTTTGTGAGATGTATGTATTTGTTGCGTATGTTGACACCGCGTCTATCCATGCAATAGAGTGGTTGGCGAGCAAAAAGGCCAATATGTTGAGCGCGCAATTGCACATGCAATATATCGCTTAGCGAATCAGGCTCAACAACAGCTTGCGTACTTAGTTCCCAGAATTCAGCGGACTAAAGATACCCTGCCATACTCCTGATCGGCGCTGCGCTGCTTCCCCTGAATATATATGCCCCAGATCGAACAGACGACTCCTCCGTTCTGGAAAATCCTGATAAACACACGCTATTGGGACAACAGAAATCAGAATTGACAATAGCATTCATTTCTCGTATCATTCTAACCCATAACGATTGCCATGGAAGAATTTATGGCCCGACTCCTGCTCCGTTTCTACGGGGGCGGGTTTGGGTCCACTTGGCTCCGAAAGCTAGAGCCATAAGTGAAATAATAATCCGCAAGCTGAGATAAAGAATTTCCAGAAAGAGTGGCCATGTGGTCTGGAATATGCTGCGTGATATTCTGCTGCCTTCGATTAGACTCTGGATATGCTGCTGGGCTGGTCTGGAGATTGGCGGGTCAGATACCTAAGATCGTGTTTTTCTCAGTTACTTCCGGAATCGTATGTAGTTAATACGAACGGCATCACGACGGCCGTAGCAGTCGGGCCAACAGCATCTCCGACCCAAGCAGCCACTCGGAGTTCGGGACAATTTTGGATGTAGACTTAATCTTGTTGCCTTGGTTCGCTTAAACTCTCATGTACATCCATTTTGCACCAGACCTCTGTGCTCATGTAGTTATAGTCGCAGCCGATGGGGAGAACTGACTAGAAGGCAAAAAAAAAGAACAGCGGCTTTCGTCTATCTATCTACTTACACGACGTGAATGCTCAAAATCAAGGTATCTCTCGCGGATGAGAAGGAATGGCCAGCGCCTCCCCAATGCCCATATATCCAGCGCGTGTCTTCATTACCATATCCATTCTGATCTTGTGGCCCTCCTATTGCCAGAGAAAGATTTTGTCGCAAAGTAATCGCCCACAACATCTTAAGCGTAACAATTGCTCTCTGCCGGACACATGGGTATGTACGGAAATGCTCTGGAAACACGCACCTTTTCCGCAAAGAGCAAGAGAAAGATAAGACTTTACAAAAAAGAAACAGCAAATATACATAACGCGAGCGCTATGTCCATGTCGTGATCAAGAAATTGCCCCTCCCTAGGAGGCTGCCTTCTCTTGACAACGCAAGGTGCGTGCAACAGAAAACTGGTATTTGCAGAGGGTACTCCAGAAACGAGAATCATGCAAGAAGGATCCAGGCTGAAAAGAGGAAGTGGTTTTTACTTCTCAACTGTGGCCTGAGTAGCAGATAAAAAGGTAGTTCACCAGTCGTCATCATCGTCCCGGTCCCCCTGCATCGCGCTCTGGCGTGCTCGCAAGGCCTCTGCAAGGCCGCCCGCCAGGCTGGCATTCGATGCGCTGTTTGGCGTTCCACGGCCGCTGCCACCAGACGAGTCATGAGAGTTCATACTGACAGCGCTATCCCGCGGCGCCGGAGGAGGTGCAGGTTTACGTGCAGTCGGTCTCTTGGCTGGAGGAGCTGGGGGCGTGGGCTTGGCCTTCGCAGCAGCAATCGTGGCTGCCACGCCGTTGGTAGCCTTGGGAGCAGCAGGCGGTGGCGGAGGACCGGGTCGGGGAGCAGGAGCAGGTGCAGCTTGTTCTTCCAAGTAGGCTTGTGGAGCCCATCCCTGGACGCCGGTCGTTGGGTTCATACACAGCCACCAGCCTGAAGAGCCGAAGTTAGCAACGACCCCAAAATGTTGGCATATTGCACAAGCACGGCAGACTTACCATTAGCTTCCTTGGACAAGACCTCAATTATATCACCCGCACGCACGGACAGCTCATTGGACCGATCACTGGCGAAATCGTAAAGCACCTTCGCAGTTGGTTTGGCAGCTGCCGGTGGCGCAGCAGGAGGCGGAGGCGGTGGTGCCCTCACTGACCTAGTAGAAGCTGTAGACACGTTACGAGTATGAGACGCTGCTGCAGCTGCTGCAGCAGCAGGTTGCGGTACGATTCTAGGCTGTGCAGCAGGCTGAGAACCGCCAGGGAGAGGTCGAGGAGTCGGCGTAGGTTTAGCCGCAGCAGCTGGCCGTCCGCTCAGCTTTGAAGGACCACCGCCAGGACCACCGGGACGGAGAAGCTTGCCCTTCGTGACCGGTCTGGCTCCAACTTGTTTCCCACGTGGGGTAGGTTTGGAGACCGAGTTCGCCGGTTCACCAGGTCCCGTGTGGATGGTGGAACTTTTGTAAGTGTCGTCGCGGGGGACAGCAGGGTCCTTCACGACCTTGACAACAGCCATCTTTCCTGGCTTCTTGCTGTATTCAATGCTAGAGACATTGTCAGTAAAGGAGTACTTCACGCGGTCAAGGACCACTTACGAGTCTCCGATCTTCAGAGTCAGTTGACCGCGCAACACATTGGTCAGATGCGTGAAAAATTCTGTCTTGAAGACGCAGCTAATAAGGGGATCAGGCTCCTGGGCAGATCCGACTACAATCGAGAACCAGTCATCCTTCAACTTAGAGGTGTTAACAGATTTGATAGCACCAACTGGAATGGTCCGCTCCGCGGAGATAACTAGTTGGTTGTTCGCTATATTCTGGGCGATAATGTAGACATTTCTGTTGGTCTGATATAATTGTCAGTGAATAAGGCATCGAAGGGGGATTTCAACGGTGGAAGGGGCTTACCAAAACGAGGACGCGTGGCGCAGGTTTACTCGATCGACCAAATTTGGAAATGAGGATCTCACAACGGCAGGAGAAAATGATATCCTCGGAACCTGGAAGCCGTCAGATCGTGCGCTAATACACGCGAAGGCAAAAGAAACTTACTGCTGATTCCGGCTCCGTTGCGCAGCATCTCACCAGGACCGCCCTTGTTAGCCATGCCGATGTAGTCTCCCAAGAATCTACGAGATCCCAAAAGACTCATTCTCCGACGCTCCTTGCGGTTTTGTAGAACCCGATGGCCTTGATCACGGAGCTTGATAAACTCAAGGCCACCAGTAGTACGACGCCAGAAACGTTGGATACGGATGGCACACTCTGTGCGGTACCGCAGATAGTTTCTCCAGGCACGCTGGATCCTGATAGCCATGTTATGCCAATAACGATCTCGCATATGTTCCAATGCGAACAATGTCTCGGGGGTCTTAATGAAGGCCTTGGTGACACCCATCTGGTATTCTTCAGCTGGGATCCCCGTGTCCTTCAAGATCTGGCGCGCACCAGACTCAGCATCACCGGTCCAGGTGTAGTCACCTGCATAGGATGTCTTAGGAGAAAGGAGGTAGAAACGCTCGACGAACTTGTCAAATGTTTGACGGTAGGCGAAACCAGCACGACGGATGCGGACGTTCTCCTGCAGACCCAGGTACTTGATCTGGTGCAGAACGTTTCCAGAATTGTACTCCTTCGGGGACTTGTTGTCATTAGGTTTGATCGTACGGATGTACGACGGCTGCGCCTTCATGAGTGTGGCCACCAAATCATTGGCGGAGACCTTGATCTTATCACCAGCAGTGGGCGGACGCCTCTTGTCATCCTGGTTGACCTGGTTGGGGAACAGCGTGTGGACAAAACTGTTTGAACTGGAGCCAGCAAGGTTGAGAAGATCCTTCAGTAGCTGGTCCTTATTCTTGTCCGTCATGCCCTCGACAGAGTAGCTGACGTCTCCAGCATAGTGCTTGATGATGAACTGGCCCTGTCGGCTCTCGAAGTTAGGGTTCGAACTGAGGAAGTTCAGCCTGCCCACAAAGGTCTGGTCGGCAGCGCCCGAGTCTGCGTGAGCAGTGGCACAAGCGTCGTTCAGCGCGGCGAACACGCCAGGAGGACGCTTGTCCTCGATGAGCGAGCAGACGACCTTATTATCGAAGTACTTGATAGGGGTCCATTTGATCTGTTCGCGCTCATACTCCTCCTGTTCCGTCTTCAGAGTCAGCTGGATGAAAATCTGCTGGAGCTTCTCGTTGACATAGTTGATGCACAGCTGCTCGAACGAGTTCTTTTCGAAGATCTCGAAACCGTAGATATCGAGGATACCGATGGAGTTGGCCACCTGTCCTCGCGCAGTCAAAGAGTTGTTGACTCGCTCGACAATCCAGTCGAAGAGGTTGAAGTAGATCGCCTTGGCCAGAGCATCCCGGACAGCCAGCGCCTGCACCGTGTTCAGAGGCACTTCGTACACCGAACCCCGTCTACCTCCGCGAGCAGTTTCCATAATCCGCAGAGTGAGTGCCTTGTTCACCTGCGCGGCATCAACTTCCAACAGGTAGGCCACAAATTCTACCACGGACTGATCGGTAATGGATGCATTAGAAGAGTCATCCTCGACAAACTGAATGTTTCCTATCCACAGGATAGCGGCCAACATCCGGAAGACGTTGTCCTGCTCTTCCTTCGTCATACCAATGATTCTCATCGCTTCCAGCGTCTCCTGGAAATCTGATGCGTCATCAATGCCAGCGACGTCGAAACATTTGGAACGACTCGTGTAGACGTAGGACTGAGGCTGCTGTATACCAAAGAGATCTAGGTTCAATATTAGTAACGACAACTCCTCGACATAGAACGGATGATACTCACCGCGATATTCTTGCGGCGCAGCCTTTGTGAACTGGTAGAAGATGTGGAAGTTTCGCTCATTCGTGATCTGGCCCACGACTCTCGACTTTTCCAGCAGATAGTTAGTGATGTTGGCTCCAACGGGCTCACCGTTGGAGTTGAATTCCAGCTCCAAGTACTTTCCGAAACGGGAGGAGTTGTTGTTTCGCAACGTCTTTGCGTTTCCGAAAGACTCCAGCAAAGGGTTGGTCGCCAGCACCATGTCCTTTGTCTGCTGGATGGAGGAATCAGTGCCACCCGACACACTCGCGATATACTGCATCAGCCGCTTGGCCGCTTCCGTCTTTCCGGCACCCGACTCGCCAGATATGATCACACACTGGTTATCCTTGTATGCCTTCATGTTGTAATAGGACGACTCGGCCACGGCGAACACATGGGGCGGCACCTCGAGACGGTTCTTGCCCCGGTATGACTCGAGAACCTGGTCCGTGTAAATGCCCACTATGGACGGTCAGCATGCGACGCGACAAAAGAATATCCAGCGGCGCACTTACGATCCCGGAACGGATTGACAGAGACCAGCACATGGCCAATGTATGTCTATTGTAGATTGTATCAGCCCACATCTCCGGCAGTGCGCAAGGGAACTCCGCTGTTCGCTGTGCGGATGACCTACATAGATCTCCCCCGCATCGAAGCGGAGCTTCAAGTTGTCGTTGATGGCCTCGTTGGAGACTTTGCTCAGCAGCGTCAAGTCCGAGACACCGATTTCCTTCTTCTTTGTGCTCTCGAAGGTGGCCTTCTTGACCTGGGGCTTCCCCCCACCTCGTCGACCATCACCCACATCGGCCGTGGCCTTGGAGCGTCCAAAGCCGCGACTCTTCTTCTCACCACCGACGGGACGCCGTGATTGACCCTATTGTATTGCGCGACCGTTAGAATATTCGTTTGAACCTGGTGGGTGAAGGAGGACGGCGCAGGACTCACCATCTTTCATTACACCCCGGGACGAAGGCGCCCAGCACTCCAGATCCGGACGATCTATCAAGTCCACGTTGTTATCTCCTGAAGAGCATGCAACAGGAGGGGGGAAACGAGCAAGAACTTCAGGACAGCGCAGAATCAGCTTCAAAGAAAGGATTCCGCCCACGCTGCCAACCAGCCAAAATGCAGCAGTACACTAGGGGAAAGACAGCAGAAGAGAGCGAGAGGCACGAGATGGTTGAAACTGCGAACGCTCCTCTTGATGATGCAGCATGCGGCGCTTGCCGTAGAGACTGCGCCACACGTGTGGCTCCACGAAATATGGAAGGGTCACCGTTAGTGTAGGTATCTAGCTAATTATGGTATGGTATGAAGGGAATCGCATGGACTCGGGCTAAGGATCAGACTAAACGCCAGTCGAGACAACGCGCAATCCTTTTGTGGCGGGGGCCAATCCGAGTGTACCGAAGCTGCCCGTTTTCGCCCAATTTTCGCCTCCGCGTTCCTGGCCTGGAGCATCTAGTCTGGAAATAGTTGGAGAGACCCTTCTTTTTCCTGTCGGCACTGCGGCTTGACGTCCGCGGCGGGCACGCGATGGTCAAGAATAGCGTCCCAGACGTCATTTCTACCCCTCAGTGGGATGGAGGAGCAGTCAATTATTACAGTAGTAGTTTTATTTATCGTACTGCGAAGAACATCTCAGATGGCAGCAGACAGTGACTGATAGTTACAGAATAATGGTTATGGTTCTGCCTACCGACACTGACGCGTACGTACCCGATCTGACACTTCAGACACTATACGAATACTGGTACTACGATTTACAGCAGTCGCCTTCAACATCGTATAATATCTATTCTGTAAATACATTAATCTCAGTCCACATCTCCTACAGCTGCTACGTCTTACCCTCCCAGAACTCCACGATTCTCCTCACCGTCTCCAGCTCCAAATACTCTCTCAACAACTCCCGGCCCTCATCCGACCTCACCGCGCGACTCAACTCGCGCCATGACGGAAACAGATCAGTCAGTATATTGCTCTCTTCTGCTGATAACAAGTGATACGGAGCGGACGTCGTCATGTGCGCCAGTAGGGACGTTACGGGTTCACGAGGCACAGAAAGCCGTGGGGGGTTCGTGAGAGCGGATATATATTCCTGCATCGACGAGAGGAACGTGGAGGAGTCCGCGATGGGGACTATCGGGATCGAATGCGGACTCGGCAGTTCTGAGACGAGTCTAATAGATAAGTTATTTATTTAGCTTTATTTCTCCCTGTAAGAATATAAAATAAAAGAGATATATATAAGTGTACGCACAGAGCTTGAAGGTCCAGTAACGGTGCCAAGTTGGACCGTCTACTAGCAGACGTAAATGCATTCTCGGACAAGAGGAACGCAATAAGGACGTCTTGTCCTCCTGGCGGAGAAGAAAGGCGCTCGATTCTGTAGATGGTCTCTGCTTTGTCGGAGGGTGAAAGGGACGAGGGGGTTAGGAGGAGGATGCGCAATGATCTGTTTCCCTGCGTACTGGGAATGCTGAAACTGAAGTCATGGGTCTCTAGATGGGCTTCTATTTTGGCTTGGTTATCATTTATCATTCATCAATCCCAAAGATATGACGATTGAAAGCATGGAATACCTTGCAGTCGAATCCCAGAGGTGGACATGAGCACTGGATGGAGAACTGGCCACACCGGTCGAGTCCGAAGGGAAAAGCATACTGTTAGAGTGGAATCTGAAGTGACTTTTGCCATGATTGTTCTGCCATATCTTGGTCTCAAAATGTCCTTGAGCTGAGAGTAAATGATATATACACAACCGCGTCTTGACGACTGGAAAAACGGCAGAAGAGAGGGGAGCGGCTCGCTCATATCGTATATACACTGCAAGTTACGTTCTATATGCCAATACATGCTAAACTTCCAAACCACTCCAATCGCCATTTTTCCACGATACTGACCTCGTGCTCATGTAAGAAGGGTATCTATAAAGAAAAGAGACGTCTATGCTCGATATCCAAAAAACAAGGTGGTCGTGCAAACACACAGTAGCGCGCAATTGTGGCTCAGGAGCTCTTAGGCTGTTCCAGAGACTTATGAGCAGCAACTGGGACTGGGGAGTGCGGCGAGAGCTTGTCAACCACGGATTTTGACGTCTCACTTGCCTGGTCAGCCGATTCGGGGCCAGACGGCTGACCTTGACCAAACGAGAAGAATGATGTGACATAGGACAGCCAGCTCTGATTCTGTGCTTCCTCTTTCTCCTCCTTCTCTTCAACTTCCCATACCTCGCGAGGCAGGATTCGCTTGTGGTCCTTTGCGGCAGTTCCGTTCTTTCCCTTCAATTCGAGAATCTCCCGCTCCAATGCTACCAGAGCTTTCCGGGCGGCCTTTTCGGACTCCTCAAGGTCGCTGAGACGACTCTCCACGTCCTCTCTCCGGGTACTTTCCTTCCGTCTGGATCTCCATGTCTCGAACACGATTGTGCCACCCGCCACAAGGAAAAGGAAAGTTTCACTGATGAAATTCGCACCCGAGTCGATAGCTTTAGATTCCGACAATGGCCGAATTCGAGGTTTTGGCGGTTGTTTTTCTGCTTCTAACGCTGCCTCTTTTGCTTTCGCCGCGGCCGCTTCTTCCGCTTTAGCCTCTGCTTCCGTCTTCACCGTAGGAGCTGTGGGCTGGAGTTTCTTTACCGCAGCGTCTGCTGCGTCTTTCGCGGCTTTCCTCTCCGCTGCCGTAGTGTCCCGAATAGCGCCTAAGCGTAGACGCATATCAAACCGATGGAGAGCTTGCGCCAAGGAGACGCACATTCGTCGGAAGCGTTCATGTTCACGGGCCTGTGCTTTGAGGCGGTTCTTCGAACCATCAGCATGCACCTCAATCAGGCTGATCGGGGGAGATTAAGTCATACGGCAATGGGTTTCGAAAGCGTGCGAATAAAGAGAGAACTGAGCTTCAATGTAAGAGACATCTTGACGGTCTAGGCAGCGGTCCACGTCACGGCGTAAGATAGAGCGGGGAGAAAGAATAAATTAGCCTCAGGCAAAAAGGAGCCAAAGGAGGTTAGATCAGGAAAAGCTCCATACGGGAATATAAGAAGAGAACGAAGGACGGTTGAATCTCGAGTTTCGTGTTGAAGAATCACGTCGGTTGTCTGCTGGTCGACAGCGTGAGGCTTCAGCTTTCCCTATCTCCGAATGAAGCCGTTACGGCATAATTCCTGCTGTTGCCCTTTTCGGCGTAGTTTCTCCGCGTTTCTGGAATGATTGGCTGATTGGCTGCATATCGCCTTTTATGTCCCGCATTATGTAATCAACTTGTCCAAACAGGCAGGGGTCCGGATGTTTTTCCGGCGCCGGAGCCAATGTTTACGGATTTCCTCTTTCAGCCACCCAACTAATGATTGTTTCTGGAGAATCCTCGAATGTCCCTCCACAGTCCACAGCCGTCGCCAGGACCAAGCGGACGCTGGGTTTCGTGGGATTTCGTGCTGAGGTTTGTACAGTTCGGTTCAGGGCTTTGCAGTTGGTAAGTCGAGGATCTGTCCTGCTTTAATTTCCCATGTCCCCACCCTGCTGCGTTGGTGCTCGGTCGCAAAGAGTTTCGGACTGACCCGTTGCCTATCACTGTTGCCAGGCGCAATCGGATTCTTCTCGCAGCAACTCTGATACCCCAAACATCCTTAGATCTACTCTTCTGTTAGCCATAATATTACGACCGTCACGACCTTCGTAACCTGTCGCATTGTGCTTTCCATGGACCGTCACGCCAGCTCAACGGTTTTGTGACTTCTGAAACAGCCTGCAGGGGGCCTGTCCGCGGTGCCTCGAGATGGAAGCATTGTCACCCCGATCAACCAACTTGCGATTGAAACCAAAAGCCACCGTGAATCCACCAAAGCCAGGACCGAGGGCGGCGCCTGCCGCGGCCGCTCAAAGGCCACCACCCCCGAAGCACCATGCACCGCCCCCGCCGCCGGTTGTAACTGAGCCAGGAGAAGATGCGGAGAGATACGCCACGGGCGCGTTTCTGGGGAAGGGAGGTTTTGCGGTCTGCTATGAAGGAAAGCTGCTGCGCAATGGCCGGGTGTTTGCGATGAAAGTGGTCAGGTCGGAGATGGGCCAGAAGAAGATGGAAGAGAAGGTTTGACTGCAACCCCGACCCCTGAGATACGTTGAAGTTGACATACTGTGACAGTTCCGGACCGAACTCCAAATCCATTCGAAAATGCGACATCCGAATATCGTTCAGTTCCTTCGCGCATTCCCCTTTGACAGATGCACTTACGTGATCCTGGAGTTGTGCCCCAATGGATCGGTCATGGACATGGTACGGAAAAGGAAATGTATATCGGTACCGGAGGTCAGAAGGTTCATGGTCCAGCTCTGCGGTGCGGTCAAATACATGCACAAGCGAAACGTCGCGCATCGAGATTTGAAGATGGGGAACCTCTTTCTAGACAAGAATATGGACATCAAGGTCGGTGATTTCGGGTTAGCAGCGGTCATCGTCTCCGAAAAGGACGAGAAACGGAGGAGGACACTGTGCGGAACACCAAACTATATCGCACCAGAGGTACTCGATAGGAGCAAAGGAGGACACACGCAGAAAGTCGATATCTGGTCATTGGGGGTTATCTGGTAAGCCAACGGTTGATGCGGTCGTGCGGAAAGAGAACGGCCAGCGGACTGACAATTACTTCAGCTTCGCAATGTTAACAGGCTACCCTCCATTTCAATCTAAGACCCAAGAAGAAATATACAAGAAAGTGAGGAACCTCAGCTACGTCTGGCCCAAGGATAACGAGTGTTTCAACCACATACCCGAGGAGGCGAAAACCCTGGTTGCGACTTGTCTCAATCTGGCAGAAGAGGAGCGACCCGAACCGGATGATATTGTCGAGCATCCTTTCTTCCACATGTACAATGGCTGCATACCAGCCCAGCTCGATCCTGCCTGTCGCTTGACGCGGCCCATCTGGCTTGAGAACGAGAATCCCCAGGGAGACTGTATGACGACCGGCTACAGTTTGGCCTATGATGAGAAGTACAGAAGCAGAACAGCCTATCTGGATGATCCTGCTCAGCGTTATCTTGCCTGCAAAGAAGAATTCTACGCAGAATGCGGAGTGGGAAGGAAACCTGATGGGTCCATACGGAAGTCTGTGGGCAAGAATTGCAACAAGACCGCTTATTCGGAGTGCGCTTCGGAGGATGAAAAGGGACTACAGCCTGTGATTCCTTTGCCGGAGGACTTTGTCTACAAGTATCCTCACATCCCAGATGGTGATTGGAGTATTCCCAAGCTGGGCGCCCAGGACGAGTCTCCGACGACGGATAGCTTCGAGGAAGAAGAAGATGACAGTCAAGAGATGTTTGCTGCCTCCCTTAAAAGTAATCCAGCAACTATGGCCAGGACGCAGGCCGCTCTGGCAGCTGCGCAAATGCGCCGATTGGATGCACAACCTCAAAGTCATGCAGCAACCCTCCGCCAGCAAGCTCTACCCATTCATCCTTCTTCCAGGAAAGCTGCTACTCTTCGTGGCCTACCGTCGACGGCCACTCGGCCCATGGGACCCCCCAGAAGGCCCGATCCAGATCCAGATCTTCCCGTTCCTGCCCCTACAGGCGGGCTTTCAGACCGGCCAATTCGTGCTCAGCGAGGAGTAGCTGCATCATACTCGGCTACCCTTCGTGACCTAGATCGAATAGTGGCACCCCCAATGCCTAAATCCTCCAGTGTTCCCTCTGGTCTAACTGTCGGCAAAACTCGAGCTCAATCGAAGAGACAGATCGAGGCTGCTGACCCTGACTTCGCCCCTGTTCCTCCTCCCTCCGCGCCTTCTCCTTCCATCCGCTCTCCTTTTATGCCTCCTTCGATGCCTTCTCATTCTCACCGTGCCCCAAGTCGAGGATCGGACAGGGCACCAAGCCGGGGCTCAGACAGGGGCCCAGACAGGGGCCCAGCTCGAGAAGTCGATACGGCACCACGCCGAGGGTCTGAGCCGACAGAAACACATCCGCGGACAGATAGAGAACGGCCAAGGGTCACCAGATCTGCATCACGATCGGAGATCAAACCTGTGCCTAATACGAAAGAAAATGATAGGCCAATGTCCCGCGAGGAAAGACAAGCCATGGAGCGCCGTCCATCGACCTCTGAGGAGGAAAACGCCAATGCCATAACGCATGGCAGGAACAAGTCTTCAACGGGAGGCAAGCCGCGATCGACACTGGGCATTTATCCTCTTATGCATCCGGAGGAAAAGCCCGAATTGGTGCATGGATCCTCGCCTGATGATGTAGTGACAGAGATCAGGCTCATGCTCACCAATCTGGTACCATATCCGTCAACTCGACGACGACCTCAACAGTCGGTGCGTCGCAGCCCGCATGTGTACGTGCTCAAATGGGTCGACTACACTAATCGTTATGGGATTGGATATGTCCTAAATGACGGTAGTGTTGGATGTGTATTCAAGGCCGAAAATGGTCAACCGGCAACTGGCGTTGTGGTAAGAGATGGCGAGAAACATATCCGCCGTAAGGTACGGTGTCTTGAAAGTCGGGATGGAAGCTATACCTATTCCTATGTGGACCAATATGTTCCCCAAGACGGAAGACCCATTGAATTCTACGAGAACTGCGATTCCGGCCTGCGCGAACGTCGCGGTATTCGAAGAGTAATGGTACAGCCGTCATTGTTCGAAGTTCACGGTTCAGGTAAAAACGGTGTCGGGTTTGCCGGTATCAAGGCTCGAATGGATGCTGGTATTGACTCTGCAAAGTGCGATGCCGAGAAGGTCAAACGTGTCAAGCTTGTTGACCAGTTTGGAAAGTATATGATAGGCTCATTGGGTAGACACGGTGACGAAGGACTCTCAGATGATGATCTTGCATCGAGACCTAGTTCTGGTGACTACATCAAATTTTACCAGCGACTAGGTAATGTCGGTGTGTGGGGGTTTGGTGACGGTGCTTTCCAGGTACGTACTTGAACCAACATCAGCTATTTCTTATCTTCAATTCGCTAACGACCTGCTAGTTCAACTTTCCCGATCACACTAAGCTCGTTATCTCCCATGGAAGAGGCCGAAACTCATCTCCATGGATTGACTTCTATCACCTGTCCCCCTCTGCGGCGCGCTATCTCGCTTCCAAGGGGAAAATGCATCCGTCCGGATTCGATACTCGCGCTGCGGCTTCGGACGAGGCCGCAATCCTGCTTGCTATCGCAAGTACTCCGCCCACCAATGCAGCAGATGAGCGAATCCGCGAGATCCTCGAGGCAAATGCGTTCATACAGAAGATAGACTTCATCAGGCAGGTCCTGAAGGGCTGGATCAAATGGGGTCGACTTGGTGGAAGGCCGCCACCTCGACCGATGCCAGATGCCGAAGGTAACCCGCGTAACCGCTATCCTGCCGAGATTTTTTGGGAGGGTGTTCAAGAACGCTTAGCATCTGGCGGTCACGGGGGCAAGTACGTGTGGGTGACAGTCGGGGCTCAAGGCGGAGATGAGGAGTACGTATCTGTTAGCTTGAACTCAGAGCCGGCAAAGGATCCCAGGAGAAAGGAACCATAAGGGTTAAATCAGTCTGGATACGGGTGTTCTAGGACATATGGCGGTTAGCGACAAGCTTGGCAGTGCCGGGCCACACCAGCTTTCGCCGTGATGAACAGGGTTTTATTTCATGCATCAGCATCTTGATGGCCAACATTTGTCGGGCGTTTCTTTGGAATATGCGCTTCTGCCTTTATCCTTCTTGTACATAGCTCACGACTATACCAGTGCAGGTTTAGCGGCCAGGAAACGGGAGTAAACTCATAATTGCATCAATCGCAACATCTTGATCCTATTGCATGATTCAGTGCTGCTTGCATCTCCGCATTAGGGCTTTATCATAAGATACCCTCAGCGCATTTTGGACCCACGGAGTTACATATAGAATGTGAGTACCTGTGGGATTGGCTGCAAATGACCGCATTGGAGGCCATTTACGGTGTCAGCAGCGAGCCGCCGCTTTGATGCCCTACCATGTAATTTGTATGATTATTCTGGAATCGGCACCCACCAAGCTATAATCTTGTAGGAGCACTTAGCAAGGATCTGTGAAATGGTTTCATTAATAACGAGTCTTATCTACCTATACACCACGCGGACGTGGATTCGACTATCTGACCCGCGGGAATTGTCACCAGTATACATAGCTACCACACCACATCGGCGTCATAGCCTAACACCGTTTAACATATTGATAAACGCCACGGGATACACATACTTAGGTACCTAGTTAGGTACATGTACAAATATGGCTAGCAGCTTTGGTTAAGAGGCCACTTTTAACCATGGTAATATCTCCACAAGGACTTTTCACTCTCCCTCAGCTATCTCCATAATCTCATCATCGTTGGTCTCCACGTTGTCCTCCTGCCGGCCCAGGTATTTTCAAAAGAAGAAAAGAAAAGAAAAGAGAAACCAAGATCCTTGGCATCATAAACCTTTCTCACGTCTTGGTTTGTTCGTTTGCCAAGACTGGATCTCTTCTGGAGGGAAGCTCGCTGAGCTTGAATTCTCTAGCAACAAGCTCAGCCTATTTATCTCTGTGTAGGCAGGCTCCGACATCTCCTCTCGCCTTAACTCGTGTCTAGGGTTGTATGCCTTGCAGATAACCATTTGGGCCCCATTATCCAAGGCCGCTTCGTATATTTCGTCCCAGGGCTGTCTGAACTTTTCTTCGAGTTCCCAGCTTTTCCCAGTCCGAAGTGGAGGACCTCGCATCTCAACAACCCAGAGCTCTGTCTTATCGAAACTATCAAATAGCCGTGGCCTTCGCGTGCAAGCAGTCTGAACCTGCCCGTAGCGGGGATCGCCCTGGGTCTCAATTCCCATATTGACCCGGCAGTTTTCGAGACTGAATATTATCTGAGCACTGGGCTTGTCCGGACCTTGGTCTCCGATATCGAGAATGATTCTGAGATTTTGGGAGTCTAGGACAATGCGGCCTCTGCAGTCGATATAGCTGTCATCTAGCCAAGCTTCGAAGGTCACAAGTGAAGCTTGTTTAATGAGCCCTGCGGAACAATCGAAACCCTGAGGAGTGTTGAACTACTCAGCTCCGGGGAGCGCCAACTTAGAAAGTGTGATATGTGATGGCAAGCAGGCGTTCTTACTTTCTTGATTGCGTAGTAAGGAGCAAAACCATTCAGAGACCCCAGCACCTAAAAGGCCTGAGAAAAGAAAAAAACCGAATTGGCTAAGTTCAAGAGAAAACCTCTCCTCATACAAAACCCGCTTATACAGCAGCAAAAGAGATGGGCCCAAAACTCTGCAGCCGTCGATAGTAAGTATGGCTGATCTGGGGTGGCTCCAAAATGTCCACGGTGTAATTGCCGTCGTCGAGCTTGATCCGATAACTTCGCAGCATCCTGCTGCTTCCAAAAAAAAGTGCGGATTGCGAACCAACTGAGCCCGGGCTCGATCGCGATATCCATTTGGCACTACTATTTCAAAGTCCCCAGTGTGTTTCGTAGAGCCAAGGAGTATGCATACTATCTCCCCGATCAAATGCATGGGGTATCTTGTTGCCGAGATGACTGTCGATGATAGATATATAGTTCCGCTAAATGCCGCATTTTCCTTTAAATCATCATTTGTGCCGATATTGGGTACTGATTCATCCTCCCAGGGGTTCTTGTCAACCCGTTTCCCATTGACGAGATAGACCGGGGCATCCCCGAGTTAACGTAGGCCAAGTTCACCACTCTCCTACTTATAAATTGGAGCAATAACCACAACAGGGGCAGGAGCACACGGAACTTGCTCAATATAGTCACAGGCAAACAATTACCTGGATGCCGGCCGGGATATTAGGCAAGAGCTCCTCTATACTCAGTATAGGCTCTATAAAGGAGAAAAGCGACAGTGATATAGTCATGTAACTACAATTTATCAGCATGCGAATTCAGATATATAAAGCGCGCAAAATATATACAAACAGGTAAAAAAGGAGAACTGCTGACAAAATAACGTTCTTCCAGATTGGTCATATATGCCTAGGGGGAGTTGACTTACCAAAGTTATCCTTGAAGTTAAAGTTGACGAAGAAAAAAACATAACAGAACCAGCCTGCAGAGAAGAGATGTTGCCTGGAGAAGAAAAAGATTCGGAGTCAGGGGCGCGAGAGATGAGAGCTTCCACGTTCGGTATAGGCTTTAGGTCCGCACGTCTCGGCCTTTGCTTTCCTTACTTCTGCTGTCATTTTACTTCTTGGAATGCTTGGGGTCTCTGTCTCATGTTATGATGGATACGACAGAGAGCATTCCAAATCTTCCTGAACATCTTGTCAGGTTTGGTCCCCCTTCTCGATCAATACGGCGCCAAAAGGACTTTCCGACAGGATTGTATTTTGGATCGAATTTGTCTCGATTAGGAGGAAGATTGAGGAATACGGTGTCTGGGTATTGCAATACTGAAAATGCATCTAAGCTAAGTGCACGAAACTCCCCGTGTGCTAATGGATTCTGTATCGAGGTCGTTCTTCCTCGTTAGATATAGAGATGAACCGAACCTCGCCATTACCAGTAGTTCAGGTATTAATGGCTTTCTGCCAGTCGACCAAAAAGGAGAACTCCTTGTTGGTCTGCCTGGATCTCCGACAGCAAAGACAGCCTAAATGCCATGCTGGAAGTGGGAAAATTAACTCTGGAGCGAAGCTGGCTGAGCTTGAATTCTCTAGCAACTAGCTCAGCCTATTTATCTCTGTGGGTGGAGCTAGAAATGCGTGGGAGAAACCCGTCAAGAGGGAGGCTTGCATGTACATACATACATTAACTACACCCGGGAATTCACAGGTCCTCGCTTCACAAGACCAATGTCCAAAAAGAAGCAATAGAGTTCTCGGGAGTCGTCTAGATACGCGAGCTAGTCACGGGCCAAAGTACGAATATATCATGAGCAACAGCCCTGTACTCTCGGACATATAGCCAGGGTCATCCGCTCCAACAACGCAGGTCCATTTGAGATCACTCTGGACGTCATGTTCGAAGACAAAGCTACATATGAGAGAATCAAACAGTTGGGGATCCTCACTCCGCAGCGGATCGCAGGACTCTACGACATTGCTTTCGAGGACATTGTCTGGTGCAGTTTCTTTGATCCAGCACTCGCATTCAAAGCCACCATCCCGCGCCGACGGAATGGGACCAATTTCTCATCCGGAGGACCATGGAGAATGACGTGCATGGATCACAAAAATACTTTCATTTGATCAGCTTGCAGATTGACAAATGATGAGCTGGGTGTGCATGCATAGAATAGCTGTATTTATTATACGAGCAAGCTAATGAATATAATACATAAATACAAGTATGCCAGCTTGTAGCGCAAGTCCGAGCGATAGCGAACATCCACCGTCGTCTGTAGCATACCCTGAGTGACAGAAGAGAGACAACAGAGACTTATCCCTGCTACTTACTCCGCAGTGGCTCATGTTGTTGTCTGCTATCACAGCTGCTGCATGCCCATTATGTTGTGTTGGACAGATCTGGAGTATTGTACTGTATAGACAATAATGACCTGCCAAAATCGTATATAATAAACACGGCTGGAACCGCCAAACCTGCTATGTAGTCCGGAAAATTTGCCAGAAAATACTACATGGGGAGACTCGCATGAGCCAGTCTTGGAGACCTTTGCGGGGTCACGGTGCGGAGAGCCCAAGGGCGTTGATTTCTCGCTATCCATATCCTGTCTGTTGGCGAAATTCGGCATCATAATCGATGAGAGCGAGTACCGGATTCAAAACGTCCCGCCTTGGAGAAACACATGCGAGTCTATTTATTTTACCCTAAGAAAATTATTTACATAAGTATGTATTATGCAATGAATAACCATCTCCTCTCTATTATTTAGCCCAAAAATAAAGAAATAACTTACTCGCAGACTATTTATCAGCTATGAGAAAATCTAATAAGTCAGAAGCTGGAAATTGTCGGCATGAAGCCTAGCGCGAGTAGTATAGTGGTTATTATGTCTCACTCGTATTAAATGGTACGATTATGAGAAGGTCGGGAGTTCGACTCTCCCCTTGCGCAGCTTCATTTTTTTGCCCGTACCTTTATTTTTCCTGCGGAATTTGCCACGACTTACATTATCCATCTATCTAGTTTTTCTTCAGATTAGAACCTCGCTGCATTTCTATTTTCATTTTTAATTCGTGGATCTATTTGAATTTACACGGGAAGAGGCTTGGTAGATATTATACTTGAAGCTGCAGTTTTTGTAGCGCGATTTGATTGACTCCTACTAGTCCAACCTTAAGTATCAATTCCTCCGGACGGAGATAATAGTCCGTACCATATTGAGAAACCTCAACAGTTAACTAGACTATCACAACACAATACAGTCCTTATCTACAGGAACAGCGAACGGACGTAATGGATAAGGCTCCTCCCATAGACAGAAGGCTGGTCCCATTACGAAGATGGGTACTTGCCTGAAACGACATACTGCTTCTCCTTCTTGAGGCTGTTCAGACTCTCGTTGCTCAATCTCAAGGTGTCGGAAACGATCTGCTTGGGGACATTTCCGATCCACTGGCCTAACGAGATATCTACCAAAGCCATTAGCAGGTGCTGGTGAAAAGGATGAAGGAGATATCGGTAACTCACCAGTGAATTGGTCCGCCTGCAGCACCTCCAAGAAGACGAGGTCTTCGCTGCCCGTGTTCTCGATGTAGTGACTGTTGGACTGGGGGAAGTAGCCAACATCTCCCCCATGGTAGTCGAACGTGGTTGCTTGGTCAGGAGCAGTGAAGAGCGTCGCACGACCTTGGCCAGAGATGAAGAAAGTCCACTCGTCACTGGTTGGGTGCCAGTGAATTTCACGCATCGCGCCTGGCTTGACCGTCACAATGGCCGCGGAGAAACTGGAGGCGATGGGGAAGGTCAGAGGGTCGATGATCTTGACGCTACCACCGGCAACTTCGTGCGCTGGCTGTTCCGAAAAGTGATAGGAGTAAGACTGGGACTGCGGGATGACGCCTGCAGAGTTCGTCACGTTCTGCTCCTGGATATCCTTAGGAGCGGGGGTCCCAGGGAAGATGTAGAGTTCATCTCCGGGAAGGTTGTCAAAGGCCGAAATAGGGAGATCTAGGTCTTTCGCTAGTACCTCTTTCTAAGGAAGGGTTAGCACTGCATTAGTTGGTTTACCACGGAGTGTTTCGTACAGGCTGGTGAAGGAAAACTTCCGAGGCAAGGAACGTGTTGTCTTCCGAGAAAGAGCCGTCGTCGAAGACAAGGAGGAATTCCGTCCCATTGTCAAGAGCTTGGATAGAGTGAGGTACGCCGCTGAGAGAAAGTTAGAGATGACCTAGCAAAACCGGTGACGACAGGCTACCTACGGTGGGAAGAACCATACATCGCCAGCACCGACATCATCCACAAAGGTTTCACCGTTCTCGTTAACGGCCTAGCATAGTTAGCTCTAGATAAATACGCGAGAAGAGGGTGAACGAACCTGGATTCGGACAGATCCATTCAGAACGAGGGACCATTCCGCAGCCACATGCCAATGGAGCTCTCTGTACGCTCCAGCTTCCAGCCTCATATCTACACCGGCCATCTTCGTTGCATCTGGCATCGCATTGATGTTCTGCTGGCGGGCCCAGCCGGAACCCTTAATGCCGAGTCTGCGTCTCTTTTTTAGTTTATAACACTTAATATTGGCATGACTGCTCACCTGTTGTGACTGAGACCTATAAAACGCGCATTAGCTTAGTCTATACCTAGTTTGAAGCAATTGGTACTTACCCATCGGCCACATCGCGTTAATGGTCGCCCCATTGTCAGTCCCCGGAGGCGCCAACTTGTCGCTGTTGATCCTGTCGTAGTAGTAGTTCCCTGTAGAGACATGTCAGTCTGTTCTACAACAATACTATTTGGCTATCTGTACTTACGGGGACCAGGATCTGTCCCTCCTGTGTCACCGCGAATCGGCTGTGGGTTCTCGCTGTTTTCAAAGTCCAAGTAAGGAGCGACCTTCGCATCCTCGTTCTGTCCGGGAACCGGTGTGTATTGGATATTATCCGTGTTCTCATCATTGAGAGTATTCGACGGGGAGTAACCAAGTAGATTCTCCGAACCTCTCAATGGGGGATTGGTCCCAGTTCCCGTAGGCGCTCCATTGACGCCTTGGAGAGTAGCAAGCAGCGCGGAGACTGACAGGAAGGCGTCGATTCTCATTATGGACGAGTAAACTTGTGGCCTTGGGAACAATGGCTGGAATCGCAATGCGAGAGACTTGGGAGCGCGATTATTCAGAAGAAAAAGCAGGATCGTCGCTTCCTTTTATGGCCCTGAAACGACAGGAGAGAAATAATCAAGTGATGTTGGCCATGGCGTTGACCCAGTTTCTCCTCACGACACTTTCCCCGTTGTAGACGACCATCTCGGTGACAAGGGGTAGGAAGTTTCTCTGCGAAGTGATTGGGATTAGCTATCCTGTACGGAGTATTGCGGAGTAGAGCTATCGGGACACTAACGTGAACTCCATCTGCTTGATCTACTCCGTAGAGATAACCAATATGACGAGATCCGGTACCGGATGGATCTACAGTGTACAGAGTACGCAGCATTCCAATGGTAGTTCTTCCAATGCGGTACTTCCTTGCCCTCTCATGGTCCATCTTTCAGGCGACATTCGGCAGGGAGATTGTGCTGTGCGATTGAAACTTGCAGATACTATCCGTAGCTGACTTGGTTTTTACCGTACGTGAAAGATATCAAGAGCTATCATATGACATCCTTGTACGATAGGTATCTAGTGTTAAGTCTTGGTTTCAAGTTTCCTTCAGCGCAAGGGTTGTACTCCAGCGGGGAACAGTTAGTTCAAAGAAGACTACGAGCGTCTTCGATTATCATTGCTGGAAACTGTTTATTTAGTGGAGATCACGAGGATCCGGATGGCTTAATGTGCGGACCGTTGATCCTAGACCTTATAGGGATAGATGGCCGTTACGACGCCTGATAACCATCACCCTAGTTATTATTATTAGGGAGGGGCGCATTGTGACCAGAGCAGCCTATCCATGTCCATACTCTTCTCTGCTATTTCGGCCGAAAGTCCATCGTTCTCCCTGGTCTGTTGGTTTACTTGGTTACTTCGCGTGAGCCGAGACAAGTATGGCGCAAGATGACAATCTGGACACGTCTATCTATAGCACATAAGCATCTTGTTCACACGGTCGCTGGCTTACCAGTCTTCAACAAGAGGTCAGTCGAGTGACAATCTTTTTGTCGGTGCTGATTTAATGTCGAACTTGCCACGCACGACTGCTTCATCAAGATGATATCCCTTGGTTCTGTTTATGGTGGAGACCGAGCTCGGTCTAAATGCCGATTATTTCTGGGAGCCGACTAAGTGCCCGAGCTGGGGAGTGTAATTACTGTAGTTGCAGTGTCAGTTGCCATAGACGCGCTTCGCATAAATCCATACCATGGTCCAGAAAAGAAGATTTAGAGTAGACGATTAGCGACGAAGCCAAGGTTTGATAGAAAGCGACTTAAGGAGTTGGTCGTTGCCATCTTGAGTGTGTGGTGATACTAAAGAGAGTAGCTACCAGTTAGCCTAGCTATTATTATCGTAATTCATACCGCGAGGTTAAGACGACAGCGGGCCAGGTTCGGACGGACATCGAGGTAGCAAGATAACGTCGCGTTGAGATTGCATATGCCCCCGGAGAGATCTCAATAATCTCGCATCTTGGAAGCGTTGTTTTGTATGTACATACATACATACATACATCCCCTCATGCAAGTTAGATCACATGTAGGGCTGAACACTAGTTCTGCATGTGGAGAGTGGGCACTTATCTGACTGGTTCTGAAAAATTGGGGAGAAGCTTGACTGCTAACCATGCTATCAGGATGTTGCTTTCCATGGGACTCTGAGAGGAGTTGTAAGGCTTCCCCCACGCCGCTTCTAGCGCATATTCTACGGTAGAAGACGGAAGTCCGGCAGTTTTATAATTGGTTGTGTTTTATTTATATACTTTCCCTGGGCGAGTAGCTGCAGCCCAGAAGCAGGAAATGCCCGATATAGAGGTTTCTGGTATGGTCGAGTGTTGCTCCCCAGTTTACCACTGGTACTTGTTTCTGAGCTATGACAGCCGAATTTAACAGGGGAAGGAGTTCAATCGGCTCCTATTTACTCACATCCAGACCGGATATACACAAGTGTATCATTCTAATATACGCACGAGAAGATAAGCTGGGAAGAAAAAGGGGATTTGCTAGCAATTAACGTATCTGTGCTGTTTAATCGCTGTCCTGATACCGTGTCTAATCACCTCAGGCCGATCCGTCCGATGGCCATGAATCCACACTCGAAGATGCCAAAAGGCGCGTCGCTCCTCAGAACGATGTTCGTAACTGCCAAGCACCGGTAATAAGTCAAAAAGTAAGCCCTCGCGGACTATCACGCCTCCCGGAAGACGTTCGACCATACGGGCCTATTCGAACAAGTCCGACGGAGCAAGTACAAACCGACTTCCATTATGGAAGCAAAATTGCTGGAGATGCCAAGGCACATGGAACTGCTTTTGACCCTGAAGATGTGGCAAATATCAAGAACTATTTTGACATGAAACCAGAAGAGCACTTCGTTATCCCGTCGGAAGCTTACGACCTATTTGCCGATTCTGTATCAAGGGGCCGTGGACTGGAACAACATATGGTCCAAGATTATCCCGAGGTCTATCCAGATCTATATCGGAATTCAAGTTGAGAATACAGAGACGAATGACTCAGGTCTGGACCAAACTGGTCTCAGTTGGAGAAGAGCTTCCCACAACTCCCACGGCATCTAGAAAGTCCGTCAGATTTTTCTGTGACGCATTATCCCCCAACTCGCAGAATCTCATGGTTGGAACTACCGACATCTCGCTGTCGGTCAGCATGGCCGAGAAAGACAAGACTGATTTGAGCACGTAAGTCTTCCCGCAGAATTTTTTACAGCTCCAGTGCTGATGGAACACATAGCCTAGTCGCAAAACAACCTGTGGTACTCAGGGCAATTGCTCTGGACGTTATATCCATTGGGGTATCCACGAACATCTGATATATCCAAATACATACTGCTTTCTGGGCCCATTTCATAATAGGAATGGCGTGGTGCGCCTCAATGCTGATTCCTATTAGAAAATCGTGGCATAACTAGTTACTGCGGCTCATATCACGATAATTCAGCTAGATGTCAACAGCTCATCTGCCAATTAAGTGGCGACTTTGAATCTTATTGATTCATTATTCAGAACAGGAAGATAACTAGTACTTAGATTAGTATATATTTCAAATATTTGACTGGTAGTATTATATGTAGTATTCATTATTTTCTGTTCAGGTCGCCTTATTTGGCTTTATAGCACCTCAACAATCATCACGGCAACTCATGAGCCGCATTCGACCCCTGCAACTCCCTCCTCTCTACATTCATCAGCATCTGTTGTTCCTCGCGTGTGTCCTTTTTGTTATCCGGAGACCCGGAATATCTGTATAAGCCTCCCGCGGCGGGAGTGTGCTGCATCGGATCCTCCGCTCCTGCAGCAGCTGCGGCTGCAGATGTGCCTTTCTTATTCTGCGATGACCTTTTCCAGAAGTACACCGCAAGGCCGAGTGCAATGATGAAAGGGACACCGAGTCCGACACCCAGGCCTGCGCCGAGCTTTGTAGCTGACGATGACGCGCTGTTAGATGCTGAGGTTGACGAGGCCGTGGCCCGCGTTGCTGCTGCTGAGCTTGCGGTCGTAGTTGCTGCAGTAGATGCCGGATTTGTTGAAGATGAGGATGCCGTTGTGGTGCTCGTAGACGAGGTTTGAATAGTGCTTGTTCCGATTGCGATGATTTGTCCCTTCTGGTTGATTTGCGTGTAGTTGCCTGCGTCGCAGCATGCGGTGTTATCTGGACCGCAACAGAATTTTGTTCCAGCATCGTCGCATTGTGTCAGAGCTACTCCAGCTGCGCCGTAGTCTGTGTATCAACAGTCAGCATAGATTGTTTGATAAAACTGATATGGCTTTCCATTTGCTCCGTTCTACGGAGGGAACACCAAGGTCTAGAAGGGATTATTATAACACATACCAGGACATAATGCCGAACAGGCATCTGGTGGCCAGGACGGATCCGAACAATACTGTCTTGAAACTCCTCCATCAGTTCTATCATGACAGAGGAGGTCGATGTCGCAGTATTCATTCTCCAAGCAACATGTCGTGGGGGCCGTTCCGCATCCGATCAATTGACCATCTCGCGTCGCATTGTAGAATTCAGACGAGTTCGCTTCGACACCTACATGTGGATGTACCCATCAGTGAACTGTCTTATCAGACAGGACGATATGTATGGAATAATATTGGGGCGGAAAGGAATATATCCTGAACAGAGGACTGGACCCACGGACCGTTGTGCGAATAGCATTGAATCGCGACAGTGACGGAAATCAGATTCGAAGCGATCAGCAGAGTCGTTGCTACTCTGGATGCGAGTGTGCAAGGCTTCATGATGTGCATGTTGGGTGAATAAACAACGACATGGACAAACTACGGTGTAAATCTGTACGATCCCCCCGGAATAGTACGTACTTCGACCGATTCAATCTCCACAGAAAAGGACAACTGAATCGTCGCGATGCAAGACCTGAGAAGAACAAACAGAAGACAAAATCAGCAGAGAAAGAGAAGATCTCCCTACGAAACTACAGCTGAATAATCCTTCCGGCCAAACAAGCACGAGTCGTTTTTCCGAAACTACTCGCACGGCTGTGCTCAGTGCTAATCTAAGTAAAGTGGGAGGCCTCATCGTGCCAAAATAGCGATCGTATCGACCGAGCACGTCTCCAGGCCATCTGAATGGCTTATCTGCGCATTTGATTGTTGTCGCTCACACAAAAACGGCCCCCACGAGAAAGAAAATTGGGAGTTGTGGACGAATTGGAGGCGGTGTCTATGCCTTCCGAGCCTCAAGGAGGGGCTCAATACGAGGATCGTCAGATGATGAGAAGCCGTCGGTGCTACTAAGTCGCTAGATAAGTAGTTGTTGCGGACTCGATAATGAAAATCACCTTTTTGAAAGTTAAGCGAGTTGGCGGGCTTCTGTGCCCGTGGGTGTTAACATGTGCCAGTTAGTCCACTTGTGATGTTAACAGGTAATTGATCACTGATGGATACAGCCAACACCTAGAAATGAGTGTACCGGAGGCCATTCTCATGTTCAGACTGGATGCTATGCACTACGGTCCTTAAGGGCAACTGTCTTCTCTCAAGCCTGACGATATGCCCGCTGCCCATCCGGGTCCTGATCAACCAGTAGAGGCTGGTTAGTTAGCAGAGCTGATCTTGTCTTTTAGTTAAGGAAACCGAGCATTTTAGTTCAACTACAAGTTCTGTGGCCACTTAATCAACTGGCGGCCAGGCAACTGCTTTATTAGCAGTCTGCCTGAATAACATATTCCCTGGATCGGTTGGAGATATTCTGTACGTTCGGTTTTCAAGAGTATGTTGCCACAAGCCGCTTGTCTAAACCACCTACAGGCATTAGAGCGAGCTGCGCGGGTCCTTCCAGACAAAATTTGCGGTGGTTAAATCTGGGACCATGATAGCGAAACAAGGCTGTCGCATCTATGAGACAATTGGACAGCTGCAGCAAAGGGTGTCCAACAGTATCTTGACAGAGCTTAATGGAGATTGGACGGCGGATATCCTTGCGAGAATTTAGAATACCTCGCGAGAAGGCACCCGCGGGGCGGAATTGGGCATATGTTGACTCGTCACTCTTGTAGTCACTTCGCTTACGTTTAAAGCCGACTCTTTTACATCCTATAAACACCCTTTGGCAAGAGAAGTACGCACAGTTGGTATTGATAACATTGTTTCACACTCACAAAATCAGGAAAGATATGTATATATAAGCAATCTTGAGAATTTGTATATGCGTGCATGGCTATATAGTTTCCGAGGGACATATCCCAGAACATTACTTCCTTTGATTTTGTCGTAATGGACTGACCGGTGATTTTTTACTGTCTCCGGTCGATTATAAAGGAAGTGATAGAGACAGTGGACATAAATCTTTAAAAGTAGTATAAATGCCGAATGCGAACATGGCACTGAATAGGAAAGATATTATTGCAAGAACAGGTAATTGTCCACATAAAACTTCCTCGAAAGAATGTCTGCTCCGCTTTACCATCATGATGCTATGCAGGAGGAGCAGATATCTGTTACAACAAAGAAACGGGTTCTGGAACTCAACAGAGCAAGGAAGTAGAGGTGTGACATGTACATACAAATGTATGTACTACTATATTAAGCAAAGTATGGGAATTAAGGGAATTAAGTGGAAACAATAATCAAAAGAGACATAGTGGGGGAATGGCTATCCTCGTTTTCATCGAGTTCTGCGTCTGGGACGTGTAGAGACACTATTCCTAGAACCAAGACGGATTTCGAACCAGATCCTCAGCCACCGACGTCTCTCCCTTGTCGCTAGGCGTAAGAGGCTCGGGTCTAGCCGCGACGAAAGAGCTTGTTCTAGACGCGATTGGATACACTTGTTCTTTTTTTATTCCGATTTATGGTAGAAAATGCGGGAACTTCCTTCATTGGACATAATCCTAACAATAGGTCAATGACATAAAGGCATTTTTCTTCGCATTGTTGGCAGTGGTAATCATACTCCTGGAATGTGAGAACAGACGAAAACGTGGACTTGGGTCCCACGTGGAAAAGAAATCCGAAAGCGCCCATTGAAAGAAGAACAAGGTTTATCCCTGGTTTCAGAGCTAGTGGGTTCTGGAAGTTATTACATAGCAAATTGAAAAATCTTTCCGTTGCTGTGGGCACACGGGCAGAGGCAAGAAGAGAGCTCGTATTTTGTATACCTTAAGCCTCAATGGAAGTCAATTCCGCCGTTGATCCATCCCCCGGCCAGGGACAAGTTTGGCAGACTATCTCGTGCCTTCATTGTAGTGTATCCTGCGTAGCGTCCATGATCTTTGAATACCGCTGTGAAATACGGCTCCATCTCGAATGTTCTATGAATCTAGGGATTATTGTTGCCATGATGCAGTAACCCCTGTGTCCGTGAGCGGTTTTCTGTGCTGCTTGAATCCTGTGTAGACTAGATTTTGGATTAGTCTACTTTAACTAGAGCCCGTGCAGAACGCCACTGGCAATCATAACGCCATTCCCGCAACAACTGCTGAATTGCAGTAATCAATCAGGATGCGCGCCGGATAAATTTCGGCAGTCACGGCCAGTCAGAGTCGCGGGACCTGCACTGGCCCCATTTTCGGGCCAGAAGATCATCGTGAGCACGGAAAACGCCGTCGAAGTGGTGGTTGAGTATGCCGGTGTCGGTCAGTTGATGGTGATGAGATTCAACGATGTTGCGTACGCTCAGATAACATCTATCCCCGGATTCTCCCCATGATATCAGATCGCAGCAACAGGCGGGGAACGCGGGGATTCACGCAGACCATCTTATGTCCTCGCTCCAGGATCCAGTGTGAGATACTGCAATTCTGTTGCTCTTTGCTGCTGTGAGCAACCGGTGAGCAGCGAAGCCCCACGGAAATGGGACGGTCTGCCGATCCATTGCAACACCGAAGTGCGACATTACGCCGACTGGCATCGGGATCCGACCGACGATCCACAGTATCTCTCATCTCTCGGCCCCTGAACCATACTGTGTTTAGAGAATGGAGTATAATCTGCTGAGATTTTATCAGCCGTACGAGCCGTTTGCATGTAGCGTCGTCAGTGCCCAATGAGGCTGCATCGTCATCATTTTAGCGCTGTCAACTCACGGTCCATCGATTGTTTTGGATCCCCATGGGGATGCGTTGGCCAGTTAGGCTAGCATGGAGACTAGAGTAAATGAGATACACAAGCCCGATATATCGTGGGAGATTGACGTCAATTCGACCGGGGATTGAGAGTATTCGCATTCCATGACTTCTGTCCGTCTCTGTGCTCTTCAGCTAATGTAGATGTGGCTGCAGTCTCGCTCCGTCTGTATGAAACAAGATGTGATCTTGACCCCATGGCTAAGCTGAATGAGCGAGGTGGCACATACAGCATCATAGCCAGCAAGCGGGGACTAGTGTCTCTTCTGCTTTTATTTCTGGCTCTCAGATGTTTAGCAGATTACGATCCTCGAGGATGCCGAAACAGTTGCCGGAATAATAACACGAGCATGGGGATGATACGTCTCTCTCTGCCCGAAAACACTGTTGATACTAGGCTGCGAGCTGGAGTCCTCAGTGGACCAGGTGCAGATATCGTATACACCCAATTCAGACCCAGTTAACTCTGTTTTCTTCTGATCATCCATTCCCGTCGTGACACCTGATGATGGTGATGACAATGGAAGAGAGGCTGAAGGAGCCATGCGTGCATCAACCAGGGCTAGAATCTTATGAAAAAGACTGGGAGCAGCTTCGAGAAGCCTCGAGTTGTGTAAAAATCCCTCCGTGAGTAGAAGGGCGAGTGGTTTAGATCCACCGCAGGACTGTTGGTAGTCTAACCTGCCAAGGCTTGAGAACTGCGCTGTGTGGCAGACAAGATTATGGTCTGGTAACTTATAGCCCACATGGCGGGTTAAGTCGAGAAGTAGTAAAGTGCTATCTTCTTGATCCCCGCTTGAGATACGTCTGTGGCCTGGCTAGTGTGCTCGATCCTCGTGGAGAGAGAGAGCCTAGTCTCACCAGAAGAGGAAGGGCCCCGGATCCGGTCACCAGCCACGTCCCCGCGGGTTGGCCGCAAACATGGCGCCCTTCAATACAAAAGCCCTCTTGTTGCCTGCATTTGGGGAAATGAAAATAGTTCAAGAAACCATCCTTTTTTCTATTTCTCCTTTACCCAATCCTGCTGTCCCTGGAACATAATCCTTGAGTGTCCACTGGGTCAAGGAAGGACAGCAGTTGGTTGACTACTATATCTAGTCTTTTATTTCCTTTCCTCCTCTTCAGGAATCAAATACAATCATGCCTTTCCTGTTCAAGAAGCCTGACGATGCCACGGGCTCTGCAGCCCCGGCTATTGCCATTGGATTCTTTGTTGCTTTTGGTGGTGTTCTCTTTGGGTATGTACAGTAGTACATCTGCTAGGTGCTTTTGATACGTGGTTTGAGAATTCTTATTGACTATAACCTAGATATGATACTGGCACAATCAGTGGCATCCTGGCCATGAAATACTGGCGGGACCACTTCTCCACTGGGTATATCAATCCCGCAGACGGCCAACCCGACGTCACATCCCAGCAGTCCTCGATGATTGTGTCTCTCTTGTCGGCCGGTACATTTTTCGGAGCATTGGCGGCTGGTGCGATTGCAGACCGCATTGGACGTCGACTAGCTATGATCTTCGAATCCTTCGTCTTCTGCTTTGGTGTCATTCTGCAAGTCTCTGCTACGGCGATTCCCTTGTTTGTGGCAGGCAGGTTCTTCGCTGGTCTAGGTGTCGGTCTGCTCTCCGCTACCATCCCACTGTATCAGTCGGAGACGTCTCCTAAATGGATTCGAGGAGCTATTGTCGGTTCCTACCAGCTGGCCATCACCTTGGGTCTCCTCCTCGCCGCCATTGTCAACAACTCCACCAAGGACCGCCAGGACACGGGCTCCTATCGAATCCCCATTGCAGTACAATTCGCCTGGGCTATAATCCTTGTCATTGGAATGCTTCTCCTGCCTGAGACCCCTCGGTTCCTGATCAAGCGTGACAGACACGGAGATGCAGCGAAGGCTCTAGCTCGTCTTCGTCGTACTGACACCGACGATCCTAGTCTGATCCAGGAGTTGACGGAGATCCAGGCAAACCACGAATATGAGATGAGCCTGGGCGCAGCTTCTTGGTCTGAGATCCTGTATGGTAGTCTGGGAAAGCGCCTGGCCACTGGTTGCGCTGTTCAAGCTCTGCAGCAGCTTGCTGGAGTGAACTTCATCTGTGAGTATCCCCTTCTACCCAAGACACTATATATATATATATATGCATTTACTCATTCCATACACCTAATTTAGTCTACTACGGAACTTCCTTCTTTCAAAATTCTGGGATCCAGAACGCCTTCGTCGTCACGCTCATTACCAACATCATTAACGTTGTCTCGACGTTCCCCGGTCTCCTGATGGTGGAGAGATGGGGTCGTCGCCCCCTTCTTCTCTTCGGAGCGGTTGGCATGTTTGTTTGCCAGTACATCGTCGCCATTGTGGGCACTACTACGTCCTCCGTTGTCGCGAACAAGGTCCTGATCGCCTTCGTCTGCGTCTACATTTTTTTCTTCGCCAGCTCCTGGGGTCCTGTCGCTTGGGTGGTCACGGGTGAACTGTTCCCATTGAAGGCTCGGGCCCGCTGCCTCTCGATCACAACAGCCACCAACTGGCTCCTCAACTGGGCCATTGCCTACGCTACTCCCTACATGGTCAACGATGGCCCCGGCAATGCCAACCTGCAATCAAAGGTCTTTTTCATCTGGGGTGGCTTCTGTCTGATCTGTGCTATCTTCGTGTACACCTGCATCTACGAGACCAAGGGCCTAACCCTGGAGCAAGTCGATGAGCTCTACGCCAAGGTCCCCGTGGCTTGGAAGTCGGCTGGCTTCGTGCCCACCGTCAATTACAGCGATGTTCGCGATATCGCAGCCGATCTTAAGGGTGGCACTCTGGCTGACCTCGAGACTGGGGCCCAGGAGAAGCGGATGGAGCATGCCGACCATCTGGAGACGGTTGCCAAGTCGGACGAGTAAGGCGTTCTCAGTACAGATTTTGGATTTCGAGTGTATTATTTTTTTTTTTTTTTTTTTTGGTTGGGCTGGCGTATGTCTATTTGCTTTGAGCGTGAGATCATGATAGACCAAGATAGGAGTTATGCTAGAACCTTCCCGTGTTGGAGACATCGGGAGCGCATTTTATTATTACGACGACCTATTTCATGGACCTTCTCAACCAAAAAAATGAGTTTTCAGTTAACTGAATTCAAATGACCGTGGCACGAGTACTCCGTAATGTGCTTAAGTGTGCAAGAAAATGCAGATGACGCACATAATCCGCTCCCCTCCGACGGATGACCGAACCGGATGATGATTCCTGATATACAGAATACAACTGCCCCTATAGTTAGAACAGGATCATAGCTCCACCGACAACCTGTATTGTTGGCACACCATCGAAGCTTTAGCTTTGGCGCTCCATGGCCACAGACGGGTGTGGCGGCCACGCAAGGCTTCTCGACCACCACGTTGTAGGATTGTTGTCTGCTTTCCGGAAACATCGAAGGCAGCAGCATATAAGGTGGATATAAGGTTCGTGAGAAGCATTCCAGAACCAAAGAACTCGCAGAGGCTGTGTGAAACATTAGGAGAATCCCCTTGTCTTCTGGTTGACGATCTCACATCACTGGTTCTCGATCATCCGGGTCTGCGGGCCATCATAATTGAGTTCGTTCTTTTCCTCTCTAGATTTATTTCGCGTTGAATGCCATCATTTCTCGTCCATCTGGGTTGCGGGAAGCGAGAGAGAAGAATGAACTCATTGGAGAGACGAAAGCGAGAATGCCAGCTTGTCGTCAGTGGCTGCCCCCACGTGACGCGTACCCGTGGGCTTGTTGGGAGGGAAAAACCCGGTTCGAGGATGAAGATCGCGATCCGTTTAGGGTCTGATCTCAGATCTCGATTATTAACTATGGTAATGAATAATTGCTCTTCGTCCAGGTAGGAGGTAATAATTTATCTTGTATGTGAGCTCCCCGAAACAAGAAAAAGGTTTTGCTTCTATATCACTCTCACCGTTCTTTCTAGAGGTCTGACCTGAAGCCTCGTTATTTGACCTCATAGCGACGCCCAATTCTTTTGACAGCGGGCGCTAATCATCGTTAAAGCGCTACTGGTGCTAGTTACTTCTTAGCATAAACTCATTAGTCGTCTGTCTTGCTTATTCTGCGTTGTCTATCATAACTGGATCTCTCAATTCGATCCGATCCGATTCATATCTGCCATGCGATCATTAAGCGACCGGTCTAGGCGCTCCTCTTGATGTTCAACAGAAGAAAGATAAAATGGAATCCATATCGAAATCGAAATCGAAGCTGCTGTCGAACACGCGCTCCCCGTCTCCTCGTGAAGATAAGCCCAAGGCGGCGCTCCAGTTCGCGCGCCAGGCAGAGAAGCTTGCAGTCCGACATGGCAGCGATGATGACCTGCATGCGACGGCTGCTGTCGAAGGTAAATTCGTCACGCCCCATGATGCGGTGATTGAGACAGCCGAAGGGGGCCGATTACCATCGGTGCCATTGAAGGAAGCGGAGCGGTTGAATGAATTGAGAGAAAGGGTCGATACTGGCCGGCAGAGGGACTCTGGTTCGGCTGCATCATCTTCATCGTCCTCGTCCCCGTCGCCGCCCCGGGAAGCAAGGGTGTTGTCAACGCGAACATCGTCGTCTACTTTACTGGCCGAGAAGCGAAACGCGGCAAACAGTCGACCGGGGGAGTCGCAGGGACGGCTTGATACATGTACTCCGCCGTCGCATACGCATCCTCTCTTCCCTCCACTGCCAATTTATGGTCCGCCGTCGTTTCTGCGCAATCTCCAGTGTCAGTCCTTTCGCGTCATCTCGTTCTTTTTGTCATTATCGTTTCTGGGGGCCATTGTGCTAGGGTCGTTGCTGAGCAGTATCCCGACTGGAATCAGGCATACTTGGATGCGATTGAGGGGCCGGAATCCGGATGAGGAGCGGAAGTTCTATCCGGAGGAGATCCAGAGGGAGCGGGCGAGAAAGGAGGCTGCAGAGCGATGGGAGCGGAGGCTGCGACAGAAGAAGAGTGAGGATGATATGGAGACGGGCGAGGAGGATTATCCACCATTGGAAGGAGGGAAGGATCCGCTGATCAGCGACCTCGCGTACTATGCGAGAAGAGTCGGGCTAGATGCGGAGAAGTTCAAGGTGCAGACGGAAGATGGGTTCCTCATTAACCTGTGGCATCTTTACGATCCGAAAGAGTATACGCCCCTACCAGAAGAAGAGAGACAACATCGCGGCCCAGACGTCTTTCAGGAACAGAATAAAAAAGGAAAACACACCCCGAGGAACTCTTCGAACCGACGATACCCTGTTCTTCTCATCCCCGGTCTCCTCCAACAAGCGGGTACGTACTGCGCGAACGACGATGACAGTTTGTCTTTTTTCCTTTGCAAGGCGGGATATGATGTGTGGCTAGGCGACAATCGCTGTGGATTTGAACCGGTGCACACGATGTTAACTTACGCCGATCCCCGAATGTGGGCCTGGAACATCCGTCAGATGGGAGTGCTCGACTTGCCTGCGTTGATATCGCGCGTTCTGTACCAGACGGGCTTCGACAAGCTTGGGTTGATCTGTCACTCTCAGGGGACAACAGAGACTCTGGTGGCACTGGCGCGGGACCAGCGACCTGAGATCGGTCAGCATATCTCTGTCTTCTGCGCTCTCGCTCCAGCAGCATATGCTGGGCCATTGATCAAGAAAATGTACTTCCGCTTCATGAGGATCATCAGCCCTTCAATGTTCCGCATCTTTTTTGGAATCCACGCGTTCATTCCCTTCATGATGACCATCCATTCAGTCCTCCATCCCCGCATCTACGGCGCCCTGGGGTACAGGGTTTTCTCTTATCTCTTCAGCTGGACTGATGACCGCTGGGACCGTGGCCTGCGCGATCGCATGTTCCAGTTCTCACCGGTCTATGTCAGCGCGGAGAGTATGCGGTGGTGGCTCGGCCGGGACTGCTTCGCGAAGCAGAAATGTATCCTTGCGACGAGGGAAGACGCAATTCGCGAAGACCTCGAGGATGACAGGTACGCAAACGGTCTCTGTGACGGCGACAGACGTGCCGATGGGGCCTGGTACGGGCCTGGAGTGCCCCCGTTCGCTCTCTGGATCGCAGGATCCGATGATCTTGTGGATGGACGTCGTCTGCTACGACGTTTTCGAAACGGTCGGGAGCCACACGTTGACGTTGTCCATGCCAAGATTATCGACGAGTACGAGCATCTAGATGTTGTCTGGGCGCTGGATATGATCGAACAGGTGGGGAAGGAGGTCAGAGATGTTCTATGGAAAACGGTACCAGAAGACGTAAAAGCGAGCTGCCGCATTCCGAGAGGCGTTCAGCCGATGATATGATACCCCGTTATCTGCGCATTTGTATATAGACATGTTTGGCATAGCTGTGTACTTTTGGATATGATTTGTATTATGGCATGGCATGACTCCTTGTCATTAGATTGTATGGCTGCATTAATGAGAATATGTATCACAGTGAAAATCGAGTCGATTCAACAATGCTAGATCACTTGTAGACCGCACAAATCAATTACGTTGGAGTCTTATTCCACTCATAAAACCCCATATCAGAAAGAATGAAACAAACAACCCCGTTTCTTTTTAGATTATACCGTGGCTGGCTAAATCTCCGAACCTATCCCGTTGCATACACTTCGGGTTCCACAAACAAACCACGAACACCACCTTTTACCAGAACAGGAAGTAATTATGATTGACGGGTGACCGTCGAGCATTCTCAAAAAGGAAATTCCTACTAATTCGTTAGTTCAGAGACCAGTTAAACTATGCAGTTTGTAGATCCCCCTCCGTTTAATTACTTTTCTTTTTTTCTTTTTTTTTTCAGACCGCGCCATCTGTTCGTGCAACAAAGCAAAGCTCAAAACCCATTTTTAAACCCCCCGAACAAAAAAACAATGAAGACCCAAAACCCCCCACAAAACAACGATTTCCTATAAAATTTCTACTTAGACCGACTCGAGACAGAAAATGCCCAAAAAACTCCTCGTCATCATCGGCGTAACTGGCAACCAAGGCGGTTCCGTTGCTGCTCGCTTCCTTCAAGACCCCAACTATCGCATCCGCGGCCTAACCCGTAACCCCGCCTCGCCCACCGCGAAAGCCCTCTCCACTCGAGGCGTCGAGATCGTCCACGCCGACCTGGACGACCGCGAGAGTCTCATCCGTGCCTTTTCCGGAGCGAATCTCATCTTCAGCGTCACGAATTACTGGGAGCCGTTCTTCCGCCCGGACAGCAGACGGCGGGCAGCCAGTGCGGGGATCTCATGTCGGCGATACGCATATAACGTCGAGTTACGCCAGGGGAAGAACATTGCAGATGCGGCCGCGCGGACGGTAGACAGTTTGGATGACAATGGGTTTATTGCCTCGACGTTGAGTCATGCGAAGAAATGTAGTGGTGGGAAGTTGAACGAGTTGTATCATTTCGATGCAAAGGCGGATGTGTTTCCGCGGTATGTCAGAGATAAGTATCCGAGGTTGGCGAGGAAGATGTCGTGTGTGCAGACGGGATTTTTCATGTCGAGTTGGAAGTTGGTCACGGAGTTGTGGTTTGGAAAGGTTGGTATATATCTTTTTTGGCTTTTCTTTCCTTGCTTTTTTATTTACTATACCCCCTTCACAGCTAACTTCACATCATACCAGCTCCCCGATGGAACCATCCAAATGCGCTTCCCCACATCTCCAGATGCCCCCATCCCTCACCTCGACGTGAACGCCGATACGGGCAACTTCGTCTACGCCATCTCCCAACTCCCACCGGGAAGAAGCTACATAGCCGCAGGTTCAACGTGCAGCTGGACCGAATACATGCGCCTCTGGAGTAAAATCACCCGCGTCCCCTCGAGCTATAGGCAAGTCAGTCCGGAAGCTATGATTGACGAGCTGCCTGATAAGGAATACGCGAGGGAATTGGCAGATATGTTTCTTTATTCTTCTGATCCCGGGTATGATGGTGGAGATGGATCATTGTTGGGGGTGGATGAGATTAGAGAGGTTCGTTTTATTTATTTATTTTTTTTGTCTTTCTTTTCTTGCTGAAGTATTTCGAGTTTGTGGCTGATGTGAATTTTTGTTATTGAAAAGGCTGGTATAGATTGTCCGACGACGAGTTTAGAGGAATGGATGAGGAAGCAGGATTGGTCGCCTGTTATTGGAAGGAGGGAGCGAAAGCAATCTGTCGCTCGGTGTTGATGATGAAGGGACTATTAATAATAAGATGGGGAAATGAGATAACTAGCAACAATGGAGAGGAATTTTGATGCTCAAGCATGGTATAGAATTTAGCTTGCATACACCGGTGGGGTTATTGGTCGTATTCTCTATAGTTATTTTAAGCGGGAAAGGTTATATTATATTATGGTCATGGAGTATTTCGTATCAACTCTATACTTTCGAAAAAATGAGCTTACAACATGAACTCTTTCAACATGACAAATTTATTGTAGCGTATTATAACATCAGATGCAATAACTAGATCACTGGCTATACACGCAGAGTCTATTCAGACAGCATCAGCTCTGCCATGCCTCCAAAGCTAGTTGGATTTCTCATCCGCACTAATCGCATTCTAACAGGCCCAGACGTATATTTTTCAGTCCTGCAAATACCTGAGCCCTGCTGATTTCAAACGATCAGATCAATAAATAAAACCAGATGACATATGAATCTGACCCATGCAGGTAGCAGCCTGGACATGGACGGGCCACCCCATTCTCCATAGTCTTCGGCCACTTCCCTTTCAGGAGTCTAGTAATGAGCGTAGACACACCGGTTGAAATCTCCCTCAGCTCAAAACGCCGCCATTCGAATGTCCCATTCATCTCCAATGATAGAGCCTGCAAGAAAAATTCCTTCTGCGACTCTCTCAAGAAGTATCCCACGTGAGAAATATCTTCTTGGCCTATCTCCATCTCGGAGGAACCGCTGCAGCACAGCCGGTAAGCCATAACATGTCAAAGGGCGTGCATTATCCCACCCACCAATCTGGCAAATCCGGTACATACATAAATGTAAGCACCACCAACCAGGATATAAATTCCCTACTTATACTTCCGCGGCACTGGACAATTAATCTATGACCTCTATAATACCATCACCTTCAAAGATGACAGATAATTACAGCAACCTCCAGTTCCGCATCGCGACACCAGACGACGCCCCGCAGCTTCAGCAGCTGGTGCAATCTGCATTTTGCGCCCATGACACCAGACCAGATTGGACGGGACATCTGGAGCTGGCGTCGAACTTTCGCATTGAAGTGGATGAAATCATGACCAACATTACCGATCCGGACATGGTCATCCTAATTGCTTTTACTCCTTTGAATGAGAATGGAAATTCCGGTAATAATAACGACAAGGACATCGTGGCCTCCATCTCGGTTTCCAAACGCGGAACAGATGTCGGTCGTCTCTCCATGTTTGCGGTAAACGAACGGTACCAACGCGGTGGTGTTGGGCGCCAGGTCCTCGCTTACGCTGAAGACTATTGCCATCGGACTTGGGGCGTGGAGAAATTTTCTCTCAATACTCTTTCCACGCGTAAAGCACTTATCGAGTGGTACATGCGGCGTGGATACCGGAAGACAGGTGAAACGTCGCCGTTTCCGCGCGAAAGATTCAAGGATCTGGAGTTGCCGGATGATATGTGTTTTGTTGAGTTCGAGAAGGATCTCAGATAAGGGTACTTATGGAATCGTGTGTGAGCTGTGATTCTCTGTGAAGAACGGGTGCTACGTAATGACAGCAGCCACAGCTCAGTGCACATTATGGGAGTGCATGTGCACTTACATATTATGGATCTAGGATTGGACTGAAATATTGGGACATGAAAGACATCTGGGAAGGTCTGTGCCCTCTGAGGAGTAGATACAATGTTAGAAGTAGAAGTTTTCTTTTTGGAAATAACGTTTACAACCAACTAGACTTTGTTAATTCTTGAGCAGATAGTCAGGAAGGAGTCGGTGCTAATATATTCTGGCCTACTATATCCGGCTCCAAAGCTGTTTCACTCCGTTGAAGCCATATCTATGCACTATATAGTATACACTGACTTCCCTATCTTTCTGCAAACGTCACGTGGGGACGAGGAGTGGAATAGATATGATGGTGGAGGATTTGCTATAGCCTGTAATCAACAAATGAGAGGTAGACCATACAATGAAAGGATTTCTGGAATCATAGTCGCGTTCTAACGCGGGAGTCCGGTTATAGATAGCCATGTTAGGTGATCGATTGTATCTCCTCCAGGGAGACACTACTAGAATACATCAGCATGTAGAACACCTGCTTCTCTCAGCAATATGCTAACCAAATGCAATACCCTGAGCTCTGTTTCTCCCATGCATCCTGTGATATAATAATGTACAGCAAACCACTATGCAAAGAGAGACTGCGTTATGGCTAACGAGGCAAGAGCAACCACAGATGAAACCCTGCAACAATAGCAATTTTACCATGTCCAGATCAGATAAAAATAAAACGCCAGAACAACGCGCGCAACATATTTAACAGATGCAATGAATTCCCCAATGATCGTCCGCGGCTGCTGCTGTTGACGAGCGAAGGTAGAGGCTTTGCTCTTCCATCGCACATCATCACCGTTCTCTGTCCATGCCCGGTAGCGCTCGTTGCTGCTGCTGATGTCGTCATCGTGCGCGTTCTTGGCATATTGGATGAGGCTCACGCTACCACGGCTGGAGAGGCGGGCGTCAGTATAGCCGGGGGAAGAAGTGGCAGAGCTGGAAGTGCTCGAGTATGGGTACTTGGAAGGCGCTTGTTCATACCGTCGAGGTTCGGACAGTGGGAGGCTCGGCTCCAGTCCAGTGGAGGCAGCAGGCGCATAGAAAGAAACCGTAACAGAACGCGCAATGAGAACGATGAGAGTAAAAGCCAACAGACATCCATAGCGGATGAAGATGCCTAGTTGATCAGGCAAAAGGCACAGATGGTTCTGCACTGTCTGTGACGACCCCGTGCCAGGCGGTTTTCCAGTGTCAGGATCAACCGGATTCCAGAGGCTCGTCATCAGGAATCCCGGTCGACGGACACCCATTGCCCACGAGAGACTCTTCACGGTGATCTCCTTCGGGGAGCCGCTGAACTCGCGGTGGGCAATTTCACAGTAGTCGTGGTCATCACCAGAGTAGATATGTGCAATTCCAGGACCAACCTTGGAGATAAGATCTTTCGAGATAGTTTCTGTGAGGACGTTCTGATACTGGTAGCCTCCTGCGACCTTGATGGAGTTTCCCTCATCTTCCTGGGGAAGTGGATCCGTCGAGACTGGAGGATATCTTTCCCGCAGCGGTCCACACGGAGTAGCTGGTCTTCGATATAAAGGAACGTGGGTCAAAAGGATAGTCGGGAATCCGGGTGCTTCGACCGGATCCTTCTCGTGTACAGTAGGCTCGAGGACATCGTGTACTCCTGGTGTGAAAAGGACGCCCTCTAGCTGATTCTTCCACGAACGCAACTCATCAGCCTCTCTGCGGGCTTTGTACTCCTGAACATTATCCAAGAAATCTTGTGTATCTCTCCAGATAAAGGAATTGGGACTGACACCATCGCCAGCCCCTGCACCCGAACTGCCGGTCTCTGGATCCGGCTGATCCATAGCACTTAGAGAGACTGTGTTGACAGAAACAAAGCTATGGTTTCCAATCACGTCAACACGGTTCCCCTCACCAAAGTATGCCTGAAACCGTTTCCGGACGGGGTCTTGGATACCTGTCCCGAACCCCAAGTCATGATTTCCTGGCATGCTGGCAATCAATTTGCGACCCCAGGGGTTCGCTACAGTACGAGAGCCACCGTCATTGAAATGATCAAAGAAAATCCTCCCGAAACGATCGTACTCCTTCAACCAAAATTTATCCCCATAGCCCTTGTATCTCTCATCCGGACTGGAGCTAGTCCTCGTCGCCCACTCTCTACCGCCGTCGAAGAGATCCCCCAAGAAAACCACAGAGTCTGGAAGGAGCGTCTTCTGCATTGCCCAATATACTCGTCTCAAATACTGATCGGTATATTTCACCGTCAACGTCGACAGTGGCCACGGTCGACCAGGATAGGTATGGGGATCTACCAGCTGGGGATCGGCGATGAAAGCGACATGATGCGGCGTGGCGTCTTGAGGCTAGAGACCCCATCCCTTAAAATCAGCTTCTTCCCACCCAAATACACAGCGCCATAATAATCGACAGAGAACCCACTCACCCATTTCTCCCATCCTCCCCAGGCGCAACTCTCCAAACTTTCCCGAAATATCGTCCGCTCTCCCCATAACAGCGTGAACGCCCATAGAAGTATTAGTCCATTCCTTAGATTAATCGCTTGCTTCGCGATCCTCCATGCTTCATGCGTATACCCCCCGCGTCTTCGTACATCGCCGTCAACTCTATAGACGTATGAAAGAGCACGATTCCGCAGCCCGATCCATAACTGGGGATCGCGCACGCGATCCAATGTCGCCAGTATTGGAAAATCGTCTTTGAGGGTTGGCTCGCGATTGTACGACAAGCCGCCGGCCCCATGCATATATGCGTAACTCATGATCGCTGAGGACAGGAAGCCGCTGAACGAGGGTGTGGTGTTTCAACTCCGCGCCTTGGAAATTTAGCTCATTCTCCGGAGCGCGGGCGTGGATGTGGTTAGAAAGAGCGAGGCCGCATGCTCTCGAGTGCAGGCAGCTTTTCGAGCAGGTATAACTATAGAACAAGAATCACGATATGTATCGGATTATAGACATCTGCACCAGATATCACAGATATCCTGGACAATGCATGGGGCCACGGAGGGGCATGAGACAGGGAGAAGAGAGCTGGATGGGCATAACTGAACAACTACTCCGTAACGAGCTGCTGGATTCAGGGACCGATCCAGAATGGGGCTGTCACGTGACCGTGATCAGCGGAGCCGCGATCTATTTATGTCGTTGCCAAAGCTAACTCGAGGAAGAGGAGTTTATTGGAGATAGTTGGAGGTACTAATATCCTTTTATACTTATCAAGAGTAGATGCCTCACGATCACGAAGTCAATTGCACCCGTCATGAGGAAATACGATAATGTACTGCAACACAATGCAGCAAGCAACGGAGAATGCTGTGAGACCGATACAATAATGCCGCGTCGATGGTGGAGTATGGGGACCCACTTCCACGCAACCCAACGGCCGGGGAAAATTGTTTAGTCTACTCTACTCTACCATACTCCTTCAAACTCCTTCGTCCCGAGCATTACGATAACGAGTGATCGATATTCTTTCGCTTCTCCTGGAGCTGAAGCCCTTCATTGGAATTATTTAGGTACCGGAAGCGGCTGGAATGCACTAGTGATACAAACGTGATAAGACGAAACAATCAATGATCCCAACAGTCCAAACCCCGCGTCGACTGGTGACGCCCATAGTCCTGCATAGTAACGACAATAACGATTATAATAGGTGTATGCTCTTTTGGGAAAAAAAAGGAGAACATATATACGCTGAACGGCACGTATAAACACTACAGTTGAGGCCCGTCAACCGATCAGACGAATAGTATGACTTTCAGTCGACTCCAGCTTCGACTGGCCACTCCAGCATGGAGTATCAAGAAAAAAGCGCCAGTTATTCCATGGCTGAAAATCAGAGGCATAAGTCGAAGAAATCGACGATGGTACCAGCTAGACGTCCGTGTCTGTAGTCCGGAACCAACGTTGAAGGTGAATTATCAGAGGTCACCGGCTTTTATTATTTGGGGCAGCACTGGCCGCCTCGTGCGCATTCATCCCCACATTCGAGGAGACATCCTGCATCGCTTCCGCGGGTGCTCGGGGCCCTGCTGGAGGAGCGAGACTCGTCACCGTTACCTGGCTGTCCTGAAGTAGCGACATGATTATCTTCCTCGTCGCTCTCCGGAGTGAACTCGGGCTGGATTGTCGATGAGTGAATGCCATACGCATGCAAGCACTTCCGCACCTGCCGGGCGAGGCGCATATATCTCTCTGAACCTTCGCCCTTTATCTCGCAGTCGACCTGAATATGCAGAGAAGCGACGAGTTTGGTGTCGCTCAGCTGCCACACGTGGAGGTGGTGACAGCTGATGACACCAGGAAGTCGCTCAATGTCCTCCTTGATATGATCGATGCTCATACCTTGAGGTACCGCTTGAAGCAAGATCCTGGATGCTGCTTTGCAGAGAGGGATCGCAGATGCCAGAATAATGACGGTAATCACAAGGGAAATACCGGGGTCAACGTAGAATCTCCACGAGTAATCCGTGAGCCAGATGATCAGGGCAGATACGATGACTCCAATGTTGCCCAATGCATCTCCCATGACGTGTAGGAAAACGCCTCTCATGTTGAGGTCATGTTTATGGCCTCCCTTGCCCTTTTCGTCCTTCTTGGGCTGGGCATGGTTGTGCGATTTATGGATATCATCGTCGGTAGTTGCGCGACCGGGGGCTCGGGTAGGAGTAGCATCTTCATCCGTGTAATTGCTTGCACGATCCTTATGTCTGAGAAGGCCGGAGCGCTCGTTGGGCGCTTGTCCGTCAGCTGCCTCGGGGTTCTCCAGATCAGAGTCGGAAGTGACCTCGTCTTCGAAGCGACTGGCCTTGATAATATCCTGGCGTAATGTAGCGGGGTGGATGTGGATACTATCGACACCTGCCCAACCCCGAGACGATGCGCTAAATCGACGAGAATTCCGAGAGCTGCTCTCGAGTCCACGGCGCTTCCGGCTGTATGGTGACATGGCATCTGTTGCAGTGTCGTCCGTCTCATCACTCTTTGTAAACCCGCGAGTACGATGATCGGGACCGCCCGACGACGCCCCTGCAGCATTCTCTGGCATACCTGACGCAGTTCCACTCTGGTCACGGGCATGCGATGGCTCGTGGTCGCCATGAGCCACGAAACCCTGTTCCGCCGCATCTTCGTCACCGTGATCATGGCCATGATCGTGGCCTCCGTGCCCATGGGAGTGATCATGGAAGAGAACCAAACCAAGAATATTCGACGCCAGACCAAAACATCCGACAATGCAGACGAGCTTTGGATTCTTCACTTCTTGCGGTTCCACCAACCGTTGTATAGCCTCGAGGAAGATCGACATACAGAGAGCGACCAAGAAGACACCGTTTACCAACGCACCCAGGGTTTCCGCACGCTGCCACTATATGCGTGAATGCCTATTAGCGCGATGCTCGATAAGTCACCAAAAAGGGAGAAATTGCAGACTCACGCCATAGGTGTACATCTTTGAGGTAGTCTCTTGGTTAGCGACCTTAACGGCCCATAATCCGACACATAGCGACAAGACATCATTTAACTATAGATCGTTAGAAAAATATCCCTCTAATGACCTTCTAGTGGCCTGCGAGGATCGTATACCATATGGAACGAATCTGCGACGAGTGCAAGCGAATGGACGGCATAACCTATAATTTTACCCCCTGGTTAGCCTGACAAGTCGATTAGCGCAGATGTTCCAGCACCACCTACCAACGATCAATTCCAACAAGAAGAAAGCAGTATCAATCACCAACAAGATGATAATCCTGTGTGATTTGGAGAGTGCCATGGTCGCGGCGATGCGGCGCGCCAGTAGCGCGAATTCTCCGCGATGTTCAACGTCAGAGCAGTTCCCGTCGAGAGCAGAGATCCAGCCAATTTGACAAGCGGAGAGCGGAGTGACAGCTACCGGACAGTAGAAGAGATGGAATCACCGAAAGAGCGATGCAGGGGATGGAGGAGAAAATAATAAGGACCGCGAGATGCGGGCGCCTCGTTCCAAGTTCAAAACGCCTTCGGATGTCGCTCCGGGGGGACCGAAAGTGGCGCGGGTCGATGATCTTCAGCACTTAACAATAATAGCAGTTGGTCTGGCACGTCACTCTTTCAACGTTTCCCAATCTGCAGTTGAGGGCCCTGATGCTCCTATATACGACTCGACCGCACTGATGGAGCTGAACAGAACGAGAAGAAGGAACAAACGATTTTCGCGATCACCCTAAATCATGGGCTAGCTGACATTCTTTTGTGCGTGTTTAGGTGCGCGTCGGCTTGGAATGCCTGCCAAACGAAAAGAGAGTTCGATAAGGCCGGGACTATGGCCAAAGAATGGCGCTATCCGCAAAGGTATGATTTTACTCTGGACTTCTCGCTCATTTAATTCTCCGCCAAATGAACATCAGTTTATCCTGTAATAATAATTTCTACTCGTGTACCACTCAATATTAATATACGAGCTGTATGGGACCCTTGAATGTTCCATCAGGTTGCCGTCCGTCTCTTCCGTTGGCCCTCAGTGAGATACTAACCACTATCTAGTCTCCCCTCGGACGTAAGGATTCCATGAATGCCGTTTTCTTTTTCTTGACTCGTCATCCCTCTCATTGAGCTATGTTATACCTTGCTGCACTGCAAAAGCAGTAAGACAATAGGCTAAACACCGATAGCACACCCATTATTGCCAATTCCACGCCTACATTCTCCATGGGGAGGAGCATGCTGTAGATATATACCTCTTTGACGTACGAATACATACGAACTGAACAGAACCTGCTATGTACAATCAGCCCCGCACCAGCCATAGTTGGGCCAGCCAAGCAAACGAGGAATCGAATAGCAACCCATCCATGTTGCGAATTGCTCGTTTCCATGCAGACAAAGGTTCTTTATTCAAACACCATCCATCCACAAAGCCTTGACACAGAGACTTTCATTTGATACTGAATTTGGGTAATAGTTCACTCCGATCACATATATAAACATCTCAATTCTACCAAGTATAGTCACACGGAACGGACCATTATCATCATCTTGTCCGCAGAAAGCCCTCTGATAATTGACAGACATACACAGCAAAAAAAGGCTAAATACTTGATCAGAGTAACTTCTCCATATCAGCAATTTCCTGAAACATGTCTTGATGGTCGATGGCCTCTTTCTTTGTCGGACGAGGCAGCGGTTTACGGGCGAACCCCCCATACCCGAAAAACTGCTCAAGTGCACATTTAGTCCCCGAAATACCGCTCTTGATAGCCGCCCAATCTCCGCGAGCCACAGGTGCTTGAAGCCCCTTGGCCTCGTGGTAACTGCCAGAGTTGTAAAGCTCTGCTAGCCTCACGCAGGATTTAGGAGCGAAATTTGCCAGGCCAGCAACGACCCCCGAGCCACCTCCCACGAGACTCTGGATTGTGAAATCCGCAGAGCCACCCAAGCACATGAATCCAGAACCTTGATCTGCATGCGTTCTCGCACTGGTGGCCGCCGCGATCCTATTAAGCTTCCCTGTATTTCCACACGTGAGTTTACAACCCACGATCTTGGGATGCTTAGCCAGCTCGATGATGGTATCAGAATCGAGGTCGACGCCAGTGACGGCGGGATAGTTGTAGATAAGGATGGGTAGAGGAGAAGCGTCAGCAACTTCCGTGAAGTAATCCTTGATACATTCCGGCTTATAGTTCGCTTTATAATATGACGGAGGAAGAATCACGGCATAGTCCCCACCAGAATCATGAGCCTGGCGGCAGAGGTCAATCGTCTCACGAGTTGATTGTACTCCACAGCCAACAATTATGGGAAAATCCTCATAGCCAGCTCTAGAAAGGGCATCACGAGTCGTCCTATTAACCACAGAACGCTCAATACTGGTGAGATGGACGGCTTCACCGTTGGTGCCCTGGGTAACTATACCCGCTATGCCGGCCTTGGCCATGCGCACCGCATGCCTGGCAATTGCCTCTTCATCGAGTTCTTCTGTGGTCTTTTTGAAAAATGTGAAAGTAGGGACGTAGACCCCGGGTCTCAGGGTCCGGTTAGGATGTTCTGGCGGTGCATTCTTATAACTGACGTCCTCTTGAGGTTGAGAATAGATTGTGTCGCGTAACGGTAGATTCGTTGTCGTTCTGTGGATGCCCGGCTCCTCCCCCGGGACGCCAGTGCGGGATGACATTCAGTACAGCTTGAATGAAATCAAATATGCTTTTCTCTCTCTCTGTTCTTTTCAGTTCCAATATAGATGGATCATACTATGTTTATGAAAGGGTCCTGTGTTGACACACGAGTCACGTCACCCGAAAACAGTAATGACGCAACATTAAAGCACATTTCAGATGGCAAATAGAAGCTGCGACTTGATTCGATCAGCGTATAGAGGAAGCTTGCGGGAGAGATGCAACAGTGATCAGCAATCGCTTCTTTGTGAGATATTCCGCATTGATTGAAATCATGCTTTGCTTGATAGATGGCTCATTAGATGGCTAACGATGTGGGATTCCGTAAGAGTTCTATAGATTTTTAGGTAATCAAAAATACAGTCAATAGATTGATTTTTTTCCCCCTTAAATTTGTGCCTTCTATGACTGTATCCTCTATCGCTGAATAAGTTTTGCTAATGGTACATCATCTTCGTCATAGAACTCGGCTTCTTCGTCAACGCCAAAGTCGCGCAGACGTTCCCCTTCCGAGTTTTTCCATGCCTCTTCCCCTTCAGATATCTGGTGTTCGGACTCATCATCTTCGTCATAATCATCATCTGACAGATTGTCTTCGTCGTCGTCGTCGAGAGAAAAGCGTTCATGGAAACGTTTGCGCCGCTGTAGCTCCGCCCCGCCTTGCCGACGCCGAATGTCCTCCAACCGTCGGCGATTGAAAGCTTCCACCTCTTCGCGTGCAGTGCTATATTGCTGCTGGAAAGTAAAGGGACCTTCTGTGTCATTTGTCTTAATCATTCGCGGAATACGATCAGGATCTGGCGGCGGCCAGGATAACTTGGGATCTGTAGCAGTTCAGCATCGGAAAAGCAGGAAGATACGATACTCATCAGAACACACGGATATTACGTAGGTACATGATGAGAAACTTATACTTACCTTCGAATCCATTCGTCTCATATTCTAGACCCGTGTCGCGGCTTGGTGTAGCTGCTAATGGCCAGAACCAGCTTAGAATCTATTGCGCTCGTTAACATGTATAGCAATGACTGAGGAGCAAAACAACTGACATTTGCACTGCCACCCATTCCAGCTTTGATATTCTTCCAGATGCCGATATCATAGGGAAACTCTTGCCTCCTGATCGGTATCATGATGCCGTCTGGGCCTTCAAGGACACCGCCAAAATGACGGGCTCGTCTGACTAGAGTTTTGTGTCTCTCAATCTCCCATGATTCGATAGTTGTTACGTTCTCACCGAGGGAGATAATAGTGCGAATTAGAAGGATTGACAAAGCAAACAGCGTAAGACTGTTGACCACCGTGAGAATGAAAAGAAGAGAAAGCTGCGTAACACTTGGACCGAGATACTACAGACTATCGGTTAGCATCAGGAGATTTTCTGAGATTTATGCTGAGAACTCCCTACACTTGGAAGATTCCTACTTTGCCAGACGGCGGCTACTCTGGCATAGAGCAAGGATTCAAGGTACGCTAATCCGACAACAGCGTAGAACAAAAAACGTATGAAGTGCGGGAATGTAAAGTGAGAAACGCAGTTCGACGTCCAGGGACAATGGTGGTCCATCTTTGGGATGCATCTATAAAATTCAAATCAGCATCAATGGGGCCAATCAAGTGTCTGTCATTCCAGCTTTAGAACCTTTGACATTTCCCGCAATGATGCGCTCTTGGCGGCTTGAAGGCTTCGCATTTACGGCACCATCTCTGTCTGCCGGTGAAGTCTTTGCCAGGATCGACTTCAGTCTTCTTGTCAGCCTCTTTGGGGGTGGGTTTCCAATCTTTAGAGATACGCCCAGGATCTACAGTGCATGCTCGATAATAGCATATCCAAATAGAAGTAGCAAGGACGTTCAGTTTCACCAGCTGAGACCGTGAAAGTGGTCCTGGTTCGAGATATAGAAGAAGATATTGAGATGGGTATGCAAGAAATGCAATGAGAAGACAAACGGCAGGAATCGCAAGCTGCGATAACGAAAATTGGCGGGGCGACATTGTTTTCTATCGATGGCGAGAAATCATGGTTGTCCACATCGTCGCTTTCCGCGTGGTTCTGCTGACTACGCGTGTCCATCGGGATGAAGTGCGTGGCCGAAAGCGCATCCCGAGGCGCAGAATCTCGGACTCAAGGTCAAAGAAGAGCACTTGATATCAGCCAGCATCTAGCTCGCATCTAGGCATCAACGTTGATGTGAGCTTACTGACAAGTCCCATAAATGTTTACCTCTTATGGGAGCTAGCATAATAGTGTCATGCCAGGCCATCTACATCGATCCTGAAGATGCCAATTGCCGCCCTTCCACAGTCGACGGCGCGGGCAATTGGCTCAACAAGTGTCTTGTCTGATACGTGCTCCGTCGTCAAAGAGCTGCTAGACAACTCCCTAGATGCAGGTGCCTCATCTGTATCCATCGAGGTCTCACAAAATACAGTTGATCTCATCCAGGTCAAAGATAACGGGCATGGTATCCCCCCAGAGGACCACGGTTTCGTGTGCAAGCGCAGTTTCACAAGTAAAATTCAGACATTAGACGACTTGAGAAATGTTGGAGGGACTTCCCTTGGCTTTAGAGGCGAAGCGCTGGCCAGTGCTTGCGAGATGTCTGGAGGTGTTAGTGTGACTACGAGAGTTGAGTCGCAGGTAGTGGGAGCAACCCTGAAGTATTCAAGGACAGGAGATCTCGCAAGGTGAGCCTGGCAGATGTAGACTCTTTACAACATACTGACACAGTTTTGCAGTTCTCAGCGTGCTTCTCATCCGGTTGGAACTACTGTCCGTTTGACAGACTTCTTGAAACATATTCCAGTTCGCAGACAGACAGCATTGAAGAGCGCGTCGAAAACGATTACCAGGATCAAGAAGCTCCTCCAAGCGTATGCAATTGCTCAGCCTTCTAAACGAATTTCATTCAGGGTTATAGATAGTAAGAATGAAAACAACAATTGGACCTACGCTCCGAAACCAAATACCACACTTCGAGAAGCTGCTCTACTGGTGGCCGGCCTCGAAACAGCTAGCCACTGTGCGGTAATTACATGGCCATCTCAGGAATCCAAAGAACATGAAATGGAGCAGGAACTGGAGCAGAATCATACAGTGGCCAATTATGAGTTAACCGCGTTTCTTCCTAAAGCTGATTCAGGTAACTATAGCCTTTATAATATTCACCAATCTACGCTGACAGTCAGGAGATTTCACCAAAGTTAGTGGCGGAGGCCAGTACGTTTCTGTTGATGGGAGACCAGTCTCTGCTTCAAGGGGCACGTCTCGCGATATTATAAAACTTTTCAGGACCTATATCCATTCGGCTGCAAAAATCAGGGGGAATAATGCGTCGCTTTCGGATCCGTTTTTGTGTCTGCACATTCGTTGCCCTAAAGGAAGCTACGACGCAAACATTGAACCAGCCAAGGATGATGTTTTGTTCACTGACTCCCCCGCCCTTATATCGCTGTCAGAGAGTCTTTTCAAGAGTGTATATGGCGAAGTCGACCACGGCGGCAAGTTAGATGCGCCGGCGTCAAAGACCAGCAAGACTTCTCAAAATGACAGTTGTATCAGAGCACCAGCAGAGGCAGAAAGTGCAGAGAGTTATCACAGCCAGGATATACCTGCTGCTTCTCAGACTTCGTTTGTACCTGGAGGTATGCGGCAGTCATCTATCTGTCAGACTCTGGAGAATGAGAAACGAAGCACATCGCGCAATGAGACGCCAATGAGATCCGGGAACATTGATATTAGGAACCCCTGGGCTATCGCAAGGCTGAATACCTCTACTCGTTCTACAGCCAGTGTTCGACCTCATTTTTCCCAATTGTTAACTCCTAGCCGCACCAAAAACACTCCTGAGAGCCTGGAACTCGAGAGCATGAATAACCGCCATTCCGGCAGTCCTCCCCTGCCAAGTCCGTCCAACTCTGATTCTTCTTTGCCGTCTTCCGGGTCACGTCGATCTTCGCTGTTTGTACAGCGTCCTCAACGTAGCCCAGCCTGCGCAGCTTACACGAGATCCGATAGAGACATTGCTAAGGAACGCTATGGGAACGGTGCCCTGGACACGTGGTTCCAGAAAGTTACCCAGTCATCTTTTAAGAATTTGTCTACCGACTCTACGTCCCAGGAAATCCAAGATGAGGTAACCAGAGATCGGGCAGCCGAGCGGTTTGGAAAGAGAACGCATCCGCCGCAGGCCAGTCCGCTGAGAGACTTCACCGACGATGCGGGGAATAAACATACCCAGACTTCCATTGATATTGATGTTCCTCGGATCTCTGGAAGAGAACATTCTCTTGTGGAGGATGTAGAAGATACTGGGCAGTCCGAAGACATCATCCACAGACGTCAGGAGTTCCCTGTACTTGAGCAGTGGTCATCCAGACTACATCAGTCTTCCGCTTCGGAATACACGTCTGAGACGGAGATGGCGTTGGATTTTGAGCGAAGAAAGAGAGCGGCTATCCAGTCCCGACGGCTGCAAACAAAGGCCTTTCTTGGATCAGCGGCTCCCAGAGAGGACGAACCTCCTTCCAGCTCTCCTCACCACAACAGGTATCTTGCTGCGCGTGCTGCCTTAGCAGCTCCAGTCGCAGAATCTCATGCAGAGATGCCACCAAGTACTTCTACGACGGGAACTCCCAACCCTGCTCCATTAAACCCTAACGACCCCAGAGCATACTTTATCCGCCATCGAGACACGGTCGGACAAATAGGGACTTCCAGCACCGGGCCAAAGATTCGACGTGTGCACACTAGCAAACTGCCTCTGGAGAGGATACCTGAAGGTTCGGACCTTCATGATATAGGCTTGAAATTGGCCATAAATGTGAATCATCTGTCTTCTTCATTTGTAGACATATGCCGGGTTGATTCTTATTCTCAGTCTGGGTCGTCCTCTGAAGCATTTTCGGCAACTCCTTCAAAGCAGCTACAGCAGCTCTGGAACGCTCGATTATCTGGTTTAATCAAGAAGAAATATAGGACCGTCAAAACGGACGAGGAACCTCATATACCATTTGAGTTATCGACGATAAAGTCGCAAGGATGTGAAAGCAGAGACTGAATCTCGAGTTTCTCTTATATTCCCTATCTGAAAACCTCTGCTATTCTCAGCTTGAGTCAGATTTTCAAGATTTGCAATTCATCATGTGTGTTCATCATATACAATATACCAACAGTAGCTACTGTTGGAGAGTCACGGTTCTTATACGATATTTTCGTATTGCTATTGTCTTATGTGGATTCTTAGCATCTTTTATACCCAGGGGGCATACCCAGTGTCATACTATATCCATTGAGATCTTCATGTATTAATCCCTTGATACAGAATAGAACGTGACATAGATTACTCTACAGAATCACAATCACGAGAAATAATAGACACGATACAAGAAAAAGAAAACTAAGCCATACAAAAAAAAAGCTCACACCCCCCAGCACTCCTCTAGCAGAGGAGAGCTGAAGGGTGTTACGAAAACCCCACCGTGCTTTTGGCGGGTAGGGTTTTTCTTCGAAAATCCAAGGAGCCCCCTCCAAGGTTCGAACAGGGAGCCTCCAGCTAGATGGAGGTGGACTACCACTGCACCATCTGGACTCCCTGATTGATAAATGACCCTTTGTTGTGGTATATATCCTTGTGTTGATGAATGGGCAAGTGCCGGAAGCGGAGCCTTCCTTCATTGTCACATGTGTTTAGTCAACAACTTGCAGGTGCCCATAGTTATGCATTGAATAGTCAGAATATATCACTAGTAGCTATCCTGATGAATTCTTCTTCGCAATGCCACGAAGTCGGACATATCCCAGCCATTGACTCCCATCCTCCGATCTGGTGACAGCTGTACGGAGCATCTCACAAACTTCCTCCACGGCACTATCTCTCTCAGATTCAGGCAGGACATCCAGCATCTGAGCACCCATCAACTTCACCCATCCTGCCAGTCTACCATTTGCTGTCGTCGTTAACTTGGTGGGACGATACTCGAGCTCTATTTTCTCGACTTCAAACCCGATACTTTCAAGCGCTTGCTTCATCCAGATATCAGAGGGAAAGAACCAAGGATTGGACTCCCGTGCTTTTTCTATACTGACTCCACGATGGACAAGCGCTGAGAGTATCGCGGTCGCGACCTCAGCGACATTTCCATGCCCGCCCATTTCAAAGACGAAAGAGCCGCCCGGTTTCAGAGCAGCATGTATGCCGCGCAGAGTGGATATTCTCGTGTTCTCATCACGTAGGATCCAGTGAAGGGCAGCGTTTGATACCCTTAACATTTCATATTAGCTTACCACATCGTGATAGATATATACTCTGATGGTCAGGGGGTCTATGGTCACATACACCTTATCCCAGGAGCCATCAACGATAGAGCTCTCCCCCTCGAGGAATCGACAATCAACGACCCTGAATTCAGCCTTGGGCCCACCATAATCCCTCTTGGCAGCCTCTATCATCGCAGGAGATGAATCAATTCCAAGCACGAATGCTACCGCAGGCAGGAAGTTGCCCGTGAACTTCCCATCGCCGCAGCCGATGTCGAGTACCCTCTCTGACGGTTTGGGATCGAGGTATTGCAGAACCTTCTGTGTCAACTTGGGGACGAAAGATGCTGATGCTGAGTATGCCTGTTGCTTACATGAGCTAGCGGTTGATAAACGCGGGGAAGGGATATGGGGTTGTAATCCAACGGATGTTAAAGGACGGTTAGCCATACCTCAGAAGACCAGTGGTCCTTGACAGATTTACCATTTGCATTGTTAGACATTGTGATATATATGAAGATGGGAGAATATAGGAAGATGTCGCTTCTCTTGGCATGGGGATAACTATACATCGCGAGAGGGGAACTTTAAGCAACCAGTACGGGTCCGATCTCGGAGATGTCAAATCCTGAGTACGCGACTCGTATTCGAATCCAAGAATCGCCCGGCTGAAAATTATATCCTAAATCGGAGAGTCGTTGACGACAATAGTTTTACTTATGTATCTGATGGGCTCATAAACAAATTAATTCCACGTTCTAAGAGAGTTGGCTTAGACAACGTCGCCGTTAACTACTTGGTGGGGACAGGTCCGCAACTGTCAAGTAAACTCACCAATTAAGAACTGTGTATTTAGAAACGACTTATAAAAACTAGCTTGAATGAGGTCCTATACATCATGTTAAGAAAGCATGATTCAGAGTCATTATGTATAATTTCTAACCTTTAGGGGCTTTCAAAATTCATTCTATCAGCGTACTTTATGATGGAGTGTGTACCGGTGGCGGCCGTGAAACATCCTTGTCATAGACAACCACATAACGTATTGGTTGATCTAGGGAACTTCCTCATATAATTCTGGCCTAATACCGGAGGGAAACATTTCAAGTTTTACTTTCTAAGAAGGAACCAAAATGTCGAGGGGATCTAATAAGCCACGTTATAAGGATACAAGCAAAGGAGTGGCCCTTAAGAGAAAATCAGGCAGGGAAAGGAAAGCCAAGAACAATTACATAAATACTTGTTCATTACTCTGATTACTTGTAAGGTATTAACTCTTACCTCAGTGGACTTCCTAGTTAATAAGCTGCTTTTCTGGTATTCTTAAAATAGCTGTAGCGAGTCACTAGGTAGGTATTTCCCAGTCTTTCCGTAAAGGGAAATGTAGCTCGACCGGGACCTCGGTTATTTGTAAATAACTGCCATTCCACTCCACAAAAAAACGATAAGAAGTAGTTTCTCCTTTCCTAATGTTTACACATCCCTCAGATAGGGAGAATAGGCAATATAAAAAAAAATGCAAAAAAACATACAACAGCAGGGATTCGCTGGTGGTCACCCACCCAACTACTAACCTGCCGGCGTGTGGCTTAAGTACGGCTGAGCGGACGGGAAGCCCTATTTTCCACACCCTATGGTCGTATGTGCTAGATTTGGCTTATTCAAGAAATAAGTAGGAGATTTCCTTAGAAGTGGTCACGACCTCATCTATGTCAATCTCGATCACCTTCAAAAACCACATTGAACTACACGGAGTTGACGACGTTCTGCAGGCTGCTTTTCATAACTTGCTATAGAATAGCTAAATTTACGCTATTGGTAGTCTTTCCCATGCCCCTGCTGTCTAGTAAATTCCAGCTAGCTGAGATGACCGTATGTCAACGTTGGGAACTCATACTGACGCTAAGTATCAGGTGCATTGACCTGATCAAATTCGACGCCGTTATGCCAGGTCCTCCATGAAACGAGGCAAATCTCCCAGCAGACAAGAACGGTCAAGTGACCGTATATAACAAGGCGACCCAAAAGTCCCGCCTCTCTATCCGTCTCGGAATCTCCTGGGAACTGGACCGGTGCTCCGAGTACTCCTCGATCTGGGAATCCGACGCCAACTAATATAAGGGTTTTCTCTCTCTCTCTTTCGTTTAATTAATCTGTCGCTGTCTCATACCAACCCGTAGGCCGAGGGGCTTGCGCAGGAAACCTTCTCTAGTCTCCATGGGGTGGTCCTGCTCGAGTTGGAACTCGTAGCGGTGGAAGACAGTACCCATGGTGGTGAGGAGCTCCATCTCGGCGATGTTACGGCCGACACAGGCACGGGGACCAACACTGAAGGGGATAAATGCAGCCTTCTGGCGGGCAGTCAGGCGCTTAGGGTCCCATCGCTCGGGAACGAAAGCCTCAGCATCAGGGCCCCAGATCTCAGTGGAGTGGTGGACCGTGTACGTGGGAACGGAGAGGACATCGCCAGGCTTGAAGACGTGACCAGCAATGTTGATCGGAGGGAAGTTGGGAGGGATCTCACGAGGAAGACCAAGAGCGGAGGTGCTGTGAATACGCATCGTCTCATTGATGACCCATTGCAAACTGCGATATTATTAGCTATGTTATTCCAATGAGTTAAATGGTGGACGGATGCACATACTAAGGGATTTCCTTGACCTGGGCAAAAGAAGGAACGGTAACGTCAGGGCCGAGAGCCTCATCAAGGGCTGTCTGCAGCTTCTCTATGACCCCAGGGGTTCTCAGGACCCAGTAGAGGATAGCACAAGAAGTATTAGAAGTGGTGTCGGAGCCAGCAATAAGCTGAGTGAGGGCCTCAGCAGTGAGCTCTTCACGACCGAGCTTGGCACCAGTCTCATCACGACCCTCCATTAGACGCGCAAGCAAGTCTACACGGGTGTTCTTCTCCATGACCTCTGGCTTCAAACGCTCACTGACACGGGCGACAGCAATACCGGCAAGATCCTCGACAGCTTCGAGACCCTCACGGAAGAAGCGGTCAGGCAGGTACTTCGCGAAGTTCTTCAGGGCGGGATAGCATCCCAGAGTCGCGGAAACCTCACCACGGCGGTTCAAGACCTCGACGGCGGGGGCGTACTTGACGGGGGCATCGGGATTAGCCCTGACTTCAGCGATATCCTTGCCTTTCTCCAGCATACCAAAGGGAGCACCAAATGCCAGATCACCGATGACATCGAAAGCCAGGTAATTGAACCTGTTGGGGATTGTTGTTAGCAAGGATAGAATGTCTATCTTATAGACAAGACAAGAGACATACCAGTTCAAAGCATCAATGCTTGAGTAGCCAGTACGGGGATTCTTGTCCTTGGTATCAATGCGATCCCATTGCTTGACAAACAGCTCCAGGTTGGCATGGATATACTGTTCGAACTGGCCGATGGACTTGACGCTGAAAGTGTGAGAGACAGTCTTGCGCTTGCGGGTGTGCTCAGCACGATCACGGGTATTGAAGAGACCTCGACGGATAGACACGAAGCTATCGTAGAACTCGCTGCTGGCAATCAATATCCGTATTATTTACAAAGTGGACAGATAGGATGAGCACATACGCCTTCAGAAAACCATTGCCGTGGCCATAGATTTCCTGAACAGCATTGTCATCTGCCACAGAGACATGGTTTGGTTGGATGCGAACGAATTTGCCGTGCTTCTTGTGCAATTCGTGGACAGTCTGGTAGCGACGACCTCGACGGGCCTGATAGAGCAGCCAGAAATTGGAGAATTTAGCGAGAAAGGGACCGGGGATATCGAGGTAATGGGAGCGGGCCAGGTAGGGGACGATGTAGTAGAGCAGTAGCAGGACCACTGGCGTCCACGGCGTCAACAAGAAATCGGTGATCATTTTGGTCGGCTCAATGGCGGTGATGTATGTATGTAATACGTAGTATGGAGTATGTATATATGTATTCTATGAGCAGATTGGCTGGCAGTCTGTCAAGATGATCCGGGGTGAAGGAAAAAATAAAAAGAAAAAAAGAAGATCAACCTTGCATGGCACACCAGGTATTCTCAACACCGCACAATAGAAAATTCGATCCAGATAATGAACCAAGAAGCCCATCCAGTACCACCAGAGCGCGTATTTATGTTTCCTTCACAGAGGACGCTTTTGGTGGACGACATATCCCGGTGTGTCTTCCCAGGCCGTGACCCCCGAGGCAAAGACAACAACGGAGCGAGACATCGGGAATCCGTCTTAGCCTGCCTGGGGTCTCCGCACCGCCGTTGAGAACGTGGAGGACTGCGGGGACCAACCGCACGACTCTATCGAGAATCTTTCTTTGCCGACTTTGACACCGACTCGGCTCTCCCCGCAGATGTTTGGAGTGTTGATCGCTTGGCCGCTGGCGATCCATTGATGGCAAAAGGCGGGAGACAGCTGGACGCCCCGAACGCTACCTGAGGCAGAGTAAGACGGAAATGCACACTCGTTGATAGGATAATAAGATATACGTTAACTATCCAGTTCTCGTTCTACAGGTCAACTGCTCTATCACAGTCATCACCTCGCGGTGGTGCTGATTTGCGCCTGCACGAGGCAGTGTACAAATGCGGCTTATACCCCGGTTACATAATGTGCGATAACAAAGGGTAAGACGCAGGATTATGCAGGATGGTACGAAAAAAGACTGTCAATTGGGTATCTATAAGACGTAAATGCGAGTACGGTACTTTCAAATTGCGCTGTCCTTGCCAAATGTCACCAATCCTGGCCCTCGGCGCGGAAGAGTCCGGTCTTCCTCTTCTCAACCTCCCATCGCTCAAACCACGCCTTCATCTTCTCGCGCGTCTTACGGTTGCCCACGTTGACAGTAGGGATGATGCGAGCGATCCGCAGAGAGCAGCAGAACATGGTCAGTTCGCGGAATGAGCTGTGCTCGCTATACGGCACCCCAAAACATGAACTCTCCTTCGTGCTGCCACGCTGAGGCACAAGGTTGCGGACTGAGAATCGAGTCTTCCAGTTATCTGAATGCAGCACAGCCGACACAGGTGGGTTATCCAGCATCCTCCCCGCCGGTGGGCGGTAGTTCCACCCGGTCGGACGAAACCCAACAACTTTGGAAAAATGCGGCTTCATTGAAGCAAGATACTCTTGAAGCGTCTCGGCCCGGATCTCGAAGATTGTTTGCATGTGAACCTGAGCTTCGAGCGGATCATCCGTCAACAGAGCAGACAGTTCTGGGTCTTCAAGGCAAGAACAGACGCGCTGCTTCGCAGGGTTGGCCCAGATCTTACATTTCAGGGCACGGGCGATAGCAACGCAAAGCCTCTCCTTGCCAATGCTATACGTCCCAACAACAACAAGCAACCGCCCGCGACCGGCGGAGGAGCTCTGAGTTGCATCTCCACTAGTATTCGCATTGGAGAGAAACTTAGTCAACCCCCCAGCAGCATGACCATTGTTACTTTTCGCGAACATTGCTGCATCACCATCGTTTTGATCCAAGCTCACGCAAATCTCGGCGCAGGCCTTGACAACGTCATCCTGGGGCGGGAAAGAATACTTTGGATTCAAATAAGTCGTGTCGAGGTAGCAGACATCGATCCTCTGCTGCCTGGTCTTGCCAGTCACCACGTCGATCGCTTCAGGACGCAACATTGGATGTTGCACATGAGCTGGACAAGCTCGGAAGTCACCGCAGTGAAGAACACGATGTAGTCGGGAAGACGATCCACTGCCAAAGGTTTTCTCAAACAGGAACAGGGAGCTTCCAGGACAGTGGTTAGCTGGGATCATGGTGACTCTTACACCGTCAGTCCCAGGAACTTCTGTTGTCGTTTCAAACTCGAGGTCCACAACCCATTTCGGATCGACTTTCAGCTGCTGGCGTACGAGGTTCGCTGTGACTCTGCTGCAGTAGATAGGACCATGGCGCCATGACGAAGTCAGCCCGACGTAGTGATCACTGTGGAAGTGACTTAGAAAGTAGGCATTGCAACCTTGAACCGCCCCGTAGCGGAATGCATCGACACATATAGAGTAACCAGTGATAATCTTGTAGAAAGGACACGTCCGTTCATAAGCTTGTTTGCCACGAGATGCAGCCTCATGAGCCGCTGCCGCTGCCCACGCACTATCCTCGGCATTTCCGGCCATCAACTTCGAGAACGCAGAGGTAGCAGCACTTGCGTGGATTGCATGCGGGTCTGATTGTGCTGGTCGGGCGATAGAAGCGCGTTCAGCTCTGGACATTGATGCTGTCGTTGTAACGGTTTTCTTGGCTGTCGGCACTAGGCTGGGGTTTCCATCCAAACAGTTGTTGACGTGCACAGATACTTCCTATACAAGTGTTAGCGGCTGGCGTCCATACTCAGAGCAACAGAATAAGCATACGCTATGAGATAGACCACCAAGGCTCGCCTGGCAGATTGGACATGACGGTATTTCGTTATTCGTATCTTCGTTCGTCTCCCCGGCGCCAGAGGTTTCGGGGGTTTCATATCCCCGGAGTTCAAGATCCTTCTGCTCCTCCGTCCATTGCCCCTCTAGGAAGTCTTCGCCCCGAAATTCATCTTCTTCTAGATCGTCAAAATCGGCAAACTCATCATCTTCGATATGGCTCGTGGCTTCTCTTACCAATGGAGGGCGCTCGGCAGCTAGGGGCGGCGTATCGGATGATTCATCCTTTGGCGATATGTCTCCGGCAGCGGCACCAAAAACGAGTTCACCGTCGGACTTCGGCTTCGATGTCGACTCATCGGGGACATCGACAACCTCCCTGAAAGCTTCGAGATCGTCCTCGCTATCCGACTCATCGATGAACGGTCCATTATTCTTCTTTGCCTTTATTGAAACAGGAGTTATATCTTTTGCAGTAACATCCTCTTTTGATTCCTCCTCCAACGAGGATGCCTCTTGTATCCTCCGTCTTTTAACCGCAGCATGATTTTCATTAAACCTCTCATCTTCCCGCTCCTCCCAGAGATCATCATCAGGCGTCCTTGATCTTCCTCTCGTAATTTCAGCCCCATCGTTATCCTTATTCTCCTCAGTACGAGTAACTCTCCCCCTCTTATCGTCAAAGAACAAGCCCCCCGCATCCTTGCCACCGGCACTATTCTGTCTCCAAACCCCAAGATTATCGCCAGCACCGGTCCCGGAACGAGTTCCGCTCTTCAGACTCTTTCCGTTCCTTGGTATTTTCGACCCAAACTGCGTAATCCGTTGTTGAGTCGAAGTCGCCTTGGGCGGTCCATCCGTCTTCTGGAAGAAACTGAGAATACTCGTATTCTTCTTCGTGGACGTCTTTTTGGCGCTGAATGGCGTCTTCGAGGGCGTAGATCCCGCCTTAGAGAAGGCAGATGTACTCATATCGGGACGTAACAGTTATGGGGTCTTCACTACCGATAGAAGGAATTTCTGTCACGGTCCTGAACGAGAATCGGATGGAGGCGGGGTGGAAGGATGGCCGGTAGAGAGTTTGGTGTTTTGAGAAGCTGCGAGACTAGGGTTCTCCCGTGGATTATGAAACATTGCAGGGCATGATTGATCAATAAATATCCAAAATTTATATAGAAACAAAACTTCGTGGTTTATGTTCCGGAGACGCGACTCCGCGAGAAGCTCGCGACAATCCAGTCACACTATCACGTGACTTCCCGATCCGGGCATATGCGAAGAGGGTAGTCCACGTTCGATAACTACCTACTACTATGTCTTGCCGGCACATTCAAAGCAGAGCCCAAGCAAACCTTGACGGGAATAAATGATAAAATGATAAATGTCATAATTAAAATGCATCTACTTCTTGCCTTTTCAGTGTTGCTACCCATAACCCAGAATCTCAGAGTATGAGTACGTCCTGGAACCGGGTCAACATAACCTAGGTACCTACCTATCTATACCATACTTCGATGCGTCGGACTGAACGTGTAACTCCTTAGTCCAGTCGATGAAATGCGTTGCAGTTCAGGAGCCTTAGTCCTCAATATCTAATCGGAGCTCTTCAGATTGAAAGATCAACGTTGAACCGCATATATGAAATGCACAAAAGATACCAAATCAGCATAATGATGGCTGCTTCTTCGCCTTTATTCTTGCTACATACATGTCTTTCCAGAGGCACTAGACCAGCTAGTGCCCGAATTACCCTTTCCCAAAAACGCCAGCGTCAATGGTTTTGAAGGATGAATCGAAGCGCCGACTGCACCAAGCGAGGCTCATCAACAATATCGTAAAATTCCTTGTCATTGTGGGTTGCTGCCCAAGCAGCACCGGGGCGCCATCCATCTATTGCCTGGTTTGTATCGTTATAACGGAAAAAACGCACTCTCTTCCCAACAGCAAGAATTCCGTATACCGGGGTACGCTGGGCCACCGGCCTATTCCCGTGTTGGTTTATCAAATAGGCTTGGAGTTGCTCGCTTCCATCTCTCTAGAGCGCGCTTTCGCCTTCTCCTTTAGCTGCCTTGCATTGCGTAATTAAAAAATAGATACGCCTGTTTTGCTGGAGCTCGAAGGTATGGAAGTCTGTAAACCACCGCTTGCCGCCATACTTCTTTTGCATATCTTGGGGCCGGGTTATATATACCCTTTCATCGGGTCAGAAGCCCAGTTAAGCTAAGTATGATTCCACATTGTATTGACATCCACTTCGGAGCTTTTTGAGTGCAATGCATGAATCTCTGCCGCAATCACGGGGAAGTCTATATACTAGAAACAGTAAGTACAACGAAAACTTGCCACGTATAGATACACTTACCGTAATTCCGACTACCGCGGGTCTCAAGGCAGCCATAGTTATGCCAAACTACCTAGGAATGAGCAGTTCGAGTAGATCGTTTTAGGATTTTAGAGAGGCACTCTTCTAACGAAGAATAAATGTTCTGGTGGTTTATAAACCCGGTATACGGAGCAGAGTAAATGATTATTTTTATATAAAGGTAGAAAAGTTATTGTCCTATCTCAATTGTCGTCCCGGTTGATTCACCAAGATTATGGGTAGATATATCCAAATAACTGCTTCGTTTAGTCAATATCATTATTGATGCATTCTCCAGCTGTCAAGTGATATATAACATTATCCTCCAGGGGAATGTTATTATAGGAAAAGCCTGGAGGATGATATGAGGGAAGATGAAGCTGAGTTCTTAATTCAAGGAGGGCTAGTTAATATATGCTTAGATATAGCCTGCTGCATACACCAGGAGCGCAGATTACCCCTCATACCACTTGTTATATCACTTGCACCTCCGTGCAGTGATAAGTGCTCTTCGGAATCTAGCCTGGCCTGGTGAAGGAATACCATTTGACTATGGATGTTTCCGACAATTACCGATTCCAGGATAAATAAAACAGCCAGTGTCCAAGTGACTGGCCATGCATTATTTTGGATAATGAATAGTAAATCCTTCAATACGAAACGAGAATACCCGGCTCTTATGCAGGTTGCTAAGGGCTGGACAGTGAAGCAGCGTGTGATCGAGCTGCCGGGTGCTAACCAGTGGTCTACATGGCTATTAACTCGCTATTTGCGCAAGCTATCCAATTTATACTCTTCTCCCGGTAATTTTCATATTGAGACAGGGATATAGAAATGTTAATCCCGAAAATTTGTATCTGGTGAATCCGCCACGAAGAGATATTAGCATGCTACTCGCAAGCGGCTATCTAGTCATTGCTTCAAAGACTGAGATAATCCCGGTGTAAGTATTCTGATCATATCCTTCACTATTTTTATCTTATCACTGATTTATTTGGGCCCGGTTAATGCGCTACCATAAGCATCGCTTGGCTGAGGATTTCGCGGTGTAGCTCCTGGAACGCGAGTCGGAGATCACATACGACAGACACCCTTAACACCAAGTGCGCGAACTGGAAGAGTTATTTTACTGCTCAAGATATGAGCCAGCACGGTTCTGGAGTATAATTAGCTCGAAGTTCCTGTAAAATTGGCGAGGCTCGATAAATATAGTAACTATGTCTTTTAAATGGTCAAGAAGCAAAAGAAGAAACATCATAAATATTCTATCGCATTGAAGAAGTATAACAAGATACCTACAGATAACGTCTATTCTCAATACTCGTAAAATCAGTCTTTTTCACACTCTCAATGGCACTAAATGATCGCATCAATCCGGTCACGATATCACGTGCTTTCCTGATCGGACATACTGATATGAGGAAAGAAGGCTGATCGATCAGATCGACCATATTGGCTGTTTAAGCCAAGTAATTTCTCGCGTTATCTCAATGCATACTCCCTGTTGTGTGCTCCAAGATAATAACGCAGGCGATGATTTATCTGTGCTTCAGTATGACCCGATGTCCAAAGCACCCAGCAGTCATATCCAAGAGCACAGCCCACCAACACCACGTAAGACAACCCTCTATTGTCCCAATATCACTTGGGATAAAGTCGTCATGAGGACAGTGATATGTCCCTGAGGAGCCTTCTCCAACACACCCATGAATTGTAGACGACGGTGTCGTTAGAACATTTCATCCATTCGTTATAAAATAACAGTATCGACAAACAGCGCCTTCATTCCCGTCCAAAGCATGTCATCACCGAGCCTTGCTCGCCTGGTTTGCGGCTTCTGTAGTCACGGAAAAGGCAGTTAGCACTGTGGAACGAATTTCCTTTTCACCAAACGGAAACAAGCCGATGTAATCAAGCCACATAGGCCCAGAGAGCTTCAACTCCGAACAATAATGAAGGAGAATGAAAGCGCCAGCTCGAACTCACCTCTTCTCGTCGCATCCTCCAACAACCCACGGTCGACCTCCGCCTGCGGCAACACCACATATCGCACCACACTACCACGAATGAACATATTCTTTACGGAGCTGAGATGCGGGTACTTGTCGAGATCGAGAACATCGACGTCATCGAGCTTGATGTTCAGGTATTGGTCCACGGACTTCAGCGTGCCGCGGATTCGGATGTCATTCTTGAGCTCGACGGTGACGGTGTGGTTGGTGAGGGTCTTGAAGAAGCTGCGATATAAACACTGTTAGCCAAAAGGAGAACAAACTCGAGGGACGCAGGATGTAGAGCCACAATCCAATTGAAGTCTGACTGTTGAAAGGCCTACCTGAAGAACAGCATGGTTGCGGGGAATCAGCGAAAGGGTGGAGAGCAGCAAAAACGAGGTTTTGGGACTAGCGCGTCACCCATAAAATGATATAGATCAATCAGATGCCGTACTGCGCACCGGTCCAGTAGAGAAGGACGAAAGGCGCAGCTTTTCTTAGACTTAATTGCGAGTCTGCGTAACTAACTTGGATGTCGGGATGCGGTTTAGCTAGGTAAGCGGGACCTGCGATGAGCTGCCTCACGTGACCTGTATACAGTTCAGAGAATGGGAAGAGCTTCACTGGCGTGTAGCACCAGACAGAATAGTTTTTTTTTTTTTTTTTTTTTTTTTTTCTTTTACTACGCTGTCTGTGTTTCCCGTATCATAAACCCCAAATGAACCAGAAAAATTTGAAATGATTGAGATTGTATTTCTCTGAGATATATATATAGGCTCTCCTCGAAGACGCAGGATGCTCCAAGCCTAACTAATCCCCCGTTTTATCAAAACTGCAAAGCATGCTATCGTGTCACTGCGACCTCTGCCTCTCGTAGGCGCTTAGGCTTCATAGCCCATCCACAAAGGCAAGTCCATCCAGCGCCGTTCTTCCGACCCTCATCGAACACACTGCCTATACCTTCAAGGGCTCCTTCCCGTCCTCGTCCCATCTCCATCTGAAGCTTGAGCAACCATTTCTCCCACATCCATCCGCCCAGGAGGCCGGTCATGCTTGCGATATCAGCGGTACTACCCACTGGGCCCTGAACAGCCTCTTGTTCGAGCACTTGACTGGGTATACGGGGTTCAGGTGTTTCGCGAGGAGGTTCTGGCTTCGTCGGCTCCACGCCCATAGGCAAGAACATCCAGGCACGTTTGATATCGGTGAAAGCGCCCCTCCGCAACCGGGTCAGAAAACTCTTCGTAGCTTTCGGGTCGTATCCTCTTGTCTTCAGATTGAACGAGAATTCAATAGAGGTAGCAGAGGCGTAGGGGCCCGCTCGAGCGATCTCGGCATCCATGACGAAAAACTCAAGGTACCCTCCAGGTTTCAGGCAGCGATAGCACTCCTTTAGGCAAAGATCATATTCATCCATTGTCTCGCCCATTGGGCTCTCTGTCCTCAATAAAGCATGCAAAGAACGAGCTGAAATGATATCGAATTGGTTATCGCGGAAAGGGAGTTTCCATAAATAGGGTACGGATACTGTGCGATGGTTTGCTGGGCCCTTAATGCCATTGTTGACAGCTTGCTGTTTGGTGACGACAGTGTAGATCTTGACGTTGCGATAGTCGTTGGCTAGATGCCATGCCCATTCACAATCGGACTGTCCACCAAGATCCAAAACTCTAATCCGACGTTTCCCAGCGCTTTCAGGGCTGCCAAGATTTGCAGTGGCCTTCGAGAGGCGTTTTGATGCGGGACTCGAAATCAAACTACCTCCGTTCAAATAGCGCAGAGCATCCATTGCCCACATCGATTGACAGAGTTGGAAAAGAATCGTCTGCTCCTTTTCGATCCTGGCGAACTGGGCCTTCTCGGCCAGAACAGTCTCCAGCACCGAGTTTCGTGGAGCCTGAGAGAAGGGTCCCTTGTATGGAGGACGCTCATGGGCAATGAGTTCGTATTTTCCCATCAACCCATCAATATGGCGATCCGGAAGGCCAAGACGTACAGACTGGACAGCATCGAAGCGGGCGTTGCCGTGAATGAAAGCATCCAAGTGACGGGTTCGGCTTAGCACTGACTTGAATCCTTTCCAATATATGGAATCCTTGTTAGCAGAACTCGGTGGCGGTGGAATGGTAGTATCAGCTGCAGCCTCGGCGAACCGCACCGACTTTTTAGGAGCAGCATCAGGTGAAGAGAGTGCGTCGTTGTCAGTATGAACTTTGGCTGCCTCCTCGTTTACCTCATTAACTGGATTTGTGTCACGGAGCGCAGCAAGATAAGAAGTCTGGGCTGCAAGCCAGACACTGGTGCGATCAAGGTTTGCTAGTGCTCGCTTCTTGAGTTCCTCCTCGTATGATTCATCGTATTCATAGGTTCTGTCAGACTTCAGGATTTCCTGTACGCTTTGGATCCCCGGACTGAGTGGACCATCATATGAGTCCGATCTCTCTGGTGTAGCATCTGAAGGGATTCTTATTGCTGTCGGTGGATTGTAGGCCGACTGCCTTGCCGTGGGCTGATCGTCGGCGGACACACGCTCTCCACACTCTATTATCTGTTCAACAATCTCTCCACCCCCCTCGTTCCTTTGGTCAATGTAGAAATACTCCGCCATATCTGATGTAGGCGTATTATTCCATTTGGGAAAAGACCATGTATGTCTAGCCCTCGGGCCAAGAGAGGAGAAGAAGCCACCCGGCGATGGGATGCTGAGGTTTGTGAAACTATAACCGGACAAATTTGACGCTGGGGTAGTATCATCTGCGCTTCTAGGCCGGCTAGAAGGACCAGACAACTGCCACATCTCGTCATTGTTCTCTGAAGTTTCTGACCACGGATCCGGTGTGATATCGAGTGGAATGTGACGCAGTGTCGCCATTGCACCTTCGGGGAGAGCAACACCGCTTTCAGATGGTGATTCTGTCCTAGCGATTGGTCCATCAATTATGATGTTGACAGATTCCGAGACCGTATTCCCAACAGCTCTTGGGATATGCGGAAAGCTTGCTATAACACGCTCCCAGTCCTCCTGACGACCTTCGATAGCGATATTGACATCTGGATTGGACACATTCGTGGGTGCCGTATTCTGAGCCATGTCTGGGTCTGAATCGACTCGAACATGCTGACTGTTCCACTGAGACTCAGGAGCAGCATGTATTTCAGGCGTTACAGGTGTGCTGTTATTCGAAATCTGATCAGACGAGACACTACTGCCGTCGAGAGATGGTGGCGCATGCAGTGCAGGCACAGATTGCGGCAACATTGACAGGACAGCCGGGGAAACCGGGATTTTCGTTGGTGGCGTCGGAGGCACAGAAGATTTCTTATGTCTACTCTCCATGGCAGACCCCATGATGACAGGAGGAATGGAGAGTCTTGGGTACCGGTTTCTACTGCCTACGGCACTGACAGGACCCCTGACCAAAGATACCGCATGCTTGGCCGGGCGACTCTTGTGCCGGGAGGGACAGCCATCTCCATATTCCGTCTCGCTGTCTGTTGCATCATAGAGGTCATCGAAGTGTCGAACCTGGCGCTTCCGCTCGTGATTCGAATTCGAAGATCCCGTAGACACAGGGACTGCGCAAAAGTACAAATTAGCGTTCTTGAAGATGAAACCGGCCAGCATTTATAAAAATATCAGAATACTAGTCATTTGTCACGGCATCCACCGAGGTCGCACGTACCTTGAGTAGCGGATGGCGTCACTTGCATGTCTTCAATTATTGTATTAAGCACCATCTCTCGGGCCTGCCGAGTGGAAGGTGAGACTGTCATGACGGTATTGTATGAATCAACCATGTCGTCTCGACCAGCGGACAACGGTCTCAAATGGAAAATGTATGCAAGGTATAATCGTTTCAAACAATAGGGGTATCGCAGATATGTATGGAATATCCGATCAACGGATTCTAAATGTATCAAACAAATTGAAACCAAACAACAAAACGAATGAGCTGACCCCGTCCGTCGCCCGGGAGAGGAAACGAAAATCAGGAAGATGGAAACTAACAAAGCACGAGTAGAGAACTGGAGCCATTTCGATGACAATTATATTAAAAGCAACCAAGGCTGTTGAGATGATAATGGACAAGCCTTCTCCACGCCAAGACGAGGGCGAGAGACAAGATTCTCCATGACTGGGAAAAATAGAAACATCATTGGCATGATGGCCAACGGGCGCGTCGCCGTGGTTGCCACATTTCCCACGCTTCTGCTCTCCGTGAGGAAACATTGGCGGACAGCAGGGAATAGTAAAGGCCAATAGACAACAAGAGAAGCGTTGGTGCTATTCGAGGGTCTGTGATAACCGTCATGATTGGCGATCTGCAAGCGCCGGGTTCTATCTTTAGACAAAGGCCGCATCGATCAACATCTTTGAACCTCTCAAGAGTCAACGGAGAGATGACAGAAATCCCCCAGAGCTGCCGGCGCTTCGAGGTGAGCAAATCACCGTGAATGTTATTCGGATGCCTGTGACCGCTTATCGACGACAAGCTGGACTTCCTGCGCGGAGGGATCCTGATCTGGACCAACTGAGGAGGGGTAAAGATCACAGCAAGATTAGACTCTCAAGTACGGCGACAAGGTACTTAGACACTATGCCACGTGATCATATATCAACGTGCATCGTCAAGAAAGGATACAAAGGGTATAGAACAAACAACATAAGCCACCTATCTCCACCAGACATAGATCAAAGCAGACAGGCCGCATTGGGGAAATGCGTTGATACAGTGGCAGACGCAGTGTTTTAAGGCAACAGTCAAGCGCACACGAGTCCTAGGGCATAAATAGTCGATATGATTCGGTATCCTCTACATAGTAGTCTAGCAATCCAGATCAGTCTCTAAACAAAATGTTTAGCTTTCATTTTTTTTTTTTACTTGATCCTAGGCCCCGAGACAAAAGAATTGGCAACAAACAATGTCTATATATCCAATAACTCCGTAGACTCTGGCCTTCAAGCGAAAAGGTAGATAATCCTAAGAAAAGGAAATAGAGATATCATCCGTTATGCTGCCCCACAATTCCATTTTCCTGCTTTATCGCTTTGTCGAACCGCTCCTTGATGGCAGCAATCAATTTCAACGTTCGACCGCGGTTGTTCAATCCACTGTTGCAGTACCAGTCTTCATCTAACAGCAGTTCCTCCAATCCAAGGCAGAAGTTGGCCCAGTCAACTATATGCTCTGCCTTAATAAGATCACCTACTTCAAACACGAGTTCAGGATTGCACCGTGACTGCCAGTATGCATTGGGTAATTTCCACTCGAAGGCATCCAGGATATTGCGCGTATCTTCAATTCTCTCCCGAGAATGAGGCTGAGATTTATAGATTATATCAATGATAACGACTGCAATATCCAGGGGGAGATCGGCGGCTTTTCCGAGACGGCGCGGTTTCCGAATATCAGGCTTCATGACAGTGTCATGACTTTGAGTAACCCGCTCGATCAGTTTTTGTATGTCGAGGATCCTAAGTGGGTTCGCTGGCCAGTGTGTTGTGCCCGGTTCTTCATCTCCATGTCTTCCTCTGATCTTCATAGGTTTCGTAGGATCAGATTGTCGCTTAAGCCAATGTACACCTTTTTCGTAGCAGTCATCAATGTCAGGATCACGACTACCCGGAAAGTGAAGTATCCAGACTGCCCACTCTTTCCTATTCGCCTTCCAGAATTCCTCAATAACTTGAACAAAAAGCCTCAGATTCTGCTTGACGATGGCATGTCCGATAAACCGGTCGAGAAGCAACCAACAGTGCACATGTATGGGATAGCCAATGCGCTCTCCTGCTTGCCTGTTCCAATCTGGCTCGAGCAGATTAGCCATATGGAAATCTGCATTCCATCGATTTTCTCTGAGAGCCCCGCCCCAAATCTGGGCCCTGTCGGGATCAATTGGTGTTGGGTAGGCGTACTCCCCGAAATAGCCCCTAGATATTCCGGAAATGCGCAGTTGGTTCTTTTTCGGGTCATCGAGAACTAAGATACAGCAATATACAGTTTAGCTATACAGCAGCTCCTTGCTTTGTCAATTGCCCAGATATAATGATGGCTAACCAACGAAAGGGACAGGTCTTAACTTGTTCGGTAAAAACATAACCACTGGGGAGGATTCTTTCTGAACTCTACATTTTCGAAATCGATCGCTGGCACGATGAGGCTTTTACTTTCTAAGTATCGCCGCCTTTTGCGTCGCCGTACTTTCTCAGCCATCGCTTTCCAGTCCTCACGTTCGTGCGTCACGTCGGGATCCTCCGTGCTCATCGGAACGACGAGTCCACATAATACACAACAAAGCTCCGGGTCATACGGTGAGGGAAGTCTCCGGCGAAGTCTGTTGATAGGCATTTTGTCACTCGTATTGGCTGTAGAATAGTGGAATAAGCTGACAGGATCACAGCTGAAGGCTTTCTTCAAGAGAAGTTCCAAATCGGTGCCTGGTCAATGATGTCATGTTGACCTGGTGATAATGAGGAATGCATTAGGCATCAGACGGAACAGCATGACATGACTCTCCGATGTAATATGTCTTCAAGGTCTTGTTAGCTTTGTTCACGATAACTCTCAATGGTTCCTCTCTTCCTGATGACATCAGCCTCGGTAACAGGTTCGTGATAGGCATCCTGGAGAACCCCCACTGGAACGTGTAGAAGATGTCTTGGTTCTATCGGGACGGGCCGATGTGGAGGTGAGGTTGCGATGGTATACCATGGCATATAAAGTATTTTCCCTATGAACAAGGGAGCGTCTTCGCTATCTCTCATGATAGGGGACAGGTCTAGATCATTGTACCTGGGGTCTTAGGGAACCGGATTCCCCAACAAGGGTACGTTGGATCAATATATCCGCTCAGACTGCAGGGTAGCCAGTGAATTCGTCTAATCAGTGTGTTAAAGGGAAAAAAAAGAAAAAGAAAAAAGTGTCCATCTCTCTAGAGCTTGTTCTGTGTTTAGACTCTGGCAGGCTAGCATTGCATGATCGAGAAGTAGTCGCCGTTTCTCGCAGCGAGTCAAAGGCGTGGAAGTCTGTAACCCCCCGCTTACTACCTGCTATAAATTGCCTGAGGACGAGTTATGTACCCGTTCACTGGGCCAAGACCTGTTCCAAATGAAGTCCTATAACCCATCCATCTATGTGACATTCGAAAGTTTTCGTATAAATGGGAGATATATCTTGCTAGCGAAAGGGCACTATATAACATATACTAGAGTTTGTAAGAATGAGAATCATAGGAGGCCACCAGATATAACTAGAAATATACCATAGTCCCTGCCGAAGCAGGATCAGGAGCGATGTGGCCACGGATGCTCGTTGTAGAGGAATGCTGTTGGTAGAGGAGACTGCATAGACTCTTAGTAGATCCCTAGATGATTCAGGGCACTCTCAGGCCTTGATGGTGGTGGTCGTTGCAAAGGAGAAAGATGGCGGAGAAAGAGGTCAGCCTTATAAGAAGAAGATGGAGAGGGTAAGTTGGTGAATATAGAGGCGAGCTCTCTAGATAGCGGTATCTGCCTAATATTATGAACTAGGTTGAATGAATATACAGTGTGTGAATATGACTGCTGTGATCAGTAGCACATCAATAACATTGCATCAGATTACCCTGCGATGCCATGCTTCTACCTCATAATCCCATCAGTACTGAAAGGCTTTTGCTAATAGTCAGCATTTCTCTTTATAATTTTACAAGCGCTTGCATGTTTATGTATAGCATATTAACTTATATGATCATTTATGAAGCATAATTAAAACTATGTTTACTGCAGCTTTATGGGACAACATAAATTCTGGTATATTCTGAACATTGTTTATCAGAATCTATCATTGTGGATATTTCTGTAGATTCTATTCTACCATTGTATGTCTAATTACTGATATCGCCTGCACAATGGTCTTTTGAGAATTATTACTATAATGCCTTACCGGAAGGAAGATAATGTATAAAGTACAGATTCCGTTGGGACGAAGGATTACAGGTAGAAAAACTGCAGGACCACGAAACACGAGATAAGTTCATAGCCACCCAGTCGCATAAACTTTATTCGAGACTTGAGATCTAGTTAACTTTGCTCTTTGCAGCTGGATGGCGGAGAGCAACTTTAAACAATAATTAAACTCTGCCTGACTACGGGAGCGACAGCACTTCGGCCCGCTATCGATCCACCTGTCAACCCAAATAACATTTTGAACTCCAGGATAGATCCCCGATGATATATGATCCATGTGAGTTCTGGTCTTATATCTATTTCAAGGTCTTTCCTACTGCCGGAAAGCTGGTGGGCCATCACTAGGTCTTGGTCAGACTAGAGCAGATAGACCAAGACCAGCCTTAGTCCCGCACCCGAGCATCTGTTGCAGATTTCCGCATCCCACGCCTACCGCCAACCGCGGTGGATGTGGAAGACGCGCAAGGCTTTTTAGAAGTGTGGGTTTCCCATATCATTGCTGTTCATGTTTGAAAGATATCTTCACAGGCTCTCTAAGAAGCCAGACAACCCATCAAAGCTCCCAAGGAAGACCCACAACAACGTGGCCGTGAAGGAATCATTAATAATTGCTCATACGAACCATTATTAAATTTCCTCTGTCCTGCAAATGGGCTTTCAGTTGTTAAGTAACTAGTTTCCGGTTGCCCCCATAGACTAAACGGGCGCCATGCAGTTCTGCAATAGTCCAAGTGAGTTAGTCTCCTACTATCGTAGCCACTGCGCGGTTGACAACACTCTTATTAGTTCCGCTTGCATTACGCTAAGGCTCACTAGAGTAGTTACTGTCGGGGATGATAGTGGATATTTCCGACTGGGCGCACCGTTCGCTCCCCGAGTCCTGGCAATGCACAACCGATTGCCAGGGATAGGAGGTCGATTGTGCTCAGCGATTCGTCTCTCACGCCAGCGTTGACCCGACAAGTCACCCGAAGAACAGGGTATATATTGCAAACCCTGTGCCCCAGGCGCGCGAGGGCCTTATTAGCTGCATTTCATGCTCATCAAACAGTTGGGATTCTTTGTTTTAGACGTGCGGCGCAGTGTCCACCGCAGAAAGGGATCGATCTGAAGCGCAATACCAAGATCCCAAGGATCTGAAACGATCATGGCAGAAACTACCCCCGCTCAGCACGTGGTTCCGCATGAGGGGATCATTCAGGTACGAAATCGCATTGGCTCGTGGCAGGGTTCTTGACAGTGCCCTGACATAGGAAAGCCGGACTAATGTATAGCAGGTGGAAGACGATAGCAGCAGTGATTACTATAGTGACGGGGCCTCGGACTTGACATCCTTGTCATCCAGTGTGCAGAACTATGTCTATGAGAATGGCAGGAGATACCATTCTTACCGAGAGGTAAGTATCCGATACAGCATGTCCTACATTGGGATATCGGTTCTGACCGTTACTAGGGGAAATATGTGTGAGCCTGCATTGTTTTCAGCCACATTTGGCTATTATGACCCACTGACATGCAAAAAGTCTCCCCAACGATGAAAAGGAGATGGAAAGGTTGGATTTTGTATGTGGATCTAGACTCTGACCCCGGCGCTCAATTGACTTGGATGACGGCTTACATGATACATTTTCAGGTGCACCATCTGTCAGTCTCCTCAGCCAACGCAAAGCGCCTCCAAACATGACACTGATATGGGTTACGAAATTTCCAGATTTACGCTCACACTACATGGAGACCTCTATAAATCACCGGTGAAGAATCCTCAGTCCGTGCTGGACCTTGGTACTGGGACCGGTATTTGGGCGATCGATATGGCAGAGTACGACACCTTCTGGGTCAGAGTAGACTGAAATGCTTACGTTCTGAAAAACAGCGTCCACCAATCCGCATCAGTGGTTGGAAATGATCTCAGCCCCATACAACCCAAATTCGTTCCTCCGAACTGCGAATTCATCGTGGAAGATTTTGAAGAAGACTGGAGCTACCCTGACAACCATTTCGACTTCATCCACGGCCGCACACTATCTGGGTATGTACATAGTTTCATCTTTTGGTGACGTCCATGTGCTGATAGCCATTGTGTATAGTTCAGTTAAGGATTGGAAAGAACTCTTGGCGACAGCTTACAGGTATGTGCCATCTCTTGCCAGGGAAAAACCATGTATCTTAACTGTCGCTATTACAGACACACGAAACCTGGCGGTTGGGTTGAGTTTCACGAAGGTACGGAATTCCTTATATCTCGCATACAGAACAGTCCGCTTACTTATCCTAGGGACCATCGGGGCAGAGAGCGACGACGGAAGCCTGAAGGAAGACTCACGTATATTGAGCTAGTATGTTTTCTCTCGGCCGAAGCTTCGATACAATGGTTCAGCGCTTACCCCTGTCACAGTCTCAAACTTATCAGAGAACAGAGCGAGAAGGCGGGCAGGTCTATGGATATCGTCGACAACCTTGGGCCTTGGATGAAAAGTCTGGGGTTCGAAAACGTCAAAGTTGAGATCTACAAGGTCAGCTCCGTATTCCACTTTGCTTTAAATCCCGTAACCAGACTCAGTTCCTGTTCCTAACTCGCTGGATATAGGTGCCGTGGGGCCCCTGGCCGAAAGACGCACGTCTCAAGGAGATCGGAAAATTCCAGCTGTGCAACATGATGGAGGCCGTCAGCGCATATGGTCTGGCGCTGTTGACGCGAGGTGCGGGCTATACGCAAGAGGAAGCTGAGATCTTCCTGGCTTTGGTGAGGCGAGAAATTACCAACAAGTCTCTACATTGCTACAATAAGATGTGAGTCCAAGCAGAACCTCTCATCTAGTACTTTGCATGAGTTGCGGGATTTTTCCTGGACTTTTGAAACAAATCGAGAAATGGAATATTAAGCTGACACGTCATGTTCAACAGTTACTGTGTCTACGGGCAGAAGCCTGCCTCAAGTGATTAAGAAGCGAGGTCGGTCTCCGTAAATTATGACGTTTAAGGCTAGCTTAGTATCTCTGAGATTTGCAAATAGTATAATACCACATAACATTCATAGCATTACCACAGTTAAAAACGACGATAAGAGAGTAGCCGAGTAGCTGACTGACCATATTGCTTCTTCCGCGGAGTTCTTTATTTCTTTCTTCCTTTCTTTAAGGACGACTGGATTCTCCAACCCCCAGCGAGCATTCTTTATGACGGGAATGTTGGCCCATTGGCGGCGATTGTGTTAACACAAAAAACCATTATGTAGTACTTATCAATAGAGTCTATACCGGTGGTCAATCCTGACTATAGCTGAATAAAGAAGTCACTCTAGAAAATGTATCAACAATAGCATTCATGAGACAATAGCTGAATACAACATGAGCATCAATATCCTATAAATTATGATATATCTTCGTCTCCATACCCACAGCCTTCATGAAAAAAAAAAAAAAAGAACAAAACCATATCCTTCATCCATTTTTTGCAGAGCCTTTAGCTCAAGCGCTTTTATCATCTACCTGTCTTCGGTCTTGACTGCTTCTCGAAAACCGCTATTACCACATTTTACAAAGAATGGCTGCACCGCGCCTTAATCCCGCTGCAGTGGGCACTACGGTATGTTCAATCATGTATAACAGGTCGTCTTTATACTTACCACTTCTAGTATCTCGATATCCCTAGCATAGCCGCGGAGATTCACGCATTGGATTCGAACAGTTCAGAAGGACACGTCAATGGGGTCTGGAACTCCATTCTCAATTGGGTTTTCGATCCAGTTGACGGGTACATCACCCGTCCGCAGGACATGCATACACAGTATGGTGGTACACATGGCTTTCCCACTTCCATACGCTCCAGTGGCGGGGAGGCCGTCGTGTGCATTTTTTAATTACACAGTGCAAGAAATATTCTCTCCAAGACCAGCGGAATATTTGGAAATCTGGTGCAGAGCAGCTGGGAGGATATCTCTATATGCAGCATGGGAGAAGACCAGTTGCTCAGCGTACCCGCGTTTATGGAATTCTTGCGATAGGACTGAGAGTGCGGTTTTTTGCTTACGATGATCCTGGACAAAATGTGGTTCCGTGGCGTCCTGGCAGAGCATATGGAAATAGTCAGGGACGCGATTTCTACCACATCATCGATGAGGCAAATTCGGTGCAGCGAGCTCTTAGAGACATGCTACATAACCATTAGCACTAGAGTCCTCGGAACAAAGTGACTTTTGGCACTAGGGGGCACTACATAGTGCAATGGGGTGAAGTTCAAATTGCTAGGAGAGCACGTGAGGGAGAGATTCAGATTGTATTTAAAAGGGGAGACGAAGAGCAAAAGGGGAGAGACAAGCAATTCTACTGTTTTAGTTCGGCTTCAATATGGGGTAATAATAGTCTACGTCCATCAGCTATTAATCAGTAGTATACGCCAGCTAGTTATGCCACGCCACAGGCAGAGCCTTTCCTCAAGCTCTACCTTGAGCTCTGAAACCGCATGCTATCCTCCTACTCCTTGATATCCTCATCCCTCAAGGCTCTACGCTGAGTCTCACAATGTCATCCCACAACAGTAGTTCTCGGTCGGAAATCCAGGACGCATCTCCCAAAGCATGCATGTATATATCTGTCAATACAACCACTACTGCAAATGCAGCTATTGATTGATTACAATATCGTATCCTACACTTTTGTTACATGATACATGTAATTCAACGTCCGATTTTCTATGACGATTGTTTTAAGTTATTGCAATGCTAGTGGGTGTGTATGTTGCACCATACTGCCGTGGATTAATTGAACGCATTATACAGTGGCAAGGATCCCTTATTCAATTGTCGACGCCCAGCTGCTTTATTGGAGACGAGCTGCAAAGTTCGCTACTACCCTATATAAAGGGTGTAAAATAAGTAACATCAAGTCACCTAGAGGCGAGAAGTATGCAGAATATTATGAAGAGGTTTGCCATGAGTACGCGCAGACCAAAAAGGGACAAGTCCTCCCGATATCTCCGTGGACGGAAGGAGTCAGTCTCGCTCCGAAAGCTCTTCTAGAGCAGGTAGTCACCATGTGGTCTGTAGAGGTTATCGCAGAGCCCTATTTCTCAAGGACAGACTTGGGCAGTTGAGCATCTGGATACCTCGAGCGTTTCAGAAGATGGCGTCCGACATGGAAAGGGGGTGTGGGAGCACTGTACCGCGGAATCAGGAAGGAGGACCTGTGAAGAATAGAGTAAGACTATATTATATGTAGATAAACGGAATTCAGGGGTATTCTAGGAAACAAAACAAATTTACAGATATCAGGTCAAGCAATCAATTCATTAACCATAGGATAAAGTTCCCAGAGGAAGCGACATACGCCAGTCAGTCAACTCTTGTATACAAGCAAGCGGATATGACCTGTTCTAAAGCCCACTCACTCTCCAGTTCCAGCACCGAGTGCTATCCCATAATTCGGTATTCTCGAACCAAGATGCGACCTCAGGAACATAAGAAACTCATTTTTCGCAATCGAAGAGCTAATTATGCAGAAGTACTGGGTGCTGATTAAAAGAGTCGGCTTCGTTTCTGCTGAGTTTCAGCTTGCGGCTAAAACAAAGCGTGGGGGGTGTAACCCTGCATAAGTAGGTATTTAGTCTACTACGTTTCGAAACGTCAAGGCAGGAGCCAAGCACATCTAACATAACTCGTGTAATTTATCAGCAAGCCAATGATTGTCGCTGCTGTAGTAGTAGCTGATTCTATTGTTTTGAACAGCGTGATGCATCGTAGTTTGATTTTCCTACCTTGGGGACTATTTGGTCTGGTATTGAGTTGAGGATAGTAACTATGGTCGTCGTTTTCTTTCAGCGAGAAGCCATGTTCTGTTGGCTTCGCTTCGCAGCAGACAACGAGTAACGCTGGAGAAAGTCTAGGTAGACGGGAGGATTTATCCTGTATTTTCTGGCTTTTGGCAGCTGAAAATTCTCCAGTGGTTGATTATTGAATTATCTACACCCTGCACAAAAATTCTGCTAGCATTTCTACACATGCGTCGCATTCGTTCGACTAGAAGTACTTAAGCGAGCCTAGAAATAGGGCAATATTGACCAACAACCTATCACAAACACGTTTCTTATATTATTATTATAATCAGAAAGCTAACAAAATCCTTACATCCGATCCATCCGTAAATCCCGACTTCGGTGAATACAATCCATCAGATTTATCAGACTCGACCATGGATAACTGAATTGATCTCGCTTCTTTTGTTAACTTAACCAGTCTAGAGCAATAATGACTCATTATTTCAAATGTGGATTAATCCCATTATTATTAGACAATAATGGACATCTCAAGAGCGTTAGAACTTGGTACGTACTGAGAAAAATCGAACACCGCTATACTTAAAGATCCACCGACCGAAGCGAACTTCTAGGTAGCACGTCTTCATCCCGCATTGGTCGGTCATTCTTTGGTTCTTTTCTGAGGCCCGAACCGAGGAACATGGGTTAAACTATTGATCTATTGTCAGTGAATTAATTAAACGTTAAAAAGGAACTTAGAAAGAAAGAAAGAAAGAAAGACGTAAAAAAGAGGGGCGGAAAAGTTTTTCGGGCCCAATGACGGATAATAATAATACTGGGAATAATACCAAGCGTTGCCACCGCGAAGCAAAAGTTCTAGAAAAGATGGGGTTTTTCCTTGGCAACGTCGGGAGGTATCCGAAGTAGTGGGATTGGTTTATGGTAGAATACATAATAATAATAATTATTAGTTAGTTACTCGAGTTTTTGATGTGACAGATGGGTTATATCCACTCGTAGGGCTATTCTTTTTACAATGAGATTGGCTGTTTGGTCAAATTTGTAGTTAGGGTCAGATCGGGGAGTCGCCCAGCTAAGCAAGGGGCGAGTATTCTTCTGCACCTACATAGCAGATCGTTATTCGTTATCCCCTCGACAAATGCGATGAGATTACATCTAAGAGTAGATCGCGACGAGGTTAATCTTAACAGACAAGAAAAAAAAGGAAAAAGCGGGAGAGAGAGGGGAAAAATTCGACTCTCATCTGGCTACTGGACATCCCGCTGACTCCGTTTACGGTCAGCGCAAACCCCCACGAGTTGTATAGAATCCTTGCCTCCCTTTTCCCTATCTTGTTATTTCCCACCCTTTGGAAATTCTCCCATGCGCAGGGCTGAGAACAAGCAACGATTCGCCGTTCTTGGCCAGGGACAAGCTTCTGGACAGGCGAAGCTTGGGTCGCCCAGGCGCAAAGTCAATTGGGGGCGCCAAGTCAACCACGGATGGAGCGATCCGATCTGCTGGGAAAGAGAGAAAAGAATGGAACAACACGGAGAATGAATGTATTTTCTTATATTATTTGTTCAATTATTAGTCTACCGTGAATTAAATTAAATGACGGGCAAACTTGACCTCCCGAACCAACTGGAGTTAGAGAGAACGAGCAAATGCGCCAATCAGCGAGAGTGTGTTGATGGTGGAGCTGCCAGCCTGACTAATGACGTGGCCTGCCCTGAACTTGCACCCCTTGGGACATTATTATGATTATTATCGACGGCCAGGATGACTCTGGTCTCTCTCACATTGTTATGTTATATTATGGCAAACCTGGGCAGTTCAGTTTCTCGCCACAGGGAGCAGACTGGCCATCTCCTGTTCTTCCCCTGTATTCTGTATAGCAGAGTCGAATAGAACCAGCAGAACATGGAACGTATGGTAGATCCCACTACAGGCCAGCAGTACCTCCCGAGTAGATCAGCAACCGCCCGGTGCCTGAGCTGGCCGGACAGTAAAATGAGCAGCGCGAATCCTGGCCAATAACCCTTCTATCGCGTGGCTCAGGGGGATTGGAAGCGCGTTCAATTGGCAACATGAAGCTCCATCGCCAACGAGTAGCGCGAACAACCGGAGAGTCGCTAGCGCTGCTGGTTCAGGGGTTCTGCACGCTGGTTGGTCCACTGCGCTGTTGCATCCCGTCGCTCTTTGATATGTGAGCGCCCAGCCCTACTTTCACTAACCACGACACCATCCCCTCCTTCTGTCTCTCCCAAGTCTAAGTAGACGCTCATCGCTCTCTTTTCTTTTCGGTCAGTCTCTCTGGTTTCCTTGTTCGCTTCGTCCGCTACGGCTGCCATCGCATTTCCACTCTTTTAAACCCCATCCCTCACAGTCCTTCTCGTCCAAGCTCATTGCTACTGCGATCGGTTGTCATTCCGCCTCCTGCCTGCCTGCTCTCGTGTACGGTCGTTCATTGTCAATCAAGCAACAGGTTTGCGCCACAGCACATTTGGTAGGTCCTTCACCGTCATTGTCGGATTGTCGACGGCCACGAACATGCTCAGGCGCTGTTGGGGTCCAGCCGTCACAACGCGTTGGATAAAAGGTCTTGTGCTGACAGTATTATTGACACACCAGGTACACGGCGAAACTAGTCATCAACAGCGGCCTTTGACAGGTCATAGAGAGAAATAAGACAGCATAACCAGAAGAGAAACGAGATTCACCTCATTGTCCACCAATAACTCACGATGAAGTTCAACACTGCACTGTTCCTTGCGACTGCAGGCTCCCTCGTTGCCGCCCAGGGTGCCCATCGCCATGGTCACCGCCACTTGCACCGTCGCGACACCGCCTCTGCTGTTGCGACTGATGTCGTCTATGTCTACCAGCTCGATGGCAAGGAGATCTCTGCTGAGCAGGTCTGCGAAGGCGTGAAGAGCGGCAAGTACCTCTGGGCCGACGGCACCGCTCCTGCTGGCGCTTGCGCTGCTGCCAGCGCGACTCCTGCTCCCTCCTCGTCCGCCCCTGTCGAGGGCGCTGGTGAGTTCTTCGAGACTCCCTCGTCCTCGTCCACCCCGACTCCCACCCCGACGCCTACTCCGTCGACCAGCTCGACCTCGTCTTCGTCTTCGTCGACTTTCACTTCTTCGTCGACCATTTCGCTCACCTCGTCGACCGCTTCTTCGTCGACCTCCACCTACTCCAGCTCCTCTGCCTGGACCAGCACCTCTGTCGCGTCCTCCTCTCCTTCGCCCTCCTCCACCGGAAGTGGTCAGGGCGGCGTGACCATTCTCAACGAGGTCGGCCAGACCATCTACCTCTGGACCACCAGTGAGCAGGCCGGTAACATGGTCACTCTGCCCAACGGCCAGAGCTACTCTGAGAACTGGCAGACCAACCCCGATGCCGGTGGTATCTCCGTTAAGATCTCCACGACCCCCGACCTTGACGACGTCATGCAGTTCGAGTACACCCTCCTGACCCCCATCATCTGGTGGGACGTCTCTCTGATCAACATGGAGATTACCTCTCTGTTTGACAAGCTGGGTTTCAGCGTCACCTCAGACAACTCCAACTGCTATCAAGTCAACTGCCCGGCTGGTGATACCGCCTGCAACGACGCTTACCTCTGGCCCACTGACGACCAGGCCACCCACAGCTGTGACTCCACAACCCACATGACCCTCCACCTGGGTAAGTCTCTGAGCCTGTAAGAGGTCTAAGGGACGAGTCAGATCGCAGCCATCATGAGAAAACCAAGTCGGTGCTGGTGTAAAGTCGCACTCACATACAACACAATTCATGCAGTTCCTCGGGTAACTACTCATGAACCGGTCGACTTCAACCGATGCGATTTCTCTGCGATTTTTCTTTGACCATTTTATCTTCTCAAACCCCAGTTCTTCTTTTCTAAGATTCGATGTTTGATATTATACCTCTCCTGCTACATCTTTCTCCTTGGGATTTTTCCCCCTCAGACTCGGTCAAGTACCCACTGAAGCTGTTTTTAAACAAAACACACCAAAAAAAAAGACAACAAAATCTTTTGAACTTGTACATGTGTAAACTGTCTTCCCTTTTTCTTTCCTTTCCAACTTCATGTAGTCAGGCCGAGGTATTACAGTACAAGAGCTTTAAATATGTCAAGTAACGAAATCGGTTCCATAACTGATCTTATGCTCTCCAAAAAAAGTATTGTAAATTATGTCATTGTAGGTAGCAAGATAATCATCACGTAATCGCATTGACGTTGAGGTGGGGTTATCTTGATTTTATCCGTATCCTTATCCGTAGTTGCTCCGTAAATGAAATAATGACATGACATGATCTCCGAACCGAGCTGTGGAGTAAGTTATGGAGTAAAGTTGGAGAAAGATGTGGGTAGTTAACCATCGTCGACAAGTATGATATAATAATAGACATCTTGAAAGAGACATTCACGGATTTCCAGCCGCGAAATAAAAAAAAATTAAAAAAAACCCCCCCATCAACGAAAAATGAATAAATATATAAAAATAAAAATAAAAAAATGTGTACTGTACAAATACATATATGAGAGTCGAAACTGACTTGCTTCTCCAGTCGAGTCATTTAAATAATTTTATGATCAATCTTTGATTTTATTGTTCATCGAAATAACCAATCCGTTTCAGGAGTCGGGATGAGATAATTCGTGATATTGAATTCGTTTCCGTGTGGATGAGGCGTTGTTGTCCCTGTCCCAGTTCCTGTTTCTGCGCCTGTTGGTGCGGTGGATGTGGTATTTGTTTCTGCTGCTGTGAGACCGGGGATCGATATTGGATTGCTATTGGTGATATTATCATTTGTGTTGTTGGTGAGGTTCATGTTTGTTGTCGTGGTTGTTGATGGCTCGTCTTCCATCGGTAGGATGGGGATGCGGGGAACGTTGAAGAAGCCAAACACGTCGAGGTACTCGAGTTCGTTCGGGGCGGGGTTTCGCGTTATTGGATGTTTTATCATGGACGGGTCTGTTGGTATTGCGTTGTTGGGCATAGGGAAGGATGAGGACGACGACGAAGAAGATGGCGACGTGCGCGGTTGTCGTGATATTAAGAAATCAAGATCGAACGCACAGCGGCGCATATCTGCGAGGATTTTGACAGAGGAAGGAGTGCTGCGATCACTGTCGATTTCAGCGGATTGTTGATATTCGCGGTACTCGTCGAGGACGCGTTGGAGGATGGTGCTGTATCGCTCTGCGACTTTCCAATACTTGCCCATGCGGGAGAGGGTGTCGACGAAGAAGACGATGTCTGGACTGACGGTGTGAGCGATGGTTGAGCCATGGACGAGGAGAAGGCGTGCCGAGACCCAGAGACTGAATGCGAAGGGAGGACCGAGCCTGTCGAGCATGTTGTTGTTCAGGACAAATCGGCTCAGTGAGAGGATGTTGTCGACTGCCATAAGACATTGTTGGCTGGCGCCGTAGGAGGGTGTGAATATGGGAGAGCGGGTGGTCGGGTATGCTGCTGACGAGTGTAGCCGGATGACAGCGCTGGGGTATTAATCGATTAGTTATGTGTGCTTGTTTTCTGTCACGATAATTGAGATATGCTCACGTTTGATATGCCGCGTGCAGCATCACCCAGCCGCAATGGATCTTCCTGCTGGATCGAGCGGCTGTGAACAACCGGGACCCGTTCTCGAGGGCATATTCCGCCGGAAGGCTAAACTCCCACGAAGTTATCTCGTTATCGAGCTTGCGATACGTAGACTGCCATTCCTCGACGTCCGACAGAGAACTGATATCTACCGGCCGTTTTAAGAAAATATGGATCCGAGAAAGGATACCCAGAATGTCGACGTAGAACCCGAACCAGCCGACATGTCGAGACTGGCTGGTCACATAGTCCGTGCGACTATGATGACGATGAAAGCTTCTGGTCTCGACTGGTTGGTTCCTGGAGAAGAATTCATCTTTGCACGGTAGTCTGCGGTCGATGTCCTTGTCGTCCAGCGCGAAATCGAATGCTGTTGCTATAGTTGAGTAACGGTCTAGTATGTACACTGACCAAAAGAGGCGTCGTCTGCCCTCATCCTCGATCCAGTTGGCGGGCTCTGGGAGGATGACTGCTCGCAGTGTATATATGGATGGATAGACAGACGAGATCAATACCGACCCAGACTCAACTGCCAGCCCTAACTGGACCACTGAGCGCGCAATTAGTGCAAGCAGCTTCCATCCAGGTGGACCATTCGATGAGCCGACAAAGTCCAACGCCAGTATCACAAGCGCTTGGAGAGATTGAACAGACGAGTTCTCAAGACCGTAGAGAAGGACCTTTTCCTTCGCGGAATCGTAGTATCGTTTCCGATTCCGCTCATTCAATCGTGTATCGGAGGAAAAGCGAAGTGTCGTGGCGACAATCGCATACAGAACAATACGATCTGCTTCCTGCAAAGGAGATGGCCCAAAAAGGGTGTCAAGAGTGGTGCGACGGTGGAGGATTGGACACCAGACGTTGATGTGTTCGAAGTAGAGATCCACCAAGGCATAAAGCAGGTCGTAAGGCGGGAGATCGAGGTCTGGATCCGCAAGGGATTGTCGTTGGTCAGAAAATATCTCTAGCGGGACGTCCAAAGACGAGTCATTCTTGGTGTAATCTTGAGGTATATCACTGGCCTGTGGTAGATCCGTCGACGATGGTCTATGGTCTCGTCTCTGAGGTTGGACTGCATTGGCAACTGAAGTCTTTGCTGGACTTGCCATGAAAGTTGTCTCCTTATTAGCGGAACCGGCATCACTATTCCCAGGTGGAATTGATAGAGATGCGTGGTCGTGGAACGAAAAGGTGGCCCGCGGACTGGGATCATGAATTGCTGACGGTTCCGAAGGAGATGTAGAAGAAAGGGCACCTCCATCCAAGAACTCGTGGTTGGGACGTGCCTGGTTCTGGAGAATATATGTATCGATTATACGACCTTGCGACTGTATAATAGCCTCGAGTTTATCTGCAGACATTAATTGGGACCTTGTTCTAACTTGGGTATGAAAAGGACGCATACCAAGACGCTGCTCCAATTCTTTGCCGTATCCTGCCCTCAGGCCTGGTTTCTTACGCTCCTTGTACTCACATAGCTGCCTATTCCTGGAGCACCATCCACAGCTGGGCAGGGCACGGTCTGTCCATGATCGTTAGACGGGAATGGCAATCACTGTAGGTAATACAATCTACATACCACATTTGACCTTTCTCAGTTTACATAGTTCGCACCTTTCTCTGTCAGTAGGTTTGTCCTCTATAGATGGTTCTCGTATTTTTGTAAGAGCAAGATAGTAGTAAAACAGAACTGCGGGTGATCTTGGTACTCACGACACAGTGGTAGGCCGTTTCCTCTTCAATCCGGGAGACGCTTTGGAACCAATCTGGCCCACAGGTTCATCACTATCTGGACCAGACCAGTCTTCCTCAGGACTACGCATTCCGTCCTGATTGCCGTTCTGGTGAGACGCTCGCGAGATCGCATCCGTCGAGGCTGGAACCTTCGGCATTGTGATACAGCGAGAGCAGAGGATACCGAAGCTCCGGCCGCGGGGCTGTCAAACTGAAAGTATGCGCCTTCACGCGGCGCAGACCTACCGCAAAACCAGCCCCAGAATGATTCCAGGATAAAGGCGCCGGTAAATGATCTCCCGATCGGACTTCAAGAAAAGCAGACGTTGATAGACAGGACGGGAGTTGCTGAGTGTGAGGGCAGATCGAACGATCCGGCGTCGTTCTTCAACCCCGCAAAAGCTCCCTTGGCGCGCCCCCTGACGACACCCGCGAGTATGCGAATCCCCAGACTTTTGGTCCATCTGGATCCTGCAGAGTTGTCGATATTGGCAGATCGGTCCCTGAAAGTGTTTCTGCCGTTGATCTTCGCCATCGTGACTGTCTTTGCCCCGCCATCGTCATCCGCGATACCTACCTCGGGGGAGCGATGCACCGAGTTCCAATCATGGTGAACGAGCACATCTGTCCGATGGAGCAGATGCAGGGCATTTGTCTCCATTTCTCCGGACATTGAAATAAGTGCGAGACCCCTTCCATTGATATAGCATCTTCCCTTCATTGTACACCACCCAATAACCCGTTTTGAGTAGTTATCCTGGGGACTACATCCTGAACCTCCAACATGTCTCCTGCTAAGTTTCCCCGCATTAAAGAAGTCACAACCTTCCTCATCGATGGCGTCGGCTCTGGGGGTGACTACCACAATGTAAGAACATCCCAACAAGTTGGATGAAAAGACTACTAAACATGTTGTAGGTGGCCGGTGGTCATTGGCTGGTAGACAGTTCCATCTCAACTCCAATGGCACGATGGGAACAATATCGAGCTTCGAGGACCAGCTGGGGAATCAACGTCCTGGGCTCTTTCTGTGTCCAGATTGAGGCCACCGACGGCACCAAGGGCTTTGCAACCGGGTTCGGAGGTCCTCCAGCTTGCTGGCTGGTCCACAAGCATTTTGAGCGTTTCCTCGTCGGAGCAGGTAGACATGCCGGGATCCTGTCTGATGGAAGGGCTGACTGATTCGTGATCTAGACCCCCGCGACACAAACAACCTATTCGAGAAGATGTACCGTGCATCTATGTTCTATGGACGCAAAGGCCTTCCCGTCGCCGTTATCTCTGTTATCGACCTGGCTCTCTGGGATCTGCTGGGCAAGATCCGCAATGAACCTGTCTACAAGCTGATCGGTGGCGCTACGCGTGAGCGACTGCACTTTTACTGCACAGGCCCTGAGCCTGCCTATGCAAAGAGTATGGGCTTTACTGCAGCAAAGGTGGCTCTTCCATACGGACCAGACGAGGGAATTGATGGCCTTCTGCGCAATGTGGAATATCTCCGCAAACACAGAGAGAGCGTTGGGCCTGACTTCCCCCTGCGTGTCGACTGCTACATGTCTCTGAACGTGCCCTATACAATTCAGCTGGTCAAGAGATGCGAACAAGAAGGAATCAACATCGACTGGTGGGAGGAGTGCCTGACCCCAGATGACTTTGACGGCCACGCCCTTCTGAAACAGGCTCATCCCACGGTGAAATTTACCACCGGAGAGCATGAGTACTCTAGATACGGATTCCGGAAACTCATTGAAGGCCGTAACCTGGATATTCTACAGCCAGACGTTATGTGGGTAGGCGGTATGACAGAGTTGCTCAAGATCTCCGCAATGGCTGCTGCCTATGATATCCCCGTCGTTCCCCATGCTTCAGGGCCCTACTCATACCACTTCGTCGTCTCTCAGCCCAACTCTCCGTTTCAGGAGTATCTTGCCAACTCCCCTGATGGAAAGAGTGTGAAGGCCGTGTTCGGAGATCTTTTTCTCAACGAACCTATTCCCACGCGTGGTTATCTTGATGTGTCAGATCTAGACAAGCCGGGTTTCGGCCTGGAGCTTAACCCTGCTGCTCGACTTCTGCCTGCGGCTTCCATTCTGAACCCTGCCCCTCAGAAAAGCCTCACTCTGTCCGCTGAGAATGCGGACCAAGTAAACGGCACACCCAACTAGATGACTAAATGCGACTCCCGAGAGGCCACTGTGCTGCGACTGTCGATTGTTAGACTCGTGTCATGTGTGAAATCCTGCGCCGAAGGTTTCAGTGGATGACGCTGAAAGGGTGTTGTTGAGAGGAGCGTGTAGAACTATAGAAGGAATGGAGCTGCTGAGCGACTAGGATTACGGCCGGCTCTCAACTTGTAGAGACAAAGCTTTTGCATTTTATCCGCTGTGATAACTAGGTACCTATACATGACCTATTTCAGCTACTATTCACTCATGAAATGTTATCATTGAACAGAAGACGGCATTCCGGATTCTCTCTGATTGCCATTGTATTATCCATCATACCTTCGATAAATACTATTTCTGAGGACACCGTATCGTGTTCTTTCGCATAAAAGAGTTGGGCTGTTTACTTTTCTGTGGAGTCGGACAATCACCGATGCGGGGGAGCGTTCGGCGGATCATTGTAGCGAGACACCGAGTACCATCAGGAGTCGATGGCGGGGTAGAAGCAATTATGCATCAACCAGAGTGAGTGCAAGATGGTTGTCACCATGTGGAATCCAGGGTGAGGAATTGTCGCCTAGCTAGATTTCATTAGAACAGTCGGAGCGTGCTGGATAAGATGTTTTGAAGCCTCCAAATAGAATTATCAGTAAACATACTCAACCTTGCCGAGATTCAATAAATCAAGCGTCCTCTCTCTTACCCTGTTGCATTGTCCACTCCTTGGTTATCAATTCTGAAATAGCTCGACAGAGATTAACTGAACGGAGTGATCATTCCGAAGACTCAATGGCCACGCCACAGCTCCTCGTGGGCAAAGTCGCCGCTATCACGGGTGGTTTGACTGGTATCGGAAAGGTATTTTCATTTCTCGCATTGTTCTCATTGACCAGAGGAACTACCTTGTTTAAACCTCCTTTTCCAAGTCAGCTACCTTGGAAGAAATCATTCCATCTAATCAATAATCAGGCCATAGCCCTCGAATATCTACGGCATGGAGCCCGCGTCGCCATCAACCACCTGGGCAGTCCTACAGAGGCCTCTCTCCTCGAAGCAATGAATACAGAAGCAACTGAGATCACAGGAGCAGAAACGAAAAACTTCATCACAGTCTCAGGAGATATATCACAACCAGAAACCGGGCGACAGTTCATCGCGAAGACAGTTGAAGCTTTTGGACGATTGGATGTCTTTGTGAGCAATGCTGGTGTATGCCGATTTGCCGAGTTTCTCGAGTAAGATCACTTATCCCTAGCCGCATCGCTGTGTTCTCTGATACTTAGGCCCTTGTCTCTTTGGAATGGAAGAACTGCTACTCTGACAAAACACGCGCAGGCTCGAACCCTCTCTCCTGCACCATACCATCTCGACAAACCTCTGTGGTTCATTCTTCGCCACACAAGCCGCAGCGCGTCAAATGGCACTGGCGCAAAACCCACCCGGCGGCTCAATTATCGGAATCAGTTCCATCTCTGCTCTCGTTGGAGGAGGCCAGCAAACACACTACACGCCCACAAAGGCAGGAGTCCTGAGTCTAATGCAGTCATGTGCTGTCGCTTTGGGAAAATATGGGATTAGGTGCAATGCTCTCCTGCCAGGGACGATTCGGACACAGCTTAATGATGAGGATATGAGTGATGAGAGGAAGAGGAGGTATATGGAAGGGAGGATTCCGCTGGGGAGATTGGGACAGACGAAGGATCTGGCGGGACCCGCGGTGTTTTTAGCGTGTGATTCCTTGAGTGGTTACGTGGTGAGTTTTTTTTTATCATGGTCCTTTTTATTCAAATTTTTTTTTGAGAGTCACGCTGATATGGAATGCGTTGAATAGACTGGTGCACAGATTCTTGTTGACGGTGGACTTTTTGTTAATCTCCAATGAAGCCCATTCAACACAGGTCAATTAAAGTATCTCGTGAATTCTATTTGTATATGAAAATCAATCACATGGAATAACATGAATTATTGACCACACAACGAGCTGAACTCAGAGTCCAATCCCGTATGCCTTGACAGCCACATCCCCCCAAACGCCCCTCTTCTGTTCCTCATCCAAGCCCCTCCTCTCCAACACAGCTTCCACAACGTTCTTCCATCTCTGCCACGAAACCTCGTTCCCTCCACCGCCAATATTACATACCGGCCAATCCGATCCGAACATAACTCGTTCGGGACCAAATGCCTCGAAAACCGCGTCCGTCCATGGACTGATTCGCTTCACTAGCGAATCAATATCCGGCTCTATATTGAAGGAGAGGGGAGAAAGTTCAGAAAAGCCACCAGATAACTTCATGTATGTCTTAGGATGTGTCGACATGGTCGTTATGAGACTCTCCCATTCCACGAATTCATGATGGGAGGTTATGGACTCGCGAGAGGTGTATGGCAGGCGAAGGTTGGGTTTGCAGAGGTGGTCTGTTCCAATCAGTCAGTTCAAAGAATAGGTGTAACCCTAATACGAAGTCAACACAGAAGACTGAACAGACTTATAACAATTACCACCCCTTCATCTTCGTTCACATCCGCATAAACTCTTTTCATCATCTTCACGGCCTCCCTCAACTGCCACAACCCGCCTGATCTCGCATCGACTCCTAAATCGAACACCAACCCCTTCTTTCCTAACCACTTCAATCCCTCCACGAACCCCTCCCTCAACATCGTCCCACTTGGCTTATCCTGCACCAAATACCTCACCCCTCTTACTTTCCTCCGAAAAACATCCTTTCCAGTCCTCTCCTCGAGCAACTTCATATACCGCTCCAACGTTTCCGCGCCTGCGGGAACAGGAGCCCACGGGACGATCCCTAGACATAGTCGTTTATCCTCGTACGAATGCCCTTCTCCAGGAAGAGGCTCTCCACACACAACGCGCACGAGAAAAGAGACTTCATCAAGCGCATATCCCCATCCTGGACTGGAGCTCTCCTCTATAGAAGAGAGGCGGTCGGTTTCGATAAAGATGAAGCCGCGGAGGAAGAATCCCGATTCAGAAGAGGAGGAGGTTGATGTTGGGGTAGAACAAGTTGCAATGCGATATTGATCTACTGAGTATTGGGAGCCGAGAGGATTGTCTGCGCTGTGCCAGGCAAGAGTGGACAGGTGGGTTTCCGGAAAGAGATGGATGTGGGAGTCGATGATTGGGATTGAAGATGGCATGGTGATCGCTCTTTTTCTTCTTTTGAGTTTTTCTTAATGTATTGGAAAGACAAGGCGAAGAAGTGATATATGACAATGCCTGTGGGCTCTGAATTTACTCTTTTTATAGAGGATCATATAATTGCGGGTTTAAAGCCCAGGCTTCTTGCGAATGATCGAAACAGTGCGAAGGTCTGGACAAGTAGATTGACCCGCACTCTTCATGGGTGGAATAGTAAAGTAGTTTGTAGAAATGAGCTGAAATAAGAAAAATAGCGACATATATTCAGGCACAGGATATTAATTATTTGATATAGAAACAGCTGGGTATTTCACCGTGTGATATCACCGATCTCAGTTTACAAGGAACATCGGGAAGGATTAAGCCGAGACCACCCCCGCAGGAGCGGTACCTAGGCGGAGTACAAGTCTGAACTAGAATTCCAAACCTTCCTGAATGTGAAAGACTTTGACGCGGTAGATGATAATGGTCTCATTATTCGACCTCTTTTCAATCAATTTAACATGGGGGTTCGATGAGCTTAGAATTGGACTCTTGCTATGCTCAAGGGCTACAAGAGCTAGGAACCATAGTGAAGAGTGTCACGGCATAAAGGATACACATACATATACGAAGGAACGCTTTAACAATTTGGTGCTCCCCACTACTCCATATAATGCAATACACGCGATCTGTATCCAAATCTCCCATTGCAAGCATATTTTCTATCGCAAGTTGCTGTCCTCTCTAGCGCTCATTCCAGCTGTCTGTGATACGGTATCATGCAGAGAATTCATTCTGGCTTTCTCCCACAGACGACGTAACTGTACCCAAGTTAGCCTTGTATCGAACGGAGTTCGTTCCTTGCTGGAAATAACCCACAAATCGAACATGGAATGGATATTATGATTCCTTATGTCATTTCTGGCCTTTTGTGCTAGGATTTTCACCTCATCCCTTCCCCAGCCCTCGTTTCTCGTCAAGATTGCCATTGCACCTGCTTCGAAACCGCTGTCTGCTTCCAAGAGGTTCCAAGCTCCGAGTACTTTCTGATAGTATGAAGTCCAGAGTATCAGTGATCGGGCAACATTCAGAGTCCAGGGATCGTATCTCACGTACAAGACGTTCATCCTTTGGCCAGGTTCCCATAGGAAGGAGGTACTTTCGAACGCGAACATCGATAAATCCAGCTTCACGGAACCAGCGCTCCAGATTTGGTCCGGGGTTGATTGTATACCCGGCCTTGGCATATGCTGCGTTGATGATATCGTAATATAGTTTGATAGACGAGCCTTCCAATGATTCATCTTCGGAGTAGATACTGGCATTCCAGTCCTGAAACTCCACCCAGCCTCCAGGCGCGGTATTGCTAGATGGGTTAGTAGACAGACATATCGGATTTGACATAGGAGAACTACTTATAGCATTGTTCCAAGAGTCTAGGGAAATTTCTCACGGATCCAGCAAGATAACGAGCGTGAATAAAGTCGAATTGACGACCTTCATATACCCATTCATCCTCGAAATCGTCAATGATGAAGGTCACCTTGGGAGGGACGCTGAGAAAGTGAGAATACTTCCAGATATTTACACAACTATTACTCACTGTTCGGGTTGCATCGGACTGAGGTCATTGCCTATGATCTGAGAATCGTCTTTCAGCTCGCTGACAGGGACTAAGTCTGGTTTGCAAGTTTGAATTCCTTACCTCTGCCTGAGGAAATTTATCACCTGAAAATTTCTTGAAAGTTAGAAAGGGAAGAGACAAGTGCATATTGGAACTACGTACCGAAATCGATAGCCCAAAGCCCTGTCCCTGTTCCAAGGTCGAGAACGTGTCGTGGCGTTTCTGAAATGGGCGCCAGAAATAGTTTGCCATCCATCATCTCCAGCATCATTGCATGCATTATATCCAACCTCTCTTTTTCATCTTCATCATTGGGCATCAGGTAGTCTTCCCTTGTCTTAGTGACGAAGACGAGTGTTATAGGTCCTAGCGATGTTTATACTTACGGCCATCGCGATATGCATGATAACGCCTTCCATTCTCGTTTCGAAAGTCATAAACAGACGATGTCAGAGAGGCTGTAAAGCTCTCGCTGGATGTCGTTAGGTGTGCCTTGATTTAAAATTGCATGATTTGCTTACATTGCAGTTACCTGCATGAGAATAAAAGTCAATAACATGGATTGATTTCCTGCGACCCGATGGAATGGAACGCCAGTGAAAGCGCGACAGAATACGGGGTACGCACCTCGGTATCGACCTCAACCCGGCCATCCGAGTCCCTCATTTCGGACCCTTTGAGGGCTCTGCTAAGTCGCGTTTCTTTGAGCGACTTAGTGCCGTAGTGCGGTTTGCAAGGCGCTATCCTGGACGTAGAGTGCTATGAGTTAGTCCTCGTTTGAGGAAATATCGACTCAAAATTGCATTATTTCGCACTCATCTAAGTTTACCAGGTTCCAGTTTCGCTATGTCTGAGTTCGATAAGCGCTCACGAGGACAGATTTCAACTAGGCAGACACCAGTTTGCAGTGCCGTAAGCAGCTGGAGACATACAAGACCTTCGTAAATAGACAGGAAGTTCTTTTGAAAACAGGCGCATATATTGAAGATCTCTGCACAATTTTCTGCGACTTGTTGTCTAGAGTGTTTTGGCAAGGGTGCAGAGCATAAGTTGGATTGCATTCTTCCTTGTTGTCCGCATGATGCGACGCGGCGCTCTTACTTAGACCCCTCACTAAGTACCTAACTAATAACCGCCAGCGGATCCGGATTCTAGACTAAGACAACTACTTACGCGACTTCCAGTTCCTACGTCCATGCTGGTTTAGAGAGAAATTCGGTGTGGATATTTGACAAGCAGTGAGTAGTTAAGGCACGTATCCAGTTGACGACATCTTTCTATAGTAGTGATACGGACCTTTTGAGGTGAGTCGTCAAGGCTAAGTTTGGTCACTTGTCATGCAATGTATTTTCGTGGGACTAGAAGCTAAGCTGCAGGTAGCCCTTATCGTCAACAGGTCTAGAAAATAGAAAACAGATATTAGGATCTTATATAATAGGTATCTTTGGATGGAATACAGCTATGAATTCTAAAACGACAAGTGAACGGTATGCTCTGGCTACGCAAGGGGGAACTTCTCCCCCGGAGAAAACCGGTTCATATCGCCTTGTCGTTGTTATATGGCGGATCCGACGTTGTGGCTGTATCTACATAACCGGATAATGCCCTACCCCCGCATTCTGACCTTCAGCCAAGGCCGCCATTCATTCGCTCCTGCAGCGGGGAAGCTTCTCACCCCGGATCTCAACGACGTCAATTACAATGCGGACATGCAAAAGGGCAGCTTCCGCACAGAACCCCGGCAATTTGCAAGATAGAGTAACTTCCGCTTCCATGCGGATAAAAGATCGGGGGTCTTTGATGCGAGTCATGAAGGTTGACGGGGAGGAACACGGAAAGACCCCAACCGAGGCTGATGTATGTACATATATATATTGCCTTGAGAGTCCAGTCTGTTACTATTCCATCTACCAAAGCTATCAACAGCGTCGTAACAAGTGCATTACGATCCAATAGCCCATCATGTCTGCTCCGACGATTCCGAAGACTCAAAAGGCCGTGATCTACGATCAGCCGGGAACTGTTTCGACCAAGGTGGTGGAGATCGATGTGCCGGAGCCTGGCAATGGAGAGGTTCTCATCAATCTGTGAGTTGTTGCTCTTTTCGCGCAGGAGAAGTTGCTGGCCAATATGATGTTGCAAAGGGGAGAGATCAGATTGTAAACTTTATGCAGCTACTGTCTTTAGCCTTGCGTTATAGCTCTATTATGGAGTGCGTTTTGGAATATACAATATCTAACAAACAAAGGACACATTCAGGTGTCTGTCATTCAGACTTCGGTGTCATGATGAATTCGGTACGTGCATCCTTCGCACAGACGTAATGTACAAGCCATTGCAAACGATGGTAGAGACTCATAGTTAAGAATAGTGGAGTATACTTCCATTTCCAACTCAGCCAGGCCAAGTCGGCGGCCACGAAGGTGTTGGAAAAGTCGTCAAGTTGGGACCCGGAGCAGAGGCGTCTGGTCTCAAGATCGGAGACAGAGTGGGAGTAAAGTGGATTGCCAGCGCTTGCGGAAACTGCCGTATGTTCATGCCCACGCTCATGCACTGTTATACGCATGGATTTGCTGTGGTCGCCGAAAACTGACATGCAACGACTATAGCACCATGCGGAGAAGGTGCCGACGGTATCTGCCTTAAGCAGAAGATCTCTGGCTACTATACACCAGGTACTTTCCAACAATATGTACTTGGACCAGCCAACTATGTCACACCCATCCCGGATTCCTTGCCCTCGGACGCTGCCGCGCCTATGCTCTGTGCCGGTGTTACTGTCTATGCTGCCTTGAAGCGCAGCAAGGCGCAGCCAGGCAACTGGGTGGTGATCTCGGGTGCAGGTGGCGGTTTGGGCCATCTTGCTGTTCAGCTTGCAAGCCGAGGGATGGGCATGCGCGTCATTGGAATCGACCATGGGAGCAAGGAATCTATTGTCAAAGCCTCTGGGGCTGAGCACTTTGTCGACATAACCAAATTCCCGAGAGATGACAAGGCCGCTGCCATTTCTGCGCACGTCAAGTCGCTCACGACGGGTGGCCTGGGAGCACATGCCGTCATTGTCTGTACGGCGTCGAATGCTGCATACGCGCAGTCGGTCCTATTCCTTAGGTTTAACGGCACGGTTGTCTGCGTGGGAGTCCCTGAGGGCGAGCCAGTTCCAGTTGCGTCGGCATTGCCTGGTATGATGCTCATGGGAAATTATAGCATCGCAGGATCCGTAGTTGGTAATCGGACAGAAGCAATCGAAACCCTGGAATTTGCGTCGCGGGGAGTTATTGGAGCCCATTTCCGAACTGAAAAGATGGAGTCTTTGACCAATGTCTTCAAGGAAATGCAAGAAGGAAAGCTACAGGGAAGAGTGGTTCTTGACCTGTCTTGATCAGATTCAAAACGAAAGACAATAATAACAGCATGTAGTGTTTATCTTGTTTATCTTAAGCCTGACGATAAGTAGAAGTTGAATGAAACACAGCATATTAACTCAATATTGTATTGAAGAAAACGACATAGTTACATGTATTCCAAGTGCCCAGGGCGCGCTGCTGCCTACTCCACAAGCCTCAAGATTACACCAAACAGAGTCTTAACATCCCTGCCCTGCCAACTACTCCAGCTTTATGCAACCGCGATATTCACGCTCTTCCTTCTCCAACCCGTCGGACAAGCCCACGAACTTGATGAAGAAAAGGTGTGTTCGCGTCAATCGGGGGTAGTGTAAGCCCGATGACACTGTGTGGCAAAGCATGCGCAAGCACAGAGGCTTCGCCACGGGGTCCAAAAATGAGATTAATCAATGTTGTGTCCCTTAGGACACTTTCAGAGATTAAACTGAAAAGAACAGATACTACACTTGATCTAAGCCAAAAGGCAAAGAGAGCTGGAGAAAAAAAGAAGAAAAGAAATCAAAATGATGGCGGGGGGCAGGAGGTATTTATGTTATTTGGAAGGTGGTCTGTGCGGCAATAGTCTGTTTTCTTCGCTAAGAGAGTCGCTTAGCGAGGAGGCGAATAAGCGATGGACTTTTATTGGCTGGAACGCTACCATAGAGTCGGTCCTGTAACTTACTCTATACGACCGCAGATGAAGATGAGAGCAGCTGTGTTCCCGGATACTCAAATAGCAGACCGTCTATCAGATTGGTGAAGGCAAACTGGCTCTGGAGAAATCAGGAGCTGCCAAGCAACAATAGCTTGGTGATCAGACTGAACTGTAACGAGACCATAGGGAACAGATACCTGAGCTGAATTAAGACAATGATGAAGTTGTATTTCACTGGGGCTCTGAATTATAATCTAGCAGCACCCAGCTGCATGTGAAGAGGTTTGGGCGGAGTACATACATGCATAAGCGCGAACCATCGGATTGTCTGCTATCTCCAAGATGTAACTGAACGCTTATAGATACCTGGCATGGTTTATTGCTACTCTGTCCACAATTACTCGCGGTAATTCCGCACTGTATTTGTCCTAGGAAGCAATAATGTCGGCCCCCATAATACAAATCAAAGTTTAAGATCGTTATTCCGACGACCAGTTGGAATGGAACCGTCGTCTCAGTCGGAAAGCCTGGTCTGTGATACATAAATACGCCATATGACTGTGACGCAAAATGACTGCTTCTTAATCACTGGCTGCAATATCGAGTAAGATCAGCATGGCACGTACACTGAAACAAGCAGTCCAACAAGTACTCTCTGACAAGGTTGCGCTGGCGAGCAGTTTCCATCAGAAGAATCGGGATTTTCCGTGTACAGAGCCGTTGCCCATCGCATGTGCATTGTCGCAAGTATGATTATCAGGAGAGTCCCGACAGGAAAGGGAGCAATAATCGGGTTTCGTCGAACAGACTTGAGAGGCTCATCTGTAAACCACTGGTCATAATGTGAATAGGTAGGAATATGTTGATTAGGCTACATATACGAATGTCCCTGGTTCTTAAAAGAGGACTGATGACACACCCTGACATCGGTAAGATCCCAGCGACTAATATCATAGAGATTGGGAGGAGTTAGCTTGAAAGTCCATAACTAATGGCCGTTATGTTAGTCATGGCACTAGTCAGTTATGGCAGTATTTACACCGATTCCGGTCTTCGATTTCTCGGCATCTCGACTCTCGTTCTGTTAGACATCGAATATTTGTAGCTTTAATATGCAGTGTCAGTTTCGAAAGGAAAATACGGGTTTAACATTGTGAACAGTTTCGCGTCGCCAGACGCTAAGTACGAGAACTCATCTATAATCATGGAGGGAAAGAGTAGGGGGGAAAAGGGACCGAGATTAATCAATCCCAGTTATTTTTTTGTTCCTCGACGTCCGCATTCTGCTTGCGGCAATTTATTGAGTCATCGCTGCTTGTGCTAGCTACCTTGTGGTTGGACTCGGGAATGAGGAGAAAACATCGCCTTTCTCCAATGGTTGCAGGGCTAGTTCTCGTCGAGAATTCACTCCGAATGCCCAAGGCAGGTCACGGTCCCTATTTGCAGAACCTAAGACGCCAATATCAAGAGATATAAGTTTCGATACTATTCTACTGCTGAATGTTAACTGAAATCTCATGAAATACAGAAAGTGCCCATAACCAAAGCTGCGATCAAGCAGCCAGTGAGACAGAGGTATGGTTTCTTGGGAACGGCGCTTAATTAATTCCCCTTCAGTGCGGAAGTTGAACCATGGAAGGCTCTCAAAAGTCTAGAAGCGAGACTAATCGTCGTTTGGTCATATATGAGTGTCAAGCTGCAGCCCGGATTGATGAACAATGGCTTGAATGAGACGGGGAAAGCTTTAGGAGGTGGTATCGCTACAATTGCTTGCCTGTTAGTCGAACCAATGAATTCCACTTAATTATCTAGCGAGTTTCTGTCTTGTATTTGCCAGAAAAGTCTGGTATGGCTGCGGATGAGACGTTATGAAGCTACGATGAATCTATACGTATAAAGCTGACCAAAGAGCTGTCGAGCCCCAGGTATACCATCCCAGTCTGATTGCCAGCAGCACAGTACCTGATGCTATCTTCGGAACTAGTTTTGTCTATTTCTAGCGACCATCCTAGTTTGAATTCAATTTGCTCACAAGATGATATCGTAAACGGTCCTACATAGCTCATCACAGCCAATCACCATCTTGATGCCAGTACTGCCACGACAGACAGAGACCGCCTCCCGCTTAGGGGAAAGCTGGGGCACGTGGTCGAAATGTCATGCGCGCACCCGTCCCGCGCGTCTACCATATTAAGATCCCGTGGACCAGATCCGGTTGGGTGAAGACGGAGCGATGAAGCGAAGAGAAACGGACGCAAATCCACAACCATCATTTTTAAGTTACTTAGCGGCACAGTAGCATGAATCTGGACTGATGGCTACCAAGCACGAGGTTGATTCGCGGTGAACGCGGCGGCAATGGATAATCCTATGGACGGAATGCGTCGATCGAAGAAAAGACCAGAGAGAGCCGAAAATCCGCCCGAAAGCGGATCGCACTGCTTATCATGCCCCAGTAAGCAACTGAGCATCGACTCAGCGGGGATCTCGTCGGTCGGGCATCGAAATCTGAGAGAGTTTTGCGGATACAGAGCGTTGGATGTTGGGTAACTTGGGTTGCATCTCAAGATGAGGCTTCACTGTCGATCCCATGATCCTTGGCAAGATGGAAAATGATAAATGGAGTTGGTGCAGAGATGGCCTGCCTGCATGTCATTTGGAGACAGCAATCCTATTCGATGCTATGTATTGGTTGGGAATAACAACCAACACTACTCCGTACACCATGATGTGATCGCCCTGGAGGCCAGGAGCGCGTGGGAAGCGTGCCAACACTGCTATCTACACTGGGCCTGTGCCACGGTGCCACCACACCAGCATTCTGTGGCTGTCCTAGTCCACAACTTTGGCGAACAATACTCTAGCTGCTATGGACAGACTGTTGTAGAAGCGTGGTGAAAGAACTTCCTTCAGTCCTGATACCAGATGGTCAGCTCATGATCCGAACATGCCGGTCGATGACCATCCCATTTGGAGCTACAATTATGCCGCTCACCTCCTATGATGACCAACTCATGTCCCCGTTACTCAATATCCGTGATTCCGTACCAGAAAGCGGTCCATTTTGTGCGGGGGTACCGAACTCTTTTGAGTTGGGTTATCACCCAGCGACCATGATGCTGGTGCCGCGCTAACAGCGACACTACCACCAAAGATGAACCTGGCGGCGCCCCGAGCCCTCCAAAGACTCCAATAAAAGCCCCCGTGGAAATTAGGAGCCAGAGTCTGGTCTGGCGTGCTCCGTCGGGACCGTGTCTTAGACGCATACCCGTGATCCACCAGTACCAGACATCGATCATGGGCAAGAAGCAATGGTTGGATTTTCTCTCCATACCGCTATATGCCAGTGCTACACGATAATATCAGTAGTCCCTGCGTCATAGTTTACAGCAAAGCACAGCGCGAAAACATAGGTCGTCTATGGTTTGGGAGAAATATCACATCGCAGGCCCAGCCTGTTATGTGAGACCATACATTCTTAATTCAGCTAGGAATCTCAGGTCTGCAGAAGCTAAGGGGAATCGTGACAGGCGCAGAAATAGACAGTAGTTGGATGGCTTGCGGAAGGTCACAAAGAGAGAGGGAATTCTATAAAGGAAAGAGGCTGGAAAGATCCAATACGTTTATGCCTTGAAAAGAGGACAACAGGGCATAGCGCCTGCCGTGAACGCCCACGTCCATGATTCTCCGACCTGTCCATTCGGTCTCCCCTGATCGTCGACGGGCACATATAGCATAACCAAGTCATCGCGGTTCATCTCGTTCGTTTCGTGGTTCCTCCTGCTGGTCCCACGGCGGGCCTCTTCTGTCCAGACGGGGAGAGCGGTTCCGCATTAGGGTCTGCCATACGAAGCAAAGCTTGGAGCTTGAGGATATAGGGCACCCGGGCTCGATTGCGTTCGGACTCAATTCTTCGCAAGACACCCATCAGGTTGGACTGGTATTGCTGGAGGACGTCAGGCGGTAGCTCCTCCAGTGCATCGAGTACGAAGAATCCATTTTCGTCGTCCGACTGTCCGATGAGCTGCTCGTAGAGGTTGCGGTCATCTTCGTCTTCTCCAGGAAGCGGCGTTCGACCCCATCGATTGCCCTCAAAAGCATCGACATTGCGACCAGAGATATCCTCAAGGAGTGTGACTAGGGCCTCTGCCGCCCCTGTGATGCCATTCGGTCTCCGAGCAGAAACGTTGGCCTCGATCTGATCAACGAGGAGGCGCAGCTCTTCTGCTACATCGACGACTTCCATGCTCGCCCGGTTGGGAGGAAGCTGTCCGGTCTGGCAGTACGTATCGAACTCAGCCAAGATTTTCCGGGATCGTTGCTGGGCTTTATCGAAGTAGATGGCCGCACATGCTCCAGCCGGCATGGCTTTCCGCAGGCTGGTATAAACGTTGTTGTCATGCACTGCCAACCGAAACATGGTGGCCACGAAATCTCCTTGTACAACGCATTGTTCAGGCTTGCGCGAAACATCTGTCCTCTCCACGAGCTCGGGGCGGAATTCCTCGGGCAAAGTGCTTTCGTCAAAAGCAGAGAAGATATCCCTGACCTTCTCCTGGCGGCTCATAACGGTGGACCGTCCCTCGAGCTCCTCCTCTTCCTCGTCATCGTCTGTGCTAGGCTCATCAGACGTGTCGTTGTCGTCGTCGCTGTCGGCAGGCGCTTGGGGATGCAGCCCACGATGCGCCTGGGTCGTTGGCATGGTCTCGCCAATGGAGAGCTTCCCAAACTGTCTCGTAGGAGGCGACATATGAATATATTTCTAATGAGACCCTCACTGGTACGAATGTGTGTGTAGGTGCTTTACCATTCCCCGACGGCCAGATGGGTATATATAGAGTTTCTCGCGAACCACGGATGGAGGTGGGAACCAGGTACCAAGACCCAACACGCGAAAACCTAGGTGCCGCAGCAGCGAAAAAAAAAAATCCCATCTGTTATAATTATAACTGTGCCGCGGAGAGACTCAACACAGCTGTTGCTTCTGCTTTGCCGCAGAACCAACGTGAGTTTGGCGTAGCTTCCTCATCCTGTGGGAACAGGGCCACAGGCTGTTGACCTGTCAATCGCTCACAGGACTGCCGCAGTCTCAGGCATGAGCAGCAGACGCGTGAACCATGGTACTGGGATTGTGTCTGAAGAGGAAGAGAGGTTCACTAAAAAGGAGGACCGCCGGATCACTGGGAAAAGGAGACGGAGTACCAGCCGAGCCGCATGATCTCCTCTCGAGACACGGCCAACGATGTAATATTTATCGATCCCTGCAGCCAATTACGGTTGCAAGATCCCCAGCACATTAGGAATCAATCTAGTCTCTCCTGACTAGATCTTGCATGGGAAGCATGCGGTGTTGATTCGGACAAGTCCTCAGGCCGATAAGCGTTGTCCTGCGGCGTGGGCCTTCGATGAACAAAGATCCGGCGACGACCGCTTTAACGAGTGGAGGGGCCAAAGATATCCAACTTTTGCTCGGGATTGTTATTGGAAGGAGGGGCAGACGCCGGAGCATTTCGCCAACACGCGCTTTGCCGTTGGTGGTGAGGATGTTGGTTCCGGAAACACAGCGCCAGATTCTCCCAGTTGGCGCTGCTATTCGCCCTGTTGGTACAGTACGTCCAAATAATCCATCTGCTGACGGGTCCTTTCGAATTCTAACTCTGAGTCAAGATCGATGCCGCCGTTCTAACTTCTTCCATGCCTAGGGGAGTCTAACCCTCAAATGCTGCGGTGATCATTGCTCACCGCCGCAAAACAGATTGGGTACCGGCACTGGGGGCCTCGATAGTCATAGTCAGAGAGCGAAGCAAAAGCAAGTAAGAATCGATTCCGCGAAACCAATCGACTAGCTCATATCGTAGTTCATGCTGGTGATCCGGAGTACTAGCGGTCGGGGTTGACGATGGTGTTCCCGAAAACCATGGTGGATGCGATGCGCCTTGGACCAAAGAGAAAGCCTCGACCTGCGCCGCGACGTTTGGCCCGATTCTCCGAGCGGCCACCGCGGCACTGCAACCCATAATATTTCAGCTTCTCAGCTCGTCAATTGCGGCAATCGATCCTCAGGGTCGCGGTCAACAGCACGGTGTGGTCATGGCTCATTGCTTCACGCCGCATAAGTATGGCCATGTATAGGGCATCTCCGGCGACCACCATCACACAAGTCACTTCGCCGCACAATGCACCTGTAGTACGCACTACATGACAGTTCCTGCCTCCATGCATATGTTGATGCCTGCGCTGAGAGAAGGGTCAGCGATAGGGAGCCTCACAGGAGTTTTCGAGAACAGCCGCAGATTGATCAGCCGCACCAGGATCATGATCCCAGGGATTTCCGTTGCTTGAACCATTCACAGCAGGGTACTTCGAACCCCAGACGGGCTGAAGAATCATCTGAGTATCCGGCATTTGGTATCAGGCCATGTGAGGCCTTTTTTTCTTTCTTTTTCTCTTGGTTCCCCTGCAGGTACGCGGTACATCAGCGGCGTTCAGCCCACTTTTTATCAGATTAGGCCTGATTGATATGACGTGCTCCTACATCCCCAGGATCGAAGAATTTGGGTCAGAAATAGTCACGTTGTGACCGGGATGCTGCTTATCGATGATCCCTGCCATCAAGTGGGCAGGTAGGGTAAAGTAGAATAAATCGCCACAGTGGGCGATCAAGTGGGAACTTGCTAGCCAACTAGTAGCTCTTGTGGGGATAACGATACTTCCTGGCTTCATGTTAGGATGTATATACATCGGCCTTTTTCTAACTACTGCTCTTGGGGAAACTAAGTTACTGTCCAGGCACTGTACTGTCTCTTAGAGATGCCACCTATGGATTGATCGACAAAGAAAGCATCAGCGGAAACCTATGTATGAGAAAATAACATCTACATCTCTTATTGTGGTACGTGAATGGGCTATCTCCTGTATACGAGTTAAGGAACGCCTTATTCGAAACCCACTGTTGCCTATCGTCCCATGCATATAATTGCGCTCCTATAACCCAACCTCCAGAAACTAAACCATCAACCTTCGCTTCGCTACATGTAGTATCTCTTCCCTCCAACCCCAGCAAAAGGCTGTCGCAGCGCCAGGGCCAAAGAAATATACAACCAACAACATAACACTCACAACACGGACCGTCCCAAACCGCAGGACCCCTTCGGCTTTCAGGTCCCCGAAGGTCAAACTGATCCAGAGGAGGCCACTCACAAAGGTGAAAAAGGCATCATACTTCATTGCAGGGACCATGCCATCCGTCACAGAAGTAACTGCCGCAGCTACTGCGGCCGGTGAGTGGAACATTCCCCGGATAAATACATCGCATGTTGGAATACCAGACAGGAAACGAACGTAAAAGTAAACAGCAGCGGAAATGCTTCCCGTTATCAGATACGCTCGCCGTACGTGCACCATGTCATTGTCTGAACTTGACCTTCCCGACTGTAGTCGTTTGATATCCGTTGTCCTTGCTGCGGCTGAATACCAGAGACTCAGTCCATGGTGTACGATCGACAGCCAAATAGGATATAGTTGCCAGTAACCGCAGAATATCTGGCGGACAGACAGCGAGACCATTGGCAATTTTTGTACCACTGTTGGAATATAGTAGCCGATCAGAACAGCAGGGAAGAGCGCCTTCGCTTCGTGAATATCAATCGGAGAGTCACTGATCGTCGAAGGTGAAGGTGGTGTAGTCTCCAAAGGACCCGAGACGTAGTGGATAAAATAGTACAAGGGCGCTATGATGCCTATCCCTTTTATCTGAGAGATCATCAGGAATAGAAACGGCCTATGTGATGTGAGAGAAATCTAGTTAGCCGTGGCACATCAAAAGCGATCCAGATTAATGAAGCAAGCCAATACAAAAAGAACCGAAATCAAATCAGCATGAAATCCGAAACCGAGTCACTTTACCAGGAAGAAAGTCTGAGAAAGAACGACCCCATCTTCTGACTTCTCTTTCGTCTTGCCCCCTCTATGATCCACATCATAACCATCGGACCCATGTCAAATAGAAACGACATCATCTGCAATCTATGCGCTTTTTCCAGTCCAACCATTGACGGCAATGACGCACAAACGTAGATACGCACTAATTTATCCAGCCATGGGATGCCGTAGAAGGAACTCCGTAGGTGCACGGTGACGTTATCGTCGAGCTCAAGTTCAAGAGACGAGCTCGCCTCGTTGAGGAAAGGGTATGTGCTCTGGAGAATGGTACCCATGGTGTAGTTGCATAGTAAAGCCAAAAGGATCAGGGGAATGGCCTTAAGAATGCGGTAGAGACGAGTGTTTCTGAATCCTGTCTGAGGGCTCTTGATGGTCGTGCTGTCCTTCCTGTCTGTGGCAGTCGTAGTGACGGGATCTGATAGAGAATTCATGATTCTGGATGGATGGAAAAGGAGGACTGATGGGTAAGGACGTCTTGAGTTGATAGAAGCGTGTCTTCGATCTCTCGGAAATCGACACCACTAGAAGTAAACCATCCCAACTTTGCAGTGAATGGTCAACTCATTCGTAGATGCTATGTGCTATCAACACGAGCTCTCCCAAATCACCGCCACGCTCCAAAAGTACTGTACTGTCCCGAACCAGATGAGTACTCCAACCCAACCAGAATGTCTGTTTGTCGTGCGAGGGGAGGAAAAGAATCCTTACCTTATATTTCCGGCTCTATGGTAGTTACTTGGCCCTTGGCATATGTAATCCAGAAAGAAGAAAAGAGAAGCGAAGTCCAGCAAATCTATTGAGTGTCAGTGAAGGCTGAACTACTTGGCGTGTTTCCGATCCGATGTCCCCTTTTCCCTTTGTTGTGGACGCAAGCGCTCTCCGTTTGTCCCACTCAGATCATGCGCTACACATCTGTAGTTCAATTGTTGAGAAAGATTCTGTTGTGATTCGGATTCTGGTGTCTATCCATTACTGTCTTAGCTATTGTTCGTTTGGCCTTGGTGCTTTTCCCGAAGAAAAAGTGTCAAGTAACTTTAGGGAATCATCTCAGAGACAACTAAACATCGTGTTCAATTGCATAAATGGGTCCCAGTTTGAACTAAGTTAAACCATTTATCAGATTAACTGGATTAGATCAGATAGATCGGAAGAATGAAATATCTTGCTGAATACGTGCCAGGGATGAGAAAACTTACCCGCCATATATGGAAAAGTATGAACAGATTTCCACAAATCTATTGTACCTAAGAGACGTCTAATCTGGGCGGTATTGAGATCAAGAGATATAACAGTAAATTGAGACTCAAAGTAACGAGAAGTCGAAATGGACCTTGGTGGAGATTTACTAATGTCGAGGTGGATGATCTCCACGTCAATACGCATTTACTACAATAGTGAAGGCTGCGTCGAGCTATTCTATAACTGAAATCGCTTGTGCCACGTACGAACTCTGCGTCACAACGAATATGCGTGTAGCTGTCAAGTACAGGGTCATTGAGACATGCTTCTGTTTGCAAATGATAGGGGTGCCTCCACTGCAAGCTGGATTGGTTTATTGACGGTACATTTGTTTCCGGTATGCTCAAAATGCAGAAGATTCAAGGATCAAGGCACCATACTGTCATGGCAGACTTTCTTTTATCTTCGGCGCCACGGAAAGAGGAGTTGTGACTTCTGAGTGAGACATGCTACTTTCCAACCCGCCGCTAATGATTATGATGCAATAACACAGAAGGGAAGCATAAACAGGGCGCAAAGGTGATAAAGGCTCTATTATTACACATCCTCGGATTTGGAATATCGCAAATGTACACCTGTACGGAGGGAGCAACATTGGGTTTAGTATTCATGACGAGAGGAGCAGCAGAAGCGGTGATTGGATTATATGCATTAGATACTTGAGATATATAAAGGAAATTCATCAAGTCGTTAAGAGGACAAAACATACGAATATAGCACAATGTACGACAGCGATATGAACAAGCGCGTCAAGGGTATCAAACGAGAACTAACTTAAAAGGGAAAACGATGAGGGCCAATAGGAAGCTCAGTGCTGCTGTCTCGCTGCATTTCTGCGCTTCGCGTCTTCTAGCGCCTTGCGGAGACGTTCTTGTTGCTCTGGATCGGCATCTGATCGTCGCCCCAATGGTGCGGCAGAAGCTGGCCGCGGGCCTGGCCTCAAGACGTCCGCGGGATCAATTTCGACAGTATTAGTATTCTCGATCTTCGGCCTACTCCAAGGACCTGTTCCGGGACCACCTTCTTTGCCAAGAGCTTCAAGAAGGCTGTCAATTTTGGCGGTCAGCTCGGTCGGTCCCTTTCGGACGGTCTCCAGCTTCGAGTCCAGCTCTTGTTGGATCTTTGCATCTTCTTTCTTCTTTTCTTCGTCAAGCCTGCGGAAGATATCACTACCAGCGTTGGAATAACGAGCTTCTGCGACGGAAACACTGTAGTCGGCCTCGTTTAGCAACGAGTCAGCAGCCCCGAAACTCCGGAGAATGGACTCTGAGTTGGCCTCAAGGAACTTGACAAGCGCATATGTCGACCTCAGTATGGTTTCAATGTCATCTTTGGGCAGGCCAGCATGACAGATGGTCTTTGGGTCAAGCTTCTTCATCTTGGTAGAGATATTGTCCAACAGTGACTGGTTCTCTCCCAGGCCACGCATGATACCAGTATCGAAAGAGTCCATGAGTATGTTTGCGCGTTCATCCCTCTCGTTAGCAGCCTCAAGAATATTCCTCCTCTCCATGCTGTCAAATTCCGCATCAAGCTTCCTCAACGCAGGCGAATCACCCATAAATATCAATGGCCGTCGCTCGGCCTTTTTCCGCCGTCGTTCACGGTCAAGAGCGATTTCCAGCCGTTTCTGATACCGGAGCTCCAACTTCAGATAAATGTCATTGACGAGCTTCATGATGTGAGAGACTTGGAACTTGTCACTTGACGACTCAGTGTTTCCACTGTCTCCAGCATCGAGCTCATCTATGGTCAACTTATAGTGAGCGCTAAGCTGGGATATCTCATTCTTCAGGCACTCATCAAGCGGATCAAAGACTTCCGCAATAAACTTTTCGAGTTCTTTCCGCTCTTCCTCTAACTGCTTTTTGGCCTCCGCATGCCGAAAATCATCCTCAAGAGTGTTGATGTCGGCATACCCGATCTCATTATCATTGAAAAGAGCATCGATATGTTGTTCAGATTCTTCTTGCCGGGCCATCCGCTCTTTGTCCAACTGTTTGCGTCTGTCTTCAGCCGACCGTTCCCATTTATCTACTGTTTCCTTGATATAGCGGAAATCGTCTGAGAATGATCTGATATCCTTTCTGGTCGCAGCAATCCAAGGACTCTCTTTGTTCTCCGGGAAAGGCTCGGGAATCAAGGAACATAATTCTTCAAGAACGACGTCGAATTTACCTTGCCTGATTCCATCTGGCAAGAGCGGCAAAGGAGGTGTGCTCTCAGTGCGTTTTTTCCGGTATGTGACACTCTTCTCTCTGATCAATCCAAGAAAGGTCTCATCGTGTTCATGAGCGGGGTGTTGTCCTATCGTTCCGGATCTTCCTCTGGAAGTCGGCGCAGGACTTTGAGACATCGTACGCCCACTGTCAACAGAAGCTTGCCGCAAAGCAGAGTAGGCCTGATAGGCAGGGCGATCAAACGTTAGATTGTCGGAACCTCTCTGAGGACCTTCCGTGTATCGGAATGGTGTATATATGCTCTGTGGAGGGTTGCTGATCAATGGAGTTTCTGTTCCGGATTTCCAGGGATTGTCAATCGACTCCAGAGGCACGGAGGTAGACCGCGAAATGCTGGGACCATCACGATGAGCATTGTTGATGCTATGAGAGGCTGATCGACGGAGGTTTTTCTTGTTGTCCTCTGCTTCAGATGCCGCGTGCAAGGATAAAATAGGGCGGCCACCTGGACTGTACGCGCCTTCCTCTGCTTCATCTGGCACATTTTCTGGAGGCGCAGTAGAGATCCTGGGAATGTGAGAAGGTTCATCATCACCCTCGGGTTGTGCCGATATAAGTCCAGAATCAGGCCGCAGAGAGGGATCAGCAGACTTGGAGCGCGAGATCTGGACACGCTGGGGAGAGTGAACGCTCTCAGTATCCTCTGCGCTGGAAGGAACAATGTTATACAAGATTTCACGCAGTTTGGTCTCCTTTGCAACAAATGTAGTGAAGATTCTGTATTTTTCTTCATCGGTTTCTGCGACCGCTTCCTTGCGCAACATTGTAACGTAGCGTGCAAGTGACGATTGAAACCATGGATCCAAGATTTCATATGGATCTGGCAGCTTCTTCTGGACGGCAGGTACGGTGGGGTTTGATTCGGTCGCATCGTCTCTAGGCGGCTCTGGGGTAGATACAGGACCTTCCTCCACAGTAGCATCACGTCCGGGTTCTTGCGTACTCTCCTGATTGTCAGTTACAGTCTGTGTTGTCTCTGGGAATTCGAGTTTTGTCCTGGACTGGCTGGCGCCATCTGCACCTGGGGAGTGGTCATAGGCGGACATATTGCTCGTCGGTGAGCCAATGTTGTCTATTCTCGGAGAATGAACTGGTGGAGGGGTATTGGAAGTACGCTGAGCCTGAGAAGTAGTGGAGGCAACTGGCGACGGCTTTTGGGGTATCGTTTGTTGTCCGTTGGCTTCATACTGAATAGGAGAGTCGTCAACCGCAGCAAAGTGCTCCCAGTCAGACGGAGCCCCGTCACCCAACGCTGACTGGCGCATTTCGGGATTCGAGACGTTGTTAGTCGGCTGTGATCCGGGACCAAACGTGGGCTGCTGAAAAGATATTGGGGATACCGCATTCAATCCGGCAGCAATCTCTGCTGGGAGCGGTGGTAATGGCCGGTCCGCCGAAGGAGACGGTGGCTTGGGGTCACCAGACACGGGACTCTGTGCACTAGGAACTGCCGTTGTTTGACTGTGGCCATAGCCCTGAGCTTGCGTCCAAGATGACGGATGTGCTGAAGGTGATTGTTTTGGAGGGTCATAGTGATGGGTTGGAGGTCGTTCGGAGTAGGGTGGGTGCTGTTGCTGCTGCCATGTCTGCGCCGCATGCTGCAGTTCAGTCATATATCCTTGAGGAATAGGCGGCGGAGGAGGTGGCAGAGGCGGAGTAGTGTTCCCCTGGACCGTTGATGTATTCTCTGGCTGCTGGTTGCTCGTTTGGGAAGCATTCCATGTAGGCGAGTTTGGCGCTGTAGAGCCCCCTGTCGACGGCTGGCCAGAGGTCTGAGATGGATTTTCAGAGCTCGATGGGCGCGGCTATAGTATCAGATCCAAATTTAGCTTGGCCTTCAAGCACATGATAAAGTCCATATTTACCTACCGGTAATGGTGGCGGCTGGTGCTGTTGTTGATTATAGCGCACACCCCACTTCGACGTATCCACCGCTGCCAACGCTGGAGAGAGACGCGCTGCTGCATTTGGCACTGGCATAGCACCAGACATAGGGCCATAGGTGCTCGGATTGTATGAGGCTGGCGCTGGCGGAGGGGGAGGCGGCGGCGGCGGAGGACCAGGGAGATTCCATGTCTGCGGAGTATGGGAGTTCTGGGCTGGTTTCTTTGAGGGAGGATTATGAGGTCCTGACGGACGGTTATTCGAGGAATTCCGCCCAAACATCGTTTCTGGGATTCTTTGGTGTCGCTGCCTGTGCGCCGCGGAGGCGATCAAAGAGAGAGAGAGAGAGAGAGATGATGATGATCAAAGGAATCGCATAGAAGAGGCGGATAGACTGGTCTGCTGACGTGCGCCGCCCACACCCCCGTCTAGTGTTTTCAAGGGTGAATATATGTGGTTCCTGATTTCTGTATCAAGACAGTGTCAATGAATGCTGGATCAGGTAAGACAAACATCACAGTAGGGAATCAGATACCTAGGTGGATCGAGTTACCTGGAACCAAACCGCCACCGGCATAACTGGATGGTTCCAATGGTTCAGCAACGGGAATGACAGCATTTGTGTAAAGATCTCTTGCAGCAGTGAGAAAGTCACAATCGTCCAAAAGGCCACACCAGTGTCGGAGCTGTTCGCAAACTCCCTAGTCCATGATGGCGCAGCGGGGATGTTAAGGCGGCGGGGCGATCGGCGGTCACTTTCCATCTCCGCTTCTCCTTTTCTTTGGAACATCAACCATCACCTGCTTGTACTCTATATTCAGCAGCTTGCTATCGTATATTGCTGAATTCGACTCTATCAGCTGCCTCCTCCCAATATTTACCACTATAATTGTGGGTTACATGGATATCCCATACGTGGCAAGCTATAAAGAAAGCTTTCAGATCATCACTACTATGGCTGTTACTCGGTGCTCACCGTATATAGCATCTTCAGCCACTGCAACGTCAGGGCAAAGAAGTAAACACCAGAGGCTATTTCTTTGAAGCTGATACTTTGACTGACAACAGGAACAGAACAGGGCACATGAGACATTTCTGCATGCAGTCCGTATAGATGACACTGACTCTTTATGACTTTCATTCACTGTCGTTGTGCCTCATGACACACGCGAAAGGGGTGGATTGCATATATAATCTGTGCCTTTGTTCTTTTATTCATTGTCTTTCATTGATATGGCGCCCCGGTTATTCATGTATCTATCTGAAGGATTTACTGAAGGGCTCTATTTCTGTATGTTTCACAAGCTATTCTCGCATTCCTTTTCTCTTCTTCTTCTTCTTCTTCTCCTCTCCTGCAGAAGGCTATAAACCATCTCGAAAGCAATATCGACTTCAACTTCAAAGTTCCTATAATCTTCAACTGCACGAAGGCTACTGAAAGACTAACCTTTTTCTTCTGACACCTTTTTCTTCCCCAGAAAGGCAGCTCTGAATACTGCCAAACGACAAGAGGCACCTGGACGATTGGGCTACTGGTCAATATACAGGCAACGCGATGAATAATCGTGATTATTTGAGGGAAATCTGGACGCAAAGGCCGCCAGAGGGCACCATCAAGCCTCCAGAGTATCCGCCCAGACCGGATCTATTTGACGAGGTTGAATGGGGTCCATATGTGACCCCTGAACAGGCCAAGTTGGCATATCGGCTCTGGTCCTTACCCGACGGGATCTTGGGCGAGGAAGTCCCGCGGTTGCCCCAGCGGTATCGACGTCCAAATGTTCAAGCCGAGCGAGACAGCCAGGATATGCACGCTCTGGTCCATAATGTCTATGAGCATCTGATGCATGACGCTCGGCTTCCGAAAACAGAAGAGCCCTGGGACGTGACAGCACAGATGAAGACGACCGACAACGGCACACTGGGAGGATGGAGTTACGAGGAGATTCTTGCGTCCCCGCACAATAGTGAAAACAGCAGCGAGGCCTCCGTCGATGAAACAATCCTCATTGAGGGCGAGGATGTACTGACGGCCAGATACTGGACCGTTGTCAGACTCCAAGCGGAGCTGAAAAGACGAGGTCTCGAGCACAGAGGCAAATCGGCTGAATTGCGGAGAAGATTGCACGATCATGAACTACAACGTCGACGCAAAGCGGAAAAGGAAGAAGCGAAGGGGGGTGTCAGCAGCATCCTGCCTCGAACCGATTTATCCCAGTGGGGTGCACCACGCCAGGATGATTATATGATCAAAATTACCAAAGGCGCCCATTTTTCGCCGCTTGATATGTACACGTGGGCAATCTCGTTGAGTCCCTATAATCCTGCGTACTGGGTGAGTCGTTCTTATCTATACTACCAGCAAAGCTTCTTTGATCTCGCCATCGGTGATGCATACCGAGCACAGCTCCTTTGTGAGGTTCTTGTCAACCCTCGGGACCGCAACCGCCAGCCAGGCTTGTACACTCGGATCTGGCACGCGATTGAACAGCACATTCTGCAAACGCCGCTGGAAGATGGGCAATTGCCGCCCCCGATCAGGAGAATGCGAGAATCCAACGGTGTGAACTCCTTCATTCCGACTGTCCGTAAGGCGTTGCACAATATCATGAGTCTCAGCTTAAAAGCGCTGCAGTGCTGGCACGACTACGACCATATGGAACAATATTTGCCTCAGAGGGTTGTAATGCCAGATCGCGATATGGACGCATTCAAAAGCCGGAAAGCGTACACTGAGAACTTCGTCAAGGCGCAAAAGGAGAAGAAGGGGAAGAACCCAAAGCTATTCTTCTTCGAGAAGCGCGCGGGCAGCGTTACGGCAAGAAACTACCCTTACAGCGTCAGAGATGTGGATCGGACCAGCAGGCAGTTCCTGGAAAGGTTGAATCGCGAGATTCTTGCCGACAGTCAGCTCCCGTGGAAGAGATTCGAGATCAGGGAACACCACAATCAGCAGGATGAACTTGGTGTATATGCGACAGAGTACATCGAGGAGGGGCGGATCATCTATGCCGAGGAGCCATCCGTCAGGGGCCATCTCAATATAACCCGACATGTGGACATTCATAACCGTCAGGCTACCAAACCAGACAGGTGTGACAACTGCCATCGGGAAATTGCAGGAAACCTGGAGGATCAGTATCAAAGCCGGACAGATCGCGACTCTATACTAAACGGGGAACATGCCCACGCTTGTGCTTGTGCCTTCACTGTAGATGAACCGACCTACTTCTGTCCAGGTCGCCAGGAGGACTCCCACGAGGAAGGTGGAGGGCAAGCTACTCGCGGAGCATCTGAGGGAAATGAGACATGTCTGGAGATTGCACGCAAGCTGTATCATTTTCGGACCTGTGGACGAAACTGGGCATGGCTGCACGACGCCATGCGGCAGAACTGGAACCGGCATCGCACAGGAAATGAAAAAAGGCCGACGCACATTACTCATACATTCGAGGATCACGGGACAGTCCTCAGCCTGGCACTGAGAGAGGTTTTTGATATGACCCTCTTGCGGCGACAGAGAAGCCGTAACCCATACCTTCTCGCACACGAGCTCGATGAACTCCTTCCACTGCAAGGCGAGCGCGACTGGGAATGCCAACAGTTCCCTTTCACTTTAACCGCCAATATCCAAGTGCCCTTTGATATTTTGCTACGACTGGGAGTAGACATCTTTCGCGATCTGACCTTTGACACATGGGTTATCCAGATTGTCCTCCGGAAACTCCTTCTCAGCGTTGTGCCATGGGACGAAGAACGCCGAGATCAAAACTACAAGGTGGATGATAATAAAGCGGAGAGGATCAAGAACGACAATAGGAAGAAACAACGTGATGCCGAGAGACGTGACGCTGAGAGACGCGATGCCGAGAGACGTGGTGTTGAGACTCGTGATGCTGAGCGACGTGATGCACAGACACACGATACTGATGAGAGCGATTATGACGCGACATTCCGCGCACTGTATCTCTTTCCGGGCTTCGCCATGTTCAACCACACGTGTACTCCACGGTACAACGCGGAGTGGGCGTTTGACAGTGAGATCCCAAACCGGATTGTCGTCTGGGCTGCTAAAGGAATCAGCCCTCAAGATGAGATCCGTATCCGCTATCGCCAGCATCCATTGAGCGAGGACAATGCCCGTCGGACACTCGGGGACCTCTGCGCCTGCACTCACTGTGAGCGCCGTAGAGATTATCGTCCCCCAGATGAGACTGACGAGTCACCCTCGAGCGAATACGGGCCGTCCGAGCCACATATGGATCCCCGTAACGATGGCGGCCGAGAAAGAGGTCGTACTAGCGGTAACAACACCTACAGAGGTGGTGATAGGGACCAAGGGCCAGCACGGGATGACGAGGAGGCTTCGACGGAGATAGAAGACCACGAAACGCAGCCGGAGAGCAACGTCTCTCATGAGGACAGTCTCGAAACAAGAAGTCGAGGCGGAAGCAGACAGGACAGTAGTGAACTGCCACAGGAGGAATCTACTACGGACGTACGTAGTCAGTCTGATCCCGTTTTGGAGAAGATGACCCGCGGGCAAGTCGAGGCTATCTCTCGGAAGCGCAAAAGGAGTGCAGATGGCAGTGAGGACATCGAGGTTTCGCAGGAGAGAGATACCCGGAAAGCTTTTGCAGGATACAAACGGCAGAAGCCAAGGGACGCGAGAGCCCCGCGAAAATCGGCCTATTTCCAATGTCGTTCATAGAGCGTGTCGGTAGCTTTCCCTTTCGGTTTACAAATCGAGGTTTGGCGCAATATCTGATCTCGTGGACAAGTCTGCTGGATGTAGATTATTCAATTGATATTCAAAGGTGGTCAGTGTGGTTAGTCTAGCAGTACTTAGTTGGTTTCCAGTTAAGAATTTCCAAACATACTTTCGCATTTTGATGTGATTCATCTTCAAACTGCTCAGCAGGTTAATTGGGTAATAGACCCGACCGCACCATGCAGCCGTAGAACCAGAGCTGAGATCAACTTGTGGTAATAATCTTGAAGATAAGAAACAAACTGCCTAATAACTCACAGGTCATAAGATCCGATATTATTATTATTCTTCTTCTTCTTCTTCTGTGATGGACACAACTTCCGGACTTAAGCGGAGTTAGGCCATAAGACGAAACGAAAAGCAAGGAACAACACGGGATCTTCTCATGATATAGACCTTCTCTACTTATTGGAAGAGGCGTGTCTCGGACGAAATCTATCCATCCATTGAGCCATGCTATCGGAGCAAATACCATTGAGCCTGAGCGGACCTTAGATCAAGAGACATCATAACTCCGTCTATAAACAGATGAACTTATATGAAAACGTGGGGCTCGTTCTAGGTAACTTATCCATTTATTCTATCCACTTCCGGCCGGATGATGATCCTGAAACGAACTCGGAGGGTGGAAACCGGTGGAACCGAGCCGGACGGACGAAGAGGAGAAGCTTGATGCTAGCAATTGGAGCTCTACCAAGCTAGCTTCGAGGAAAGATGTGAATTATAAAAGAGAGCTGGCATGGCTCTCTCCATCTTTTCCCATCACTATCTTGCCGACCATTGAATAATACTTTCAAACATCATCATGTCGATTTTTGCACCTGCACCAGAGCCCAAGAGCCTGCTGGGTCGTCACAGACCGCTGGCGCCTTCGGCTGCCATCAAGGTCAGCCCGCTGTGCCTGGGTGCCATGAACTTTGGTGATGCTTGGTAATGAAGATTCTCGTGAAACGAAAACCAACCTGGTGCGATTGAAAACTGACATGATATCGTACATATAGGAAGGATTTCATGGGCGAGTGCGACAAGAAGACCACCTTTGAGATATTGGATTTCTTCTACGACAACGGCGGCAACTTTATCGATACGTGAGTGTGGGCTCTTCCCCTCCTATAATCCTGACTGTTGTTCTAACACCCACCCAGCGCGAACAACTACCAGAATGAAGAATCTGAGACCTGGCTCGGCGAGTGGATGGAGCAGCGCGGCGTCCGCGACCAGATGGTCATCGCGACCAAGTATACCACCGGCTTCCGCGCCTACAAGCGGGATCAAGAGATCCAGTCCAACTTTGTCGGAAACAACACCAAGAGCATGCGTGTCTCTGTCGATGCCAGTTTGAGAAAGTTGCGCACATCATACATTGATTTGGTGAGTTGACTATCGCCTTTTTCCTTCGTTCTGTCGGGAAATATCCCCGTTCTCCTTTTTGGCGGTTTCTCTGGGGAGTATCTCAAAGTCCGGAAAGGCCCTCAACAGCATAGAAGCTCTTGAGCCCTCCTTGGTTTGATGATGAGCAGTTCGAATGTGGTCCATGGCTCGATGGCCTCACATGAACTTCACTCGGAGTTTCTTTGCCTTTCCCATATGATACTTTGGCCCGACGGTATATCCCATCTATCTATCCACTTCCTTATTCTATATATACTACATGCTATACACAACCTGATGGAGAACATTGACTAACCCAATTCACTACGTGACAGCTCTATGTCCACTGGTGGGACTTCAGCGCCTCCATCGAAGAGGTGATGCAATCTCTCAACCAGCTCGTCCAGTCTGGCAAGGTCCTATATCTCGGTATCAGTGACACTCCCGCCTGGATTGTGAGCAAGGCGAATCAATGTATGTTTCCTTATACACCTCAACTCTTATCTTCCATGAGAAACACCTTCGAAATTTCCAAAAAAAAAAAATGAAAATGAAAATGAAAATGGAAATGGAAATGGGAATGGAAATGGAAATGAAAGAAAGCTAACAACCTCCTCCAGACGCCCGCGATCACGGCCTCCGCCCCTTCTCCGTCTACCAGGGCCGCTGGTCTGCCGCAAACCGCGACTTCGAGCGCGACATCCTCCCCATGGTCAAGGCGGAAGGCATGGGCCTCGCTCCCTGGGGCGCCCTCGGCGGCGGCAACTTCAAGACAGCCGCCCAGCGCGAAGAACTCGCCAAGGGAACGAACCCCGGTCGTAAATGGTTCCCTCCCTCACCCATCGATATTGCCGTCTCAGACGCGCTCGAGAAAGTCGCCAAGCGCCATAACACCGTCATCACAAGCGTTGCTCTCGCGTACGTCAGACAGAAGGCGCCCCACGTCGTGCCCATCGTGGGCGGTCGGAAAGTCGACCATCTGAAGGGAAACATTGAGGCGTTGGATCTGCAGCTTGAGGAGGAAGATATCAAGGAGATCGAGAAGAGTTATCAGTTCGATATTGGGTTCCCGATGAATTTCATCTTTGGGTCGCAGGATCCGGAGACCACGAGTCCGTCGAATGTGATGTTGATGAGGAGTACGGGTGTGTATGATTTCGTGGAGGACCCGAAGCCGATTCGGTTGGCGAAGAAATGAACAAGGGATTGTTAAAGTAATATGGGATGTTTGAAAGGAAAGGGGAAAGGCGAATGATCTATACTCGTCATGCAAAGTATGGATATATATATATATATATTACATGTCTACATTGCATTACACGAGTGAGAAATGGAAAAGCGCATCTTCCAGACCAGTTCTAGTCAAACTTGATAAATTGAGAAATAAATAGCAGGTCGAGTATCGACTCAGTCATGAAAGTATGTAGCCGTCGACCTAGTGCTATATATACCCAGGGAAGCATGAATAGTTTCGAGATAGGAGAATTCTCGTTCACGTAGCGGGGGATTTCAATATCATACTTGAGCTGTTGTAAATATATATCGCCGTTCAAGGCATAGCACCGTGATAGCGATAAGAGCCTGTATTACAATCAAGTGGCCAGGGCCAACAGTTACTTGAAGAGAGAGGGAGCAGCGTGTAGAATTCTATTTATACTTCTTTTCCCAGATTTCATTGTATACAAATACCGATACACACACAGACGAGAAACTACATAAGGCTAGGAGATTAAAGTACAGAAAAAAATAGGCATCTTATCCCAAAGACCCGAAGAAATATGAGTCCGTAGAAAATCGAACAGATCTCATGATGGTGCTCTAGGGATAAGAGGAAGGAAGACGTGATATGCTGGCCTCAATGTAGGGCCGACGTTAGTCCTTCATTATGGATTCATGTCCATGGGCGGTTGCATTTAGGCCATTACTCGCAAGCGGCGACCTAGCTTCTCCAATTCTCCGATGACACCTCCACCGGCCAAACTCCACTTCTCACCAACCCACTCCTCCGTCACCCTCTCACGGAGGAGACCGCTGCGGGCAAAGTACTCCATGAACCCTCTGGCCTCGTCTCTCGAGAGTCCATTGAGCGTCTGCAGCTGGAGGGCGTCCTCTTTGGCAGAAGCGGGCTTCGCAGAGTCGAAGAGCTTCAGCACGCGCTCGTCGATCTTCGCGTAAGGATCCGGGCGAGGGAACTCCGGAGACGAAGGATCCACACCAGCTTGACGAGCAGCCAGCTGCTTGAGAGCGATGCCGAAGCTGTAGATGGTGGGGTTGTTGGAGGCGGAAGTCGCGTAGAGGACAAGACCACCATTAGGCAGGGATGGAGTCGCACCTCCGGGCTGGAGCAGGGACAAGAAGTGCTTCACAAAGACCAGGTCATGAGCGTGAATGGGCTCGAACTCGGCGCTGCGGTACTGGGAATCGCGCATCCAGTGCGCAAGACCATCAACCGTGACCACCATCGGAGGTCGGGCTTTGAACTTGTCAGGGTTGACATTTCCTGGGGCAGTTGCAGTGAGTTCGGACCAGAGGGCCTGGAAGGCAGGCCAGGCTAGACTCGAATCCTGAACGCCCAGCTTCGCCAGCTCCGTCAGGGTCATTCCGGGCTTGACGAGCGACTTCAAGGCAGGGTGTTCGCGGGAGATCTGCAGCCCAGAGAGGACCTTTTCGTTGGCAGTCACGGTGCGGGAAAGCAGCGCGGCGGTGGCATCGTTCTGGACGTACTGAACCGGATTCGAGTCAGGAAGAGGGCCATAACTAGTGTGCGCGATGACAAGGTCCTGTGCTATAAACCGGTGGAGTCAGTATTGGAAAGACAAAGATCGCAGCAAAAACCAACTATCAGATAGAACTTACGTTCAGGAACTGTAATGACAACCCACTTCCTCAGGAAGCCCATAGCCATGGCTTGTAGCAGCTGCACACTCTTGCCTGTGCCTCTCATGCCCGTAATGATCCTCTTGAACACCTTACCCTTGTCCGGTCCTTCACTGTCGACCTTCTCGAATAGTCTTCCCATCTCTAGCGTTTCCCGTCTCACGACGGTTCCCGGCCGGCGGAATATCGACCATCCTTGCGTAGGCTTGAAGGCCTGCACAGCCCTCAATTGGTCCAACATGGGCACGGGCAGTCCGACAACAGAACCTCGAACCCGCGCATCAAGCATATTCTCGACAGACAGGTCTGGCATGCCTTGCACTTCCAGAGCGTTGGGATTGCTCAGGACAATGCGCTTGCGAAGCGCCCTCCGCTCACCGACAGCTGGCGGACGAGGACGGTCGACCTGCTTCTTCTTCTTCATCCTGGCTGACTTCGCCTGACGGTATTTTGCCGGTCCTTCCATACTCTTGGACTTCTTCTTCAGCGGCGGAGCGTACAATGGGGTCGAGGTGTGAAAGGCCGCCGCTCGAGGCATCGTTGACGGCTGCGGCAGCAACATGGTTCGTGGCCCCGGACGGAGCCTCGAAAGGCAGCCCCAGCAGAAAGGGGAGACCATCGTGCTGGGAGATATGGTGCCGTGCCAGCGCAGACAGTCAATGGAGCCGGCAGTGGCAGCGAGGTGCGTAGATTGCGTCGAGCTGTTTAGAGACCGAGACGGAGTTCGAACAAGAGACAAAAGATTCCTTTGCCGAGTCCGCGCGGGAATGGCGGCTCGCTGCTTTTAGCGCGGCTACCGGGCCAGTTAGAGCGGCTCTGCAAAAAGATATTCCTATCGCAACTTTTTTCTTAGATAGCAGCAGCGTTACTGTCTCAACATCACAACCCCCTCTCCGTCACCATCTTAGTCGAGCCGGTTTCAAATCAGAAACATGGCCGCTGCCGAAATCACAGATGCTGCGTCCGCAGCAAACGGCGCGCAAAAGCCCAAGACGGAAAAACTGTGAGTCGCATGCCCATCTTTTTCCTCAACCCAGCCCGTGGTAGCAAATCGCAGCAAGATAAATAGCTAACATGCGACTTCCACAGGCCCGTCACCGTCTCGAAGCCATCTCCATACACCTTCGACCTCGGCCACCTTCTCGCGCTGGACCCCAACCCTCTCGTCTTGCCCTCCTCCGAGTCTCTGAACGATGCACTGAAAGCCACCGCCCGCGACGGCGCCCAGTCTCTCCTGAACCAACTCCTCACCACCTGCCAAATCACCTCTTCTGCCCAGCACGGCGTCCTCCTCTCTCTTCCTCCTCGCTCCACCGTCCTCCCGCGTCACAAGCCTCTTCCCACCCCGAAGGCCCCGACGAAATGGGAGCTGTTCGCCCGCAAGAAGGGCATTGGAAAATACAACACCAAGCCGGGCGCTGCTCTGGCAGACAAAGAGCGTAGAAAGAAGCTGGTCTACGACGAAGCCACTGGCGAATGGGTGCCTCGATGGGGGTACAAAGGCAAGAACAAGGCCGGTGAAGACGACTGGTTGGTGGAAGTGGACGAGAAGCAGTGGAAGAAAGAAGAGGGGTTGCTGGCCGAAGGTCGTTCGATCCGAGGAGAGAGCCGGAGAGAAAGAGTCGAGCGGATCAAGCGGAACGAGCGAAAGGAGCGTGCGAATGCCCGTAAGCAACGAAAGGCTGGTGGTTAAGGGTATTTCATTGTTGATTTTCTTCTATATTTGGGGGACCAGAGAAAAGTATTTTTCGTTTTCTTCTTCCGGCTGTGGCTGTTGGGGCTTGGAAACCGGCACACAAGTTTTCATCGAGAGGCGTTGTATGTGGAGTCTTATGGATTCTTCTCTTCTGTTGTCAACGTACGGACGCTGTATAGTCGGTCGTGGCCTTCTTATCATGACCAGTATTTATGATCTGTCTGCCTGCCCATACTGCAAGAGAGACCCTTTCTCTTTACTGGTTCTTTTCTTGTCTTATTCTTATCAAGAAAATAAAAGCATTTCCGTCACACTTATTTTTATTTTTATGAAATTCTTATCTTGCTCTAGAACAAAATATCCGTCTCATTCTCAAGATCATTCGATGATCTGATTCTCGCGGTGGAGTGCTTCTATCGTACAATGGTACCAGGGGATTGGTATAAACAAAGATGAGGACCGTCCTCGAAAAGGAACTAGACTGAGCAAAATGTCGGGGAATTCCAGATAAGAAAACTTCAGATACAAAAACATTCAGATGGAAATGAATATAAACCAAGGCACGCTAGAGAAATGCCAAAGCTGATGGAATCGATACGCTGAATACGTATCAGCACGACGAAAAAGGGCAAAGGGAATACTTCCTAGACGCCAAACATGCTCCAGAAGACAGCACAGGTAACAAGAAAATCGTGAGCCAACCAGAGAATAATAAACTCGAACGGAGGCAGTCAACCCATATACGATAGAAGCGCGCTGTTCGATGTCTCAAGAAAACGCGGGCAGAAAGGTATAAAACGGCCTAAGTGCATATATGCCGTAAAAGATAGGATGCAACAAGGGGCCAATATTCGAGATAGTGGCCATGTCAAAATAAAAGACAGCTTTGAAGCTGCACTCCAGCTCTACACAAGCAAGACATCAACTCGAAACTCTTATGGTTCCGAGTAACTGCCGTGATTTGGGAAAGAAACATCAGACCAAGCGAACGTTGCTGGGATCTCGAACTGGATATGTCCCTCGTGGACCGTTTTGATCCCAAGGCGATCGTCCGCGAACAAAGTAGAGCTTTTTTTTTGTCCTCTGACTATAGAGAAATTTGGACACTCAGCCGCGAAAATCGTCTAGATGTGGATCGGCGAGAGCGGTGGTCCAAGTTCTGGGAGCTGAGACGCGCTCCGCATGTGGGTGTTGTCCAAGCGCTTTGGAGGGGCTTTGCGTCCTCGTGGACTGCTGGAATGAGTGGAGCTCTCTTCCTGTCCATGCTGGCTGCTCCCCGACGAAGAGATAGCGCGTTCGTCGTTAGTCGAACCCTGAGAGGACGCAGGAACCGGGTTCTCCTTCTCCTTGGCAGCTTTCACAGCTGCCTCCTTTTCGTTTTGAAGCCATTCTTTTTCAGTCCAGCATCCTTGCCAGCAGTTCTTCCAGTCACAGACCAGGAACTGGAAACAGAACCCATCAATCTTCATGCAAGGCTGGAAGCAGATACATAGATTGCGGTAGTCCATCTTGTTCTGGTCCACGTAGGAATGGAGAAGGTTCAAGTGACAGGTAATGGCGAAGAGAAGATAGTAGTTGTAAGGCGGCAGTTTGGAGAGCTCATCCTTCAGCATCTGCGGGGCGGTTGTTGCACCCTCGCATTTCTCTGCGATCATAGCCTGTGTCGACTTCGGGAATAACTCGTCTGGCAGTTCACGGAGCCATGCCTTGAACATGGAGCCAATGATATTGATATCGTACAGTTCGGGTTCATCGAACAGATTGATATCAAGTTCTGCAGAAGCGGGATTAGCTGGCGACCTAGCTATAACGGCGTCCAAGATACACTTACCCGAGTCGAATCGCCGCTGCCAATGCTTAACTTCTCTACCACTGCCAGGAACGCGGTACAAGCCCTCCTCTTCGCATCCTTTGAAGTTGAGATAGCTGGATCGATAATTAGCATCCTAATCAAACTAATAATGTCTAGGTGGGGCTGCTCACTCAATGCAGCGATAGGGCAGAGCCGGCATCCAAAATTCGGTCTTGTCCTTGCAGTCTTCCAGGCGTTTAGCAATACGCGTGCGTCGTGTCTGTTCAATCAGAGGCAGATTGATCACAGAGCAGGTATACGAGTCATCATTGAGCAGCTCCCGCTCGTTGGTGCTGCCACTTCGCGTGATCTTGCCGAAGAAGCCCTTTCCGACTCTACCTATGCGATCTGCCGTGCTGGTAGATGACTGCTTGATGTTACTGAAGAGGGCAACTGACGCGCCTGACACTTGGCTGAATGAGGCCGATGTCACCATAGCGGCTCCGCCCTTCTTTCCAGCTGCACTGCCATTCTCCCCCAAACGGTCCGTTGAACGGTTCCGAACAGCTGGTGTACCGTCTTTCCCGATCCGTTCATGGCGGAGAGGAGCAGTCTTCGGTTCCTCCAATTCTCGTTGGCTGCGTTCTTCCAGTCTCGCCAAACCGGTCGACGGACGCCGGACGGGGGTAGCTCGGGAGGAAGTTCCATCATCGTGTCTTATCGAGCGTGAGCGCGACAGAAGGTTGGCAAAACGAGGCTTGCTCTTCTTTGAAACAACAACATGGCCATTTTCAGGCTCTGTTGGAACCTTCTTAGGATGGAGACCCCCCTGTCCAAGAGGATCTTCTGAGCCCTCACCACCTATGCCTGAACGTTAGCAACGCGCTATAATTGTGCGCCCAAGTTAAAAAGAATGGACTCTTACCCTTTCCCTCTCCAGTCCCTTCAACAGATGAAAGCAGATCCGGGCTCGAACCATGGTGGCGGGTGCCATATATCGTCCGATCCCTTGAGCTTCCTCGACTCTTTGAGTTATCTGAATTCACGGATCCGTCAGAGGTGTGGATCTTGTGTGATGACCTTGTTGCTTTCAAGTTCGCAAAGAATGACCGTGACGGGTCACGGTTATGCTTCGGGGATTCCCTTGGCGACGGCGGATATTGGGGGATGGCCGTGAGGCTCGGAGTGCCAGGCTCCCCGGTTGGGTTAGGAGAACCGGCACGAAGAAACTGATCATCTGGTTTGGAGGCCCATTGAGTCACTGGCCGGATTGTCGATTTCGCGAACGGTGAACTAGGCGTTGACCGTGGTGAACGGGGCGTGAGAGGACTCAATCCATCCGAGCTTGGGGCGCCGGGGGTCAGGGGAGATGGATTCTTTCCGGGGGCATCGAAACTGGAGGAACTGAGATCCAGATTGGGGATGACGGAATGTCTAGAAGATGATTTGGGAGACATCTTGACTCGACTGTATTACTCGTACTATCTCTTCACGGGACATGTACTCTGCGCGCAGCCGGACTTTTGAGGTGCTGGAGTGTCTCGAACAGGTGCCACGAGCCGATACAAACAACCAGGTAGCATAGAGCTTTCTTCAACAGTATATCTCAACTTGAATTATCCCAATGTCCAGTCTGCACGGCGGTTGTAACGAGGACGTTCTGCGTCGAGATACCTCGCAGACTATGGCTGCTGACACCTGACCGTGCAGGCACTGCGTGCTTCCGTTGCAGATCCAAAGAGGCACGGCAAAGTATAGAGGTTTTCTTGACAATCAGTCTGCAAGTAGAATAACTAGTTAGAACGGAACGTGCTGCAACAGATAGATAGGGAAAAGCAAGGACCGTCGGGGGGCAGGCTAGTTGATCAGGACTGGGGAAAGTCGAGGCAGGGGGGAACGTGGAGGGAGGGTCAGGGCCTAGCCAACAAAGGGACTCGAATAATCAGAATAATAAGTGGCAGCCCAGCCAGACAACGATACTGTCGTTATTATCATTCTTACTGAATCACTGGTGACTGTTGAATCCGGCAAGTGGTCGACTCCTTCACTTGGAGACGCCCCGACGAAGAATGAATCTCCCACCATGGCGACGTGTTGATGATAGGAAACTAAAACCGATAGGATTAGGACTCACCACACCGCAGTCGTCATGATATCTGGGATCCTCCCCGATTTTATTTTATTTTTTCCCCTTTCCCTCTTTTCTTTTGTTATCTTCTCTGAAAGAGCAGTCTGGTGTGATTGTCCTCTCGTGCGACCTCCAAATGCCCAGTTGCCCGCAGACGCAGATGAGGGGAACTGACCACCACAACGACTACCGACGGAGGTTCTGGCGTAGATTAACAGGGACGGACCTAAAACCGAACGAGGAGATTGCGCGGCGACTCCACGTGTGCCTGGCCTGAGAAGGTCGAGTCGAGTCGAGGTGATTTGTTGACGAGAGGTCTGGGCGACACCGTCAGGGTCGAGTTCGAGAGTAAACAGTTTGTAGAGGATAAGTAGTAAGTCCAGGAGAGAGGCCGTTCAGTCTACAGTTTGACTTGGTATCTCCCCCCAGAACGGGCGATGGCAGGAGGCTCCGGACTCACTCTGGACCGGTCAAAGGCTCCTCTCGCGGCGACGATACATTCCACCTTGGTAGCGTTATGCACGCACGGCTGTGTGTCAAGCTAAGCCGGGTCCGTTTTAAGGGGAGCAGACAAGTAGTACTGTAGTAGTAATAGTTCGTAGTGGGGATGGCAATTGGGCTGGGCGTATGGAGTCAAGCAGTGGACTCGCGACACATTTACACACAGACGAGCGCCCCTCCGCTTGTTGTTCTGAGCCACAGCCATGTCGTTTCTTTTCGAGAGTTCCACAGCGCAGATCCGATCCGATTGACAATCCACGATGGGAGCACGCCCCCGGGGAAATAACGATGACGCTGCTCGCAGAACGCTGACTGGCGGGACGAGGCTGTCGATCGAGGGTTGGGGAGGCGGATAAGTGCCTGTCCCGTGATTATTATTGTCGGGATGGGGTTTTGAGTTCTCTGGGATTGGGATCGTTTCTGTCGTGGAAGTCGGTTAGTCCTCAGAACTCCCACCACTCCTACTATGGTAAACCACCACACCGTGTCACCGATAGATCGAACGGTTCCACAGGGGTCTCTGGGCGTTATTGGTGAACAACAAACGCCGTCATCCAGGCGGGATGATGTACCTCCGGCACCCGATGCGACTATTGTATTGGCCCGTCCCCAGGGACGACGCGTTGGCAGATCAAAGACAGTAGTAAGTTCGTTCTCACAGCTTGCAGAACAACAGAGATGCGTTGGTCAAGATGCGGTGTGCAGGACGCTAAGCACGACCAGCCTCCCATAGTGCGGCACGAAGACTTTCTGCGACCATTTTCCTGTCACTTCGAGCGGTTGGAGTGGATCTGTTAAAAAGGTGGCGGACCGTGGTTATCCTGGGTCCTGGGATCTGATGGCTAGGCGACTTCAGGCAAGTCGACGGTTTATAGTAATTAATGAGCAACTGCTAACTAACTACTACTACTATCGACACTGAGAATTTTACAATTCAACGGAACATGACCTCATCTGAACAATGATGATAATACATAGCCTCGACTTACCGACAGTGGCAGCAGTACTGGTAGAGCAGGCATTACTTGGGGCCCCTATCTGCCGGGTGCTTTCTTTCTTACTTTCTTTCTTTCTTCTTCTTCTTTTTTTCTTTTCTTTTTATCTCTAAACTTATACCCTGGATCCAATCCACTACCGCTGGGTCTCATGCACGCGATAAGAATATCTAACCCCTATGAGAACAGTGGTGTGTAAATGGGTAGAGTAATCAATTAATAATAGGTCTGTACCTGAGAGTCGGTTAAGTTAACTAACCACAACAACGGGAACCCATTCCGGAGTTTTACCGTGGTCCTGGGCCCTGACCATGGGATGCAAAGCAGTCCCAGATGAAGAACCCGTCTTCATCCGCGAATGATAGTTAAACGAACGATAACAGCAAATACAACCAGAACCCAGAACTATAATCCTGATAGAATGATACGTCCTAAGGGGTACTACTAATAATACTAATAATGGATAACAATAATAATGGAGACCATCCACCACGACGAAGAGCCCGTTGAGCAGGGGCCAAGGGGCACGCCAGGCACGCCCAGGAGTAAGTAGTCTACGGCTCCACTGCAGGCTGAAACACGCTCTTCTCGGTTCCGTTGCAGCCTGAGGCTTAATGCCAGCACGTGCCTCGCTTGTTTCGTCTCCCGTCCGCCCAGAATCAGATCCTTTTCCTCCTTCTGACTCCCTGCTCTTACTTACCACAGTAAGCGGATGTGACTTCTCCGCTACAACGCGCTGGCACGACGCGGCTGTGGCGATATGATCCCCTCTTCGGATCGTCCAAAGTAGAGCCCCCGATCGTGCAATCCCGCTGTCATTCGAAAGTCTGCTTGCTGGGCCGCCCCCTGGTCATTCTACGTACCCAACTAGTTACTCTTCCTCTCTCTTGCGCGGAGAGAATCCGTGCTCGCCCTCCCACACCTCTGGTGGAACCGTGCGTGATAATGTCGCTTGTCTCAGGCCCTGGCAGGGGGAGCGGGGTAGCTGCCGACCAGAAGCTCTACGTTCAGAAGCATGTCGACTATATCAAAAGCCTAGACACTGTGCGTTTCCTTCCGCCAGCGAGGCTGATCTTCGGACTGACGCCTGCGCCAGCGGAAAGATGAACTGGAATACTGGCTGACGGAGCATCTGCGCCTCAATGGCGTCTATTGGGGGTTAACAGCGCTACATCTCCTCAATCATCCTGAGGCTCTGCCTCGAGACGAAACCATAGACTTCGTGCTGTCCTGTCAGCAGGACAACGGAGGGTTTGGAGCCGCTCCCGGTCATGATGCGCATATGCTGTACACGGTTTCCGCGGTCCAGATTCTGGTTATGGTCGATGGTCTCGACGAACTGGAGAAACGCGGCCGTGGCGGGAGGGAGAAGGTTGGATCTTGTATGTTCATGCTCATGCCAGGCTGATATGATGTTCCGGGCAGTGTGCTAAACTTAGGTTTCAGTCATCGCAGGTCTTCAGGATCGAGAAACTGGCACTTTCAAGGGAGACGAATGGGGAGAGACGGACACCCGTTTCCTCTACGGCGCGTTGCTGGCGCTGTCCTTACTAGGACTTCTCGATCGGGTTGATGTATCCAAGGCCGTCTCCTACGTTCAGCAGTGCGCCAACTTAGATGGAGCCTACGGCGTGCGTCCCGGCGCTGAGTCGCATGCGGGACAAGTCCTGACTTGTGTCGCGGCACTAGCAATCGCCGGGCGTCTAGATCTCGTGGACAAAGATCGACTGGGCAGCTGGCTCAGCGAGCGACAGCTGGAGAACGGCGGACTGAACGGACGTCCTGAAAAACTAGAGGATGCATGTTATAGCTGGTGGACTGCCTCCAGCTTAGCCATTATTGGAAGGCTTCATTGGATTAATGGCGACAGACTGACTGCTTTTGTCCTGCGTTGTCAGGTAAGAGTCATGTTCCCATATTTTTATTCGATCAGAAACTAACCGCAACAGGACCCGGAAGCAGGCGGTATAGCTGATCGGCCAGGCCACATGGTTGATGTCTACCATACGGTATTTTCCATTGCTGGTCTAAGCTTACTGGGGTACGATGGCCTCAAGGAAGTAGATCCAGTCTAGTAAGCGATGCTATTCTTCCAACGCCACGAAACACGAGCTAACCAGTGATCAGTTGTATGCCTAAGGAGATTATATCGAAGCACCTAGCAAAGCAATAAAAATATTCGTGGCAGGATAAAAGGTGATCCATCGACGTAGGCCTGAGACTTCTCGCACCACCTCCTGCAATCTAATAACCCACTTTCTTTCATCTCTGGAAGCTGGGATACAAGGCAGGAGAAGATCAATCAACGCACCGCGACTTATTTCCGCTTCTTCCTAAACTCACAATTGCCTGGCAACGGCTGTTAAGACGGGGTGTGACATACTTGTATAGCCAGTAAGGTTAGCAGATGAGAATGCCAATCCAATTAATCTTGATAACGACTTTACCTCCAATATCGCTAATTACCGTTATTATTACCATTTGCACGAGCCAGAGCGGCCGGCCGGTGTGGTTCCTTCCCCGGTGTCTCTCTCCGCTGTAGACGAGATCCTTCCTGCACTGGGGACGTCACTGCCATCAATTGGCAGCTGTTCTTCTTGCCCTCGAGCCCCGCAATGAGAACAGTATGGATGCTCCCTTCTGCTCCTCTTCATCTCTATACTCGTCGCTTCTTTAATACTCATCGTTTCTTTTTGCTGGAGACGCATTGAGAAAGCGGCGAGTATTCCCAGGGGTCGCTCTTCGTCTTTTGTTTCTTCTTCAGCAAGCAACGATCCGCATCTCTTACCTGTTGCTTCCTCTTTGTTTCTTTGCATTGATTTGTTTCTATTGTCCCAGGATGGATCCCGATGCTCTGTGGTGCAACATCTGCCCCAAGCAGCCCCGGTTCAGCGATGTCTCTCACCTTCTCACCCATGTCTCTTCCAAAGCCCATCTATCCCATTACTTCAAGCTTCAGGTCCGCAGTCACCAGGAACCTCACGCAGGTCATATGCTGGAGCAGTATGACCGTTGGTACAAGGTCAATAACTTGGCCAAACTGCTGTCAGATCGGATGGCTTCGAAAGAAGCACGGAAAAATAAAACTCACGGTCGATCCCTGCCTACGACTTCGACATCCACTAAGAGGGCTACAACACGCAAGTCCTCGTCTGCAAAAGCCAACACCTTCGTAACCCAGAACTTCCTGCCCGATTTCCTTGACCCTCGTCTTTCCCAGTCATGTTTTGATAATGCAAGTGGAATCAGAGACCAACCGTCCTCGACTGGGTACAATGCTTCGCGCTCAAACGAGATAACTGACATCCGTACGCAACACTGGCCAGTCTGTCCGGTCGTCCCAGCAGAATCTCCCACACGGGTGGGGTCTGGCCCTTGGAAAATCGAGCGAGAATCCCACTCTGGAGATGAATCTGTGTCTGTCTTGCATGCTACACCCCCTTGGTCTGACGGACTCGATGCACCTCGGGGTCAGATGCCCCTCTCCTTCCCCCGCTCAGCCGGTTCTGATCCCTTCGTCGATGATGACCAGACCTATGGATACCTTGACGATAATGAAGATGAGAGGGAACGGGTGGATGAGATGGCAAGGCTGAAAGGTGTCCTGTGGCCTGGCATGGACATATTCGATTCGGCCACAGAGCAGATGAGACGGAAACGGAACCAGAAGAAGGATGGCAGCATCCTCAAAATGATGGAGAAGACGTCAGAGAGCATTGAACCCACCGAGATGGTCTTTTCCCCTACAGGCATCCTACGGAAGGAGCGGTTCATATCTGGCAATGTCGATGACTCCAGTCCACTCAAGGGCGAGACTCCGATCCCTAAACGTCGCGCTGTCCGCCCGAAGCGTGGTCCGCTTTCACAATCCGACCCCAACGCAGCCTCGCGGTATCCTTATGATAGGCAAAGAGCTAAGAAAAGATCCAATTACGGTCGGGATCACTCTCTGGAGGAGCTGTCTCGACAAGCACTCCCGTTACTTGAGAACCCCGGAGGTAGTCGGCCGTTTGGCAACCACGGAAGCTATTACTCATCTCTTGTAGACGATGAGAGCGACCTCAGACTGACACTGGGCAGCTTTGATGAAAAGCCCCGTGGCGGATTCAGGGTCTTCGCCGACGAATGGAGGCCCTTCAAGAATGCAGCAAAGGATCAGTTCCGGGACGGTGATCCACCTTCGCTTCCCTCGCAGCATCGCCATCAGTCAGGAGCTGCTGGCCATCTTCAGTCATCAATCACCAATAAGGGGTATTCAACCGCTGCACCAAGCTCGTCCCACCGCTACATGACTGAGAAGGAGAACATCGAGCCCATTCTCAACTGTCAGGGGAGAATCGACCCTCTCATTTCGTGGCATGCCTCCTGGACAAAACAGCAATATGAGGAAGATAGATATCTCTCGCAGTACTTTTACGGAGACAGTAGTAACCATGTTGACTTTGGCACTTTTGGCGGTAACGACCTGTCCGGATATTCCTCTAACCCGTTGGCCTCCTCGTATCAGCACTTTCCACTTAATGACGATAAGACGTTTGCAGCAATCGCCAGTTCAGCCTCGAGTACACCAAAGATTAAGCGGGCTGTTTCGACTGATTCAACTATTTCTGAAATGGGTCAAGATGATGTTGGGCGTCTATACTTGGACGGATGTTCTGACTAATTACGGGGTTGTTTTTTTTTTTTTTTTTGACGAGGTATATTTACTAACTGCGCTCGCAGCCTTCTTGTCTTTCACTCCGACTATAGAGCTCTCTGCTCGTTATATTCTGTTGTAGCAACCCGCAATGACCCTAAAACGCATGATGGCTTTTTCTATTGCAGCCCATTCTTGTCCAGGTTGCGGCGCGGCTCATTCCGTGTTCTTCGTTCATCATGGCATTAACTTTATTGCTGTACACTAAAATTGTTACAGAGATGGCGTTCTTATTCCTGTCATAATAGCCATATGGCATGTACCCTAGCATTACGACCTCAATTTCTAGTAAGTTGTGTCCTACATTCGAAGTTTGTAATCAAGACGTAGTCTCTCTAGTGAAAATCGAAGCGAGAGAGTTCGGAACTACTCGTATAAGCGTTATCTATACATGTAGTATTTTCAAACCCCTTCATTATATGCCTGCTGATTAGCTGGTAAAGCTTTTCAGCCCTAAATACACACCGTTTGGTGTCTACATACCTAATCAGCGACTGCGATGGGCTATGGTTAATTAGGTAATCCAATTAAATGGGAAACGCCGTGGCGCGTCAGCGGCACGCGTCAAGCTCGCTCGTTTTGAGAGCTCTGCGGAGGCGACGGCGAATTCGGATGATACTACATTGCGAAAACATCAGCATCTATTCTTTGGTCCTCTGGCTCAACTGTGGTAAGAATCGGCTGATAGTGAAATCAAAGTTAGCTGGAAGGCGTGGCTCAGTACAAACACTTGCAGCAGCAATTAGAGGAGACATGGGAAGCGACAGCGTCGACAGGATTCTCGTCTCCTTCTAGATTTTATACGCCCGTTCTGATATCTACTCCTCCTCTGTTCTTTTTACAACCACGATTTCTCCGCTGTCCACTCAGTTTCTCATTCTGCAGTGTCTCTAGTCGCCGACGGATGGCAATATGCCGCCCTTATCGTCTCAATCGTCCTTGTCGTCCTCACCAAGCCTCAAGCGAAAACAACAATCCATTTCGAGCTTCTTCACCAAGAAGACACCTGTGACGGAAAATGGAGCCTCCAAAAGCTGTGCTGAGGAGCGGAGCGCTCAACCAGAGAAAAAGAAGGTCGCTGCAGGAAAAGAGAATGATAAGGATGAAGCTAGGACATATGAGCCGGAGGAAGAAAATGACGATGAGGATATCGTACCACCTGCTCCGAAGAGACCAAAAGTGAACGACTCGCTGAAAGAGTCGGCTGGAGAACCGGAGAAGGCTAGCCAGTCTTTCCCTTCTAGCAGTGCTGGACGGACGGAGCGTTTCCGGTTTGGAAGTTCTCAGGTCTCGGAGACGGGAGTGGATAGTCAATCAAATGAGGATTCGCGTGAGACTGATAAAGTCCGCAGAGAGAAGGACAAGCTACACCAGAAATTCGTGAAGAGGCTCGGAGGCGCAGATTGTCTTATAGGCATCGGGAGACCAACAGCTATGGAAGAAGAGAGTGCTGCAGCTGAAGCTCAGGATGGAGGCGATGAGGATGAGGAGCCTGCACCCCCGCCTACGAAAGGAAGGGGTGGAGCTTCGAAGAAGGGTGGTAGCAAGCTTACGCCTATGGAGAAGCAGGTCATTGAGATCAAGCGTAAACACATGGACACAATCCTGGTGGTGGAGGTCGGGTACAAATTCAGATTCTTTGGTGAAGATGCCAGAGTGGCTGCGAAGGAGTTGAGTATCGTGTGCATTCCGGGAAAGATGAGGTTTGATGAACGTACGTGATCACTGATCCTTGGTTCCTATTTTTTGCAACGTCTTCACTGAATGCGGACTGACTGTTTGGGAATCAGACCCTTCTGAGGCACACCTGGACCGCTTTGCCTCGGCGAGTATACCCGTGCACCGACTGCATGTCCATGTAAAACGTTTGGTCGCTGCTGGACATAAGGTTGGAGTGGTGAGGCAGATCGAAACAGCTGCCCTGAAAGCCGCAGGCGACAACCGCAACGCCCCATTTGTTCGCAAGCTCACGAATCTCTACACAAAGGGAACCTATATCGATGATGTAGAAGGATTGGGCGAGCCTACTGCCGCTGCATCCGGTGGTGCATCCCCTGCTACTGGATACTTGCTCTGCATAACGGAGACAAATACCAAAGCCCTGGGTACAGATGAGAAGGTTCATGTCGGCATTATCGCTGTCCAACCTGCTACGGGCGATATCATATATGACGACTTCGAGGACGGATTTATGAGAAGCGAAATCGAGACGCGTTTGTTGCATATCGCTCCTTGTGAATTCCTCATTGTTGGTGAGCTCTCAAAAGCTACAGAGAAGCTTGTGCGGCATCTTTCTGGAAGCAAAACGAATGTTTTTGGGGACAAGATCCGGGTGGAAAGAGTTGCACGATCAAAAACCACAGCTGCAGAGTCCCATAGTCACGTTTCAAGCTTCTATGCAACTAAGATGAAGGCCCCCGGCACCGCCAATGATACCCATGCCAGCAATCTCCTCCAGAAAGTGTTGAATCTTCCAGAACAAGTCACTATATGTCTATCTGCGATGATCAAACACATGTCTGAGTACGGTCTCGAGCATGTCTTCGACCTGACCAAGTATTTCCAGTCATTCTCTGCAAGATCCCACATGCTTCTCAATGGCAACACGTTGATGAGTCTCGAGATCTACCAGAACCAAACAGACAATTCTACCAAAGGCAGTCTATTCTGGACGCTGGATCGAACGCGTACTCGCTTCGGACAGAGACTACTTCGCAAATGGGTTGGCCGGCCCTTGCTTGATAAAGCCAAGTTGGAAGAGCGAGTTAGCGCAGTTGAGGAGCTGAAAAGTCCGGAGCGGACCGTCCACGTCGAACGCTTGAAAGCTCTACTGGGTAAGGTGAAAAGTGACTTGGAAAAGAGTCTTATCAGGATATACTACGGAAAGGTATGGCGATGTTATTTTTCGTTAGCAGCGCACATGCTTACTTATGAGTAATAGTGCACCCGCCCCGAGCTTCTCACTGTCCTCCAAACAATGCAGATGATCGCGAATGAGTTCTCTGATGTCAAGACACCTGCGGATTCTGGGTTCAGCTGCACTGCGATCAGTGAGGCCATTGCTTATCTCCCTATCATTCTAGACGACGTGGTCAGCTTCTTGGATAAAATCAACATGCACGCCGCAAAGAACGATGACAAATACTCTTTCTTCAGGGAATCTCACGAGACCGAAGATATCACTGAGCAAAAGCTCGGTATCGCAAGTATCGAGCATGAGTTACAAGAGCACCTCTCGGTAGCAGCTGAGACCCTTGGAAAGAAGAAAGTCGACTACGTCACTGTTGCTGGTATCGAATATCTCATTGAGGTCGATAATAACTCCCCATCTATGAAACGTGTCCCTGCCTCCTGGGCCAAAATCAGCGGCACGAAGAAGCTTTCGCGCTTCCATACGCCGGACGTTATCAAGATGATCCGTCAGCGGGATCAGCACAAAGAGGCACTGGCTGCTGCTTGTGATAAGGCGTTCATGGCGTTTCTCGCGGAAATATCGGCCAATTATCAGTCTTTTCGAGACTGCATTCAATCACTGGCAACGCTGGATTGCTTGCTTTCTCTGGCAGCCATTGCCAGCCAGCCGGGCTACGTCAAGCCCCAATACACAGAAGAAACGCGCATCTCTATAGAGAAAGGTCGTCACCCAATGGTCGAGCAGCTCCTTCTCGACAGCTATGTCCCAAATGATACTAACCTTAGCACCGATGAGACGCGCGCTCTTCTCGTCACAGGCCCTAATATGGGCGGAAAGTCGAGTTATGTCCGACAGGTCGCTCTCATTGCAATCATGGCCCAGATAGGTTCTTATGTGCCGGCGGAATCTGCGACTCTTGGCATGCTTGATGCCGTTTTCACACGTATGGGCGCATTTGATAATATGATGGCTGGTGAATCGACCTTTATGGTCGAGCTGTCAGAGACAGCAGACATACTTAAACAAGCTACTCCCCGTTCGCTAGTCATCCTTGATGAACTTGGCCGCGGAACATCCACCCACGACGGAGTGGCCATCGCACAAGCCGTCCTGGACTACATGCTCCGCTCAACTCGCAGTCTTACCCTCTTCATCACGCACTATCAGCATCTCTCCAGCATGGCCCAGTCTTTCCCAGACCATCAACTACGTAATGTGCACATGCGCTTCACCGAGTCCGGATCCGGGACCGACGAAGAGATCACATTTCTCTACGAGGTAGGCGAGGGTGTCGCGCATCGTAGTTACGGATTGAACGTCGCACGTCTAGCGAACCTGCCTCATTCCGTCCTGGAAGTGGCCAAGCAAAAGAGTGCAGAATTGGAAGAGACGATTCGTCGCAAGAGACTCGGAGCTCTCGTAAAGACGGTGCATGATATCGTGGACGATGGCCCCAAAGATACGAACGTACTTATTGACAAGCTGATGATGGGAGCGGATGCATTGTAATAGATGAAGCGGCTGCCTCGTTACTGGTCTTCCAGTAAGAACCGTGTGCAAATGGCGATATTTATTTCGGCTGTTGGTAATGTAAAAGTAAAATAGAGCAGGATACCCCTTTGTACAATACTATGTGTGTAGTTGGTCACTTAACCGTCCTGTTATATATTATATATATTATCGTGTTCTTATTATACTACAGAATTTGCGCTGAGCCCGTCCTATAATGTATCTGTTATCACTCGATTATGTCCGACAGATGATGCCTTTTCCAATTGCTATCGTCTCTCTTGCGCAGAGTGCATCAGACTCTACTAATTAGTATAGATCAGGATGCGCAGCTTTGATGATGTCGGCACCCTATATTTTGATATGTGGTGTTAGAACCCCGTTTCTCTTTATTCATTTACGCAGTGAAGCGGTAGCAGCGAAAAGGGAAGGAGGGATTATTTAGAGGCTTACTTTTTCAGCAACCATATACACGGCATTCTGGATACGACAATCCGGAATGACTGGGAAGACGGACGCATCGATGACTCTGAGGTTCTTGGTCCCGTGGACGATAAGTTCCGGATCAACGACGCCTTGCAAGATATCTTTCCCGAGACGGCATGAACCGCAGGGGTCTGAAATTTCCGGTCAGCATGTATTTCTCTTTCTGATTTCCCATCTCACGCCAGTCTATGAGTCAAGGAAGGAAATGCAAAAGGGGGGCATAACATACGATATCCCGTTTGGCAACGTTCCATAATGGCTTTGTTCATTGCCTCGTCCGACTGTCGTGGCATCGCGAATGGGTATTCCTCGCGGATAATCTCACTGAAGCCCTCGCCGTTCATCAGGACGTCGTCGACAAACCGGACACCTTCGCGAAGAGCGACCAGGTCGAGGGTGTTAGAGAAGTAGTTCAGGTTGATGTATGGTTGTACTAGTGGGTCAGTGGATTGGAGCTTGATCACCCCGTTCCGGGATAGAGGACGCAAGAGATCGACGATGATAGTGATGTATTCGCCTGTTGGAGGGGTGGGGTAGTGCCATTGGAAGGCATCAGCGAACATGGGCTATAGTTATCAGAAGAATTCGGGTTAGTCTCTCTCTCTTCTCCTGCTATAGTTCCCCGGTATATGAGGGGGGGTTGTGGGATGGGAATGAGTTCAGATGTGCTTACCACAAAGTCAATCTCAAAGTGTGGTTGACCACCTGGTCCGAAGGGGTCTTTGTCGCCATTCTTCTTCTTGGCTTCTCTGTACTCTGCACTCATCTCCAAGCGCTCATCGATACGTGGGAAACCAATCATTTCGAGGAGTGTACTGCCCAATGGGCCTTTCTTGCTCTTCTGGTACTGTTCTGCGGCAGCTTTATACATCGGCCCTGCGCGAAGGAGGATGTTATCCAATCCATAGCCGTCCTGGACTCGGAACACGTGGGATAAAATCGGATGGTCGAGGACATTCTGGCCAACATTGGGTGATTTGACGATAGGCTTGATGTTATGTTCCGACAAGACATCCTCCGGTCCAATTCCAGAGAGCATGAGCAGTTTAGGTGACTCGAAAACTCCCGATGACACGATCACTTCGCGCTTGGCCTTGAATGTGATATCCTTGCCATCACGGATGACAGTGACGCCCGTCGCGACATTTCCGTCGAAATGGATTTTCTTCGAGTGTGTTCTATCGAGAACGTTGACGTTGGGTTTACCATCGACGAATATCCAGCCCGAAGACCGCTGGCCGTTGTATGTCGAGTTGACGGCTTTGAACAGTCCGTTTACTTCGCCGCCATAGACGTCGCCAGTGACCTTCTGGCCTTTACTCACCCATGCCTTGGCCAGCCTCTGTCGGAAGGGTTCCAGCTCAGGGACCAAGGAGCCAGGTGAGATGTGGATGGGGCCTCCTGATCCGATCCTGGATAGGGATGGGTCTGCATATCCTTCGTCATCGTGGTATGTTGCTGGCTTTATTGAACAAGAAGATACATATCAGCCCTGGCCTCATCCGGAATATATTCAAGCTGTATTCCGTTAAATTGTCTCGTCTCACCTTGGAAAAGTACTTTTCGCAGTGCGCGTAATCCCACGTCTGACCTCCGTATTCTACCCAGTCATCGTAAGTAGCCTTGCTACCCCTGACCCAGGTATGATAGTGAGTGCAGCTACTTCCACCCAAGACTTTTCCTCTCGTGTTGGGCTTTTCGACTCTCGTATACTCGGGACGGTCGATCAAGGTCGTCTTGTACTGCCAGTCATAGTTACTTCCGCGCAGCTCGAATGCTCGTCCTGGGGTCATGATTTCAGGGATGTGTTTCGCGTCACTAGATTTGAATTACTCCGTAAGCCATTGGTGCCACATTCCAATTAGGTTCTTATTGGGTTGGATTGATGAAACTAAGAAGCAAAAACAAAGAGGAGAAAGGAACCATACGCTGGACCAGCTTCAATCAACAGAATCGACACACTAGGGTTCTCTGCAAGTCGACCAGCGACTGCACTTCCTGCGGTGCCTCCTCCCACGACAATGAAGTCGTATTCCTGCGTCACTTCGTGAGACATGGTTTCGGTTCTGCTGCTGTCCAGATTACGTGAAGGGAGAGAGCCCGAAATTTCAGACATAACTAGATCTGCTGAAGATATGAGAGCTACATCAGGAGATGGAGAAGAAGGAGGTGTGCATATTTATATTCCTCTACAACTAATACCACAGCCTGGAATAGAAGACGTAAACATTAGGAAAGTTTCCGAACTGTCGTATATTATTACATGCATGCTGTGCGAAAGCAACAAGCAACACCCACATCCACATCCAAACACGCACGCAGTGCGCATCTCGTTCAACGACAATTCGACAATTTTTTCGGAGATTCGAAAGACTCAGATGGACTCGAAGGTAAATGATTTTATGTCTACATCATCAATCAATCCACGATGAAGATCTGCACGGGAGCTAACTTTATGTCGGGTCGTTTCGCTTCACGGTAGATAGATGGGCATGTCAGATTGGGCAAGGCTGGATCAAGATTGGCTCGTAAGTAACAACATGGGTATTGTTTATCGGGCATCCTTGTTTGATTTCTTATCAACTGATGTTGCTGCAGATCCGAGAAGTTGGTATTACGCCAAGCGAAGATCCGATCATCCGAAAAGGCTTAGACTTAGCTTAGCATCCAGTCTTTATGGTACAGGCAGTTATGGCGATTTCGTCCAAGGTACGTCAGATTTTGGGGATACTTGTACTGCATGCGGCAATGCTTGAGGGGGTTATAATTCTCTAGCAGGTTTCTGGATGAATGTCATGTAGTATCGAACAGAATAGATGGTTTGATTGATCTTCATGATATCCTCTGGTTCAGCTCGCGTCTGAATTATAGATAATTGATGAAAGAGACGAATGATTGTGCTGGCGATGTTAACCAAGTTATCTAATCGGACAGCGGACACGAGGGCACGTGGGCGGTGAGCATTTACGCGAGGGCTCAGGGCTCTCTGGGTGGTGGGAAAGAACATCACGGACGAGATGAAGATGGATGTCAGTATCAAAAAATGCAAGGAAGAGACATACATTGAACCAATTCCAACTAGCCGCTGTCGATATCCGCGTACTCTATCCTACTTAGTATTGACCGTTCCGTAGTCCGCGAAGCCCACGTGTGGCCGCTGCGGCGTTCCTGTTGCTGCGGGAGTTCTAAGGCCCCTCCAAATTTTGTCGCCCAGCTCCGCCTTCGACTCATACCCCTCCGAAACCGCTGGTTGAGATACTCCCCACTCTCCTGCGAATACTTGAGATTATCTCTCCGTTCGTTCTCCTGGGAGATATTGACGGCTACTGATCGTCTGCAATTGCTCCGTTGGACCCCTTTTCTTTCGCGACTAGACAGTATCCCACCGCGCCCGTTGCGCTCACAGAGCCAAGATGGATTTGGTCAACCAGTCAGTCGACAATTGCGCTCGATTATGCGATTGAGGTATAGACTGCTAACAACTAGCAGCCTAGAAGGAAGACTTCTTTTCGCAGTCCCAAAGAGCAAGTGCCCGCTGCCTCCCTCTCGAAATACCAAGATTCGCAGGCCATTGCCCCGGAACTAGAAGCGCAAAAGGCTAACAGATTACTGAGTCTAGAGGGTCGACTCCAGCAGGCTACTCTGGATCTGCTCGCAGGATGTGATATCCAGTTCCGTCGCGAGACCCGTCTCGACATTGCCCTCGTCAAAAACCTGCCCATCGCGCTTATCTTCCTTCCTGCCGCGGACATTCCTACCTTCGTTGGAGAGGGACGAGTGGACCTGGGTATCACCGGTCAGGATCAGGTTGGAGAACATGATGCTGCTCTGCCAGCCGGCGAGACGTCTGGTGTCGAGGAAGTTATGGACCTAGGCTTCGGCCGCTGCAAGCTGCAGGTTCAAGTGCCGGAGAAGGGAACGATCACCGACCCCAAGCAGCTCATCGGACGTAATGTCGTGACCAGCTTCACGGGACTCACGGAGGCTTTCTTTGCTAAGCTGGAAGGCAAAAGTGAAAAGAGCGAGCTTACGACCAAGATCAAGTACGTCGGTGGTAGCGTTGAGGCCGCATGTGCGCTAGGCGTGGCCGATGGTATCGTCGACCTGGTTGGTAAGTAACATGGGCATGAGCCGGAGATATAAGACCCTTGCTGTGTCTTCATACTGACATATTGCGCAGAGTCTGGTGAGACCATGAAGGCGGCTGGATTGAAGGCGATCGACACCGTCATGGAGAGCACCGCAGTGCTGGTGAAGTCGAGAGGCACCAAGAACGAACTTGTCGAGCTCATCGCCTCGAGAATACGTGGTGTTATTAGTATGTTTTTTTTTTTACTAATCACCCAGAAAAAAACTGTTCACAGGGTGCTAACATATGCTTTACAGCCGCTCAACGATACGTTCTCTGCCAGTACAACATCCCTCGCACGGAGCTGGCTACCGCGTCTAGGATCACTCCCGGCAAGAGAGCGCCGACTGTGACCGCCTTGGAGGACGATGGCTGGGTGGCCGTCAGTTCCATGGTCGAGAAGAAATCCATCGCGACGGTTATGGACCAGCTGACCGAGGTTGGCGCCACGGATATTCTCGTCATGAACATCGCCAACTCGAGAACCGCTTAGACGTTTATGCAATAACCTTGTCTACTATATCCTTCTACATTTTCTCGTAACTGAGCATCGACGTCACGGAACAGAAAAAAAAGAAATTGCCCCTGCTTTTGATTATGTCTTTGGTCTTGGAGGGATCACGTTTCGGCTCTTTTCCTTTCTCTTGGTTCTATGTTCAACTTGGAAGCATCAATGGTGTCATGTCGCATTTGGGACGATTACAAAAAGACAAAAGCTGTGAAGAAGGACATACCTAAGATGTATAGAGGACATCATTTACTTTGAACTACGATAGATTTGCGACCTGTTTTAAAGCTCAAGTCTTGCTGCGGGTCGAATGTATTTGACCGTATATACTTTTTAGCATCATCGAGCGATGAAGGGAGTATGATCTTCATTTACTGTCTATGTTCATCAAACTCCAAATTAGATCGTCCATAACGGTTGAGATTAAACATAATCATACATGATCGTTACTATGCTTCTTTGCACTATAATACAGCGTTTTTATTTGCCGTGCATCCAGCTATTATATTAACATCCTTTTTTCCCGGCTTATAGATCAGGTTAGACCGTCCCAGCAGCCAAGACATACCCGCCATCAACAACAATGGTCTGTCCGTTCACATACTGATTCGTAGCAGCGAAGAGGACAGCATTGGCCATATCACGCTCATGACCGGGCCGAGCAGCAGGGACCTTCGACTCGTACTTCTCACGCGGGATGGCGCTCTTCTGTTTCTCATCGCTCTCACCGGCAGTCATCTCACTAGGGAAGACACCAGGAGCAATGTTATTGATTCGGATCTTCAGATTCGACGACGCTACCTCGTGCGCAAGCATTCTGTTCAGATGGATCGCTGCCGCCTTGGAGGCGTTATAGGCGAAGTGGTGCTGAGAGGTCTTGACAATGCCGGAGATCGAAGAGATATTGATGACTGTACTGGAGAAGCCGTATTCGGCCTCAGTGCCCTTCTGCAAGAGCGGCAGGAAGGCCGTCGTCATGAGATAGAGTTGATAGACGTTCGTGCGCCACACATTCTCCCAGTCCTCGACGTTGGCGGCTTCTTGGTCAAACAGGTTCTTGCGGAGCTCGTGCGGGTCCTCGGGCTCGGTCGCAGTCGTTGTGCTGGAGATACCGGCGTTGTTGATTAGGATCGAGACGTGCTTTTCCCGAGACTCGATCTCCTTGACGAGCTTCTGCATTTCTTCTTTCTTTGAAATGTCGGCGTTGATGGGGATGATCTGGCCGGGGATATTCTTCCCGTAGAGTTCGGCGACCCTGTCGAGCTTCTCTGATGTCCGGCCGACGATGTATACCTTGGCTCCGTTGACGGCGAGGGCTTGTGTGGCCATCAGGCCGATACCAGAGCCTCCACCCGTAATCAAGGCAACTGTGAGAAGTTACATGTTAGCCATGAATGGTCTAACGTATACATTGGAAACAGTTGAAAGGAAAGAGAGAACACCCATACCTTTGTCCTTGACATTAAACAGCTCCGAGAGTTTGAACATCTCGTTATTCTGTTGCGCGGCCATTTTCAATTCCGATGATATCTGCAATTTCGGACTCGTACTGTACTGACGAAGAGTGGAAGAGGAAGACGAAGACAATGAAAATGACAATGACTGATGAATAGTGAAAGGCTGCTGCAGCAGGGGCCGGACCTGGCTGGTTTTAAGTGCTCTGCAGCTCCCTGCACTGACTCCTGGCTTTGTTGCCAAGGAGGTAAGACAATGACGTCTACTTGCTGACGGTAACATATTGAAGCCAAGAAAAGAGGATAGAAGAGAGAGATGGCTTTGACGTGAACAGTCGAGTTGAGTAATCGAACCAAGAGAATAACCCACCACTTGGAAACCCCTCAAGCAAAGGAACAGAGCATGAGAATACCATAGACAACTCTAGACCGTTAAGATACTATACCAATATGTACTTTCGTAGCTGTGAAATAATAGACCAATGGCAGCTGGATCGCGACAAGGTGGATGTTGTATGAGGACCCTTGTTTTCCACGGCTCCTGGCATCAGTTCTTGATGATCGTTGCCATAGCCGGGTTATTGAGTCTTGGATCAGCAGGGAAATAATATCTCTACGTCAATTAGAACAAGTTTTGAGCTAGTTAGCCAGTGGATGTTGGTGTAATGATGGGCTGCTGCTGTTCTTGGAATGGAGTTGTTCTCTGTTGTCGAATCGAGTATGCAAATTGTTGGTGGTTGCGGAGTCGCCATCAGCATGACGTTACTTACATGCGAACAACAGCGCCACAACAGCTTGTTTTTGATGTTTTACCAAGACATGGATGGGACAGCTTTCTGTCAATAATACGTGCTGATTTATGATTAGGAATTGTTTGTTTCCTTTTTTTTCGTTTTTTTCTCCTTTTTGTCGCTGCCACTTGACTTAGCACCGCCAACCACTATGATGATATACTTAGGCCAATTCAGAATATCCTACGAACCATAACTGGAACCGTGGCAGGGTCCAAATGACCACGTGGGGTCATTCCCCGTGGGAAAATGAGCAGTTCCTTGGGAACAATGGAAGAGTCTGGGCCTCTGATCTTCAAAATTCTAGGTGTATGTATGTATCTACATACGTACGCTACTGTAGAACAGCCTCACAAGGGCAACAGCTGCTCCACATTATCGGGATATACTTCCGCCTGTGAGAGCTGCGACACCATGGAGCTACTGAAGTACTCGTACAGTACAATGCCGTGTATACAAAGGAGAAGACTACAAGTTTGACCTGGGTGCTTCAGTGACGGCCTCGCTCATTGGAGTCACCTCAACCATCATCTTGCCGGTGTTGCGACCTGCGAACAGGTCGACGAGCGCCTGGGGAGCGGCTTCTACGCCGGCCTTGACGATATGCTCCTTGCGTTTGATTTTGCCCTCGCTCAACCATGTTGCCAGGTCTTTCAACGCAGTGGGGTACTGCTTGGCGTAGTCGAACGTGATGAAGCCCTTCATTGTTATTCGCATGGACTGTTATAGTATGTACGTTAGCCTCACTCGTCCATTATGGAGACAATATAATCAGGAGTCTTACAATGATGTTCATGTAGCTGGAGGGTCCCTGAGGTTTCGCCGCGTTGTACTGACTGATAGCACCGCAGATGGCAAAGCGGGCATTCTGAGCTGCACGCGACAGACAGGCATCGAGGATCTCCCCGCCGACATTGTCAAAGAATACATCGATATATTCCGGTGTCGCATCCTTGAGCTGCCGTCTCCAGTCGGCATCCCGATAGTTGATGGCAAAATCGAAGCCCAACTCATTCTTCAGATGATCGCATTTGTCCTTGCTACCTGCAAGACCTATCACTCGCTTTGCTCCTTTGATCTTAGCGATTTGGCCGGCCACGGAACCTGTCGCACCAGCTGCACCGGAGACAACAACAGTATCTCCAGCTTTGACGCCTGCCCCCTCCAACATGCCAAAGTATGCCGTCAGACCGGTCAATCCTAGAACCGACAAGACATCCGTAACCCGACCTCCCTTTGGAATAGACACTTTCCGTATCTCCTTTGCTCCCAGCAGGGCATATTCTTGCCATCCTGGCATGGCGGTGACCCATTCGCCCACCTTGTACTGATTCCTGAGGCTGCTGCCAACGGCGATGACTTGGGCGATACCATGGCCACGCATCACAGCGCCACGCTCAACAGGCGCTATGTATGACCGCTTCGCAGTGAGCCACTGGCGCATAGCCGGATCGAGGGACAGATAATGAACCCGCACCAGCACCTTATCCTCTGGCACTTGATCTGGAACAGGCGTTACCTTCAGACCAAACGTCCCTTTCTCCAAGGACGGATCAATGGCCGGGGATGGTGGGTTCACGTAGATCACCTGTTTATTTGACCTGGTCATTTTGACAACTGCGACAGGAAAGAGACTGTGAAAGGTTCAGTGCAGTAATATGTAGAAGCAACCTCGGGAGAATATATTAATGAAGCTCAAGGCTCGAGGGTGACAGTGAAGAGAGAGCAACGGACATCCACATTAACTGTCGGTGGTTCTGGACCCTGACCTTTCGCGTGCATACTGTCGGCATCGCCGAGATCTCAGAGCCTCGGCTCGCGGGGTCAGCCCTGTTGGGGGCAATAAAACCGGCCCGTAAGTCTAGCGCGCGGAGATCAACTGCCCAAGTGAAGTTAAGCTCCCTTTGCAAGACGGTTGATGCCTCGATGAGTCGATAGTGGCATGAAGTTCATAAGTCGTATAACATGTGCATAACTGCGAGTACTCCGTATTGAGTTATTGAGTAGGATTGTTTCATCGACATTCACGATAGACCCTCTGGACCGATGATCGGCACCATTATTTCCAAGTATTTTCAGCCGAGGAAATACTGACAGTGACAATGATGTTGATGTTGATGTTTGTTGACATTTCCGGACTACGTTCAGCATGACGTCACCTGCCAGCGATGATGTAGGTGGACATATATATATACCTAGGTATATATATACTGGTAGCTGCTCGCCTGGCAAAACATGGAATTAATACTCCATACCAGCTCAAGATTTTATATTGATTGATACCATTTTCTCCCGATCAAGAACGGCTCAGCTTATAAAAATCCCACAATGACATCTACTCAGCAGGGACCCCACTCTACCAGCTTGGGAAACAAGCTCGATCCTCGAGTCGATAGCTCAACAGGTACCACAACCTCCACCGGTGATGCAGCGAGCACGAGTTCTTACCAACATGGTCCAGCATCAAGTACCGCCGGACCGCATTCCTCCAACATCGCAAACAAGCTGGACCCCCGCGTCGACAGCGACCTGAACAACCGCGCTCAATATGCTCCTGGAACGACCACCACCGGCAACGCACATGAAGGTGCTACCACGCAGGTTTCGAACCCAGCCAGCGCCAACAATGGACCACATCCCTCGAGCATTGAGAACAAGCTGGATCCTAGAGTGAACAGCAAGACCGGGGAAACAACCACGAAGACCACCAACCAGACGGGTACCGGTGCAAACAGAGCACCTGTCGTTGGAGGATCATCTACTGGAGCTCCTTCAGCCCCTCTCCCTACAAGTAGCAACACGAACAACGCCGGAAGTGCATCCACGGGATACAACCCGGCCACGGGAACCGGTTACCAAGCAGGAACGGACTCTGCCACGGCGTCCAACAGTTACGGCAATTCGGGAACCACGACTAAAACGACTGGCACAACCGGTACTACTGACAGTACCGGTACCACAGGAACCAGTGGAAGCAAGACCGGTGGTCTCAAGGGTGCTCTCGCCGGCATTCATGTAAGCTAATAGCCAGCCATGAACTTGAGGATGAGACGGTACTGATATTTAACACAGGGTGTTGGTGAATCCATTCGCGGATCCATCGGCAAGGCTGTCGATGATGCATTTGGAGATAAGGAGGGCGTGGCCAAGAACGAGGCTGTCACCCGTGAAGGACAGCGTGAGATCCAGACTGGCAACTTCGCCGAGTCTACCAAGGCTCGCGAAGGCACGCAGAGACGGTTCTAAACAGTTCGACTTATGTTTTGACTGAATATTTCAAGAATCCTGTATATTAGTGATGACTTGTATGACTTTGACGATTAGGACAGAGAGATACCACAGGTAAACTGCAATTGATTTTCAGGGATGTTTAGTGCACTGTGCAAGAAGTTGAGGACTAGCTCACTGGTCTCTTGATACAATATTCAGTATTCTATCACCGTCGTGTCTTCTGTTAAATGGATTTTAAGCACCTCATTAGTTCGAAAACATCGTTTCAGCCTATTCTTCATTTTAAGTAGTTCGTTTCTAGACACGGCCTGAACACATTTCAATATAGACTGTCCTTAACTGTCTGGTCTTATTTTGAAGTTCCTTCTCCTGACATGAGTGGATAACAATAATGTCGAATTAGTAGTGGCTTCCCTTTTTCCAATTTAACATTCAATATTCTATTCATAGCGCGTCATTATTAGCGCCTCTAGTCAGCAGAAGCTAGTGGACCTATCTCATACTAGTCTTTCTAGAGCGATGAGTGTGCTGATCGGTCCTTTTCATACCCAAGGCAGCATTCACTAACCAGTCCCAAGGAGGGGATCTGCCGGAGCAATCACATGTACTACTGTACGTTCCAGACTGTCACAGATCAGGAATCAAATTCGAAACCAAGTCGCTTATAACTAGCTGTTTTCTTGAATCTTGTCTTTACTGCCTCAGGCCAAGATGGTGAGCACGTGATTGAGGCCCGACCGAGGCTTCCGGTTCAGGAAGAGAATCAATTTATCAACTTCTTTTTCTTTTTCTTCTTCTTTTTCACATTTGGCCTCCAGACATCATTGCTGCGATAATGGTATTCAACACTGTGTGTTTTCACTACTTTCTGATGGACAGCACTAGGGACGCCAGGCTGACGAACTGCATCGATCTAACGTGAAGCCGTCTATTCTATTGAGGCTGTGCTGGATGAACCAGGCTCCGAAGGTTGGAAAGATCCATCGGGTATTACGGTAACTAGTACATTCTAGCTGTGATGACTTCATGAGAGCGCACAGCAAAGCGCGGGCCGATATATAAGCAAACGTCCGAAACGCCTCTTGCCCTTGGAAATATAGCTCTCGAGCATTCTCCGATACGAATACGGTGAGTGGTTTCGTTGGATCCGCTGGCACGTCGTTTCGATCTCATTCGATCTCCCGAAGCTCCCGGACGAGCGCCTGTGGTTCTGAACTCCAGACGGTGGAGTCCAAAAACTTAGCTCTTACTTCCGTATCCGTGTCGCCTCTCACTCCTGGCTTTGTCACAAACGAAGCGAGGGGATCGGCTTATTCTCCATTTATGATTATTTATGATATTCGATATTCCCCGTTCATAACCGGGACGGAAGACCCGACTACGACATCCTTTTTTATCTCCCAACGAGGCCAACCTGACAGTCGCTCAATGGATCTTACATCTACCCCAGGTTCTACAATTATATGGAGAGCGAGCTTGGCGGGGTAGCAACGGGGCCCGCATTCTGAAGCCAAGAAATTTCTTTGTTCTTATCAATCAACATCCTTTTTTTACCCGTCCGCGCGCGCAGTGTGTTTTCCGATCATGGCCGCGACAAACACACGCGCTGGTGGCGTGCTGCAGCTGCCAGGCGCAATAGAGTCGGAAATGTTGGATGTGTCTGCCTCTGATAGTGAGGTCAATGACTCCTCACGAACAGGTGTCGACACGTCGGAGCAAACTACTAGTTCTGAAAACGAAGACGATCCTCTCAAGATGGTGGATTCTGCGGACGAAGACGAGGCGGACGACGTCATAGGAGTCAGTATCAGCCATGCGCAGTCGCGGATGAAGGCAAGAAGTACACCAGCGGAGGAGAAAGCCAGGGCGATGAATCAAGGCGGCAGCTACTTTGGCACGATTCCAGACGAAGAAGGTGGGCCAGAATATCTACACTCGATAACCACCGAACCGGACTCTCTCGATGCAAAACAGGCTACGGACGAGGAAGATGAGCGAGAAGCAGAAGAGGTTCGACAAACCGAGTTCCCGACGACAGTTCCCAAAGATGGGAAGGAGGGTCCACGTTCTCGGTTTACAAGAACTATCCTGAGTGGTCTACCTACTCGCCCGCGTGCATGGACTGGAGAAGGAGTGGCCAATATCAAGCTGAAGAAGTTTCTTCCCGACTTCAACTCTCTAACCAAGCGATCTTCTCTATCTTCCTTGATCTCCGGACCAGGTCATAACCGCTCCCGAAGTCTGTCAACAAAAGTCGTGAGTGCCAGGTCGGAACCAGTGAAGCAAAAGCAAGCCCTTGAAGATGCGCCCCAAGTTGATCAGCGGCGGCCATATACTAGTGCAGACTATACCAACACCGCGGGTGAGGAGCCAATTTCCGAACTTAAGCCTCTGAATAAATCAACCATGGCGAGACATTCCTACCAACAGAGACCCGGCCTTGCTACAGTTGGACCACCGCTCGCTTTACGCAGGTCAGCGTCTGACCAATCCATATATCTGAGGAATCTGTCACGGACATCTTCCTTGGAAGACCGCTCGCGCTATGAGAATGTGCATTCGCAGGTAAATGTTCGCTTCAAGGCGATTAAGGACAGTCTTCAAGACTCGAGTAGTAGACTATTGAGCATGCCGGGGTTGAATTTTCATGATATGAAGAGCGACTGGGGTTACGGCCGTTTTGTCAGTGACGTGCATCAGCGTCGACTGGGACACACAGAGCATGCAGTTGACGGCGGACGAGCGAAGTTTGACTCACAATCCAAGACTCGGTCGGCTAAGACGAAGAAGGAAGTTTTGTATCCTGCCTTGACACAAGCAACGTCAGTGCTGACCGGCGATGTGGTCGTTTTAGGCGGATACAGAGGATCTGTCCTTCGCTCCGCTAAGCCACCGCACCGCCAACTCTGGGTACCCATGAAAGTTGGTCTGAATATCCGTAAAGTCGACCTTGAAGTTGGCCTGACGCCAGAAGATGAGGGGAAGATGGAAGAGAAGATCATAGCATCCGGCACCCTTTCACATATTGGCCCCGTTGACATTTGTCGGAGGTTGATGAACAAACTACGAAAATGCGAGAATGCGAGAGACGGAAAACTTCGGGTGTGGGACTATGGATATGACTGGCGGCTGAGTCCGCATCTCTTGTCACGCAGGTTGATCGAGTTTTTGGAGAAGCTACCATCGAACAGCCCTGATACACCGCCGGAGAAAAGAGGCGCTTTCGTCGTTGCACACAGTCTCGGTGGCCTGATCACGAGGCATGCTGTCAATCAACGACCGGACTTGTTCGCCGGCGTCGTCTATGCCGGTGTCCCTCAGCACTGCGTCAATATTCTAGGGCCCTTGCGAAATGGAGATGAAGTCCTTCTAAGTTCCCGTGTCCTTACGGCACAGGTGAACTTTACCTTCCGCACGAGTTATGCACTGCTGCCGGAGGATGGCCGTTGTTTTATAAACAAGAAAACAAAGGAAGAATATTTGGTTGACTTTTTCAATGTCGATACATGGGACGAGTATAGACTGTCCCCATGCATAACAGCGCCTCTGCCGCCAATGGGCGGCGATTCGAGGAAGGGCCTTATGGATATCCCCAGCTCGCTTCCGTCCTTGCCAAAGGTCGGAAAGCGATTCTCTACAGTACTTGGCGGGAAAGATGGGACGAACGAGGATCCATCAGCTCCTAAGACGGGCCGCGAACAAGAGCAGGGACGACATGTGCCACGAAATGGCGAAGAGTTGAAGCAAATGTCCAAACCGCGTCATTCTGGGAGCGAACAACAGATCACTACAGCAGCACCTGCAATGCAAGGAGCAATCGGTCCGACCACGAACCCGCGCACAACTACAACTGCTGGGATGGGAACTACAATCCCGAAGCACGAGGCCGTCGCATACCTGCGGCGAACACTGTCCGAGGTCCGTCAATTCAAACAGGAACTCGCATTCAATCCTTCCCACCAGGAAAACAATCGGTATCCCCCGTTTGCAGTGCTATTCGGCAAATCAGTACCCACAGTATACGGGGCGAGAGTCACTTCGCGCGAGCACATAAAGCACCAGGATGCCTACGACGACCTTGCTTACGCTGCTGGCGACGGTGTGTGTCTTGCTTCCGCCGCCATGTTGCCCGAAGGGTACCGGATCATCCGAGATGGGCTCGTCAAAAGTGAACGCGGACATGTGGGACTGCTAGGTGACTTGGAGGGTGCAGGCCAATGTCTGTTAGCAATCGTCCAAGGCAGGAGAGCAGGCGTTGGACTTGGCCGACCGCATGAAGTCTCTGAAGATGCCGCTCAAGCCTGAGTGGAGGAGATATCCTACCGCAAGTACTCTCACTTCACGCCGATGAGATTTTCCGTCTCAATAGTATAAGTATCGGAGCGGCGCATTTTCCACAGCGTCTTGGCCGGCCTTTGCGACTGACCTCGAAAGGAGGTCGGTAGTACATAGCTTATTATATTTAGAAACATCGGCTTGGATTGTCGACATGTGTCTGTTATCATGATGTTCACGAATGAATACCCATCACAGTTCTCAATACAATTTGTCTTAGTTTGATTTTCGGTGGGGCGTGCTTATAGGAAGGGGCTTGAATATAATTATTACCTTGAGAGGATATCTACGTGGATATACAATGATATACTGTACATATATATATATATATATACAGGTAAAGAAGTGTCTTTTGAGTTGCCCCGGAGTCTCGGTCCAGATTTGTATGTACACCAAGAATGAATGATAAGATGTTGATCGGACCAAAGCCCGTGCAATTCCCGGTGCAACGGGATCTAACAATACTGAAGATCCTTAGCTCATTTAATAATATTTTCGGGGATCTCATAGCACCATGTGCGGTTCCGATCACGTCATGGAACGTATTTAGTCAGATTTTCTGCATCCCTTCATTTTCATTTTTAAAGGCTGCAGCGCACCTGGACATCTCGCCAGGTCAGCATAATATATCCTCACAGAAAAGCATTTTTCGTTACCCGAGACCATCAAATTGCCACAACCTCCGCCACCATGATATCCCATCCTCGGACATCCTACCGCCTCGTCGCAAGGGCACTCCGTCCCTTCACACAACCACAACCACAATACATCCGCTCCTTCTCTCAATCGTCTCGCGCCTTGAACAAAATCGCCTTCCGCGTCGACGGCCAAGGCCGTGGCGTTGCGCAAAGCGTCAAAGTCAAAGGCAGCCCTCACTTCATCGAAGTAGACGCCTACCCTTCCTTTGGCGGCAAAGATGCCGCGCCCACTCCCCTCGCATACGCACTGAGCAGTCTCGGCTCCTGCACGCAAGTGACCGGCTCGCTCGTCGCGAAAGATCTCGGTATTACCTTGGGCGACTGGAAGGTCACGGTGAAAGCCGATCTGGATCCTGCGGTTCTGGTTGAGGGGAAGGAAGGGAATGCGAATTGGGATAATGTGGAGTTGAATGTGCATGTGCAGACGGATGCGAAGGATGATGCGCAGTTTGAGAAATTTGCGAATGAGACGGAGAGGAGATGTCCGATTACGCAGTTGTATAAGAGGAGCGGGACGGGCTGGAAGAGTCAGTGGGTGAATGAGAAATTGTGAGAGAGGGAAAGGAGTGTGTGATATGAGGAGGGTTGACTGAAGCATATGGGGAGTTGTTGTTGACTGGATGTGTGGTAACATGTCATTGATACCTATATAATATAACTAGTTATCTGGAGCGAAGCTCGCTAAGCTTGAATTCTCTAGCAACTACTAGGTAGCTCGCCTATTTATCTCTGTGGGTAGAGCTAGAAGGCGTGGGAGAAACTCGCCAAGAGGTCTGCCTGTAGGCAGGCTCCAACAATATATTTGACATCTTGCTATCATCAGTTATATATACTGCTGGGTTGTTATTGGTTTTCTTTTTCTTTTTCTTTTTCTTCTACGTAGTACTGATACTCTACGACTTAGGTGACTGCCGGCTGGGTGGCTTTTATACCTACATTGGGATTATTAGTGTCAAAACACTCGGTTGGCGTTGTGCTAAGCTTGGCTAGAAGGCGCCTTCAACTTGATTTCCCCTGAATCGGGCGAAAGGATGACCCAATGGAAGCAGTAAGTAAGTATCCGGGTCACGATGCCAGAATAATAATAATCATAAGTAATTGAACTGATAATGTGAAGGTGCCCAAAGATTGTAAATCTTAGCCCCGCGTGTTCCTCAAGTCATTATTGTTATCTCCTTCGATTTAGACGCTTGGACATTTTGTCTGGCCCATGGCATGGAGTTGGATAGCGCGCTGGCTAAATCAATAATTATTATTGACGGCCAGATGCTCGGTCGATTTCCACGTGGCGGCGGGGATAAACCTGGAAAAGAATTAGCGATCAGTTCTAGATCGACCCGAACTGTCGGAGTCCCCGGTCTGGGCTGAAAATACCAAATAATAGCTCCTCGAACGTTTAGCGAATTTCCCATAGAGTGTTATTATCTGTTTAGGGACTGTCAGGTACCCGATCGGCTGTTCCCGAGCGTCAATGTTCAACTTGGAGACGAACCATGGGAGGTTTTGGCGACTGTTTGTTTACTCGAGTGCTGCAGGTCCCAAGATCCGTTAAGACCAGGGGTATCCTACTCTCAGTTCCATGGGATCAGATGTGATTCCCCCCGCTGTCTACTGAAGATTATCACATCTCCTTAAGAATTCATACTGGCACGCAACAACGGAATATACGTTCAGGCGCTGACTCTGGCTGCAGATGATTCAACAGACCCTCTCCTGGTAACTGCATAGAATTTCTCTTCCACTGTTCAAAATCAAGATAGACTAACTAGCGGGACCACGCTCAACAGCGCTAACGTCGCCTGCAATTACCATGATGCCACGAAGCTTGATGGCAACAAACCTCGTGATGCTGAGCAAGACCAAGAGGCACAGAAACTCTAAAGAACACATTTTCCACTCTTGGACGGGCTAGTGTCTTTTGGTAGATTCGTCCTAGAGCCATCATCGCTTCTTCTATCTAGTCTATGCCAAATGGATGGTCAAGTCCGAAAACCGCGGTGGACCTCAGCACGGCTCAGCAAGATACATTCAGCCCAGCAGGCTAGCTGATAACGAAGCATGGCCTGGAACGACTAGATGGCCAGTATATCAACATCTGTCTGGGGCCCCACGATGTATAATATATCTTCTTTCACTCTGTCCCATTGTGAGGTTTGATCCTTGTCTCTCGTTTAAAACCAAGATCTCCTCCTCCTTCTTCTTTCTTTTCTTTTTATATCAAGATTCTCAGTTCTTGGTCGGAATAGAACTACCTGAGGGGCAGACTTTCGATTCCAGGGAGATAATCACCCAAAATGATCGGGCCTCGAGCATCTCTGCTCAGTGCTGCGCTTCTGCTGGGAAAGGCCTGTGTGGCTGTGTCCTCGTCTACCTGCTATGACCAGCAGGCCGTCTCCAATCCGTCCTTCGAAGATGGACTCACAGACTGGACCGTGACACGCGGAACACCGGTAGTCGTCACTGGAGATGCTCCCGATGGGACTCATTACCTGTAAGCCTGATCTAATAATCTCTACTACATTTTTTTTTTTTTTCAAGAAAAAAGAGGGGTGCCAGCATGACTTCATAGAAAAGAAACAAGAGCTAATACTGTAATATCTTCCTAGCTCGCAAACTGCTTACAATGAGGGTTATGAACTATACCTTACTCAACAGCTCGAGGGACTTGATACGAGTGCAACCTACACGGCATCTTTTACGTGGAAGGTAAACCTTTCCCGCGCAAACGTTTACGGGGGTGTCTGTTCGGTTGGTATTTATCACGATAACATCCAAAGCTCCATCGCCCAAACTGAGCAGCCAATCCTACCAAATACTGTTGATCAATGGTACACGGTCACGAGCTCATGGATACCTACGAGCTCCAACCCCACTCTGATCTTCTACGGGTTGTGTGAATATCCGTACGCAATTGGTAACTTGGAGTTAGAAGTGGACAACATTGAACTGACGACGGAGGTTTGTTGTACGACATCGTCTACTCCAACTCCCACTCCGTCTTCGATGCTAGTTTCGAGCCGCATGCCTCTTTCGATCTCCTCGAGCAGAGTGTCCCCATCTCCGTCTTCAACGCCGATTGCTTTCTCTAGCCCATCGGCGAGAACACCTGCTGTGAGCCCGAGCAAGTCGTCTGCACTGCCATTGTCTTCGTCTTCTTTCTCTGCATCTAGTTCTTCTGCGAGAAAACCTGTTGGTACATCGATCAGGTCGAACACGCCATCGGTATCGGCGTCATCTTCAGTGGTCTCAAGCAGTCCTGTTCGTACGCCCGCCAGGTCATCCCCGTCGCTGTCTTCCACGGTATTTCCAGCTGCTAGTCCTGCGATTCCTACCAAAGGTGCTAGCGGACTGCCTTCTTTCAGCTCCTCCGGGTCGCCGTCTTCTAAGCCGGTGTCTGCTTCTGGTTCTGCAGTGAAAGTCCCTACCGGAGGCGTTAGCAGGTTGCCTCTCAGTTCTTCTGCGGTTATCTTACCATCGCCGTCTGTGGACCCCAGCGGACGCAATCCATCTGCTTCGGGTTCATCCGCGTCGTCCACTCCGGCGAGTATCCTTCCTCCTTCCAGATCTACTACTGGAGCAACGGATATCCAGTCCTCCCAGCCATCGACATCTCCAAAGTCTACTACGTCGACGATCTTCTCCACGGTAACTGCAACTATCACTGCGTGTCCCTCTTCAGTCCAGAACTGCCCTGCGAGGTCTAAGACTACATATCTCACTACCAAGACGATTGCCATCTCTACTACTATCTGCCCAGTCACCGAGACCCAGGAGGCGTCTGTGACCGCAGCGCCAGTAGCGTCAAGCCGCTCTGACAGCACCGCCCTGTTCACAACATCGACGGTCTATTCGACGAGAACTGCAACCATCACGGCTTGCCCCTCGACAGTGACAAACTGCCCTGCCAGGGCTAAAACCACGTACCTCACTACTGAGACTGTCCTCGTCTCGACCACTGTCTGCCCGCTTACAGAGACCCAAGCTGCATCTGCTCCTGGACTACCTCAGGCATCAAGTGACGTTGACACAACCCAATTCATTACCTCAACAGTGCTCTCCACGAGGACCGCAACGATCACAGCCTGTCCATCCACGGTCACAAACTGCCCCGCTTCAGCTAAGAGCACATATGTCACTACTGAGACCCTCGTCGCTGCTACTAGCGTGCAGACAGTTACTGAAGGCAATCAGCCTGCAGTCACTGGAAGCCCCATGGGATCGAACCCCAGTGTGCCCTCCGCAGCCTCTGAAGGATCAGTTACTTCAACTGTGTACTCATCGATGGCTGTCACTGTAGTTGGCTGCTCCAATGGCCAATCAAAGTGCTCTGATTCTGCTAAATCGAAGCAGATCAGCACTACTCTGGTCCCTGTCAGCACTGTAGTCCTACCTGCGCCAGGCATCTCTGAGACCACTTCTCCCATTTCGATTGCTACCGCACCCATCAAGCCAGCGACTCAGACACCTGGGTTCTCATCCCTGCCGACAATCGCGTCAAACTCATCATCAAACGGCTCGTTCATTTCCTTTGCGCCGACTAGAACTGCGACCTTCGGATCCGCAAGCGGTCTTCACACGTCTACTTCACTCCCTGTTCCTCTTGAGACCTCCGCTTCTGGCCCAAGCGCACCTGTCTTCACCGGAGCAGCTTCCCGCGACACCTGGAACTTGACGAGTCTTGTGCTGTTTATGGTTTGTGTCATCTTGATGGCTATCTAATAATCTGATGCCCTAACCGCGAACAATGCATTTCTTATCCTCTATATATAGATAGATGTGGCATGCTACAGATAATGTTTATATGTATATAGTATAAACGATATTATACATAATGACCCACTAAGTTCTATTCTCTTACATTCCTACTAGGTTAAACACACACAGAAAAAGAGTTACGACTTATGATCTTCGCAGCTAGAAATATACAGACATGTATCTACAACGGAAATACTCAACAATCCCGGACGATTTACCGCGTTAGTAGAAGCTGGGGATATCACACTTCTCCATCTTCTAGGTGGGCCTCAAACGGGACCATCCAACCGTATGATACTAACGGACAAGATCGCCATAATCCATCTCAGGCCCTACCCCAGCCAGGAGATCTAACCATCTATCCATATACTTTTTACCAGCCCTTAGTATTATCCGGTCTATCCCCCCTAAAAAGGACACTCTCTATTACGATCCCTTCCGCTCCAATGCATTAGAATGAAAAAGGACAACATCCACAGAACTGAAAGATACGACCTGATCCGGTTATCATTTGATATAATCCCAATATCCTATCTAACTTGCGTCGATCGGTGGATCTGCACGGTCCGCCTATAGCTAGCTAAATACCAAGATGATTGGCGATCAGTAAGGATGTCTGAGTAAATGATATTATCCTCCGTATATTAGTTACACTGGGTATTCTTTACACCAGGAGCCGGCTTGGTTTCGAAGGTCCAGATTTGTATGAGAGTCTATCTATACGGAGTACTTCCGAGGACGGTTTGATATATATACTTCTACTAAGGACCTCCCTTTCCCAGTTACATGTAGGGTACTACCGAAGTTAGAGTAGAGTACATGTCAAGCAAACAAGCTATCTATCCTTCCTCTCATCATGACCTAACTAATTACTATACACACAATAGTTAGCCCGTCTATTCTTCAGAGATTGGAAAGTAAAGTAAAATTCCCCAGCAAATATCACCCTTGCAATAATAACGCAACTACCCAAAACCAACATAATCACACGCAAACTACGGAGTAGCACAGACCCGAAGTTTCAGTTCCTTTTTTTTTCCTCCTTTCATTAGCTGTTAACAAGCATAATTTATCTTATCTCAGGGAACGGGGAGGAGCCAAGAGCATAACGCAGGGGACAGGGGGTAACTACAAAAGTTCGGGGAAAACGGGAGTTGTATGTACCGTGTCATGCAGTCCTAAAAGTGCGCTTTTGTCATGTTATCAATTGTTCCTTTTCCCCGGATACGGCTGGGTGGGGTAACTACTTGTACCCCGATGTAGTACGGAGTATATACTTTGATAGACCCCGGTTCTTCGTCTCTGGAGACTTGATTATGGTACTCTAGTTAGTTAGTGCGGTTAATGCTTGAGCTTCTTTTTTTTTATATATACAGGGTATCTATCTAAAAGGTAACTAGACAAGTTATAACTAACGAACTGGGAAAAGAACAACAACGATTAATAATAATAATAATAATGCATTAACTATCATCATCCCTGAACACTGAAACCGGGGTGTATCCGCTATTGCTCCGTGCTGCGTACTTCCGCTCCCGTACCCCCATACCGTGCATGGTTTAGGGTGAGTCTCTCTCTTAAAGTATGTGCGTTAGTTGACTAGCATATGCTGTGGATAGTATAGTCTAGTTACTTAGCATAGTCTTGACAGGGATAGTTAGTTCTTCGTTTTGTCGTAGCTACCGAAGGATCTAGACTAACTAACTAACTGAATAATCAGATCGGAGAATTGCCACCATCTGCTAAGTATCTGCCGAATGATATACATTCTAAAACACGAGGTTAGTTTGAAAAGCTCAGATCACCTCCCTTTCCCCGAAAGGAAGAAAGGTTTTCGGCTCCGTTAAAAGGATGTTATATCACTACCTAGTTAGGGTGCGCGGTTGAAATGGGCTATTTCATACCAACCTGATGGGATAATACGATTTTGAGCCGTTCCTCAGCTGCACTGATAAGGACGAGGGTAAGGTAAGCGTTCCTGTTGTAGACGTCACATTGGAAAGAAAGGTGTTCGGCCAAACATGATAATAAGCTTTTCATAGCGTTTCAGATGTACTCCAGGGTCAATTCAGCCGAGAATTGGTGGCGGTATTGTGAGCCTTGCCACCATAACAACTAGTTACTATGGGGCTATCTCGTATTTTGGTGGCCTACTTAGTGGGTGGGATTAGCATCTTAGGTTCTTGGTAGGGCAACACGAGGCTTAAGGTTCCCAATGATATGGAGTCTGTTTCTTCAGATATTGTAATATTCTGGTTTGGAGAGAATTTAGTCCAGGAGGGTTGAAGAATCAAATCACTTTTCTGAGCTAGTAATATGAGCAGAACAAAAAAATTATAGAGTAGAAGAAGAAGTCGTATTTGCATATTCTCTCGCACGCGAATTGCTTCTAGACTCTTGTATCCACCACGGTCATTTACATCATCAACGTCGATAGATGAAAAACTCTTGGACATCAGTATACAGGAAGCTGAAGAAGCGGAAAGACGAGTTCTAAATAGATAAGAAAGGGAAAGGAAAAATACATGCCAGGGATTATATGTATATGTTGCGGACGGGGACTCGCCCCTTGGTTTCAGGAAATATTATCATCGGGTTCATGCGTGTGTAAAGGTACAGAACGTACAAGAAACGAGGGAAATGGGAAAGTGGAATTACAATGCTTGCAGGTAGCCGCCCTGCACATATAGAGGTATACAAAAGAATGACATGCTTCCATTGCTCCTGGGCGCCGTCCGTCGATTGCCGTCTACCACATTCTGTTCGAAGTCGCAGTACGTTCAGGCATACGCGGTTCTTCCGGCAGGTCCCTACTCGAGCGTCCGCTTTGGTCGTCTGGGTACGCTGGTTCGGAAGTAACCTCGACAGTTGTCTCCTGGTACACTTTGCCAAACTCAGGTCCCTTCGGGACGATATCGTCTGTGGAACCGTCGCGGGCATGGGATGAGTCGTCAGCATCGTGACCCCGGAGGGCACTCCGGTTCGCTTTCTTGTCGACAGTAATGAGCGTGATGTTGTTTCCGACACCACCACTCTTCGGGCCGTTGCTGAAGATGTGGTTGTAGCTGCGATCGCGGCTAGGTTCGGATTCGATGATGAGATTCTTGCGGGTCAATGTGTATATGAGCACGTCGACCCAACCGGAACTGGTCATCATTGCTCCTGAGAGACAGAAATAGGCCATGCCAGGTGTGTTTCCCCGAGCAGATGCCATGCGGCCAGCCGCAAGTGGAAGGGATAATACCAAATAAGCAAGTGGGTAGACAACCATGTAACTGACGACACGTCTCAGACGTTGCAGACTTTCCCTCTGGCTATTGCCTAGGATAGCAGACTGATGGATCCGCCGGCGCAGCTGGAAGAACATAATAGCGTACAAAGTGACGGTGCCGAACTCGGCCAGGAAGATCCAGATATAATGCGTCCACAATCGATCGGGTTCGAATGCGTCGTCAATCCAGCACTATGCGCGCACATCAGCAATGACATCAAGGGATCAAAGCACTGCAGAACAACATACCCAAGCCCCTGACGGAATGAAAACATCTACACCACCATGAGAGCCGATAGGGATGACCACCAGTATGCCCACAAAGACCCATATTCCGATCACAGACACGACGAATGCCCTATGTGAGAGTTTGCGGCCCAGTGTGACCATCATGAACGTATGGGCTGCGATTATCAGGACAAACAGGCCAGAGCCCGGATCACCAATCTGCAGCCATAGGCCCTGAAGGAAGCAGGCTGTTGATGGTGAGTCTATCCTGTTGTGCGCGATCCAGTGGGTACATATCAGGAAAGCGATAGACTGTTGGAGGTCCGCCAAAACGAGGTTGTAAATAAGAATGACATATTGGTTATAACCGATGTAACGAGCGTAGCTTTTCTTCCAGAAAATCAAACGATAGGAGATGAAGAGCAGCAAAGACAGTGTTGCAAGCACCGAGATCACTGCAAGGACCGAAATGGCGATGAGACCCTTTCGCTGGACATCTGGCAAAGGACTAATTATCGTATGGCCGCCGCGAGGGTACCAGTTTTTCCTCCAGTGTTCCCTCTGCCTTCGCCCTGTCGAGGGCGCGCACCAGCTTCACAGCCTGGATGAGGTTCATTGCGAGTTCGTTCGCAATAGTGGATAGCTTCCGTCAAGGCGCATTGTTTCCCTTTCCAGGAAATTTCAGAGACCGCAAGATGGACCAGACGCCGAGAGCCTTCCCAGATATAGTACCTGAGATCGGCCCTTAAAACACCTGCTCAGGGCGGGGACCACAGACATCGAGACTCAGCGATCGCTGCAGAAACTGGCCCGAGTCGTAAAAGGGAAAGGGGAGACACAGATCCCCCGAGACGATCCTCCGAGCAGAATCAGTTTCCTATCACCATAACGTTTGATGTCTCGTCAGAGAGTTACCGCCAGTCCTCATCTGGCTGCGTCTTTCGGGCCGGCATCCCCTAGAGGCGTGGATCATAGGGCTTCCACTTGTCGACTAGGGCTGCACTATAGAAGACGTGGAAAAGTCCGTCGAAGCTTTCGCTGGCACAGTTAATCGCCAATACGAGGCATCAATCCGCGAACGCCCAGACGTAAGCGAGAGAGGTTGCCACGCCATAGCTCCAGGTACCAGGTTTTGTCCCCCTGACCCACCGTTGGCGGACGGCATTGTTAGAGACAGTTTTCGTTGGACAATGGATTTGGAGAAGATGGTCATCAGCCTGGATTGGGCGTTTGAGAGACAGCGAACGCACCGGCCCTCGTGCCGGGATCAAGTGTCATCGTCTTGGGTTTGGCTTACGCCACCGGTGAACCGTTGCAGTATAGGACATCAAACTGACATGCAGATAGAGATGAACATAGCTTATTTTCCCATCAGATGGACAGAATAAACGTCCGATGTTGGTATGTTTCTGCCACCTGGTGACCAGCACTGATCTCTTGCCATCGAGATCTGGCTGACACGATGTGTCCATGGTACATCTAGCAATGGACGGCCGGTCGACTTGGTCTGGGGGAGCGCGGGGACCCCAAGATCCGACCCACACATCTTTAGGGGATTCTGTGTATTATTGTTGCTCCGCACACTAGAATAATAATATGCCGTGCTGACCCTATGGTACTGCAAGATTGTGCCCGGTTCCCTATCCGAAACTGGCGCTGTTTAACTGCCGTCGTCGCACTGCCTCGGGTGCCACCCGAAGATTCTCTCTACTTACAGAAGGCGTTATCGTTGTCATGAAGGCGCCAGAAGCTCCTGGACGCCCCTCTCCCTTTTGCAGGGAGACGGATTCCCACCTCGATTGATTGTAGGCGGCGTGGTCGACGCGATAATGCGAAACCATCGACTTGGATGATCGATAGACTGGAAGAAAATAAGCTTCAGGTTCGTAAACAGGTACACGGATGCGGAGTGACCAGCTCGCGGGGGGACCACGGTCTGATGCCCTGTCAGGGGCAAAAATGAAGTTGGAGAATACGAGCTCTCCACATGGCGGGCCCGTCGAGCTCAGTCTTGACGGCGCTGAGTGGTAAATCAGTAATAGAGCGGCGCAAATTCAGCATCAAGTTTTGTCATCCGTTACCGCGAACCCACTGCCGATGAGTAAAGAGTTTTTCGTCGAGCGAGGCCGCATGGTTAGAGTCAAGTTCCCTGGTCGGCATGGGAGTCATATCACGCTGCTAAATTCTCTTGGCAGTCTTCTGGCGCATGCTTGACCAGGTAGCGTAGATAGCTGACTGACATGAATAATCATGATCCTCTGTCGCAGTAAAAATGTACGGAGTATCTAGTTGTGGGAGTTTCGGCAGGATGATTCCGAAGAGGCTCTGTCGAATTCAGCTAGATACTTGCTCTCCTCTGTCTACAATATTTTTATTTCTCCCATCCATGCCCTGGCATCCGTTATCACGTATCGCTAACACAAATAATGCCCTGGGATCGAACCCCAGTTTGGCCATAACTTTTTGCTCCCTTTCTTTTCCTACTTGAAAGAGTTTATTTTTTTCGTGTCAGTCATATTGTACCTCCACTGCCAATGCTGCCTCTGTTGTGCTTATGTTCATCTTGGCTTGTCTTGTCGTTGCTTGTCTTCTCAAGTGGACTTTCCCCCGGCATGCATGGTTAGTGAAAACTTCTTGCATTTGCAGTAACTGACTAGCTCTACAATATGTTGCCATTGGCAGCTATTACTGGGATCATTTCATTGTTATCCTGAAGGCTCCAGGGGGAACAGCCAACCGGCATCAATAACCCCTCATATCCCTACATAAGAACCCAGAGACACAGTTAACTCTTTGAAGCGAAAACGAACGAGCTGTGAATCGATGCCCGGGATAATCAGGGGCAATAATAGCAACAATGTACTCAGAGCCGCATAGAGCAGCCTCGGGACGAGGTACGAATAGCTCTCGGCCGAGCCCAAACAGCTTATCCTCTGCAGCGGATTGAAGATCAGTGTTTTCCTAGTCGGTCGACTGCCACCTGGGCCTGCTGCGCCGCGCCGCTAATCGAAGAGAAATAATGGCTCTGATTAATATGGGGTAATAGTTCCCCATCATGATGGTGCATTTACTGCACAGAACCTGGAGATCTCTGCTACACTTCCCCCTTTCTCCTTCCGTCCGATAACCATTTGGAATAAGTCGATCCTTTGACGCAGCTTTGAACTATTTCAGTTAGGGCCAGCGTGAAACAAGAAATGACATATTTTATGCTTGAGGGAGGTCTAACAGGGAACGCAAGTCACAGCAAAGTTCATCCAGGCTCTGAAATCGACCACAAGAATGGTGTGGATTACACGCCACGTTAGACATCGGGGGTATCCGGGAGAACGTGGCCAGACTAGTCTATCTAGTCAAATAATCTTTTTCGCGTGTGGAGAGGAACGATTCGACAGCACAGGCCAGGCGAATTTCCGATGGCCTTTTCATTCATCGATTTTCAGTCCCGCCGGCGATTATTAGTGACGGGTAAACTGTTCCGGGCGAAATGTTGGGGTAACGATCGGCGTACGGCGTACTCCTTATTTAATAATAATATAAGAAGTTATGCTGTGCTCTCGGGGATAGGCGTTTAGATAGTGACAATATAGAGACTTTTATGCCCATGCTTGCCACTCGGCTTGCCGTCAAGAAACAGGAAGGACTGCATGCATTCATCCTTGAACAAGATGAGCTATCCACAAAAGCTGGGTTCAAAACATGATCTATAACAGACGACAAGCGGGATGATAGGCAGATACCATGCCATATACACTGACACAAGTTTATGGAATTCGCATCGTATAGATAGGTCCGGAGCGCTTCGCCGTCCGTTCCCTCGTCCCGGGCCGCAGATAACTACTAAGTAACTAAGGTGTGTTTTTTCCACATGGTTTGTTTTTGCATATGACAAGTCTGACGGCCTCGACACCGCTGCTTGACAGCGCATGCGCGTCAATTATTCGATCGCTTAATTGGCGATCAACCCAATGAAGCTCTTGTGGCGTAGTAGATCTTCCACGCATGGGTGCAAATTGCTGATAGAGAGTGATCAGGCCTTTCTCTTTTCTCGTCAGGGGACTTTAGTACTTCTTTCTAGGCTATTCTTCGCCGGACGCTTTGGACATGTGTTGCATAGTGTATATGATATATTGAGAACCCCTCCACTTTTGAAGATTCACGCATCACATCGTTGGACCAAGCAAGCTCGATGTCATCTCACGGCATTTAACGGAATACTACAAAGAAACCACAGATAGTACCCGCCCGATGACTGTTAAATGTAAATCATCCAGAGGAGTTATTCGCGTGGCGTTCCCAGATCAAACCCCTGATGTCTATCGTTAGGGATCCTGCCGCAGCGTGCTGTGCACAGTTCGCCAGTCAAAGCTCAGCTTCAATATGCGAACAGGGATAATACTGCCTTTCATCCGGCGCAGCGACGATTGTCAATGCTGCTCAATCGCTTTTTTTTTTAACTAGTCAGTTTGTTCGCGTAGTTAGTGATTACAAATTCTCAGAATTGCACCTGTGTCAATATTTGCCCCAGGGAGGAACCAGGTATACAACTCGAGTTTGATTTGTTATCCTGGGAACCTCGAAATTCCTTTTATTGCCATATATCTACCTACCAATCATCACCTGGGCTCATTCACCATGACATCGCGACCAGTGTGCACTGGACATGTCATATGTACTTACTAGCGGCAAATGCCGTGCATGTGTAATAGCAAAATTGGCACAATAGCTTATTTCAACTGACGCTCGAATGACACCAATACTTTTTGCTTGAGGCAATAGAAAATTTCGATATCAATTTCTCACCATGCACCGTGAATAGCTAGTTAAGTCGAGAATGCCCGTCCAGTTTACAGGGAACCCAAAACCAAACCCCACTCCAATTGCGGCACAGTTGTAATTGCGCAATGCTGAAGACAGTCAAATTCCTTTTCGCCCTAACGACATCTTCTGAGACTCGACCGGTCACCGCGGAATCGGGTGGATGTGGGACCCCCTACCAACTCTCTAGTAGAGATAGCACTGCTGTATGTAGTATGTACTCAATGGAGGAGCTCCCGACTTCTTGCCTCGGGAGTCGGTACAATCTGGACGGCGACTAATATATTTCAAGATCCACTAGGCCGGCGACTTTATTTCTGCTATCTATGAGAGATGAAGACTGGACCATCCCAAAAATAGCCCATTAAACTAGAGGCGTGGGCGGAGACGCCGTCTTGTAGGCCTGCTGCGGCCAACTAATGGTCTGTTTAGTATAATTAGGCATTGCGGCACAGCCTTATCAGTTGTCCGGTTCATTACCGTTGATTTATTACAGAGTAGTACCGAGTAAGGTATATAACCATCATTCCGGTTTGCCGTTCATTGATATCATTTAGTTAGCGTCTTTGTGGAGCATCGCTAGAGAATTCTGGAAACTATGATCTTCATACACAGATGAGAGGGCACGCCGACTGCTTTCTTCTTCCGGATCTTCGAACCGTCTCTCATTCTATATGTTTCAAGGGTGCTTATTTCCAACAGATGGTGATCTTTTAGTATTAAGCTTACCTTGTACATGGCGGTGGCAACAGTAACTAACAGTGGGCGTGATAGATGAGCCCACTAGTGTCAGGAAGAGAATGAAAAGACATATTTGACACCAGTTTTTGGGTGAATCCTGGAACTCTCCTGATATCAAGGAGGAACGAATCAGGTCTGCGCCCTTTACCACATGGCCATAAATTTTATTTTAGTAATCGAACAAGACTCATAATACATGGCTCTTCTTTCTCTGATACTTTGTGTGCGTAGAAGGTGTCCTCTAGGGTTATTGAATAGTGTATGAGCCAGAGAAAAGAATCTATGTTTTCGCCTACTATGAGGCAACTATTTACAGCTTCCTTTTACCTGTCGACGTCGATGATTGATTGCTTGAACGAGGTTGACCAGCTGCAATCTCTGTGGTCTCATGCATTTTATGGTTAAATGCATAGAACAGAATAAGCAGCAAAGGTCTCCTCTATTGTGAATATATAGATACAGGGGTGAGATGAGTGCCTCAGTGGCCAATCACTACATCCAAGGCCTCCATGTGTGGTGATTCGACCATCTTGTCGAGGAAATAGCTCAGGTTGAGCATTTACATTTGAAGGTAAGCTGAGCCGCCAAATAAGCCATGTGTGTACTACCTCGAGCTGGCTCCCAGAGGGGGATGTTGTAATGGAGGGAAATGTATGGACGTATGATAGTATGAGGGGGTCTTCTCTTTCCTTCGAAATATATACTTCATTCCACAGGACATAATTTCGGCTTCTCGCTCTATGGGCATTTCTAGTCCTAGACACCCGTTCATTCTATTCAGCCATCATCCCATATACCAAAATACCTTCCCCATTCTCGTCAAACTCGCCCTTCGAATTGGTCTTTCCAACCCCTATGCGCACTTCTGCTACTGTCCGAAAAGATAAATGCTCATAGACCTGCTTTCCATGCTCAGTAATGGCTTCCAGCCATACTGCCGCGCCCTGCTCTCGGGCCTTTTTCAAGTATGGGTCGATTAAAGCTCGAACAGCGCCTATTTATTTTCAGTTCAGTTCATTATCACACATTCATGGGAGATTCATAGTACGCACCGGCATCCGTTCGATTTGGATGTCTGCCTATCAGATTGAGATACCAATACTCCCGACCACGTAGATGCTGTTTCTTGATTTGTGCGAACGTGTCGCGGTACTCTTTCACTCGGGGGTCCGGATTATCCTCTATGGGAATGGAACGTCCAGGTGGGAACCTTGCAATCTTAGTCAATAACTAACCCACCCACTCAAAAGGAAAAAAAGATAGGACGTCAATAGCACATAGAACATGCAGGTCTTATAGACCAAGTAATTGCATCACAAAATTACTAGACTCACCATACAGCGACGGCAGCCCAGTTTCCTGCTTCTACCAGCTCGGCGCCATACTTGAGTTTCTTAGGTGTGCTCTCTTGAAAATGAGGAAGGATGATCTCAGAAGGGATCTGATTGGACAGCCATGTGGAATCCGCGTTGCGCAGCAAATATCCTGTGAAGGGGGAGTTAGAGAAGGCTGCCGCAATCACTTCGGCTGCCTGATTTGCGTGTTCTTCTCCAACGATGGAGATGGCGGGTAGTGTCATTGCGCAAACATTAAGTTGTGATCCCTAAATGGTTGGTTGTGTGGTAAAAAAAGGAAAAAAAAAAAAGAATAGGGATACTCTTATTACCCGAATGTTCGATGGCAAAATAAACCAGGAATCCTCCTTGAAGTCTTACTGTTGTACTCTTGAATACTTCAGGAACCGATTGATTGCGCAAGGTGAGTCATCCGCATCACATGACATGTAACAGGGTGCATCTCCCTTGTTTTTAATAAGAAAGAATACATACGGCCATGGCCTATTATCAAATGCTTGAGATGGGCGATGTAGGCCAGATCATCAAGTGGGATATCGACGTTTCAGCCCCCAATCTCATGACTTAGGTAGGTACGGCATATTTCCTGCTTATAGCTAGCTGGTGACCAGCTTATCAATTGATCCTTTCTGCAAAAGGACTTTGAAAACTTGAGAAGAGGAGGCAAATACTTTAACTTGGAATTAATCGGAGTACCGCGAAGATAATACATTGACGCCTTCCCCGTCGTAACCCCGTACTTACTTACTACTTAACAGACCCTATCCCTACCGCACTACCTAATATGTAGAACGTATTCTAGATTTGCTTGCTTCAGGTAATCACTGTCCGTCCGTCCTTAATGTATGTACATGTTGTACTATTTAAGTGATACCACTCTAAAATGAAATATAAAATACATTGACCACATTGCACTAGGTTTCTAATAATAATTGATTCATGCCCCGCTTACCCCCTCATTGTGTATTTATTATCGGCCCTGGGGAGCTAGCAGGCGAAACCCCTCACCTTCCGCACTAGGTTACTGTTCCCATCGCAGACTATACCTAGTTTCCAAATTCCCCCAGGACCGGTGTAGGCTGATAAGACCGCTGGGAAGACCGCTGGAAGATAAAGCTTTAATATTACTTCATGATAAGCTGGGCTTGCCGTCTTCTTCCCGCGGCCAGCCCGACGGGCCGGAGCATTAAGCGGCTGCGAGGGAGACAGATACTATTTCTCGAGAGTAGAGTATGTCTCTTTTACGTTCCAAGTCCTGTTCTTCAACTCTCGGGCCTTTCTCTTGTGGAGCATATCTTCTCATTTTTCGAACGGAATGGTTGCCGCAACTCACCTGGATAAGATGAGAGCCATGATCGAGAACGGCGATGGTAGACTCTCTATCGAGGCTCAGCCATATGCGTTCCAGTTTGATCCCGCAAAGACAGCCCTACTCATCATTGACATGCAGCGGGACTTCTTGCTCAAGGATGGCTTTGGGTACATTCAAGCCGGAGATACGGGGGTTGACAAGGTACAAGCTACTATCAGCCCGACCCTGTCGGTCTTGAGCGCATTTCGTGAGTGTGGAATGCATGTCATCCATACACGAGAAGGCCACCGGCCAGATTTGCGCGACTTACCAACCCCCAAACTCTTGAGGCAGGCACGAGCCCCGAGAACTCGGCATTCCATGGTGATTGGGGATTTAGGTCCGATGGGAAGGCTTCTCACAAGAGGAGAATACGGCCACGATATTGTAGACGAACTTCAACCAGTGGCCGGGGAATATGTCGTCGATAAGCCAGGAAAAGGCGGCTTCTTTTCGACCACCTTGCACCAGCATCTAGTTGACCGAGGCATTACTCACCTCATCGTTGCCGGCGTGACTGTGGAGTGCTGTGTGACCACCACAGTTAGGGAGGCCAATGATCGAGGATTCGAGGCTTGCATCCTCAGCGATTGCACGGATGGGTTCGTGCCGACCTTCAGGTCGGCGTCCTTAGATATGATTCACTTCTCGGAAGGTCTCTTTGGATTTGTGAGCTCCTCAAAGCCACTGCTCCTGGCGTTATCGCCGCTCTCAGCTAGGAATAGAAGCCAAGTCCCCGAATGGACGGGTTCGATGGATATGGAGGTGCTGAAGAAGGCCTATGCTGCTGGTCTTTCGCCAGTAACCGTTGTGCAAGAAGCTCTTAGGAGAATCGAATCAGACAACCCGGAACACCCATCTATATGGATCAGCTTAGCGCCACGTGAAGAGCTGTTGCAGCGAGCTCAGCAACTAGAGGAAGAGAGAAACCTCCATTTGCCTCTATTTGGTATACCGTTTGCAGTCAAGGACAACATCGATGTTGCCGGAATATCTACGACTGCAGCGTGTCCATCATTTGAATACGTCCCGGATATGTCCGCTGACGTTGTGAAGAGACTGGAGTCCGCTGGCGCACTTCTTATTGGGAAGACAAATATGGATCAGTTTGCAACAGGGCTTGTGGGCACGAGATCTCCATATGGAGTCTGCCATTGTGTTTTCGATCATACTCGTATCTCCGGAGGATCAAGTTCTGGCTCCGCCGTGGCTGTCTCTCTAGGACAAGTCTCCTTTGCGCTGGGAACCGACACAGCAGGATCTGGTCGAATTCCCGCGGCCTTCAACAATGTTGTGGGACTCAAGCCAACTAAGGGCACTGTTTCGACGAGAGGGCTTGTTCCAGCCTGTCGCACACTTGACTGTGTCTCTTTCTTCGCAAAAACGCTCACTGACGCAAGAAACGTGTGGCTCGTGTCTAAGGGATTTGATCCCAAAGACCCATACGCACGAAGCTCACCACCATTGGCTGCCTTGACTAACAGATCTCTCTTGCACAAAGAAGGCACCTATACTTTCTCAGTTCCTCCTCGTGACCTACTGAACGATGTTCTCTCTTCTCCATATATCAAACAATTTGAAAAGACCTATTCACTACTTCGAAGTCTGCCTCATGCTGAAGAAGTCACATTCGACTGGGATTCTTATCTTGCCGCCTCAGACCTCGTGTACAAAGGTGCCTTTATTGCAGAGCGAACCGCCGCTTTGGATGAGTTTTTAAAACATGCAGAGAAGAAACCATCACTTCTTCCTGTAACAGCCAAAGTCCTCGAGTCAGGCTCTTCCATATCCGCATCCAAGGCATTCACCGACCTCTACGAAGCACAACGGTTATCAAGACTTGTGGAAGGTGAATTCGAGAAATGTGATATTCTCATTCTACCTACTGCACCGAATCATCCAACAATCAAGGAAGTGCAAGAGGATCCTTTTGAGCTCAATTTGAAACTAGGCATTTTTGCAAGTGCTGTCAACGTTCTGGATCTGGCGGCTGTTGCTATACCAGCGGGCTTCATTGATGGTCTACCATTTGGTATATCAATTGTAGGACCTGCTTTCCGAGAAGGATTTATCTTAGAAGTTGCAGAGAGGATCCAAGCACGGATGGAATGTGATTTCTAAGGAACTGAGACAAGTATCCTCTTAGAAATGCAGAGCTCGGAGCAATCAAGGTCCTTGGTGGGAGATGTATTCCTATTAGGTGGATTTACATGGAGGGCGCGGGACTTCCGCGGACCAGATGAACTAGTCTCCCATTGCGACTTGTGGAAGTCGCAATAGGAAAAATGCTCATTACTTCTCAAGGCGAAGGGAAGCAAACAGTATACCGAACTTTCAGGCAAATAGCCAATTGTTTGTTTGACGCTAGATCTAGCGGAAGGCTGACTCCATTATTATGTCCTAATTTCATGAAGGATCTGGATTTGAATGTTCATGAATCGCTTAACGCGGAAGAGAAATAGAGTATTGGACGTAGCTCATTGAATTAAACAACTAGGTCGTTGGTTTCGAACTATCTACTGCCACCGGACGTTTGTATGTATGTACATATGCACCAGGCTGACATTAACCTATTACCTGCGACAATATCAACACTTGCATTTAGAATATGTCAGATATCGTGCGCGGGGACAGGCCATTCATAAAGCAACTCGATATGACTTGGCAATTCGCCCGGTGGAATGATTGCGGCGGCCATACGTATAAGAAAGGATGTCAGAAGCTTTGATGCCCCACCGTGTAAGTGTCATTAGATTGACATTCGTTTGAAATTTGAACTGGAAGGAACACAAACTGATGGAAATGGGTATGCGAAGCCAATAATCTTGAAATTTCTTGACCTCCCAAAAACATGTTAAAAGAAAGGCGTGGTGATCATGTTAAATCCGCGTAAGTCATGGATGGGGGAATGATATCATGTCATCTCATATCAATTCGTAATATTTCGTCACGTTTCATTAAATGCCTGAACTCAGGGCGGAATGAAATCTTCGTACATGTCGGTCATTGCTATACAGGCATGTGATGCATATGCGCTCTTCAGCGCTTTCTCGAACTCCTCGTATCACGCCTGCTGATGTGAGCATCCTCTTCTTCGTCTTCTTCCTCGACTGGAGCCGGAGTGCGGCGCTCAGTCCGTCGCTTGGGACGTCGTCTTCGGTTAGAGCTGATGTTGCTAGCGGAATCATCCGGAGCAAGGGACATGTCGTCGTCAATGCCGTCATCTTCAGGGCCATCTTCCCAGGAATGAAGGGCGGATGCTGGTGTACCCAGTCTCGCCTCAACATAAGAACCACGACGAGCTTGGCTTGCCACTGCAAGACCAGCACCTCGTTCGCGCAGTGCACGACGAACAGCCTCGGCCTTGCAATGTAGTACCTCAAAAGCATCTTCAAGCGCCTCCATGCTGAGATAAATGTCCCGCTCAACTTCAGCAAGAGCCGCAATCTCTGTCTCTTCATCCATAGCTATCGGAGCCCCAAACGAAGCGGGAACACCATTTGTGCCATAAGGCTGACTTGCAGGACGGTAACTGCCGTCCATATAGGACCCACGTGAGGAACCGTTGAACGGTGTAGTCGACCGATTTGTTGACTGACTTAGCGGCCTTGGAGGTACAGATCCTGACATTGACGGAATAAATGCATCCTCCGCTCCGCTGCGTAGAAATCCATCAAAGCGGCCTGAAATGAGAATGTCCCATTCGTCGTCACTAATTGCCGCAAGGGTCGCCAGAACGTTATGCATATTTATATTCTCTAACATGTATATGGCAGTTTCCGGGTCCCTGGGGACGGACGACAATCTGTACAACCGTTGAATAGCTAGCCCGGACGACATCAACACCGCAGGTCGTGCTCTTGGTTGCGCCGGGGACGTAGGTATTGAGGTCGAGTGACCGAGGAGAGCACGAAAGAGAGCTCGTTTCTCCGGGTCTAGGTGGGTCATTATCGCGAAAGTCAGTGTCTCATCGTCTACCTCGTCAGGAGCACTAGCCGACTGTTCTGTCAGCCATTTGTCGACAGCTAGCTTTGTCTTTCGCGACTGTCGGATGTAATGGTCCCGATATTCTTCAGGGACATCGATATCTAGCTTCTGCATCGGAATGTGTTCCTCGCCTGAAACGTCGCGGTCACCTAACGAAGGTGCGATTGTAAAAGGGGGCCAATTCGGAAGTTCCCTTCGTCCAGAGACCAGCTCCAGGACCTCACCCCAGCTAACACCTGATATATGCTCATCAGGGGCTCTATTCTCGCACATCAAGCATTCGCATGACTCCGAAGATATGTCCCGCGCGAAAACAGCCTCCAACCGGTCCAGCAGTCTTCGAGCCACTGATCTGTAGCCAGTTGCTACGGCAATGGAGCCATTTTTTGTCATAATGTGGGTGTAATCGTCCAACAGCCGGTTGTAGGGCTCGAAGACTTTCCCCACGGCCACCTGAGGTTGGAACGACTGCTGCGTCATACCGAGAGGCTCTCCAGCAGCTAAAAGATTTTTCGGCACTTTGTAGTTGAGTCCACCATTTTGGAGAAGGTAGTCGACTCTCGGAATAGATATAGGCATTTCTGGCGGCGGAGGCGGGGGCGGGGGAGCACCATATCTTGCAGAAGTGGGCGAAATGTTAGGCTCCACGAATACCTCGATAGGTGTCTGCTTGCGAAGGTCTGATCTATGTGACATGGACGATCGCGCCTGGCTCCGCGATGGAGGTCTTGTGTGGGATGTTGCAGGTCTCTGATACGCTGGTGGCTGATTCGGCGCTACAGAGGTCGCATCTGATTCATTTGTGGCCTGTGAAGCTGCCTCTGCAGGCCTGGGAGAGGAACGCGGAGAAGACGTCGTAGCAGATCTCCTGGGCAGCTTCACCTCATCGTGCATTCTCGTGCTCGATGCCCTGTGGCTAGCCGCTCGGTGCGGCGAGTCGACTTCACCGTGGGGCTTGGAGCTCTTTGACTTATCATCCTTCCTCGCACTGAGGCTTGAAGATGACTGAGACTTGATCTTGACCTTAGTCTTCTCCGTCTTCACCTTTTCGCCAGCCTTCTCGTCCGACGATCTGTTCCCGGCAGTACTGTCTTTGCGCTGCGACCGTTGGTCCACGCTCGTAAGCGGCGGACTCGGGGGCGCATTATGATTATCGCTCCGAGAAGTTGTCCCATTTGACGCCCCCTTCCCAGAAGAGCCGGATTTTTCTTTGGTTGAGTCGACATCTGTGGGATCGGGCGTCAAAATGCTCAAGCCGCGATCAACGTTGTCCCTGCTTCCGACCGCCTCTTTGCTGTGAGCCTTCGAGAATGATGGGTAGGGTAAGCTAGTCCTAGACTCCAGGAACGAAGCTGCACCACCCCGGCCAGCACTATCCACGTCTGCCATTGAGGACCTGCGGCGTCTTCGTGAGCTTGTAGATGTTGTTGTGGATGAAGTGGCGGAGCGTCCCACGGTGCCGCCTCGGCTCTGTTCCTTGGTTGAGAGCTCACTCGACTTTCCGTGGGACGATCGCGAATGACGTATCTTCTCCTTGTCCTTGTCCTTCTTCGAGTCCTTATCTCTCGACTTCACTGTCGAGCTTCGATCCCTCTCGTGATCCTTCTCGCGGGATTTCGAGGGCATGGCGCACAAAGTGGCCGCGGTCCCACGTGTCCCTCTTTCGCCTCCGAATCGGCGTTTCGTCTAGTTGTAGCGCGGCGCTTCGTAGGGTGACTGTGAAAGGGGCACGGCGCCTAGCAGCTGCAGGGAGAATATCGCTCAGCCCGTGCCTGACGCCGTTGGAAGCCTGCTGCTCGTCTTGTCCAGGAGCAGATCTGTTCGACACGATGCAGCATCTAGATCAGGTTTGGTCGCCGCAAGAGTACGTTTCACTGGTTGTAGGATGGAAGGGGATAACTTGGGCGCTCGCTGAGTGTTTGGTTCGTGCCCGCGGGCCTAAGTAAACCGTCTGTGTGCCTCAAGTGTCGCTTGGTTGCGGTGAGAAGTCTCCGCGTCCCGCAGCAGAAAGCGAAATCGCAGTGACGTGGGAGGGCGGGGACGAGAGAGTAGTATCGAACCAGTATCTTCGCTAACTCATGTAGTGTTCAGGGACCGGAGTCTGCAAGGGAACCCAAAGATAATCCCCAAGAGAAGCGAAGTGCCCGAAAGCAAGTGTTGGGCGGAGAGTTGATCTCGAGCAAGTTGACGCCTCAGGCACGCATCCAGACTAGGCTGACTATCATCTGGATCTGCTTGACACTCGGGATCTAGGTGCACAGTATACAAGTAGACTACGACAGAGAGTGAGCTGTGCAGATGACCGGAATATTGATTCGATTTATCGTTACACAAAACAGTCCAATCCTGTTGGGAGGTGAAAACACTTATACAACCCGTCTAAAATGGTCACACAAAGAAACCCAGTTAAGCCATATCATCTTCCAATATGCGCTTGGCAAATCCAGCTGCCTTTACCGGAGATGTTTCCAAAACCCACTGACCTTCTTCTTCATGAGCGATGCCTCCTCTCCGTGCGGCGCGCATCAGCTTGTCGTCTGCCAGATGTCGCCGCCCGGTCTCTCGATCCCATACCCAGCCCTCCTTGAGCCACATCCAAGTGAGATAGGCGCGCAGTTCTTTGTCCATAGGATGCACGGATTTCCATTCAGGAGTGAAACCATCCTCGGCCCCGGCCCCTTTCCAGTCCGTAGATAGCCCGCGTAGCTCATCGCGGCAAAAGATACGCCAGCTATCGATGGCGTAGGCCCCAACGCCTGGAAGATGAGCAATCTCCCAGGCGACACGAGGATCATCGTCAGAAATGCATTCATTAATACCGACATCACGACCATCCATCTTTTTCGGATAGTGTAACTTGCGGTAACGCCGCCCTTTCGTTGGAGGCGCTGCAAGCCAAGTCTGTGCCAGTGCAATGCATTTCTTTGCACGTTGGTTTTGAAAACCCAGGCAATTGATCATGGCGACCAAGTCTGTCAAGTCTGCATCGGCCATAGATTCGATGGTGGGATACCTCTCGAACACTTTGAAGAGGACGGGAATCGCTACTCCGCCACGAGTCCTGTTGAGAAAAATCGTAGCGACGAGCAGGCGAAAAGGGTCATGCGCTAGTTGCTCTTGGATCAGACCAAAAGAAGAGGCAGAAATAGGTGGGAACGGAAGGCAGGACTCAGGTTGATTTGGCTGCCCTGGGAAATACGGAGATACCTTAGGGACTTGCACACGATTTGTCGGACCAGGATGACTGAGAGGTCTGATTAAAGGGTTTTTGACTGGCGTCACAGGCTCCGACTCAGAAGGTGTGGGACACTGGATCTCTCCTGAAAAGCCCTGACGAGATAACACAGGAACATCTCCATCCCCTAAGATTGAACTCACGTCGCTTGGTACATCACTCAAGGACGAGTCTGAGGGAAAGAAGTCAAACTCCAGGAGGGCGGATACCATAACTTCCTGCGAAACAGGAGTCACTCCTAAGGAATTAGTAGAGCCTATCGGACTCTTTCGTTGTGGGCTCTCGCGCTGTCTTTTGGTTTGAAACTGGGGTTTTTTGAAGTATTTTGACATCACCTCATCGCTTGCCGTCATGCCTTGCGAATCATCGGTGTCTAAAAACCCGAGCCATCCAAGAATGTATCCTCCAAACCATGGAGTGGTTGACGGGCGCTGCGATCCGGATCAGACGCCTTTGGAGCAGGATTTCGTCCAGCTCTGGGTGGAGAATCTTTGGATGATGCTGTGTGCGCTGCCCGATAGCTTGCTCTCCTTTCGGCCCTCCTTGCTTTCCTGGCTTCCATCTTTCTATGATTTCTTTGCCTTGTTTTCAGCGATGGTGAGACAGCAACATCCGCAGTGCTTTTATCATAGAAGCCAGAAGGAAAGTGGTCTTTATCCTTGGATGTCAGTGGACCTTCCTTATCGTTCCCATCAGTTGCAGTCAGGGGGTGATTCTGTGGTATAGTAGGTCCCTCTGGAAGACACTCCACTGGTTCATCGTCGAGCTTGTCTAGCTGTATTTCCTGTGGTTCCGACACCACAGGCAAAGGAATTACTGAAACGTGGTCCTGTTTTTCCACTGGCTCATCATCCACGTTTCGCATGGTCTCCTGCCCTTGTCTCTTCTCATCTTTGCTCAAGATCTCTGTATTTTTGCGTCCCTGTTCGACCCCTTCATCGCGTGTGACTGGCTTCTTGCGCGAAAACCGATTCCGCCTCTCTGCACACAACTTGTCGACGTAGACCAACAAAGCTTCCGTGGTAGACGGGTCCATTCCGGCCAGTATTGCTTTGTCACGAATCTCCGCATAGAATCGACGGCGTTTTGAGGCTTTCCCACTTCGGGATTGTAAGAAAGGATGATTTAAAATCCAGCCGACCAGTTCGTTCGCCTTGTCCATGTCGAGCGAGCAGAAGATCTCATCGTCATCATAGTCAGCTATGTTACCTGTATATGAGTAAATAGAGAATTGCTTGGTATCAGCTGAAGTGTGTTCTTCGATCTCAGCAGACTGATGGCCGATGGATGGTGCTTCGTGCATCGTAGGATCCATGTCGAGCGCTGGGTATGTGGTAGCTGAATGGAAGCTGGAAACACTGGTGGCCCGTTTTTCGGTCGGTTCGTTGACTCGTCTCAGATGGCAACAAGGATCAGACAGCAGACAAGAGAGGTTCAATGAGAGGAGGATCTTTACCGGAGGTCCCGTCGAAATGAAGGCAACGACTCAACCGCTCAGCCAAACTCAAAGCCACGGACCCCCTTTCGAATAAGCCAGAGTCTTGAGGAGAGCATGGAGGTGTTCAAGCTCGTAGGAGTGATCAACCGAGTGGAGTAGACTAGCCAGAGTCCATGGACTCTGGGAGATCAAGGTCTCACTTTTTGGGAGAGCTCAGCTCAGCTCAGCTCAGTCTGAACTCCGCGGAGGTGGTGTTGCCGCACAGACCACATCTTATTGCCCGGCTCAGTCTCGTAGAGCTACGCTATGGGCATATGATCATTAATTTGAGCTCTCAAATCGAAGGACTGGGAAATAAAGGGCTTCAAGAGAGCATACAGGAGAAAGATTTCTTACCTAAATGGCAATGTAAATAGCTTCAGACCTAGGTTGAGACAGGCTATCTGCATGTGTTAGAACGCTATCGGATATTTGAGGCGAATGAACAAGCTGTCTACAGAGATCGTTCTTTTACTAAACAGAAGATTGACTCATAGAAGCCCGCAGTGGAAGAAGAGTGGTACGAGACAAGCAAGTCAGAAGCCTCCAATGATTCCGATATATCGGGGGAGGATCCTGGATCAGATAGCGTCTTTGACGAGAAAGGGGACTACATAGATTTCCGTGCATACTTTTTCCCCTCGGATGAATCTGAGCTTGAGGATGATAATGAGGATGTAATCACAGCCCCTATTCGCAAGCGGGAAAGGAAAATAAATATTGCTAGTAGCGTCAGAAAACGATTCAAGAGGACTCTGTAAAAGAGTCAGTTTATTGATAAGGCGGCCGAATCCACTTGTGAATCCCATAAAGAGGGAAACGGAGAAGACTCGGATCTTGGCGATCGAATTGGTGATAGCATGAGAATTGGGACTGAAGATTATGTGGAGTTAGGAATTAAAGTAAAGAAAAAAAAAACTCAGTTTGATACTTAATAATTACATGGATAAACTTCTTAAAATAGGGATATAGAAAGGAAGCTACAGGCTGCTATCCTCGGTCGGGATATTGACCACAGGTGAGTATATGGTAGAAACTGGTAACGCTTCGCACGAATGATTTACTGTGGCTATAATTCTGACACTGGCTCGCTGAGCCTGGTCTAAGTATCGTCTTGTTGCTAATACACATCCTTAACTTTCTCGCCACACTGGTTCATTAGAGATGACATGATTTACGTGTCATCGGACATCGTGTTTAACTACCATGGAATGAACGACTAACTAAGCGCCGACCTTTTTTTAGAAGCAGTATTCAGCCAGAGATTACTCCGCATATCGTTGAGATAACTAGATAGTCCCCCTTTCCCAACCTTGTTAACTAGTACAGGACTAAGGAGTACTTAGTTTCTAAACAGTCTCGGGAAGCCCCGACGATCATTATTGTATTTCCGGATTGACATCGACAGTTGAACGAGATCCACGTGGGTGCTCGAAAAGCAATCGATTATTCGTTACCTGGCAGATCTGCAGTCGGGTTCTGCAGTGACCTATTATTGATTGTCGTCCGCATTTAGCATTCGTAATCGCCTTCTAGGGCTGAATGGTGAAAGAGCCCGTCGTTTCTGAGCAAGCGAGTTGTTCCCCGCCCGACCCAATTAGCCACGTTGTCGAGCGCTGGACAGGCGGGCTCTGAAGTCCGCTCATTAACGGGTGGAACGGTGATGACCTCGGCGCGCCTAACGTCGATTGTTATTATGCTAGTCAAAGCGTTGTCGTAGGATAATTTTCGATTCTTTGTTTCTTTCTCTCATTTCAACTCCCACGCCGTCTGGATCCCATTCTCGATCAATGACGGAAGGATGGCCCTGTTTCTCGGTCAGCACCAGGCAGAGAACGAGAATTTCGGGGTGGATTGGGTCATCCACTATGAATTTGATGGTGTTGGTATGGATAAGAAAGCGCTAGCCTGCCAAGGTGCGGTCGGGACGCCTGTGGAAGACGGCTGACTGGTCCTAGGCACTCAACAAGCAATTGAGGAGTTCAAGACTCTGATCAATGATCTCGATGCGGTCGGTCTCCAGATGGAAGTGCGCCATGGCACTGGCGCCTCTTTGCTCGTCTTCGTCAAGGTACCGCGGGAACTGCTGGGAGCTGAGATGTACAAGTCTAGGTAAGCCCTCTATCTACCCTCGTGGCATGCAGTGGCGTGGCGGGGCTTCCCGCACTGACAGATCGATCTCAGAGTAAAAGACTGGTTGTATGGCATTTCGCATGCGTTCCCAGATGATGATGCCCACGCGCTCGTCGAGGGAGAAACCGAAGCGGAAGAGCTTCGAGCAATCTACCATCTCGTGACTTGGCAAAAAGAACAGGGCGGTGCAGGCATCATCGCGAACCTGGGAAAATGGTCAAATGTCAAGGCCTCGTTTCCCCTTCACAGCAAGAGCACCAACGATGAATTGCTCCGTAGATGGAGCAAGGCGACCATCCTGAGAGCGGAAGATTTCGATGAGATACGGAGTCTGTTCGGTGAAAAGGTAATCGCCCACAGTGCAATCTGCAGAAGAATCTATGCTGAGTACCTATCTGCCAGGTCGCCTATTATTTTGCTTTCATCCAATGCTACTCGATTTTCTTAGTTTTCCCAGCAGTGTCTGGATTCATCTGCTGGGCGTTTTGGGGCCCGTACTCCATCACGTTTGCGGCGCTGACTTGCTTATGGAGTCTCGTTTTCGTGGAGTACTGGAAGCTGAAAGAAAAAGACCTTAGCATTAGATGGGGCGTCAAAGGCGTCGGGGCACTCAAGGTGAACAGGGAACAGTATCAGTGGGATAGAGAAGTCCTAGATCCAGTCACAGGAGAGATCAGACGGGAATTTTCAACCAGTAAACAAATTCTTCGTCAGCTTCTACAGCTCCCCTTCGCAGTTTTGGCCAGTACTGTTCTGGGGGTCTTGATCGTCCTCACATTTGCAATGGAAGTATTCCTCTCGGAGGTGTACCAAGGACCCTTCAAGATATACTTGGTAAGTGCTCCTGGCTTAACTACGCATTTGATATAATGTCTAATACATGATTAGGACCTTTTGCCCACGGTTATACTCTCGCTTCTGTCGCCAACAATAACCAATTTCCTTACAGATCTCGGGACTCGATTGACCGATTACGAGAATTATCGCACTTCAGACCAGTACGAACGAGCGCTGACCCAAAAGACATTTGTGCTCAACTTTATTACCTCATTTCTTCCGATATTTTTGACGGCATTCATCTACGTCCCCTACGGCGCCAAAATAGTCCCGTACCTGGACGTTTTCCGTGTCAAGGCAGCAAGATCTTCCTTTCTGTGGGGTGGGCCGGTAACCGAGCAACATTATCCAGACCTTCACGTGGATCCAGCACGACTCCAGCAGGAGATTATATATCTCACGGTGACTGCGCAGGTATTAAGCTTTGGGGAAGAGATGGTTATTCCGTACATCAAACGTCTCTTTTGGCGAATGTACCGTGAGTACAAGAACAGAAAATTAGAGAACAACGCTCGCCGACGTCCGCGTTCCCAAACTCTGGATCTTTTGCTGAACGACATGCCTGAGGAATCACAATTCCTAAAAACAGTCAGACACCAGTGTGATGCTGAGTTGTACGATGTTCAGGAGGATATTCTGGAGATGTGTCTTCAGTTCGGTTACCTGGTCCTGTTCGGAGCAGCATGGCCACTTGTTCCTCTAGGCTTCTTAATCAACAACTGGATTGAACTCCGCGGAGATTTCTTGAAGATTAGTTTGGAGTGTCAACGACCGCCTCCTATTCGTGCTGATTCCATCGGACCATGGCTTCAAGTACTTGAGTTTCTCACCTGGCTCGGTGGCCTTTCCAGCGCGGCAATCGTCCATCTTTACCGAGGTGATATCCAAACAGTGAAGCTGTCATCTCTGCTATTGACGCTATTCGTTACGGAACAGGCATTTCTTCTTGCCAAATTTCTGGTCCGAACTATTCTGCAGAAAATCGGTGCCGAGACTCTCCGCCGCGAGGAGCAATACTGGTATTCTATACGGAAGCGTTACCTCGAGACGTTCTCGGATGAGGCTGCGAAGCTATCGCGGGCGCGACGTAACTCGCGCATCCCCCCTGGTTCAGTCGAAGGGATAAATCCGGCCTTCACGGGTGAAAAGCCTAATTTCGTGACCCTAGAGGACGAGTTCGTTCCCAAGTTTACTCGAACAAACAGTGGCCGCTTGCAAATTTCCGAACAAGCCACTCGATTCTGGTCCTGGCAGAAAACAAGCCAACAGACTATTGATGCTGGCGTCAAACTTATTCAGATGCTGTCAGTGGCGGGGCAGTCTAAGAACGCCGCTGCGAAAAAGTCCCAGTGATGAGGGAGAATGAGTTTATCTGACCAAGTATCAACTTCGATTCTGGATACTAGCCGGTTTAGTAAAAACTTTACAATTCAAACTACGCTTTCTACAGAGCAGGAAGCACTCTGTGATCACATAATTCAATGTTGAATATCTTGATTCTTCTATGGGACTAGGGCCTTGTAAATGGATATACATAGCAAATTTTGTAATAATCAAGCAAAGGATCCAAATCAATAGGGATAATAATATACCGATATAAATCTTCCAGAACCATTTCGGCATGACATGATGCACTGCCAGAGAATTTAACATAACGCCGTCTAGAATGCTCCATATCGAACTCTATTCCACGCCCATCTTTTCCGCATGATACCCTGGAATTTATATAGTAAGAGTGAGATCCAGTCCATTCGGCCCCCCTCCTCCCCTTGCAACCATTGACATTCTTCTCCGCTTCCATGACACATTTAAACAGCGAATCCACCAGAATCTCGCTGTCTCGGCTCCCCCGCAGCATCAAACGTCCCATTCGATAACACGCGGATCGCTTGAGCAGAGCTCTCAACCGGCGCAACCCAGGTGACATTATGTCCACGACTCTCCATAAAACTCACAGTCGAGTTATCGTAAGAATATTCGAAGGTAACTTGGTTCGGGATAAGCTGATCATGAAGACGGGGCTTGGCCAAGGCTTCAGGGGCCGAAAGATTCTCATCGAGGGCATGAATCAAGTTCTGAACAGTTGACGTGATGATTCTGCTTCCTCCCGCGGCACCGACGACGAAGAATAAAGTTCCGTTCGGATGGGTCACGATCGCTGGTGTGATTGAGGATAGGGGTCGTTTGCCTGGTCGTATGTAATTTGCTGGGGAGGGTACGTAGCCGAAGGCGTTGGATTTACCAGGAACGGAGAAATCTGAATCGTATAGATTAGCGAATGATATCTATATTCCTGCAGAAGATGATGTCTTTGACATACCGTCCATTTCGTTATTCATGATAATGCCAGTTTCAGGGACCATCAACTGGCTTCCGAACAGGAGATTGACCGTCGTAGTGAGCGAGATAGCTAGACCTGTATGATCGGCCGCGACTATGTGGGATGTTCCCGGTCTGGGAGATGATTAGAATGCGTCTTGTCGGCATGATGGGCGATTTTTGTGTATTACATACGTTTCAAGACTCTCGATACCGTCAGGATTGTACGCAGAGACATTTTGTGTGTGGAAGTCGGATATCCTTCTACGAATGTTCTGCGCAGTGGAGCTTTTCAATATATCGTACTCATATTCATAGATTCCTTCGACAAATGACGGGTCTCCGAAGTTTGTCCTCTTTTTGACGAAAATTTAGTTATTGAGTAGATGAAGGGTTACGCATGGTCTGCAACATACCTGTCCATAAGCAAACCGCAATGCCTCGTCCAGACGATGCGTGCTGAGATTGACGCTTTCGGCTGTGAAAAAATCGCCGTAGCCTTCTAGAATCTTCAAGGCACTCAGGGCGATGACTCCGCTTGAAGGAGCCGTTCCGCTCGTTATTTGATATCCGCGGTAGTCTATTTGTGATATGTTCCTGAACGCAACGGTGTAGTTTTTCAAGTCCTCTAATGTCATTGTGCCATTTGCCGCTTGCAATGCATTGATCATCGTCTCCGCGATAAAACCGGTATAGAAGGCATCTGGACCCTGTTTGGCGATTCTTTCGAGGGCGTCTGCATATCGTTTCCGAGTGATCGTGTCACCCAGTCCGACCCGGGTTCCATTTGGTGCAAAATCGATGGCCCATGTTGGGTTCTTGGAGAGGAAGTCTTCGCCGTCACCAACGGCAGCATTCATGTACCTGACAAGGTCTTCACCGACAGTGAATCCTTCGCGGGCCGTCCGGATCGCGGGCTGCATCACCGTCGACCAGGGCAGAACGCCATACTTGCGGTGGAGAGTCTCCAGGCCCCGTACTTCCCCAGGAACTCCACTAGTTGTCGATCAGGGTCAGATGCGGCAATATACGTACTTAGTATGTGGAATAATTTAGCATACCTTGCCAAACCACCGTATACCGACAAATTAGTGTTATTGTTGTACATATCCTGGAACGCCGCAGCCGGCGCCGTCTCTCGAAAGTCGATAAACTCATATTCGTTATCAGATGAGCGGACCAGCATGAAGCCTCCACCTCCAATGCCACTGTGATACATGCCTGTCGAGTGGATGTCCAGTTAGCCCGTAGCTTCGGGATTCGTCATTTAAGCTGCGATGGCGTGGTCGGGGCACACTTACTGGTCACTCCCACGCAGAAAACCGTTGCTACCAACTGTATTTGTCCATCTCTCGTGTCAGCCATCGGTTTCTTCTATCCCTGTAGGGCCCGCATTTCCGGGGTAAGATACTCACGGCATCCGCAGCGTTTCCGCCTATCTTGAGCATATCTGTTCCATATCGGCTACAGATCGCATTCTCACTGGCCACAGCGCCTAGCTTTCCCTCTTCTCTATTGTCGTGGTAACCTCCTGGTAGATTCTGCAGGAACCCTGGAGGTGCGCGGGCGAAGTTACTGAGCAGTGTGAGAGCCGACACAACCATCAGTAGCGCCATCCCTAGGGATCTTGCCGTGGACGACCATCTCCGAGATCTGCTGTCAGACGGGTTCAAGGGTACGATATTCTGGCCCGCCTGTACACCGTCAGCATCCCCTCTCACTAAGTACAGTGTTCCATACCGTACCTGGCTTTTCTCGGAGGTCTGCCTAACGACGTCGGCCATGATCACAGTATGACCTACGAGATAAGCCGCGATCTCCGATAAGTAGCCACCAAAGTTCTCCAAGAACCGAGGAAACAAATTCTCCCCGACGGGCCCCTCACTTCCTTTGAAGGACCGATCCGCCCACAAAGTATGAATATCTGAAGAGCCGACCACGACCAGGATGGAAGTGCGATCGTGTTGCTGTCCAATCTGGGCTCCTGGCGGTCAAGGTGCGATTAGCGCGCCACCCAGATAAGATCGCACGCATTCCTGGCGCGATCGATCCACCAAATGATAAGCTCGATATTGGCGGAGCTGCGAGTGATTAGGGAGTCCGCTCTTGCTTCTCTGCGGTTACAATCGGGTACAGAGAGCGCGCGAAAGTGATAGGTCAATGAAATCCTACATACACATAGTTAGGCATGGTAAGTGCTGGCTCTTGGCAATAATTAACAGATCTTACTTAGACGAGCCCAAGATCGATCTAGATTTGATCATTGATCTCCACAGCAATGTTGATTCGGCTGTCTCCGCTCATAACCATCGTCTAGTGCTTTGTGTATTGCATACATCCTCGAGTATCATCTGCAAGGGGGCCTGAGCCTGTCTTGTAAGGTCAAGTTATCCCGCGGCAAAGCGCTTTCGCGGGGACATCTGGGGCATGCGGAGAGCCCTAAATATATAGATTGAAGACTGTGTCGACACACAAAGCATATGTCCAGGTGATCTGTCATATCATCGATTTGCAGCAGATTCTTTTATGTCCTAATTCTAGGGTAGATCCTACTAAATCACTAGAATCTAGATTTCCTTTATATGCTATAGGAGATAAAATCTGGGTTCAACTCCTAGAACTAGAAGCAAGCAAGTAATTCAAACAACCTAGCTGGTAGCTAGGTTTTTGAAATCAGACTATGTTTCCGTGCCCTTCAGGATTCGACAGAGACTATGCGCTTTTTGAGTGTCTGATTGGGGAACAGTGCGACTCAATCATATACGTGTCTGCTATGATTTATTGCAGCACAGTAACAATGCTTTTGCCAGTTATACAGTGCGAGAACATAACCGCGGCATGTGCTCGTTTATCAGAAATATTAGCTGTCCATAAGCCCAAGAATGTTTGATATAATCGCTCCACGACCCAATATTATAAGAGTAGGTATATATGCCACGAACTCTTCGAATCCAACTTAACATGCATTTCTCTGCGTCTCACAGATGAGCTCGTCCTTCTTCTCTTCTCATCTCAGCCACAGTGCTCTTGTAAACATCATACGCATGCTTCTCCGAATCAAAGTTCAGTAACCAGGGTTCCCGCTTTAGTTTCAGGACATCTGGGTTCTTCTTCAAGTTATCGAAGTCAGCCTTGTGCCACTGCTCTCTGGTGGTGACGCCTGTTTTCTGTGCTTGAAGCACGCGGTCGTATCTGATCCTCTCATGTGCGCGAAGAGCTTCCTGCACCCGGTTCTTCCCAGCGAGCTCCAGACAAACCGCCAGATTGACCCCGTCTTCCATTGACTGACTGGCCCCTTGTATTGACGTCGGGAGAAAAGGATGCGCCGCATCTCCGATGAGAGACATTCTCGACTTCGGAGAGATCCATGTCGGCAGGGGATCCCGGTAGACTAATTTCCAATCGACAAGGTGTTCAGGAGGAGTGGCCTTGATGATCTCTTGGACAATTGGATCCCAGTTTTCCACTACCTTCAGTGCTTCTTCGACCTGTCCGGGGGTTGACCAGGTGTCTTCGATATCTGCCTCATCCTGATGGTTATCATTGCGTATTTAGCCCCATGTTCCCCTCACTTCAAGGAAGGATCTCAGGAACTGAGGTAAAACCGCATACCTTGTGTGTGCAAACCCAACTGAAATCCTTTCCATTTTTCAGCGAAGCTGCGATGAAGTGAACATCTGGACCGATCCATGCGACGTGGGCATCCCCGTTTTCCACCATATGCTTGGTGATGGGATGCGTTAATCGCGACGAATCAAACCATGCTCTGTACACTGCATAGCCACTCGACTTTGGTTTATCCTCGTAGCCCAGCACAATCTTTCTTCCCGGCGATCTCACGCCCTCAGCGGCGAAAACAACATCTCCAACAACTCTGTCCTTCCCGTTGACTATAACCCCCGCCTCTGTGTCCGTCTCGAAATAATCAGTGACCCTCTGGCCTAGCCTGATGTCAACACCACGTTCCAAGGCGTGATTGAAGACGATCTCGTGGATCTCTCCTCTGTGTCCGTTAAACTTCTTTCCGAATGACTCCTCATCGCGCCAATATTGGGTAACGAGGCTCTCTCCGAGATACGTTTTGAATAAGATGCCATCGCTCTTGTGACAGATCGGATCGAGCTTTTCCTCGACGCCCTCCCACTTCTGGAAGATCCTGCCACTATTGGGGCCAAAGGAGATGATATCACCCAAGATCTTCAATTCAGGAAAGGCTTCTAGCAGGACGACATCATGGCCTTTTCTATCGCATTCGATGGCTGCAGTTAGTCCGGCGAAGCCAGCCCCTACTATGACCACCTTTATTCCAGTTGGCGGATTGCGGGAGAAGCCAGAAGGCCGCGTTGATGAAGCCATTGTAAAGCACTATGAATACCTTAGAATGGGTGTTACGCAGCTGTTAAAATATCAATGAATAGGCGGTGTACTTCAGGGGGTGTTTCAAAGGCCGCGGTGTGGTTCTGATATATGTGCAACACTCAACGGGTATAAAGTGCCGAGCTCCCATCGAGCACCTCTTGAATCTCTCTATCCCTTCCTATATGCTGTGATACTATCTATTCTACAGAGCTCTTCTATATATTGGCACGGAAATACCCCATTCCCCACAGACAAGAGGTTTCCCCGCTGAACGACCCCGCGCCCTGTTCCCTCTTCGCGGGACTAGAGATACTAAATCCACTTCTCCAGATTCGACGAACTCTGTTCTTATTGCATATTTGCGACCTAGGTTAAGATCAAGTAGCATCTGGTTAATTATATACTTCATAACTCTACATTATACATTCTCTTCTAGAAACCACTCTCATAAGCCCCATATGCGCCGTACTCACATTGAGAGGAATCATTGACTGCACTCAGCTTCTTTTTATCCACTCTCCGCCGGACTAAAACTGTACTCGGAACCGTTTACTAGTCCGGATGCGCTCGCCATATTTGTAAAATACGAAGGGCAGTGGGCTCATTGCCAGTGCGATGAAGCCAAGCAGCGAGTTGCCCCATCCAAGGCCGAGGGTTGCATACATCTTACCTCCGGCGAGTGGAAGTACAGCGCCTGCCAATGAGCGGAATACAGTGTTCGCGGCCATGGCAGAAGCGGCGTGTATGGTGTAAGCGTCAACAAGATATGTAGAGACCGTCATCTTTGCAAATAGTCAGCAAAACGATCAGGGTTAAGGAGAGCGAAGTGGATGATTTACAAAGGCGCTGAGCATTCCCACTCCCAGGAAGGCCGTGCCAATGATTGGCAGGATCCAGTGGTCATGCTTCTCTGCTGTCCACCCGTACCAGAAGAGCGACAATGGAACGAAAAGCGCTCCGGGTATCATAGGGGGCAGACGGTATTCTGGTTTGGAAACGCCGCCATTCTTTTCAGTGAGATACTTCAAAAGACGGTCCGAAATTACACCCAGCATCACCAGACCCGTGATGGATCCGATACCAATGCCTAAGTACGCTAAGCCGACACTCCCCTGGGAGAAACCGTAATTGTCTTCGAAGACCTCTGTCATGGTTGTAAACAGAAGGTAAAGATAACCATAGATTACGGCAGTGTAAAGCGATAGAAGAAACACGATTGGTGATAGAAAGAGCATCTTTGTTGGTCGCACAATGGAGAAAAGGAAAAGTTCCTTTGGTGAACGGCCAGTATCCAGAGCCGATCTGAGATTGGGGTTTCCGGTTTCCTTGCGCAGGCGGTTCGTCTTTCGCTGCAGAATGGTAGGGGCGTATGATTCGCGCATAAAGACGAATGTGTTGATTGCAACAGCACCGCTCTGTGCTCCGTCAGTCTCAGTTTCGAGCTAGGTTGCACTGATAGAAACGTACTGCTATGGCAAGTACCCAGAATGTCCACCTCCATCCCTTGGCTTGGGCCAAATAACCACCCGCTAAACATGGTCAGTCAAAAGTGCCAGGGCCATTTATAAGAGACATATACGTACCCACTGGTCCAATAACTGGACCAAGCAGTGGACCTAATGCCCATGCCGCCATCGCGGCACCTCTCTTTTCCTGCCGAAACATGTCTGAGATGGAACCGGCACCGATTGTCAAGGGTGAACTGCCAGCTATGCCGGCAAAAAGACGGAAGACAATCAAGCTGGCCATGTCGGGCGCGACGGCACAGGCGACTGTGAACACGACGTACAGGATATTGCAGACATTGTAGATTATCATTCGTCCATACATCTCTGACACAGGAGCAATGAGAAGCGGACCGAAGCAGTAGCCCAGCAAATATACAGAAACCACAAACGACGCAATCTCCAAGTTCGTAGAGTGAAAGTCCGCCATAACTTCGGGTACACCTGGTGCGAACATGGACGAACCCAGGGGTCTACCTATCGGTCAGTCTTTGTATGAATCGGCCTTCAGATCAGGGCGCATACGTGAGAAGTGTGATGAGTGAGATAGTCGCCGTTGCGACCACCTTCTTCCTCCCGGACCAGTTCAACGGATTCTCAGGGTCATCGGGGCCATCCCAGCCGACGATATCGGGATCCCGAACTGTTGTCTCCATCTCCTGCTTCTCGGACAGCACAGTGTCCACCGCATGGCGTTCGACATCCTGGCATTGAGTTGCTTCTGCGGAAGAATTGGTCACACTGCCTTCGATAGCGCTGGTCTCGTCGCGCGGTTTCGAGTCCACGAGCGCGGAGAAGTCTGCCGTTCTGTTAGCATGGCTCTCATTGTAGTACAAGCTGATGTCTGCGACAACTCACTGTCAGTGGTCGACATGGCCCGTCACTCCTTGTTTTCGCCTTCACAACCACAATGAGCGCATTCCACGCGATCTGGGCGCCCATCGTGATCTCTCGGCCCTATATAGACTTATAAACCGTTTCCATGGGCATTTACCAATGTGTCGGCGTCGGAAGTGTCAAGGTCCGGCGCGCATAAATCGAGCTTCATGAAGGCTTTTTGCGAGTCTTCTGACCGGTCTGCCGTGTGCATAAATCCCAACCCAGGGGCTTTGTCCTGTACGCCATGCATGGTCTAACTGGTGGCCTCACTAGCGAACCCCTTGATTCGTCTATCCAATATAATTTTCCCGTGTCGTCTTTCCTCCCCCGCGGGGGCTTTCTAGTCGGTCCGCGCTAGAACGTTAGATTCATCCAGGCCAATGATCAACGTTAGACTACTGGTTGGGGGCGGTCTCCCAGAGGTAGATCGTGTCCACACCAACAAAGACATGGTATATAAGGTGAATGTGGTCGCTGCTACTTCTGATCTATCCAAGATCCAGGATACCTTGTCTCACTCTATGGCAGCACACACATATTGGAAAACCTGACTTACCTTCCAACCCAGACATTCTGCACACGGCGATGTCGGTGAACACAAGAGATAATACGCCCCGACGATAATATTTGCAGCGCGAAATCTCACCCGCGCTAAGTACGAATCCCTAGCGAGGAATGATCTTCGGGCAGCCAGCGCATTACCGTGGGAGAATCGATTCAAGTTATCAATAAGTCCACCCAGATGGTGTCACTGATTTTGAAGAAAAGCGATGATACTCAGATGGGAGGGATAAGACTGCTTCGAAAGAAGCTTAACATAGTCGCATGATATGAAGAGGAGTCAGACCTCGATTGAGTGTTCTGGAATACAGGTTTTCTGGAGCAGCATGTGCTAGCAAACTGTCTAGTTGGCTTGATCGAAAAGTAGATCGGAACATATTCGTTGCTAAGGTTGAACGATAGCAGGCTCGTACAAAACGATGGATGGACTTTCGCTAAGTCCCTGGGCATCGTTCAATCGAGGCTAAACCAATTCCATGCAAGTTGTAAGTACACAACGCCGCTGGCGATAGAAGCTACACCCCGGAGCTCAACTCACCATAGATCTTTGCCACCGCGCACAATCCATGTCCTTTACTTGCTTGTCTGCCTTATCGCTTGAAACTCACGCGTGAGATATGAGGGCACAGGTCTGCCTCGTAGGTGACGTGGACACCTACCGACGGGGGTTAGGGTTAGTGGCCTTGTATGCCTAGAGTATTTTGTCCCTGAATGGTCGGTTAACTGCACGCTGCTGTGCCGCGCGGCTGCTTGAGACATGACAAGGAACTGAGAACCAAACGATAGCGACAGGATGCTTTCTGTAATGCCTCTTGACAAGAGGGGCAATGGACAACTCAGGCATGCATCTCTCTACCCCTCAGGATGATAAAGGCGGCGGTAGTGACCGTGATGTATAAATATGTTTTTCATGGTCTAAACTATTGATAGCTTGTTTTGATTCTCTAAGCACGTCCGTTTTATATGGTAGACCATCTTCTTTTGTGCTGGTCAGAAAGGAGACGATAAATACTAAGTATGGTCAACAAGAGGGGTAAGAAAGCAAAACGGCCCAGTTCGGTCTCAGAAGAGCCTATCCAGACTCCCAATGGCTCTCCTGAGGATATTACCGAACCAGAGACTTCGTGAGCCCCTCTTCTCTTCTATTCGCTCTATGGTGAGCAGTTGCTGATTCGAATTCGACAGGCCATACCTGACCGATGATGTCAAGCTCATAATCGGGCCTGGCGAGCATAGATGGACGGTCCATCGACACTTCGTTGAACAATCGCCAGTACTGAAGAGTACATTAGGCTCGTCGAAATTTACATCATACTACTCATCCACACCGCTATTGATCAATCTCACCGGTGTTGACGCGGAAATTTCCCATACTTTTATACATTACCTTTACACCGGAGAATACCAGACTCTGAGGCCTCGGGAATGCGATGGTCCCAAAGAGTGGGTGGAATATAAGTGGAGTGTTCTTGCCTTCTGCGCTGCGAAAATATATGAGCTACCGGGTCTAGAGGATCATGCGCGGGCTCAGATGGAACTACTCGACGAGTATGTACCCATACATACGATCCTGGACCTGGCGAGAGAAGTCTACCGTCAACTACCAATCGACGATAACGAGTGGTACTCACTCTACCTCCGTGAAAAACTCAAGATAGCTTTCGAGCAAGATGAAGATCTATTCTCGCAAGGTTACTTCACTGAAGACTTGGGACAGGTTTCTGTTTTTGATAAATTCCTGGTTGCCACTATGGTGTCGTTATTCATGGAAAAGATATCGATGCTCAAAGAGGCTTCTCCTCGTGTTAATCAGACGGATCAGGTGACGGGTAGATCTCCCGAAGTCTCAACCAGTCCACCTCCTCCTGAGCTACCTCCGAGTCCCAGTGGGACATTATCTGATCGGTGCGCACCTGCATCATCGCGTGGATCTTCGCGTGAGCCCTCTCCTGAACCCGCACAGCCAGATATTGCAGAAGAGGATGAACAGGATGAACAGGATGAACAGGATGAAGATAATTACGATGGATTGGAGCCTATTCCAGAGGACGTTGGGGATTATGGAGGAAACCAATATGATGGATACCGAGGGATTGCACAAGAATGTATGTAGCTGAATCTCATGTATAGGAGGACATGACTATATGAGAGTGGAATGAATCATCTTGGAATTGTACACCGCGCCCTCGAGGCGTTCAAATAATACACGAACATTTTTACTTACCCTAGACCAGGCACTATAGTAACCTTCGCTACAAAGCTTCTCTTTGGAGGTAAAAAGGCCACTCGAGAATTAAAAGACTATTTTTTTCCCTGTCATAGATGAGTAGTTCCTTCCATCTATCCATGATGGTTTAGTATACTGAATCTATCCTGAGGCCTCCCTTTCGGGAGGTGCAAATGTATGCGTCATAATTGAACATAGCATCAAAGCACTATCTTGATATACCGTAGATATATCAGGAGAGGTTTCTGGCAGTGTCATTATGCCAACCAAGATAATCTATAGCTCAGGGATTCGTGAAAAACTAATCGATCTCGATATCTTTCTCATGCTTGACGAATGACCGATACGCTACTTGATACGAATGAGGACTTGGAAGCAAATCCACTATATTCCAGACAGTTAGGAAATTCTGACTATTGAGAATACAATTGCGAGTTCAACAATAATATCAACATGAGTGACGACACGAGGAACTCTATCTAGACGACCATGAATTGCACTCCTCTCTAGATAACCCGGATGGAACAAATTGAGAGTGGGGTATCGACATCCTATCCTTTTCTATGACTAGATCGTATATGGTCCTGGCATTTGTCCTTGCGTCCAAAGGACCTCCCGCATCGTTTGACAGGACACTCAAATGCATCTGGGGAGACATGCATGGTCTTAATGTGTCTCCATAACGCTCGATCGCATGAGAATACGTCGGTGGATGTGCAACCTTCCCAGCCGCATGTTAAGGGACCGGGATTGGTTCTTCTAAGAAAAGAAGATGATCATATTAGAACACATGAATAAAAGATATTGACTAAGACACTGATAAGAGAAGGACATACTTTCTTCTGGGCGCATACTGATTGTCCTGGAGCATGTCAGCACCAGCCACGTGATCGTTACCGTCTTCTCCTTTGATTGATTCGTGGGCTGGGGGTCGGAAAAGATTGGCTCCATAATCGTTAGATGTAGATTCATTGTAACTCGATGATCGAAAATTGGCGAACCCAGTCGTTGCGCCTGGATAGTACTGGGTTGTATGATCTCCAGTCCATTCTCCAACAGTAGTCTGGTCACCCCGAACCGATGTAGAGGGTATAATAATCCCGGGGTTATGTACAGTCTGCTGGATCTGCATGCAAGGATTGTACGTAAAACTTCCAGGTACGCCAATCTGTTCCGAGGATGATTGAAAAAACAATATTTCTTCCGCTGGGTTTTCGCCATGTGCTAAGGGTCCAGTTAGATACCCGTCTCTTCTAGGATGCAGATCCAAGCTAGCAATGTAAGAAGACATAGTAAAATGATGTGTACAAAGATAATCACGAAGAGTTGGAGAAAAAGAAAGAACTGCGAGTGCTCAGAGAAGATATCAGGAATGGGTTTGGAATTTGGAGAAAACTACAGAGATAAAAGAAGGGGTATTTATGCAATAGGACCCAGCGAGTGTTGACCATAGAATTGTATTAGAAAACGTCAACAGGCCCTTCTGAAAAGCCCCAGCATAGTATGGTCAACCTGTCCGGATCCATCCTGTCAACGGTAAAATGTTTGAGGTGTCGGTATGGGTCTACTTTAGACAAATTGAATTCAAAGTAAAGAAGAACTTCTGGCCTGAACAAATGAGATAAGGCCAGCCTTGGGGATCGCCCGGTCCTGCGGTAGGCACCTGCCACCTGCAAGACACCCCACCCGAACTTTTGGTTTCTGCCAATAATATCTAGCCCAACCAGGATAGGCGGACACTAACAATACCCACTCGATCTTCTGGTCTCCACCAATAAAATCTATCTGCATCCAGGCGCATCAACAGACGAGGCTGTGAACTACGACTACGGGGTGGTCGCATCGCCGTCGTTAAGCTCCTGAGCAACTTATAAGAAGGAGACACTTCCAACCGTCTTTGCTTAAATCCAAGGATTCCCGCAAACACGCACGGAATATCAAGACATCCAGGCTATTTCATACCTGATCATCACTGTTTACCTACTTTGGACGACTCTTATCAGTTAGCGTTGCTTCTTCACCAACATGGCGCTGTCTGATCACAAGTATCTCCTTTCGAGGCTTTATATCGATGAGGATCGAACACTGAAACATGTGATGGAGTATATGAAAGAGAATCATGGCATTGACGCGAGGTAGTTAAAATTTATGTTATCTTTTCATAACTGCGTTCCAGTTAATCCTAATATTTTCGCCAGCGAAGGCACCTACAAAAGGTTGTTTGCGAAATGGGAATTCCGCAAGAACAACAGGGGCAAAGATTGGATATGGGTCAATCGTCGCATCGAAAAGCGAGCTGCTTTAGGCAAGAAGAGTAACGTTCTCAGAAAGGGAAATCTACAAGATCGCAACACGATTCGAAAGGAGATTGCACGACATGTAACAACTTACGAGAAGGCACAAGCAGAAGGTTCTGAACCACCTATCCCTCCAGTTATATTCCATTAATAACAACGTGCAGTTGCTACACCCGAGACACCGGAGGATTTCATGATTGTGACTCCAGCAGGATCCACACCAGGCCAGTCGACACAAGATACTCCAATGGCAGACGGTATTGAAGTGGTCTCAAGTGAAACCGAAGCAAGCCACCAAGAACTACTCGCCAAAATCATGGAAGACTGTGGGTCTTTCATTTCTATATGGGCTGCTTCTGGCCTTTCTATGGACCGTCACACGATTCTTGCCTCATACAAAACAGTCGCGGAGTGGATTGTCACAGACACCTGGGATTCAGCATCACGCCCGGATATCGAGCGCCTACTTCCAATTGTCGCTTCCGATATCCTTTACTCAACGTATAGAAACGACCTGACACGCTTACAGCTTCAACTGGAGCGGCTTCCAAGAAATATATCTACTGATATTATTCGAACAGCAATGTTCATTGCCTCGGCACAAGGCTGCATTGATGTAGCAGAAGCTCTGTTTTCTCGTGGAGTAGATATTGACTCCCGAGATTCGAAAGGTCAGACTTGCCTCCATATCGCCGCTATTCACAACCACTTGAGCATGGTGTCATTCCTAATCAACCACAATGCGGATGTCAACAAGAGGCGCAACGACGGGCAGAAATTTTGGACTTTGGTTTGCGTACTCGCAAGCCATGAAGAGATCTCTCATCTTTTGATTGAGTCCGGTGCTCATAAGCATGTACTTGTCAATGGTGTCAACTCTCTTTATGTTGCCGCAGCTGGTGGCCATGCACGTGATGTGGAGCTTCTACTTCGCCAGGGTGTAAATCCATCGATCAAAACTGCTTTTCTTTGGGAGCCGCTAGTGAGTGATTTGCAAGATATATTTGAATCATATCACCGAGGGATACTGACCACTGGTGTGATGCAGCATTGGGCAGCCTCAAACGGCTTCTTAGAAGTCGTTAAGTTATTGGTCGAAGCTGGCGTCAATGTCATTTGTGTGTCAGATACGGGAGCCAGAGTTAAGATTGTAGTCGGAAATAGATGGCCGACATCAAAGGATATCTTGGAGCTGATGAAGATGCTTGATGAGTTAACAGGTATCTAGGGGCTCGAGCTGAACTCATCCAAATTATGCCAAAGTCACAATCAACGATGACTAAGCCAACTTATCTCCCCGCATCATCACGTTCTGGAATTTGGATGATCTAAGAAATAATGTCCCGATACTCCGCATTCTTCCCCAGAGGACCTTTGTGGTTTTCTAGAAGGATGACTAGCATATAAGCCTGCCGTATTCAACCTCTCCTCAGCAATTACTGGACCGCGGTACCTGAATTAGAGCTCGGAAACTGCACGCCTCGCATCGCATGCCCCGCGGGGTAAAAAGTACATACCTAAACAGCACAACCTACACACCACTCATCACCACAGCGCGCAATCAATCACAAAAACCCACAATGGCATCTCAACCGCCTTCTACACCTCCAGAATCATTCTCCATAATCTCTACCCTCCGCTACGACCCTTCAATCCCCACAACCATATCAAACTCCGCCACAGACATCATCTACCCCGACCCAAAAGACTCACCATACTACCTCCTCCGCTTCCACCGCGATCGATTACTCAACGCAGCCACACATTTCAACTGGCCCAAAGCCATCGATTTCCTCCAGCGCGATACGACTCAATTCGCTCAATTCCTCGACCAATCGATCCCCGACCGGACGAAACCATGGCGTTTACGAATCGCTCTCGATTCACATGGAAATTGCACAGTGGACGTCAACCCCGCGGCAGCATGTTCTCCTCGTTCGTTATTTATTCCGCAGAGCGTGAATTTCGAGACTGCTGAGAAGCAGCAATTTCCGCCTCCCTGGCGGTTATATTTGGATACTCGACCGATCAAACCGTCCGCGTTCACGACTCATAAAACTACAGTCCGAGAGGAATATACCTCCGCGCGAGAGAGGGTGGGGATCACGTCTTTTGTGGACCCAGAGGAGGTACTGGTTTTTAATCCCAAGGGGGAAGTTATGGAGGGGAGTATTACGACGCCGTACTTTCGGCGGAGGGTCGAGATAATAGATAGAGGATTGGGTTCGGATGAAGATGGGGTTGCGTGGGTGACGCCTCCGTTATCAAGTGGTGGGAATGCGGGGACGACGAGGCGGTATGCGCTGGAGACGGGATTCTGTGTTGAAAGGGTTGTTAGGGTTGATGAGATAGTGGATGGAGAGGAGTGTTGGTTGAGTAATGGGGTGAGGGGGTTTATACGCGCTGTGGTTGTGCTTAGGAAATAGTATTTGGTATGTGTGCGTGCATGGGGACAAAAAGTGGTGATCTGATAGATTGTGTGTACTTTTAGTATTCCATGGTGTTCATGGGATAGACGATAACTCCAGCATGATGTAACGTTCGAACTGTGGGTTCTAGAGTGTTAGTGATTGAATATGAATTGTCAAAGACATGACTGATTAAAGGAGAAATCTTTTCATTTCGCTCTCTATCACAGACCCTACCTAAGACACCACTTCTCAAGACCCATTCAACCGAAGAACTATATACATGGAGTCATCATCATCAAAAACGAATAAAGGGACCGCCGAGTGGCGAAGCAACATATGTGGATGAGTGAGAATATCTGCCTTCCAGACATCAATGTAGCAGGGGCTAATTTTTACGCCTTGTCGGCTTCGTTGGCGGCCTTGACATCCTCCTCAGAGCTCATGATCTGCACCTTGATGGCGCCGGTCTTAGGGTTCGAGGCCGTATCGAAGGCCTTGAGGGCATCCTCCAATGTAAAACGGTGAGTGACCAACCGTTTGAGGTCGATGACGCCGTTCCTGACGAGTCGGATGGCTCTGGGCCAGGTGTTGCAGTAACGGTATTGGTACTGCAGGTCAATCTCCCATGTACTCAAACGCATGAACGGAATGGTCATCTCGTTCTTGCCGACTCCGATGACGAAGACCTTGCCTCCGAACTTGACACTCCAGATAGCAGAGCACACACTGCTCTGCACACCAGTGCACTCCAGAGCGAGACGGGGACGGATGGCATCGGGCTCGCTGCCGTGGCCATCGTTCAACGCATCGATGATTCCCTGTGCGTTCTCCTCATCAGACACGCCGGTCCTCGCCTGGTACGTACGGACGCCAGGGACGAGAGACTTGGCGAACTTCAACCTGCCCTCGTCGATATCGGTGATGACAATGGGTGTGGCCCCTGCAGCGCTGGCACTGAGGAGGGTGATCAGACCGATCGGACCAGCTCCAGCAATCAAGACGGGGTCCCCGAGACGGATCCCACTGCGCTCCATGGCTGCCAGAGAGACACTGAGAGGCTCCAGCAGCGCACCGTTCTCGTAGCTCATGTCTCCGATCTTGTGGCACCAGATGGCGGGGTGGTTGACGTATCGTCGTAGCAGACCGTCCACTGGCGGGGTGGACAGGAACTCCACTCGTTCACAGCCATTGTAGCGACCAGTGAGACAGGGCTCGCACTCATTGCAGATGATGTTGGGCTCAATGGCAACACGGTCGCCGACCTTGAGCTTGGTCACGTCGGGAGCGACGGCAATAACCTGCCCGGCCGATTCATGGCCCAGGATGTGGTCGCCCGTGACGATCATGGGACCGATACAGCCAGCATGCCAGAAATGGACATCTGATCTAGAATAATCGGATTATTATCATCAGCAGCGATTCAGCAGGATGACGAGAACAGCGCAAGACATACCCGCAGATACCCGTGCTGCGGACCTCAACCGTCACCTCACCCGGCTTCAGGTCCTTTCCACTCTTCACCTCCTCCACCGTTGGCTTCGCGTCTGCCAGCCAGAGATCATGCTTTGGGTTCGTGAAGACTCCAATATTGGGCTTCGAAGGCACCGGAACAGACGTGTCGACCGCCATTACTATGGTGCAGCGATCGCTCGGGAGGAATGAGAAGCGAACCGGCGCTTATCTGGTTCAGATAATGGAGCACTGATAACGACAATCGTGACCGCGAGATGCTTCAGAAGGGGTTTCCCAAGCAGATACTTATGGCGGAGAGAATACCTGACTGATGGATGCAAAACAACACGGGGGCGCCGTCTCGCGACTCTTAGGCACTCTGGGCTTTTAAACGCCGGAGACAGCCCACGGAGGGACACGTAACAGCTGTAGTTTGCACCCCTCACTCGGTGGAGGCTCGGATAAAGAATCGCGCTGCTTTCGACCTTTTTGTGTCGCAGAGCATAACTAATTTACACCAATTTACACCAATTTACCCGGCTGCCAGCGCGGGGGATCTGGAGTCGTGATTGGCGCCCAGAGTGGGGGCAGTCGATGGTCACGTTCGAGAAGAAATATATAACGAAGAAAATCTAAGATGTTATAGAACCTAGATGGATCTGATTCTTTTACTTATCTTTCTATCCAATTGCTATACTCCGTGAATTGCACTGTTCAAATACTCATGTACCCGGATGCCGCCTGATTGATTGGTAGCTCTCCGGCCTTAAGCTAGCTACCAGCAAGGAGCCATGTCATAGACACCTATTAAGTATATATGATTCGAGAAATAACAAAGTAGATCGATAACTACACTGAATATGAATCTCAAGGTTGTATTCAGACCACATAAGATAGGGGGGAGCGCCCAGTTTAGTTGATACCCCAGTTTTATCTATATATAATTACCCCGCTAAACCAATACAATATCGGATCCGATCGCCCCACTAGGCAGGAATTAACCTAACTATGCAATAATATAGAGCAGTACCATATCTAACTTACAACCCAATACCAAATGGCATTATCATCACGCTCTGTTTCCGCTGTGCTCTGCTATAACTAACCGTTCTATTGTCCAAACAAGCCTCATCAACACAACATAATTAAATACATTGGACCAATTAACAGAAAACACTGGCGAAATGTTGACGCTTCCCACTTCCCCGCCGGGGAATTACCCGAGCGGGAAAATAAGCTCTCGGCATTTTTCCCGAATCTCGGGCGAATTCTGGAAGAATAATAAAAGACGATGCATACAGACAGTATTATCATCTTAGCAAGAATAATAAGTCGAATTTCAATAGGACAACCGGCTGCTTGGATCTATAGCTTGAGTAAACCGTGGCGGTTTTAAGATAGGTGCGGATGTTGTTTGTCCTGGTAGAAAGAACATGAAAGCTGCTCGGTCTAATCATATGCTAGTTCGCAAGTTGGCTGATCGCTGAGAAATACTCGATTGTGGCTATCAAGTTATGCAATTTCTCATGCAAGCATCTTGCGGTTCGTTATACAAGCTATCAGGGTATGTTTTTGCAGCGTAAATGGGAGAGCGTATTGTACATAAGTGTATAGATCAGAAAACGTATGCCAACCATAGAATGAAATATAAAAACACGTTCGAACCCCGATATTGCTCCCCAGATGACGTGCGCCGTTTCTCCGATGTGCAGATCTTCCAAATTTGAAATAATCAGACGAATATCCGAATGTTAATAGACCCTTCAGAGAGACTTCATCGAAGTACCTCCTCCAGTTCGGTAGCGGAGCCTTCCTCTAGTTTGTCATTGTTCAAGAGGTCTGGACTAGATCTGCGAACATGCATCAGCAATCGGAGTGCTCCTGCAGGGGTGACGCCTTCAATGCGTCGCGCCATGCCGATGCTTTCGGGCCGAACGCGCTCGAGCGCATGTCGCTCTTCCGTGCTGATTCCGTGCACCTTGGAGTAATCCAGATCGCGTGGGAGAAGCAGGTTCTCATCCTGCTGGAACTTCCTCGCCATGAGTGCCTGGCGCTTCACATACGGGGCGTAGCGGCCCTCAATAGCCACGCGAGCGCGGATCTCGGGAGCGAAGGAGGCAGGAGTGTAGGCGGTGACTGATTCGATGTGTGGGATGAGAGAGTCGATGTCGACGCCGTCAAGACACAGCATGTCCATTCCTGAGCGGATCGAGGTGTCCACTCGCACGGGGAAGCCTTTGCGCGACCACTGGAAAGAGGACATCTTAGTGCTTTCAAGGAGGTTCTGGAGCTCCCGAATTTGTCCCTCGGTATCAGTGAAGTGACTCCATCGTCGGTCCCCCACGACACCAGCCTCGCGACCCATACGGGTGAGGCGCAAGTCGGCGTTGTCGGCACGGGTCGAGATTCGGTACTCGCTGCGCGAGGTGAACATCCGATACGGCTCGGAGACACCCTTCGTAATAAGATCATCGATCATGATGCCAATGAACCCATCGGAACGGGTGAGTGTAAGAGGCTGTCGTGATTGCGATGCCAATCCGGCATTGGTACCAGCGATAATACCTTGAGCGGCAGCTTCCTCGTAGCCAGTTGTGCCGTTGATCTGGCCCGCGAGGTACAGGCCGCTGATCAGCTTCGTCTCCAGGGTAGGCCGAAGATTGCGAGGGTCAACATAGTCGTATTCAACCCCATAACCTGGCTGAAGCATGCGCACATTCTCCAGGCCACGCACCGTCCGCAGCATGGCCTCTTGAGCGTCGGCAGGAACAGTCATGGAGATACCGTTCGGATAGATGATCTCATTGGGAGCAAATCCTTCCGGCTCTAGCCAGATCTGATGCCGTTTCTTATCCGTAAAGCGGATTATCTTCGACTCGAGCGACGGACAATATCGGGGCCCCTTCACCGTCTCTCTGATGTGCACCGACTTATCTAGATTAGCACGGATGATTTCGTGAGAAGCCTCGTTAGTGTATGTCATCCAGCAGTTCAGCTGACCCTCGTCTCCGACTTGGACGGTACTGTTGAGGTAGGAGAAAGGTTGCGGTGGTGAATCACCCGGCTGAATCTCCAGCGATGAGAAATCAATTGACTTCTTGTCGAGACGAGGCGGAGTGCCGGTCTTGAGACGCCCCAGCTGAAAGCCAGCTTCCCGCAGGGACTTGCTCAGACCGAACGTAGCTGCCTCTCCTATCCGTCCTGATGGGAAGACGTCGAGCCCAATATGAATTTCACCTCCCAGGAACGTGCCGGTGGTAATCACCACACGACCCGTTGGTATGACTTGACCGGACTCCAATCGAACACCGACAATCTTCCCCTGTGAGCCTGAAGATCCGTCAAGGCCTTCTCTCGAAACCACAATATCGGCCACTTTGCCCTCAACGATGCTTAGCCCCGGTGTAGCAACGAGTTCCTCGCGCATATATTCCTTGTACAGATCGCGGTCAATCTGAGCCCGCGGACCCCACACTGCCGGTCCCTTCGATCGATTCAGAGTTCGAAACATAATTCCAGCTTTGTCAATGATGCGACCTGCAACGCCATCAAGAGCATCGATCTCACGGATCATTGTCCCCTTTCCGATGCCTCCAAAGCTGGGATTGCACGAGCAGACTCCAATGTTCGATAACGAGGGCGTGACCAGCACGGTTCGAGCTCCCGACCGGGCAGCGGCAGCACTGGCCTCAGAGCCAGCATGGCCACCTCCAATGACGACGACATCGCAAGCCCTAGTTGATACAGATGTGTAAGTCCATTGTCTGCAGCGATCCCGGCAGGTGAGAACTTACTGCGCGCCATCGGATACTGTCGCAAGACCACGGTACTGAACCGTCCCTCCAATGCGGGGACCGCGATTCAAGCGGAGCAATCCTGAAGCTCGCACCCGAAAAGCCATCATGACGAGTCGGGATGATGATGTCCTGAAAAACCTCGTCGACCAAAAATTTCCCGTAAACATCGAGCGGCGATATCTTCGGTCACGTGCGAGACTCTTAAGACCGGGCAAGGCGCGTTAATGCCGAAAGCGGTCAGAGACTATCAACTTAAAATCACGTGGGAATATTATTCTGCCAGTCCATCGTATTGAGAGGCGGTGAGCATTTAAGGTACCACCAACTGACCAGGTCGATCCATAAACTCCGTCCATCTAATTCATCACGGAATTGATTGATCCCGACGTGTCCATGCTATGGAAGGTGACACACTACCTAGTGAATCACAATTGGCACTATTACATCGCCTCATAGCCACTAGATGGAATTTCATAGAATGTGCTGTTGGTCGATTGTGATGACTACCTAGTACCTATCATTCTGGGGATAATCATCTAGAGGCTTCGGTGTTTCTCCGACAGGACAGTGTCACGCGATGGGCACAGACTAAATTCAATCTTAACACGCATGAGCCGTCTATCGATCACTAGATCAGGGGATCGCCACAAGGTTCCCCGCCACGCAAACCTAAGAGCAGTATGGACCGTCTGGGGCCCCGCATGATCTATGTAAACTTCACAGACCTGGCGATTGACACGGAATACCGTCCTCCGTTCGCTGCGGGGAACAGTAGCTATTGTGAAGTATAAGTAGTTCAGGAAGTATAGTTATCATGATAGGCCATCGGATCTTGTCTCAAGGCAGCTTTAGGGATTGACAAGATGGCGGACACAACACACGGCGCGGACAAAGGTGGTTTCCACCAGATGTGCCAGAATCCATATCTATTGGGAGTCGCATCTGTGAGCTTATCGGTGCTTATTCTCCTATTACATGGAATTGACAAAGTAGACAGTTTTCAACACTGGGTGGGCTCTTATTTGGATATGACCAAGGGGTACTATAACCCTTGAGACGTACTACAATGAACCAATCAACAGAACTCAGCTAACAACTGACCTTTTCTTTCATTAGGTAATAAGCGGTGTATTGACTATGGAATCATTCGGAGCCCGCTTCCCTCACATTTATACCGATAGTGGTTTTAAAGGCTGGTTCGTCTCAACGCTATTACTAGGTCAGTTACTCGCCAGCCATATACCAGTTGTATGTATATTTGAGCAAGCCCCGCCTGACTTGAATTAGCTGCATGGTTTGGGTCTCTAATGAACGGTCCTCTGGCGGATCGCATTGGTCGAAAATTGTCTATCAATATTGCCGTTATCATTTTCGTCATTGGGTCTGCGATCCAATGCGGTGCAGTTAATATCCCAATGCTGTTCGTTGGTATGTCGCGATTGAGATAGAGTTATTGGAGGACAATATATGCTAATAAAAATCACTGCAGGAAGGGCCATTGCTGGAGTTGCTGTTGGACAATTGACGATGGTTGTACCTCTATACATCAGTGAGGTAATATTTCTGTCCAAATATAGTTCGCGACTTGTACTGTACATTACTCATGGTATGATAGGTCGCTGTAGCTGGAATACGTGGTGGACTAGTGGTACTGCAACAAGGTAAGATACCACAGCATTTACATCTAAAGCAGGGTTCTAACCTTTCAATAGTATCTGTTACTATTGGAATTCTCATTAGCTACTGGATCGACTATGGCACAAATTATATAGGAGGTTCTCGTTGTGTCCCGAATATTCCATACAGCGGTGGAACAGAGTCGTCGCGCACGTTCGACCCGTTTCATGATGTACCACCGGGTGGTTGTAATGGCCAATCTGATGCATCATGGAGACTTCCCTTAGCCCTTCAGATTATACCAGCTTTGACCCTAGGGATCGGAATGATATTCTTCCCGGAAACGCCGAGATGGCTCTTGATGAAAGATCGAGATGAAAGTTGTCTAACGGCCCTTTCCAAGTTGCGCGGTGAGAAGAAAGATAGTCCGGTATTGATAAATGAGTATCTTGATATTAAAGCTTCCATAATACTGGAAGAGACTTTTGCAAGGGAACATTTCCCAGGTCTCTCTGGCTTGCGGTTGCACGTCGCTCAGGTAAGCCTTTCGTGTATTCTACGTTCGAGCATTGCTGATAGGATCTAGTATGCTTCGTTCTTCACAACGTGGGGACGCTTTAAACGTCTGGCGATTGGATCGTGCGTTATGTTTTTCCAGCAGTTTATGGGCTGCAATGGTAAGACATAATGACTAGAACTAACATGCAAAGGCTAACAAGTTGAGCAGCCATGATCTACTATGCTCCGACTATCTTTAAGCAACTTGGATTGGACGGAAACACGGTACGCCCAGCAGTAGGGATTAAGTTCGATATGTCACTAACCCAATATATCACTGACAGACATCTCTCCTGGCAACCGGTGTCTATGGGATCGTTAACTGCTTGAGCACGTTCCCAGCATTTTTCCTCATCGACAAAACTGGCCGACGAGTCCTACTTATGTTCGGCGCCGCAGGCACTTGTATCTCGCTAGTTATCGTTGGTGCCATAATCGGTGCGTATGGATCAGCTCTATCTAGTCATAAGTCGGCAGGCTGGGCAGGTATTGCATTTATCTACATCTACGACATCAACTTCTCCTACTCATTCGGTGAGTCACTATACACATAATTTCCCCTTGATATTTTTCTGACACCAGCGTAGCACCCATTGGCTGGGTTCTCCCATCTGAGATATTTAACCTATCTATACGGTCCAAAGCCATCTCTATAACTACCTCCGCAACGTGGATGTGTAACTTGTAAGTTTTGAACTTGCATAGTGGGGGCGTAATTGAAACACCTACTACTGCGAACGTGACCTGATACCTCGTGTTAGCATCATCGGTCTGGTCACGCCAGATATGCTCGCTAGCATTTCCTGGGGTACCTATATCTTCTTCGCGGCCTTCTGTCTTCTTGCATTCCTGTTCACTTATTTCTGCATACCCGAAACGCGCGGAAAGGTAGGACCATGCACTCTTACTTTCCTGATTTACTTACCTCCAATCCCCATTTTCTTAGCATATACTAATCGTGCATGCAAACAACAGACTCTCGAAGACATGGATCTTATTTTCGGTGATACGGCCGCCCACGAAGAGAAGCAGCGTATAGTCCAGATCGAGAGCTCGTTGCGGGGAACTGGAACAGTTGACGACGACGTTCTGAAGGAGCCAGAAACGCAAGAAGTCGCTGTTTAAAGAGGAATACCCAGAAGAATATAGTTGTGAGATTTATCGAGGACCTCTTTTAGTACAGGTTCATTGTCCATTGATATAACGCCCAGACTCTGCAACAATAAGTTACCATATTCCAAACTTGAAAGTGTCTTCTCTCAGAGACACTACCCCTACTGCACTCTAGTGAACCAAATCAACTCCTCTATGTCACTCTCAAGGTCCACACCCAACTTAGAAGCCTTATCGCCCTCAAGCTTGAACTCCGCTATAAGGGGATCATATCCGCCTTCCAAGAAATCGCTCATATGCGCAATGTACTTGGTCTGATCACAAATATGCTCCAATGTGAGTGTGAATCCCATAGACCGGTCTGTAGCATCGATGAAGAGTTTGTCATCCTTAACCTGAACAGTGAAGACACGATTACCCCTTGTTCCGATACTCGCCTGTGTAAGCACTAAGCGGCGTCTTCTGAGGCTGTGGTTCCTGAATACCAGGGGAAAGCTTCAGGTGCAGCTTTTCTTCATCACTGTTCTTACCCCCCGAATTTTCCGCAGAAACGATCTTATTCCAATCTGGTCGTTCAGCCCGCGGGACTCTGAGTACCTCGTCGATCAATTCCCTCATCACAATGGCAGCGACTATCCCCCCATCACTGGAATTCCCAAAGATAGCACTACCGAATTTGAATTCAGGGAGGAAGAAATGTACAGTACCGAAGCCAGGGTCAGCACCGTCATGACTAACCACCATATGCCCTCAATAATAGAATATTTCCCATCCAGCAGTATATACCGATGGTGAAGTAAACAGATTTAGGTTCTCAGCCTCCGGATTCTGAAATATCCGTGACTTGACGAGACCTTTGTAGATTCCTTCCGTTATGGGGCCTTCATGGTTCATCATTGCCTTGACCCATCGGATGTAGTCGTTCACACTCGTAATAATGAACCCTACACCTTGCGCCTCTGGGCTGCCAGGGGTCTGGAGTTCTTTATATTCTCTCGAATCTGCATCCCATATGTAACCGGCCGTAATACAGTCGCCAAGGCCTTTTACGCGAGCAGCCTCTGGTTGGAGACTTGTCGAGTTCATCTCTAATGGCCCAAAGAAGTGTTTTCGCACGAAATCAGCAAAAGATATACCAGCCTTCTTTTCTATTAGGTACGTTGCCACTATATACATCATATTACTATAGATGAATTTTGTTCGAATGGTAGCGGAAACTGGCAAGTTGCGCAGATTCCTAGTGACTGATCACGCGTCGTCTGGTTCTGCTGCTCGCGAGCTCATATAGGAGAAGTCATGACTTGTGTCCGTTAGCAATCACTATCAACGAGAGAAAGCAACGTGTATACGGACGGAGGTATGCCTGATCTATGACTGAGTATATCCTCAACGGTAATACTTTCAGTGTATCCCGCCTCTGAGGTCACGAAGTCGCCGGGTAATAAGTTCGACATGGTCGCGTCGTACTGTACTTCAGGATAATGTTTGTTATCATCGATTAGTAGGCCGACAGAAGCAGCTGTTAAGGATTTCGATGCGGATGCGATATTGAATAGCGTATCTGCTGTACATGGTACAGGGGGTTCGAATGATAACTTCCCGTAGCCTGTTGAGGCTATCGTTTCGTTCTGGACTATAGCGATAGAAACCCCAGGCACATGGTGCTCCTCCATGAGTTCCTCCACATGGGAAGAGAATTCTGGGGAGTGAAAGAGGTCCATGGCTGTCTATCTCCAGTATGTGGTGTCGATCAGGAAACAGAAATCACCCTGTAAAAAGGGCTATGCTCAACTTCTACTAGTAACGCGTAGAAACTCAAGATACCTCGTCTACTTGTTTATCTCTCTCCCCAGCCAAATAATAAGGAAAGAAAAGGAGGTTCTTCCTTTCCCTGTTAGGCAGCGTAGAAGATCTTCGGCTTGGAGAGAAATATTACGCCGTAGTCACTATGAGTCATACCATCATCCTTGATCCCGGTCAGCATGAAATTTCCCTGAAAAAAGCTGTACGCTTGAGGCCTCCAGAGCCTATCATGAATAGCATTGTGTTATGGATTTTGTTCCAAGGGACTTTGTTTGAATTTCAATTGGGGGAGGGTCGTATTACTTAGGCGTCCCACGAGCGTACGCAGATAACAACATCTTAGCATCCATTTCGTTCATCAAGTTAATTGTAGATCGAGAACATCAAAGGCATAGCAAGAGCTTAATGGTAGGAATTATAAATCCAGGATATCAGATCTAGATCCAGATAAAGCTGGGCAGTCGATGTTGTTTACATCGGCAAGAACCGGCGGAATACTCAACTGCCAATTTGTTGATTTCGCCCTTCAAAATAATCTCCGCTCCAGCACGGAAAGCCAGCGCCATTGCCGGTCGGCCGAGAAGCTTGGCAGCGACGACGCGCGAATCCAGGGACAGCAGTTCAGTATCTACACCAAGAACAAACAAGCACTCATCAGATAACCAGGCTGATCAAGATAGCTGAGATCGGTTCTCTTGCCTTTCTTCGGAGCAAATGCGACATCAGCACGTGTAAAGAGGCAATCACTCCGAACCTCCGCTCCCGGTCGGCATAAACCCATACATAGCGCCCTGTGTATTCCGCAGGTTGGAGTCAGATGGCTGGCTACCTGAGGACGACGGTATCGCCTCAGACTGGATTGTATTCCCTCAGGCACTTGGGGTCTCAGCGATCCCCGAGTGACCTGGCGCTTACTGCCCATAGAGTTGCCGGATCGGGACGTTCCTTCGCAGGTCAAGTCCGCAGCATACATTGCACACTGACCGGACAAGTGGTCGAAGGTCAAAAAATGCCGTACCGGCAGGCGATGCTATCTCTCTATAACAGGTATGCAGGGTCACTGTCCGCAGCGACAGTCTCGGGACCAGGGAGGCAGCAGAGACCCTATGCTACATCCAACTCTCCATCGACGGTAATTCCACAATCATCGGGGCCTGACGGTGCGGGGATGTCAGAACCAGAACTCAGGAGCAGGAAGAGAAGACGGCAATCTCGCTCATTTTCGTCCACATCATCTAGCAGCTCTGCACTGAACGATTCTCCCGACGGCGGACATGGAGAGAAACAGCAGCCGCAGCTCAACTTCGCCGAACTGTCCAAAATAGTTCCACAGCAGAGCCCTGACGGCGCCTCCTCGCTGTGGTATATTGTGGCAACCGCTGCTATTCTTGGTTTTCATCGTGAGCCCGCTGTTGGCGAGCTTTGGCATTATATTAGCAGCCTAGGGGGGGAGCAGTCGCAACAACTTGCAGTCGCAAGAAGGATCAGAGAAGCATGCCTGAAAGCGAGTGTACTTGTTGGCTTCCCTAGGGTATGTATGACAGAAGACTCTGATCCCCCTCTCTTTGATATTGTTGAATAAGATATCCTCTGCGAGACACTAGATAAATAAAGTGGGTATTATGTACTAAGAATGTCTTGAAGGGAATCAACGGTCTGCTTTCTCTACAATCTTCGTTACAGAAGAACTCCGCGGACCTGGTTCAAATACTCAACTCCGACACGTCTCTGCGAGCACCGATCCCACCGGAAGAGAAATATCGACGGGGAAAAGACTTCTTCTCCCAAATCTACACCCAGCATACGGACCGCGTGCTCGAATCGATGGGACGCAGTTCCGGAGGGGATCTGAGCTACTACGCCGTCGCGAGCATCTATGGTGAACTGATGGCCGAGACTAGCATCATGAATGGCAAGGAGACGGGCATTCTGGAATTCGTTTGCTGTCTGGTCGATGACGTAGCACCGCAGGCCAAGGGGTGAGTTCGACGTCTCTTCGAGATCATTCTCAAAAACCATCTAGATTACTGACATCTCCATGTAGCCACTTCTTCGGCTGCCGCAACCTTGGTGCATCCAAGACTGAGATCCAGGGCACCATCTCGTTGGTTCGAGAGATGGCCAGACAATTGGACCTGAGTCATGTTCCTGGAAGTGGTGACCAATTTAGATTTCTGGGTAAGGCAGAGACCTGGTAGGCTCTGAAACTGGAGTATGCGTTTCACGCACGGTCTTGGGTGGAGTTCCGAGAGACAGTCGATAGTCTTGTTTACTTTGCATGGTGCATGGCTCATGACAGTATCATTCATAGACGGTAAATATATATCTCATTAATAATGCATCCACCATAAATTAGAGACAACGAACAAATATAGTAGATAGGCCTGGCTTGTATTGGTATGAAAGCATGAACGACTCACTCAACCAGTATATTTCAAACTAGCATCTGGCACAATGGAGGCCTCAAAAAGTGCTCTAGCCAAAGCCCCTCCAGTTTCTACCACAAGTCCTTCTGACCTGTTTTGTCGATTTTCCTATCATCTCTTTCCAAAACTCAGCCGTACCCGATGGAACCAGATCTTCCACCTCGAGTAGAATGAGCGTATCAAACACCCAGTCCTGACATCGTCTCTTCCCATCTACGGGCGGGTGCTTTCTCGGCTTTCATCAGCTCCATTGCTTTCTGGCGCTGTTGCGGAGTAAGGCCAGCTATATTGCTGGAAGATAGCCTAGTAATCAGCTTCTTTTAAAGATAGATGCAGAAATGTCAATATTCTCTTGGCTACTGTGGCTCTATATGGGCCTAATTCTGTGAAACATAGGACATTCCATAACCATTGATGGCAAATTAGAGTATGCTATGAACTGCAAGATCAACAGATGCGGGGTGTTACTGATAAGATAAGTGAGGGGCTTATGTCATCCACTTGTATCGCACACGGACCAACCAGAATGCATGCCAATCACGCAATCGTAATGACAGGCGGAATTGGGGATCAAAAGTAAAAGAGAAAAAAAAAGAGGCAAAAGAGTCCAAATTAGCGGGAATAAAGTCATAAAAAATATTACTATAGATACGAATAATATCCTCCGCTGTGGTTTATTTCCCTGATTCTTTATATTCCGACGAGAATTCGTTTTTATCTGCAATTGCAGAATTGCCACAGCTTCCACTCCGCAACCGGATATTACCATCGTGTCTGCTGATTGGCTGTTCGTTTTCATCTCCGCGGAAATTATCGACAAAAAGGTTTATAACAGTCATTCAACTTATTCCGAGGAGATATATCAAGTCAGGAAGATATTGATATATACTCTCTATCGTTTATCTCTGTGGATCTATCGGGGAATTTTATATATACACACTATTTTCCAGCTACTTTAACAGTCCTGGGAAGAGAGAACGGCCTGGCGGCGATACTAACCAGCAATGAAGCCTTCCGGGCCTGGTGATGTCTCACCAGCTCCATTACTCACCGCGATAGATGCGACCTCGCAGGTTCATCTGGTGATCGGTTCAGGCTCTCTCGCGGCGGCGCGTTGTACACGATGCTTGGAAGCAGGCGCGAAACCCATCATTATCGCACCGGAGACCGCGGACATGCATTTCAGTCTTACGCAACGGATCGAAGAGGGCGCAGTGGAATGGCTGCGACGGGACTTTCAAGATTCTGATCTTACGACTCTGGGACGTGCTGAAGTAGAGAGCGTTGTGGATGCGGTCTTCGTCACATTGGGGGGCAGCGATCCTTTGAGTAAGTTGAAGATACCAGCACGCAACGAGAGAATATCCACTAACATGGTTGTCTCTCTCAAGGCTCGCACATATCTACAATGTGTCGTCGACTCAGAATCCCAGTTAATGTATCTGACGCTCCTGAACTCTGCACATTTACCCTACTCTCAACGCACTCTGACGGACCCTTGCACATTGGAATCACAACGTCTGGGCGAGGTTGCAAAATGGCATCGCGGTTGCGGAGAGAGATCGCATCGTTCCTCCCGCCAGATCTGGGTCCTGCAATTGATCGGTTAGGTTCCATCCGACGACGGATCTGGGAGGAAGATCGGGCAGCTGGATTAGTTGACGGGGCATTCGAGGTGGAAGAGGAAGACACCAAGGCGCAGAAACATACATTTAACGCGTTGGTAACAGCGGAGGATATCTCTGCAGCGAAAAACCGGCGGATGCGCTGGTTCTCCCAAATCTGCGAATACTGGCCCCTGCGGAAACTCGCTGCTATCGACGACTCAGATGTGGACGCGATCCTCACGGCCTATTCATCCGAAAGCTCCAATTCAACATCCGAGAACACTGCTCCCAGCAACGGTGTTGTTGTCCGAAATAAGGGCGCGATCATCCTCGCTGGATCGGGCCCGGGCCACCCAGAACTTCTTACGAGAGCAACATACCACGCGATCCAAAACGCAGATATCATCCTGGCAGACAAGCTGGTCCCAGCGCCCGTGCTGGAACTCATCCCTCGCCGAACGGAAGTTCACATCGCACGGAAGTTCCCTGGAAACGCCGACCAGGCCCAAGAAGAATTCCTCCAAATGGGCCTGGAAGCTCTGCGTAAAGGTCGACAGGTGCTGAGACTGAAACAGGGAGATCCTTATCTCTACGGCCGGGGTGCAGAGGAGTATCACTTTTTCAGAAACGAAGGATACACACCTATCGTACTTCCTGGGATTACGAGTGCTCTCAGTGCGCCGTTATTCGCTGGGATACCACCCACGCACCGCAGTGTGGCGGATCAGGTCCTCATCTGTACCGGCACAGGCAGGAAGGGCGCTGCTCCGGAACCACCAACGTATGTCCCGACACAGACAGTAGTCTTTCTCATGGCTCTGCATCGGTTGTCAGCTTTGATTGAGTCCCTGACCACCTCCCCCACGGAGACAGACGGACAGTCAAAGGCCAGAACGCGAGCGCTCTGGCCCAAAGACACGCCGTGCGCCGTCATCGAGCGAGCTTCGTGCAGCGATCAAAGAGTCATCCGTTCTACCCTGGAGCATGTATGTCTCGCCGTGGAAGAGGAAGGCTCACGACCCCCTGGCCTCTTGGTTGTTGGAGCCAGCTGCCACGTCCTTCACAATTCAAGTGGTCAAAAATGGGTCGTAGAGGAGGGATTTCGAGGCTTAGATGGTCTGCATCAGGGAGGCGATCTGCCCCTCGTCGATGCATCTGGACTTTCGAATGGGACTGCATCGTAGAATCGTGAACGCTCAGCTATTTTTCCTTTCCCTTTCGTCTCCGCTTTTACTATGGAGTTACGATGCATTGCATGGTTGGAAGCGCATGAGATTTGTAAATATTCTTTTTTTTTTTCCTTTTCTTTTATATAAATCTGAGATACCATAGACGGATAGATAGATGTTATATACGAATGAGTTTGACTGAAATGATATTCAGGGGTGACAAGGAACGACAGTTGTTGACACTGAAAAAAATAGAATACTCATTGTATTTGGATCTGAGCTTTCAATCTGCTCTCGTATCGAGTTCCCCTATCCGTCATTCAGTGCAACCTGTTCAGGCAAGGAGCATAGCACCGACTCTCATAATTAGAATGAGATCCAAGCTCCGTAAACTTAGTTGGACAACACTTGGGAGAGTGTCTTGATTGCCTTGATTTTATCAGTGGACAAATGAGGATAATATACTCAGTATCGTCAGTAATGTACATATAGTGATCACATGAATCCATCGCTCCTCCGGGGGTATATCAGAAAGAGGAGATCTAATACTTGTATATATCCGCATCACTACCGAATGCAACATCGTTAGTAACGAGTCACTATAAATCCATGGTATATTAGTAACTCACAAATGTCCAAATCGATCTCTCCCGTCCGCTCTGTCGTTGACCCAAACACTGACACTCATGGCTAAAACAGGGAAGATACCGTAGCCCTGGCCGTCAATGACAACAGTCTCCTTATTCCACTCGAGAAGGTCTGTCCATCGCTCTCCAGCATGCTGCTTACCGACGAACATACGCTTTGTCGAGGCGGCGCCGTTGCTAAGAACGCATGCAAGACCAGAAGAGTGTCTCAAGTTGCCATATCGAACGAAGCCTGGTAGCAGTTAGCTCTGCTCATCTCATATGAACCTCCAAGGCATAGTTTTTTCCCGGGCGGGGAATAATACAGACCTATGCAGTTTCGACGGTCAAAATAATCACGTTGTTCGCCATATGCATATAGCTTCCGTGCCAGAGCTAGGTGAGGAAGTTTCCCTCCGCAGGATGGCGGTGAGGAAGTCTTAGCTCCGCCTTGGATTCCGTACAGATCGCCGTAGAAAATGCACGGCTGACCTTCTCTGCGAAGTAAGATGAGGGCGTAGGCAAGAGGTTTGAAATATGCTGTAATGGGGGCTTCTAGGCTTTGGCCGGGTTGCTGAAGAGGTGTCAACAAATCGATCTTCCAGAAGTGGCGCAGTTAGAAGTTGCACTTACAGTATCATGATTTGCTACGAATGTCTGCAGAACATGTCAGTACTAAATGGAATCATTAGCGTCACAAGGCTGCACATACCACTGCGTGCTGAGGTTCGTATTTCACAATAGTCTCATCGAAGATGCGTCTCAGATCAGCACCTTCGGTCTGCGAGAACCTCGAAAAGCGATAAACAAGTGGCGCATCGAACAAAGACACCTGTCGATCCATCCTTTGAAGGTAGTCGAGTAGTTCACCCGGTGATCCTTTCCAGTACTCGGCAATGAAGGACCAATTGGATCCGACAGTGCGTTTCATGTGCTCGACGAAATCCTTCTGGAATCGACAGGAATAATGTTTAGCAGCATCCAGCCTCATTCCGCAGAGTGGTAGCTGTTGTCCAATCCACTCTCCCCAGCGCATGACATCTTGTCTGACATCTTGGTTCGAGTAATCTAGATTGGCAAACATGAGGTAATCGTAATTGCCATTTTCCTTGCTAACATCTTGGGACCAGTTTTTGCCGGGGCCAGCAATTTTATATATGGCGTTTTTATTATCAATCGCATTGTAGTCAATGCCACTGAAATGGTACCAGTGATACTTCATAGAGCTGTATTTCTCTCCACGGCCCGGAAAGTCGTATCCTACCCATCCTTCGATCCGTTCTGGCTTGGAGATTTCTATATTACGTTCTGGAAAGGACTTGTGAGTTGCTTGTAAAGCAAAAGGGCCCAACCAAATAATGGGGTCAATGACATTCGACATACCTTGTGGGTCTACTTTTACGGCCTCAAATTTTTCTGTGTAGTCAGCAGCAGCCTTGTGATTCAAGACTGCATCCCAATAGATCCCAATGCCAAGTTTCTGGGCGGTTAAGCTCAGAGCAAGAAGCTCTTCCTTCGTACCCCATTTGGTCGCTCGGGAGCCCTTTTGATCGAATTCTCCCAAGTCATACAGATCGTAGATGTCGTAGCCGTTGGTGGATGGGCTCATTCCTTTGCATCCGGGAGGCAGCCAGATGGTGTCAACTCCGATATCTTTGAGGTCGGGCAAAACCTTGTCCAATCGCCGCCAATGTTTCTGATCAGCAGGAACATGCCATTCAAAGGCCTGCATCATCAGAACATTGTCCGGAGTGTCCCATGTCGGTAACAGGTCCAGACGCTCCGCCTCATCTGTATAATATGAAGATTAGAATCGCTCTCTCTCTCTCTGGCAAGCTACTGTACGTGCGGGAAAAATAGGAGACACTGCACTCACGTTCGATTTCCTCCCATTTGGACCTTTTCCTGCTTGCTCCGCAGCGAAACAGCGCCCTCATCTTGCGATCATCCGACCCAAAATACCAGCCCAGGGTGAAGGACAAAAGGGCCGTGAATAAAACGAGCGAGAGCATCCGCGGAAATATATGTACAGTGCTACACTATGTTTCGGTCTATTTTAAGAAAAAGAAAGAAAAAAAGGGCGCGATGCCCGGGCCCCATCCATCTAGTGTAAGCAATCAGAATTCGCAGAAAGGAGAAACGAGAGTGATGCGAGGAGCAATCGGCTTGGCGTCGAAAATAATAATAAATTGATAAGATCCGATGGAACTCCTTCTCTGCAAGGCGGACAGAGCGCAAGAATGACAGCCCTGCGAGGGATGATAAGCGTTCAGGAACCGAAGATGAACCAACGGATCGCCAACCGGAAGCTGCGGGAAAGACACTAACACTTTCTAGCTTCAAAATCAGCCCCAGTTCCTTTGGCGCAGAGCTCGTCCCTGGCTGCGATGGTCGTGTGGCTGTAAGGAGGATTCTGGGGATCGGCCGAGGATACAGCAGGTGAGACTGTCTGCCAGCATAGGAATATGGAGGCACATACGCAGCTTCCTTCTATGTCCTGTCCCTGACTCTCGAGACTGCCAATATCCCTATCGCGTAATACTGGACTCTCAGATGCTAGTAATGCTACTGTAGCAATCATCCTTATCGTAGGACGCCAAGTCGTCGCTCTGCAGATCTCTAAGTCGCCCATCCCCGCATTCTGGACGAGCAGTCTCTCTCTCTGAGTATTGACAACCTGAAATTTAGAAGAACAGAGACTTGGAAGAGCATTCGACGCGGTGTTATCAACCGCAGTCATAGCCATGTGCTCACTGCGACAAGCTGCTTTCTTCCTGCTATTTGCTATAGAACCAGCTTGGGGAGCATCCAGTGGCCCTGCAAGCAAGGCGGAGATAGACGTGCTGCGCTATGTGAACCCTTTGATCGGAAGTGACAATGGTGGCAACGTCTTCGCAGGCGCAAGCCTGCCTTATGGCATGGCGAAACCTGTAGCCGATGTCAATGGTCAGAATACAGGAGGCTTCTCGACCGATAAAAGCAACATAACTGGGTTTTCCCATATGCATGATTCAGGCACGGGTGGTAATCCATCGTTGGGAAATTTCCCTTTATTCCCGCAGTATTGTCCTGAAGACGAGATCGACAATTGCAAGTTTCCCAAGGCCGATCGCGCCCTGCCTTATATCGCAAATTCCGTTGTTGCCCGACCTGGTTATTTCGCCTTGAGTTTACAGAATGGCATCCAGGCTGAAATGACGGCCACGGAACATGCAGCGCTGTATAGATTTCACTTTCCGGCGGAGACAACCAGCAATGGTTCCGTGCTGAGTCCTTTGATGCTGCTCGATTTGACCGATGAGTGGGACAGTCGGCAGAATGCTTCAATTGGTATTGATCATACGACAGGTAGGATCACGGGAAATGGAACTTTTCTTCCCAGTTTCGGTGCCGGCTCATACGTCTCATACTTCTGTGTCGATTTTGCTGGCGCGGCTGTCCATGACAGTGGAATTTGGGTCAACAACAGAGCAGGAACCGAGCCAAAGAAGCTATATGTTACGCGCGGCTTTAACAATTTCTATATCCAGGCGGGTGGCTTCGTCAGGTTCCAACGACCTAGTGACGGCGTAGTGAATGCAAGAGTGGGAGTGAGCTTCATCAGCACCGACAAAGCTTGTCAAAATGCGCAACGGGAGATCCCTAATCCTGTAGGAGACTTCGACTCCCTGCGGGAACGTGCTGAAGCAGCATGGAGAGAAAAGCTCAGTCCAATCTCAGTAGAGGCGGGAGGAGCGAGCGACGCTCTTTTAACAAGTTTCTGGAGTGGCATTTATAGAACGATGCTTTCACCCCAGGATTACACCGGGGAGAATCCTCTCTGGGAGAGCGGGGAGCCTTATTTCGATTCATTCTACTGGTGACTATACCCTCTCTTCTAGACAATCTACTCCGGCCAGTACAACTGACTGACTCGCCTTGCTTTGCAGTATCTGGGACTCTTTCCGGGCCCAGCATCCACTCTTGACCATTATAGATCCCAGCGCGCAATCCAGCATGATACGTAGTCTTCTCGACACCTATGTCCACGAGGGATGGCTCCCAGATTGCCGGATGAGTCTCTGTAAAGGATGGACGCAGGGTGGCTCCAATGCGGATGTACTCCTCGCAGATGCCTATATCAAGAACCTTACCGGGATCGATTGGAATCTTGCCTACAAAGCGATGGTCAACGACGCTGAAAACGAGCCACTGGAGTGGTCCTACGAGGGGCGAGGAGGTCTTATGAGCTGGAAACGACTAAAGTATATCCCGTACCTTGATTTCGACTACCTAGGATTCGGAACCAATTCGAGGAGCATTTCTCGAACCTTGGAATATTCCTATAATGACTTCAGCCTGTCAACAGTAGGCAGGGGTATAGGGAAAGAATATACGAAGTATCTTTCGAGAGCATCTAATTGGAAGAACCTCTTCAAAGCAGATCAGGAGTCATTCATCAACGGTACAGATACTGGATTCGCCGGCTTCTTCCAACCGAAGTTCCTCAATGGCACATGGGGATATCAAGATCCTATTGCCTGCAGTCCCCTTACAGACTTCTGCTCCTTGACCTCTAATCCCTCAGAGACGTTCGAATCAAGCATCTGGGAGTACCAGTTGTTAGTGGGCCCTTTCCGATATGTTTTAGTCTCATTTGTTTATTTGACCACTAACCTCAAGATTGTAGTTACGTTCCTCACGACATGGCAAGCTTAATCAAACTACTCGGAGGCCCCGATGAGTTTGTCTCGCGTCTCGACTTCTTCCACACCTCAGGTCTCGCCGACATTGGTAACGAGCCAGTCTTCCTCACCGTCTTCCAATATCATTACGCAGGCCGACCAGCACTCTCTGCGCGTCGCTCCCACAGTTACATACCCGCATCATTCAACGCCTCGAATGATGGCCTTCCAGGAAACGACGACTCGGGAGCCATGGGAGCCTTCACCGTTTTCTCAATGGCAGGTCTTTTCCCTAACCCAGGACAAAATGTATACTTAATCACCCCGCCATTCTTTGAATCCGTGAGCTTTACACATCCCGAGACTAATCAAACTGCTACGATCCGGAATGTCAATTTCGATAAGACATACCAGAGTATCTATATACAGAACGCTACCCTCAATGGCCGACCGTATTCGAAGAATTGGATCGGGCATGAATTCTTCACGGAAGGAATGACGTTGGAGTTGACTCTTGGAAATGAAGAGAGTAGCTGGGGTACAAGGCCGGAAGATCTGCCGCCGAGTCTGTCGACTGTTGGAACGCAACTTCTAGAAGATTTTTCGTTCTAGATGATCTAGTTACGGCCGACGGGGTGGGTGTATGGAACGGTCTACCATGTGTATATAGCAGAGAATGCTTGGCAAATACTAAGTCGCGAAGTTTCATTTACTCTATATCAACTATCTTGCATAATCGAGGCACTAGTAGACAGAAACGAAACAGCCAATTGGCAAGAATATTTTTCTTCGATAATATATACACCATGCACCCGCTCATCCAGAGCAAATCTCTATGTACAAATATTAAATAAAACGCTAAGAGGCCATCCAGCCACAACAATGGGGGGGAAAATTCGTGTCATAAAAAAAAGAACACAAATCATCAGCTGTTGTGTAGAATCTATTAAGCTCCCTGTTCATGACTCATTTTTTTCCAGTAACGCTTTCAACGCCAAATTTCTCACTTTTGTCTATGGTGTCGCCATCATTGTGGGGACCCTGGGGGCTCTGATCCTTTCCATCACCAGAGGTTTCCGATCGTGCTTGTTCCATCTCTTTCTTTTCCTCTTCTTCTTCCTTCTCAACCTCCTCTTCCCAACTATCCGCAACTTCAACTTTGTTACGCAGGTTCTTGCTGGCGCCCACACCAGACCGTAGAACCAAGCGTCCACTGTTTCCGCTCCGCTCAGTGGAGTCACCCGAAAGAGCGGCATAGAATGAACCGGAGAAAGATGGAACACCGCCTGTCTTCATCACTGCCGGAGCATTTGTAGAATCTGAACCGTTTTTCCTTCGCGATGCGACTTGGGCCCAGCCACCGTCCGCACCGCTGGCTTTCGAGCCGGCGTTGCCTTCACGGAGCGCCTTTGCTTCCGCTAGAGCTGCTCGTTGAGCCTCGCGCTCCTTCATCCTTTCCCTCTCTCGGAACTTCACACAGTCACCAACGCTCATTCCACCGATTCCCATGGACGAACCGTTGCCGAACCCGAAAATTGGCGGGGTCCAGGATGTAGGTTTCAAGACGAAGACGTGTCGGTGTGGCTCCGGATCGAAGCTCTCCGTGGCGAAGCCCCAATCGGCAGCGAGTGAGTGGGCAAATGCTCGAAGAGGTGCCTTTGCAGGTTGGAAACGCACAGAACGCTGTGTAGTGCTGACGGCAAGGGAATGAAGGGTTGATTCGTAGCTCTGCAACGTTGACAAAGTTGAAGACGAAGAAAGCTGGATGTACATGTCAAGTGTTTCTGCAGAGTATGGCAGATTACTCGAAGTAATATGCGGAGAAGGACCGTTGGCGGAAGTTGTGGATGGGTCGATATCGATCTTCAATGCCGACGCCAAGGAGCGGTTACGCTCCAAACGCGCGCATTCATCATCACATTTCAACGGAGTCAACGCAGGGGCTTGCTGCTGTTGCTGCACTTGACCCTTTGAAATAGATGCTTTGACGGCGCCGCAGCGTTTCTCCTGTCGCAAACGTCCACAAGCACATGTTACAGTGACCTTGGTGGAACACGGTGTCTTCTCCGGACAAGGATAAGGCGCATGGCAAGGTTCTACACAAGCATGACCGCAGAGCGACTTGTTCTTTCCACAGGGCTGGCGACACGGCTCCGTAGCATCTTCGCAATCGCCTGGACGGTGACAACCTTTCTGACATGTATGGGAGCCACATTTCAATGGTTTTCCACAAATCAAGCCACACCGTGCATCTATCAGCCAGCATGGCTGGTTTTTGAGGTCTTTTTTCCCACAGAGGCATTTCTTTTCCGTCAGATAAGGGCACTTGGGGCAACTCTCATCATCAGTATGGCAGTTATGGGGTGTCTGTGGATGATGGCAAGCTTTGGGTCGCTCGCAATCGAACCGGCAGGGCGGTGGCTTGGTACCACAGGGTAAGGGAGGATAAAGGACGGATCGACCACAGTTGCATGTGATTTCATCGAAGATTGCCTCCCGGCAGGTATTGCAACTCCCTTTGTGACACAACTCTGGGCACGTATGCTTTTCGCATTTAAGCAATCGACCGCAGACCCTGGTACAGATATGCTCCGCTTCGATATCATCATCAGGACGAGTGGTTGAGTTCAACGACCGCAGCTTTCGCCGAGTCGCCTGCCTTTCAAGAGCTTTGCGCTCCCCTGGGCAGCAATGTTCCGCACACGTATGACGACCACAGTTCATAGTAGCCTTGCATATACGGAAACACTGAGGCGGCTCTTCCGAGCCTTGGTGACAGACACTGTCAAATGAACTGCGGCCACAGCGACATTGAATCTTGACCATGCGCAGGCAGGGCCGACATGCGCCGGTGTGGCAAATCATAGGACATGGATGGCCACACGGTAGCAGCTTTCCGCAAGCCTCCTGACAGTTCGGGATGGGATCCTCGCAGGACGTTCTCGGAGAAAATCCAGGGATCTGAGCTAACGGCGTCTTGCCGCAAGGACATTTAGTGATAACATCTGCAGATCTCGGGCAATGGGCGGCCGTAGCCTCCTGGGGATGACAATCCTTCTGGCAGAAATGCACCCCGCAGTCAAACGGGCGATTGCACGTTTCTCCACAGCGGAAGGATCCAATCCATTCCTCCGTATGGGACATATCATCCGATAGTTGTGCACTTGGAATCTCCTCCTCTTTGGAGCTGCATAGCATCTCCGTCTCTACTTTTCCACAGTAGCACTTTGTCTGCACCTTTACCTCACAATCGCCACAAAGTCCTTCGTGGCAGGGCCGTGGGCAGGTATGCTCTCCGCACGGTAGCAGGTCCTCGCAGATCTGACCGCAGCTCCATCCATTGACATAGTCAGTCTCGACGCAGCGTTTCGTAGATGAATTCTTCCCGCAGAAACAGTCCAGAGTCGGGCCCATGGCAGTACATGGAGGACAGGGACCTGCGTGACAGATCGAATCGCACGGATGTGGGCATCCTGGCCTGGGACGGGAGCAGGTCTGTCCACATGAATGTGGAGGCAGACCGGGCAGCGAACGAGGGTCGACCTCCTTCTCACACCAACAAGAATATGTCGTTGGCAGAGTGTCCTGGGGGAGATTGCAGCCGGGGCAACGCCATTGGCGCGGGGTGTTAGTCTCGTCTTCTCCATCCTGTTGTCGCTGCTGGTCATTGCGGAAAGCAGAACCTTCATTTTTTGACCATTTCTTAATACAACTCAGGTGGAATACCGTCCAGCAGAGTCTGCAGGACCAAACACGAGATTTGCTGCCCAGCTCGTTTGTGCAGATTGGGCACTCGTAGAGATTGTGGGAGATGTCTTCATGGATTCGAGTGGTGATATCCTCCGCAGTCGATTTGGTTGTCACCTTTGGTGGTCTCGATCGAGATGGCGTCGGTTTTGATTTCCCCTTCGAGGTCGAGTCGGAACCACCTGGAGGCGCTACCGTCTGCCCAGGAACAAATTCTGGCGCATCCGCCCTCAGTCCTGCATCCTGCTCTGTATGGTTCTGATGGCCACCCTCGCCCACAGATCCCTCTTCGTCAGTAGCCCCGTGTCTCGTCAGTTGTCCTCCAAACTTCCTCCCACCGACCACGGCAGAACCTCTATTTCTAGGTGTCCTCCGATCTCCGCCTCCAGTATCTGTCCGTCTCTGCGTTGGGGGCTGTTCTGTCTGCTCTGCCCGGCCACCGTTGCCACCATTACCTCCTCTTCTCCCTCTTGGTCTCCGTCTTCTGGACGTCTCGGCTGACCATTGTGTTTCCCTTGACGCAGCGGTGTCGGTGTGCTGTGCTGGTATTTGCGAGACAGGGTTTGTCTGTGACGCTGATTCTGGACGCGATGTGTTTTCGTTCACCGCACGACCTCCGCGACCTCTGCCTCCGCGCCTGGGCGCTCTTGGTGCCCTCGGACGGCCATGGTCTGCAACTCGTGCCACTTCAGTTGTCATGATGTGATACTCGTTTGACCGACGATCCAATAACCCCTCCACTTCTGCGGCCCTTCGAGGGCTTGCTGTTCGGCGGTCCACGAACTGTTGTATCCCACTCCTCTTCAGGCGGGGTCGGCCGTGTTGAGAGGACTAACTGGATTATCCGTTCGAGAGGGATAACGCACAGTGACGGCCTCAACGGCAATATAGATTGACCCAGTGCTTGATATTGACGTTCTGGGATTACCAGCGTGCCGTGCAGCTGTCTTGAAAGGAATGGAAGGAGGAAGAGCAGAGCTGAGCTTGAGGTGCTCTCAGGCACTTTTGAGATGTCCAGGCAGGTGGCGGCAGCTTAACGCCTATGTCCGCGAATGACGGCCTGTCATTGGTGGGATCTCGGAGAACGGCCCGTCTGTTTTGCCGGCGGTGGCGCCGATGTTTTCGGGCAGAAAAAGTTAAAGCGATGGATGATCCGATACGTTAAAACTAACCAGTTAACTACCATTATTATTATTTAGTCATCTTCTATCTTTGAGTCATTATTACAATTGATTACAATTATGTTCTACTATTTATACACAAAGTATGAGTCACTTGTCTCAGAAAGGATGCGGATACGGATATCCGCCGTCGATTTGGACTTAGGTTGCATCTATGAAGGAATAGCCATGGCACTAGATGGACATGCCTAAGTAGTGCTTTGTGCAGTATCCTATTCACATCGATATTCGAATACGCGGCGATAACACGACTTGTGCTGCCTAATTCGCTCGTTCAAGGGATACACTAGGTACTGCAGTAGACCTCAGCGGATTAGTTTTGACTCCTTGTGTTTGGCGCCTCAGTCTTCGCCACAATATAGCTGAAGCCAGAGATTCCATCTATACGTGAAGGGTAATATCAGATAACTCCGGAAGAAAAGCAGATACCATCCATATGCCAGAATATACTCGGGGTATAACGCCATATACCTCCAAAAAACGAAATATATATATATATATATATATTAGCAAAATTACTTATCATCTTAACCCACGTACCAGAGACAAAACATGCCATGACAAGATCTAAAACAGCCATGCAAACATAATGGAATAGCGACTTCTTCAACAGCCGCTGTGCGTTTATGCCAAGGACATCATGACATGTCTGGGGTATCCGTGTTCGAATTGAAGGTTGTCCGACGCCAAATGCGCCTTACTGAGTTGTTCACACCTGGTACATAATGCCATATTATCCATATCATCACCGTGCCAAACGTTAAAGGAATCGTAATAGCCCAGTATAGCCAAAAGTTGTTCGAAACAGTCCATATCGTTTGGCTATTTGAACTATCTAAATTGAAGAAGTTTGAACCGAAAAGACCCTGATACTATGAGCAGAGATTTCATATAAGCAGTGGCATACTAAAACTTACAGAAACAAATGTCCCTGGGAGATAAATGAAGCTCGCAAGTGCAATCGTTTTCATGATTGCATTATCACCTTGGGCGCTTTTTCCCATGTCCCGCGAGACCAGATTGAATGCCTAGCCTGAAGTCAGTTACAGGGATAGGGAACAAAATAGGCTTTTTCTTTTTCTTTTACTTACCAGATTGATCTCGTTTTGCATACGTTCAGCTAAAGATCGTGACCTAGTCTTCAGACAATGGATTTCCTTCGTGAAGAAGAGGAGATCTTGCTGGTTTTGGATCCAGCGCATGCGATCTCTCTGGGATACATCTGTTTTTTCCCTCCAGGTGATCCAGGTGGCTTGTTCATGCACAATGCGCTGTGCTGTGTGTTCTGCCACTTGCAGAATTTCGTTTACGTGAGAAATATGCCTTGCAATATCATGTAGGTCCGGGAAATCAAGCACAATCGGAGGTTTCCTGTTCCGTCCCTGCGAATTTCAGGTTTAGCACCACTAGTAGTCGAAACAGTAAGTGACACGGACCTTTTCTACGTCCCGTACAAGATGTCGTACGGACCAGATAGCCTTATCATACAATTCCTTGGCCTGTTCCATGAAAAGAGCGTGCCATATATAAGGGTTGCCCTCAAAAGTGGAGTCTATCGATTCGCGTAGTTGAGATTCTCGGTCTGCTGGAAGATCAAGGAAGAAGACCGTCTGGCGGCCTGTTGCTGGCTCAAACTGGACAAGAACTGCAACTTGGGACCAATCATAACAGACTTCCGATAATGTACCAGCTTTCTGGACTTCTTTGATTTTGAAACAGCTCCAGGAAACTGCAGTCCATAAGAACGAGCCGTAGCTATTGCAAAGAATAGGGTCACTAACTGTGTTTTGTCACATCACCTTCTTCATCCACTTCGTATTTGCAGTTAAAAGATCCATTCAGATCGTCGAGTATGACTGGCCAGAATCCTTTGCAAAAGAAAGAACTACCTTCCAACTCTTTGCAGGTTTTGATTTCTTTCGAGGACCCGAATCTAGAATTATTGTCAGTCAACTTGATCGCAGCTCCCCACGAGGCGGGAAACTCACACCACGGCGCTGGAGTATGATTGTACAACCTGTTGCTATCTGTTAATAGCTTGCAGAGCATCCGCTTAGGCACAGACTTACCCGGATCGCATTACATAGAGTGGAAGTGTGTTCTTCCCAGTTATCATTCCCTGAGACGTGATTAGGATGGTGGATAGATAAGTGAATGGGACTTTTAGATTATATCACTACCGTGTCGTCGATATTTCATAGTACGGTCGCTGCATTGACATTGGGAGTTCCATATTGAGGACTCGACTTGGGTCTTCGATAGTACGCCATTCAAGTCGCCCGACATGTTTACCGGGCATGTTAGAGCATAGAAAACGTTGAATCGCCTTCCCCGGAGGTATGGAAATGCGAAGATCCTGGGCTTCCAACTTATGCGCTTTCAGGACATCTTCGAGAGAAACGGTGTGCTGGCACTAAATACTAGCTAGTTAGCCTCGTGTCTAACCGCCTTCGATATGCAACTATTGCTGCACTGCCCCGTGAGTACAGCTCAAGCTTTGGAGACCATAGCTTACGGTATAAATGGCCAGCGCCGCTATTTTCTCCAGCCTTGGCCTAAAGACAACCACCTCTCGACAACATGGATATTTGACTTAGCGCCAAACATTGGGCGCAGTCGCTCTCAGTTGGCGTGAGGCGGCCTATCAACGCTGCATGGACTTTCGGGCGTAGCCACGGCTGAGCAGGGCGGCTATTTCTCGAAGTTCAACCAATAATAGACAGGAGTTGCGTATCTCCAGGTTCATTTGCTTGCTCTCAAGCCCTTGTTGCATGCACGAATGCCGTATAGCATACCTTGTATCATTTTGTCGAGGCGGTCCCCAGACAATCAGATTCTAGCCTAGCTCATTTAAACGCCTCTCGTCCAAGTAGCTACACATGATAAAACCCCTTCTGTTCTCCAATTCCTGTTCCAATACATGTAACTTGTTTTATTTTCTTCATTCATTTTGACCTAGTCAATTTTTGTCCAGCTAGAGTATTTGGTTTGCTTAATAAAACCACGAGATATTTCCGAATAGATACGATAACCATGCCTTGCCCCGCACTAGAAGAGTTTCAAATCGGTTGGATATGTGCCCTCCCTATTGAAATGGCGGCGGCAACTGAGATGCTCGATGAGAACTTCGGCACCCTCCAGGAGCAGGATAGCGCAGATACGAATTCATACACCCTGGGAAAGATTGGTGTACACTATGTTGTCATTGCTTGTCTGCCACACGGGCGGTATGGGATAAGTTCGGCTGCCACGGTCGCAAATAACATGGTCCGGACATTTTCCATGTCACTAAGGGTCGGGTTGGTTGTTGGAGTCGGCGGAGGAATTCCATCAGCAACACATGATATACGGCTTGGTGACATTGTTGTCAGTTATCCCGAGGACACTTGTGGTGGCGTCCTTCAGTACGATATAGGGAAGCTCGAAGCAGGTCGGGGGTTCTGCAGAAAAGGAAGTCTAAATAGCCCTCCACCAGCTTTATTGACTGCAGTTAGCAGTATGAGGGGGGTGATGTTGACTGATGATCCTCGTTATCCGGGGTACATGGAAAAGACGATCAACAGAACTGAACAACTACGAAAGATTTTCAATCGTCCTGAACCACGAAGTGATCGGTTATTCAAAATAAATAACGATCATCCTGCTTCCGCTACTGACTGTAATTGGTCTTCAGTAGAACGGGAGGAGATAAGGCCTGAACGCGGGGAGAACGATCCGCTACCACATTATGGGATCATCGCATCGGGGGATGCTGATATAAAGCGTGGGTCGACAAGGGAGCAGCTGCGTCAAGAGACTCGCGCACTATGCGTTGAAACGCAAGCAGCAGGTGTAATGCGCGCCTTTCCTTGTCTAGTTATCTGCGGGATCTGCGATTATGCCGATGAGCACAAGAATACACATTGGCAAGGCTATGCTGCGCTGGCAGCCGCTGCATATGCGAAAGAACTGCTTGGATATATGCCGCGGGGACAAGTTTCCGGTCATAATTCAGCGCAGGAGGTGTGCAGTAAGTCAATTCCCCGTCGATACTATATCAAATGTTAGATCCAGGATCCAGGATGACCAGAGGGAACAATTTCCTTTTGGTTGAGTAGTCTGAAGATCCAATATCAAACAATGATGTGGCTTATACCAAACTAAACTCTGGCTGCAGAAATGGTAAGTGAGCTCGAAAGTATGCAAGGTGAGCTGGAAAGAATGTTTGATCAATTAAAACATCACCATCGCGAGTACATATCGGTTCATTTGGCAGAGCAACAACAGCGCTGTCACCAAGCGTTCAAGACATCAGCATATGAACAGTTCAAGAACATCAATCCTGACCGAGTAGAAGGAACGTGCCAATGGGTGTTGAAGGACGAACGATATCTTCGTTGGCTTGGGAGTAAATGCAATGATCTCCTATTGATATCAGCTGATCCCGGTTGCGGAAAGTCAGTTCTGGCCAGGTCGTTGATCGAGGATGACTTCAAGCGTTCAGAGTCGACGGTATCTGTTTGTTACTTCTTCTTCAAGGATAACGATAAACAAAACAACCTTTCCAGTGCGCTATGTGCTGTCCTCCATCAGCTGTTCGAACAACAGCCGGAGCTACTGCGGCATGCTTTGCCGTATTGGAAGAAAAACGGGACTAGAATCCAACAAGAAGTCGATCAACTCTGGCGCATACTTCTCGAGGCGACATCTGATCCAGCATGTTCCGGCGCTATCATCTGCGTGTTCGATGCGCTTGATGAATGCCATAACGCTGATCAAAGTCGCCTAATTCAAAAGCTCAAGGACTTCTACCATAGTGCCGCTTCCTCGCCCCAAGAATTGCAACTAAAATTCCTGGTTACCACTCGCCCATACGATAGGATCCTAGAAAGCTTCCGATCTGTAACGATTGCTTTCCCTGATATCCACCTTCGTGGTGAGATGGAGAACGACCAGATCCATCACGAAATCAATCTCGTGATAAAATTAAGGGTGGAAGAATTGGCCACGACATTATCTCTGCGACACGATGTGGCACAAAGTATTGAGAAACGGCTCCTTGGAATGGAACACCGGACATATCTGTGGCTATGCTCAGCTATGGACGACATTTGCGCTACTTTCCGAAATAGCCTTCGGCCAGACAAGGTGCCAATTCGGCTAATTCCTGCCTCGGTGAATACAGCATATGAAATGATTCTCAGCCGAGTGCCAGATGGCCAGGAACAAACGGCACGGAAGATTTTGCAAATAATAGTTGCTGCGCGGCGTCCCCTGACCTTGGAGGAGATGGCTATGGCCTTGGGTATAGCTATCTCATCCGACTCACAAGCTGCAAATGAGGCTCGGTTAGATCTGCAAGGGCTAGACAAAAAGATACGGCACCTGTGTGGCCTGTTTGTCTATATAGCAGATAAGAAGGTATATCTGATTCACCAGACTGCTAGGGAATTTCTCCTTTACAATCAGCCTACAGCCAGCTCTCCATATCACTTCTCTTTGGACGATGCCGAGAGTCAAATGGCAGAGATCTGTGTCCGATATCTATTGATGGATGACATAGAAGATTCTAGATCTCAACAAGAGCCCAACGCTCACAGTTTCCTTCGATACGCGGCAGAGAACTGGGCTGATCACGTTCGGAATGCGTCGACTCTATCAGGGTCAACACTGGTTGATCTACTATACAAATTATACGACACCACAGCATCCCGATTTCAACTTTGGTATCCTTTATTCTGGCATGCAAACATGCCCCATGGAAAGCTCAAAGAATCCCCTAAAATGAGCGCAATTCACCTGGCAGCTTTAAATGGACATAGTAACATTCTCGAGAGACTGGTTACCGAATCTACTAGCGGTATAGGTGGACCAGATGACACCGGCACAACTGCATTGATATATGCCTCAGCAAATGGACATGACGATACTGTTAGTCTGCTTCTGTCGAAAGGAGCCGATGTCGAATACTTAGGTCCCAACACCGCGCTATACTGGAGTCCTATACATGCTGCTTGCATAAGAGGACATGAGAAGGTCATACACCTCCTATTGCAAAAGATATCCCATATTAATGGGGTGAATCCATTTCGTGGAGATCCCTTGCCTGGTGCTGTCAAAAGAGGACGCGCGAAAATCGCGGAAATATTATTGGGAAATGCAGGTTGTTCTCATGGTTCGCAGGTTGCATATATTGAGGAGGGCGGGGATATAGTACGAATGCTGGCAGAGAGCGGTGCTGGACTTAGTGGCGAAAATTACATTAATGTCCTGTTGATTGCCGCTATGACGGGACTTCATGATGTTGTTGAAATGCTGTTGGAAAAAGAGGCAGATATGGATTACATGGATACAGCTTATCCGGGTGGATATAGGGAGATCGTACAACTCCTGCTGTCAAGGGAGATCCCGTAAGACAGGCAAAACGGTTATTTTCAACGATCTAGCAGACAGATATCTACCTGCTTCCCTGTATCTAGGATCCATAGGGAGCGTGAAGGTGGAGAAATTGTCAGATCCCGCGGCTCCTACAGGGGGCGAGCTGCAAACCTGCTGAGTTCCGCTGCTGTGTCACCTATACAAACCGGATAGCAGCTGCAACGGGATGCCACCTGCATCGACCTGCATAGAATCAATAAAGACGGGAGAAGAACCATGGATCAGTTTAATTAGATGTTCAGCTCAGCTCAGAATAGCCGAGGCATTTGGATAGAGTCGTTGGGCATAAATAGCTGGTAGATTTCGGTGTCAATTAGTTCTCCAAGCAATCCAGAGATCATCTCCTTTTCATATGCTTTCTCAGAATCTTTGCTTCCGTGATCCTAGATCGTCACAGAAATCTCATGTATTAATCAAAAAGACAAGACCTGGAGGTCCTGTAATGTTGACGGTGTAACCTCCAAAGAGACTACTGTTAAATGCGATATGACAGATCACTTGCATGGTTATCTTGAGGCGCCTAGGTACGACCAGAAGAATCATTTCGTAGTATCATCATCACGTTCAGCAGTATATATAAAACTGCAGTTACCATCATTAATACACATACTTGAAAACACCGAAGACGAGTTGCAAAGACAACAGCCTATGAGCGATGAACATGAGGATTGAATCATAATATGCAATGCTGAGCTGGGGAATATGACAACCTATACAATATGCAAAAGGGTAACCAGGGTCACAACATAGACATAGAAACAGAACACCAAGGCATGCAAACTCAACTCGTAATCGCATGACATGGAAAAGTAAGCCGATACTAGACACTCCAAGCTCCTCCTAGTCTTTTATAGCACGTGTCCAACGCCTGCTTTTTAGACATAACCACTGGCTTTTTTTTAAGAGCTACAATCAGTCGAGACATGGTAGATCGCTTAGAAGAAGACAACAATCTCGCCTCTGTCGTTTCTCTTCAGTCGCAATGTGCGGAACAGTTCCCTCTCATCTTCAGCCTTACGGTCTCGGCTGCGTCCACGGCCCCGTCCTCGTGCGCTGTCGCCGTCCTCAGATCCTGCGAGCGAGGGGAAGTCGCGGTGGAATCTCTTCAGCGCTTTGTGGACAGAACACCCTCTCTCACTTTCAGGTCCCTTGTTTACTAGAGAAAGGAAGTGGCGGGCCTTCTCGCGCAGAAGTTCATCATCAGAGGTCTTTGAGTGTCGGTAGACGACCATCCGGCGGTCGTTCTCTCCATGAGAGCGACCTTCGCCACGGGGAGAGCGAGAACGGGAGCGATCAGAGTCCTTATGGTAATCGATCATCTTGACTCGGCGGGAGGGGCGGGAGAGCTCGTAATGGCCATCGCCGTTGATTTGCACACTCGTCTTACGTTTCGACTTGCGCGGCTCAGAAATAACGTGACCGTCGGATGCATTACGCACACGGTGAGTCTTCTTGGATTTGTGCACCTTGGCCAGGGATCGAGAGCCTTCCTCTTCTTCAGATGAGCTCCGCCGGCGAGTGCGGACGAGCGCCTTGGATGGAGGCTCGTTTGAGCTGCCGCTGCTGCCGGACAAGGCAGAGCCACCGAACATGGACATAATCCGTCCGGCTTTACCCTTGACGGAGATTCCCAGACCATTCTCGTTGGCGGTTTCTTTATCAGCACGACGGCTGCGCCTAAGAGGAGAAACAGGCTCCTGGAAACGGCGATTGCCATGCTCATCTTTGTAGTCTTCGTAGTCGGGGGTAGGTGATGCATCTGAACGAAGCATGCGATCAAGACCTCCGGTCAGCCCAGAGTGGTTCAGTACCGGAGTGCCCGCATTGTTGATGACACTGGAGGGGGCATCGAGCATCGGAGTGTCTTCCCCATGGGGAGTGTTGACATTAGCAGCATCGGTATTGCCACGCTTCCGCTTCTTGTCACTGGTGGTGTTGATCTGTCCATCCTCTGGGGAAGCCTGTCGGGTCTTGCGTGAGCTCTTGCGGTCTTTGCTCTTCTTCGGCGCAGGAGTCATGAACTCCATGGATATGTTCGATGTCTGGTTCGGGTACAGAGAAGGCTTAATTGGTTCCGCGCCGTAGGAGAATCCATTCTCCTCATAGGCAATATCATACTCCCGATGTTCATCATCGACGTCCTGATCCAATCGCGCCAGCGCCTTGCCGGGTTCGAACAGGGAGGGCGCGTGGTTCACCATTTGCATCTGCGCTTTGGTTCCACCAAGAGAGACCTTTGAAGCATTTGGCGTCTCGTCAGTGACTAGGAAGTCAAAGACGTTGACAGCGTTTCCGGAGGTAGCCACCGTTGTTGATTTGGACGGGCCGGTAGCCGCAGGCGGAGGACTCGGTGCGGGTGGAGGAGGATGTTGACTGATCGGTTCGTCTGCATCAGGAGCGTCTTCGACGTAGGGAGGTCGAGCGTTGGAACGGGCGATCTGCTTTGAGGTCGCTTGGTTTTTTCCTTTCTGTCGCTGCTGCTTGGTCGGCTTCTCTTTATAAAGGGCACCTTGATATTTCTGTGCTTCGGTCATGCATGACTGCAGGCGCATCGATCTCACTGTTAGCCCTGAGCCATTATATCCAATCGATGAGAGAAACTAGCAGAAAATCAGACATCGACATGCGCGTATGTCAGGGTCGCCGATGGCATTGGGCCATCAAAGCCCAATCAAACCGCCATCAGCTTTCCTGCAGGCATCGGGCGGTGGCGGATGCCAAATCAGCATTGCCGTCATTGTTCTCGCGTGCCCATGAATATATGGGCATCTGCAATAATGACCTGCAAGATTCTGGATATGGCGCCAATCACCACGATCGGGTCTCGATGCCTAGCTAAGACCCTGGATACGCACGATGCCCACCGCACCACCACGTAAAAAGACAAGAGCCAAAAAAGAAAGAAAAGATCGTCGTACCGTGTGCGACCTGTAATCCGTTCCCTGGAAGTGGACCATGCAATCGATGCAGGTGAAGGAAGCGCCATAACACTGCCCCCGATGCGGATCGAGCTTCTTCTTGGTGAGCACATCACCGCACGCCTAAACCAATGAATCGCCGTCAGCCTGATTTAAATATTGACTATAGTCGTATTATGGTCGTCTGCTGGAGCGCAGAGGAACGAGATTCGACCGTATCCAACTCACCTCGCAGGAGAAAGACACCATGGCTGCACGGCCGTTGACCACGCGGGTGGTGGATAGTTCGAGGCCTGAGGGATCCTTTGTCCACGTTGGACTATCAGGCACCGAGGTCGGGGACTCGGTGACTCGGACGATTGAAAAGGCTCCTGTAAGGCTGCGCGACGAGCGTGGACCTTGAGTGCCCAATGTAGGGACGATGAGACAGACAGGGCAGCGAACGAGCGATGAGCGCCGGGAGCTTTTGCGTAGGCGGTAGGATGAGATGGATAGCGGTAGCAAGTAGTTGCAGGAACCAGCTCGACGGCCACGATGAGGGACTATGACGGTGGTTGCGTTGTTGGCGATTACTTTAATGTGCTCCAATATCTCTCTCCAGTTTTCGTCTTTGTTCTGCGACTGTTTTTCTTATTTTGCTCTTCTTTTTTTTCTGCTCCGCGCGATCTTTTTTTTGGGCGCGCAAAAAGACAGAGAGAACCAGATCCACGCTAGTCTGCTTCGGGCCCCGACGCTAGTCCACAATTGGGATGAACTGGATGGCTAGAAAGCTGATCGCGGGGGATGAACAGGTAAATAATAACTCATTAATTCATATCAAGTCTGGATAACTATATTATCGAGAAATGATAACGCAAAGAAGAAACAGATCTGAGAACAGGGAGCGCAGGGACGACCGCGTGCTTGCAACAGGGCAGGATATTAAAACCCTCCGTCGAGTCGCTCTTGTTTACCATCAGCTCTGAACGCGCCGCCCAGCCTTGTCGCATTCCCCCCCTAACAACCCCTCCATGGCGACAGGGTTTGGATGCGTCAACGGATCATCTTCTGGCCAACCCGAGTGTGTGGTGCCGCCGTCGCACCAGAGGATGTCAGGAGGCCTGTCGCAAAGGTCACTGGGTATCGCATCCCCAGCACCAACCACATCCCACCTCTATCGCGCCCGGCAATGGGGTGCCTGCAGGTGGCCGATCGCAGTCTCGTGGGCGGCCGCGGATGATGATCTGATACGGGCCTTCACCAGGGGGACAAGAGGAACGACGCGCACCAGGCGCATTCCTCCCCAATCATGATCACGACTATCAACCGGGAGCGCAGGAGAACATGGCCCATGCTTATGCGACTTCAGAACAGGAGAAGGGGTCCGTGATATCTACGAAATCAACATGAGACGACTAAAGGACGCGCCTCGTCGGCTGCAAAGAAAGAAAGAGAGAGGGAGAGAGAGATGGAGCAAATTGCGCACGGAGACGCAGCGCTCGAGAATCCGCTGATGGAGGGTACGCATTCCCATACTAAGCTAAACTAACTGTCGAGCGATTGTGAAATCGCCTAGCTATGGCCAGCCCGGGCCGCACCATCAGGACGTCGTGAGATCCGCCCGAGAACTTCACCAGCCACCCGCATGGTTTATGAACGGTCTTTGGCGGGTCATGGGATCCAGGATCGCCCGGTGCATGCGGGTGTTCCCCATAAAAGCATAGAAGTCTCCATCCTGGGCCGGCCATGATGCCATTTTGGCTGCGACGACTGAGCGTCTCTGGTCTAGATGTCACCCATTGCGACCCGAAGGGGAACTTGGGGTTCGGCATTCGGGAGCGATGTGGGTCCCAACGGTGGGAAAAGAGTCATCCCATATCGACCAGGTTTGGTGCGACCTGAAGTTTCCGTGTTGCCTCGCAGGAGGACGCTGATGGAATACTCGGTAGTTCCCGGCCAGCCGGCACTATGTAGGAGAGAGAGGTGTGTTCGAGGCCAGCCCGATACCCGTATCGAACGAACCTGTATCGGAAAGAAACCAGAGAGAATCGAGAGGGTGACGGAATTTGGATAAGAAAAAAGTAAAGAAAGTCCCAATGTGGAACGCCTCGAAAATGGTGAACTGGTGTGGTTCCTTATCCACCCCGCATCGGCCTACTTGAAAATCAGTATTACCAGTCTCGGCGCGAAAGAGACCGGATATGCTCACGGTTCCTTGGAGATTGCCACCGCGTTCATGGCATCCCAATCCACATCCTTGTCATGTCCTGTGGTCTTGGCCTTCGTCGTTGCTTGTTCTGCATGCGATTTCTCACCCGTCGTCTTCGCACCTTTCTCCTCCACTTCGTCGTCGTCCGCGCAGCCACAGTCGTAGAAGTCGCCGATCTTGGTGCAATCGAATTGAGGTTTGTCCAGCATCGTGTTCACCTCATTGTGGATAAAGCATGCCCAGCCGGCGGCTGCGTTCCGAGAGGAGACCTGCGGAGGGTATTTCTTCAAGTGCTGCTGGAAGTGAGAGGCGCATTCGCCGCTATAGAACAGTCAGCGGCGCGGCCGGATGCGCTTGGGTTATCAGAGAACAACGTACCAGGGGTAGAGGCGGGAGAACAAGTAGACGAAGGAGCGTAAGGTCTCCTGCTGTTCCTCGGTTGGATCTTCTGGATACCGAGCCATCATGGTATGGAAGTATTTCCAAGTCGCCCGACCCAGCTCCGCCCTGTAGTATTGAAATAGCACCATTAGCCTGTAATCCCATCTTGGCATCATGTCCCCTTCCTCTGGAAGATCTCTTACTTGGCAGTCTCGTTCCCCAATTTCGGCATGACCACTTCCCCCTTGAGCATTTCGTCCTTGACTACAACATTCGGTGTCGACTTCTCCAAGTGACCGGGCGCCCGCGTCGCCGGGCTGGGTGGACCCTGTGGCAGCCAGAAGAGCATGAAAATCATGAACGTCACGAATATCGCGCCCACCAGGATGAGGCGTATCGTAGGTCTGTTTCCCATGTTGAGCGGCTGCAAACAAATACCCTTTGCTGTACTTTCAAGGCAATGGTTCGATTTCCGGGGGCAAGCGGCGCCAGCAAGGCGTCAATTGCAACAATGTGATCCAGGCAAGTTGAAGGAAACAGATTCGGCAGCTGCAAAGAAAAAAAAATTAATGTTAAATGAAATCAAGGAGCGACAAGAACTATTCCACGGAGGGCTTCTGGAGGATGGCGAACGAAGATTGGAGTCCGTTGCTGTTCATCTAACGGAGACTCCTTCTCCGGAATGGATACTGTTAAGCCGCAACGCGGCTCCACGTGGCGATGTTCATAAAACAGTAGCTAAATGGATGAGTCATCATATACGATTTATGCAGGTAACTAACTACCTACCTAGGTAGGTAGGTAGCTAATCGACTTTCTCGCTGAAGTTCAGAGTCTAGAATACATACTATCTAGACAGTAGTTATCCTTTGAACCGTGCCTAATAGACTGCTGGTATAATATTATTCGTTTCTCAAACCACGAGCGTTGCCCCATATATTTGTTACGCTCGTTCTGCCACAGACCAAGACAAGATAATGCGTGGATCTCTTTCTTCATGGCCTGCCATACTCTATCTTCGCATCGTTCTATTCGATCAGACAAATAGGGAAGTCACATGTCTGAAACTTGAATCGAATAAGGAGTGCTCGACATGTTCCATCTATCCAAGGTCAAGATAAGCTCGAGCCGGCTCCTCTATGCCTCCCCGGCATAAGGTGGCGCGGCTATACCAACAAGCTAAGCGCGAAGCGCGTCTGATCACTAGGTATGGATGTTTCTAACCCAAAATTGATCAATTACTCAATGCCCGGGCGTTATTCCTCTAGTATGATTTTACCATACGGCTAATAGCTAGAAACATAAATGGACTTAACACCCTTCAGGCCTGAAGTATCCATCCATCTAGACTCCTTGGCATAATTCAAGTAGCGTCCTGCACTAAAGCAGCTACACTAATAATACGGGGTTGTGGCTTGAACATCCCGAATCCGGGTGACCACAGTAACCACAATGGCACTCCGAGGTGCGGCCAATCTGGGACCGACTTGTATAAACTCCAATCTCGAATCTCATCTCAACTTTTTTCTTTTCCTTGTCGTCTGATTCCCCACCTCTGTCCACAATGCGGTCAATCAGGTCGCCAGTGTTTCAGGGCCTTCTGAAAGCCAGATGCCCGCTACGACACCAGCAGCGACGATGGGCGCAGGTTCACGACGTGCGCTTCCTCGCTACGCATCATGACCGGAGTCATATCATAGAGAAGTATAAGGCTAAGCTGGATAAGAAGGCGAAGGAGTAAGTAGTTGGACTGAATGTCTCGTATACCTGTTTGGGTTTATAGAAAACATCCTAACGCCTTTCTCAGAGAGGGTCACGAGTCCATCGAGTCGTTGCAAGCGGCATACAAGGAGAAGATCGAGAAGCTCCGACGAGAGGCAGCGACGGTCGCGACACCCGAGCCTGCACCCTCATCAACTACCGCTCCAGATTCGAAATCACCTTTTCCAGCTCCCCCACCTCCCCCTCAAGCTTCTCCGGCAGTGAAAGCTGCGGCGGAAGCCACCAAACCTACCTCGCAGACGCCGGGCATCCGACCCCTCAGCTCCTACCTAGACATTGAAAAGATCCTCACGCTTCCGAACAAGGAGATCGAAGCGCTCTGGAGACTGCGCAATGCCAATAACCCGAACTCGATCTGCGCCTGTATTCCGCTGGAAACGTATAGACGTATCGCCGAGGCCGCTCGCCAACACCCGCAGTTCATCCTCCCGCTTCCCCGACAGCAGACGCAACAGGTACCTGGTGAAGATGGCAAGCCTGTCGAGACGGCCGTTGGCGGTGCCGATATCCATTTCCTCCAATGGGGATTCCACCCGCCTGCCTCTCCGCCTCCATCGAATGCTCCATCGCAGACCGCCAACACCCACGCGTCCACTATCGTTTTCACACACCTCGCCGCGTACAAGCTGCATGGATCTTTCGCGGAACCCCACACCACTATCACGCATCACCTTGACCTCGCGGACGAGAAGGGCCTCGTGCTGATGCATGGTCAGGTCCTTCCTGACAAGGGCGTCTCCCCGGCCGAGGCCAGCTGGCTGGTGAGCTGTGTGCAGCGCTTCTATGACTTCGGTGGTGAAGCGAGCGGAAGAAAGGGAGAGCTATTGAAAATGTTCACGAGTGGAGATGTGGAACACTTCAAGGTCGAGGAGTTGATGGAGGAGGCGGAAAAGATTTCGTGATGCCACGGAGACTTTTTGTGCCATTATTGATTCAACGTCCTATCCGCTCTTCAGGAAGTATACTGTTGTCCGGTGGATGTCTCTACTGAATGTCGGAATAGACTTTTTCTTTTTATGATCGGACTGTCCCCTCTGTTATTTAAAATCTTAAGGACCATATTTTATGTTAACATGTAAATTAGACATATATGTACTAACGGCACATCGGGATAGCCCGAGTGGATTGTACCAAAAATAAATTCCCTATTAGCTACATATGTAAGACACGGATCCATCATGTACACTCCATTGACCGGGAAAAGGGTTAGTGAAAGCCCATAACAATGCCGATCCTTGAATGACCAGATGAAGGTAACGATATCAAAAGCATGCACGACAAAGACAATATTAAGTCCAGGCAGCTCCGCCATGGACGAAGAAGAACTAATCCATAACGCCAAGCCCATAACAATAAAACCAAGAAAGCAAAAAATCAGGTAGCCTGTATCTCCGTGATAGATATCACGTGGCCCCATGCCTTGTTCTTGATGGAAAGGATGTTCCTTTTCTGGACACCATTTGGTTGTACATGATGAGTATGTCCGGGTATAGATGAGCCTCTTTGCGCCGGGGTATCTGAAAGCTTAATGAAGGAGACTGTAGAACGGAAGAGAAAGTGAAAGGAGGAGTGCCAACGATATGCAAGCCGGCCGTGGGAGCGGTGGAACCTTGTAGGCGACACAGTCGGTAATGGATAAGTGAGATAAAGACCGCTCGAGTGAAACCCCAAGCCATTGGACGAGGGGTCAAATGCGTGTATATCCCACTTTTGCGGCCCAGTCACCTCCCTTTGAGACCGGACTAGTGAATTCAAGACTCTCGATGCTCCTTTTCGACAACTTCCTCCATAAGGAAAGAATGTATGTAATCAAAATAGCCAGGCTCGGCCACGCTATCATTGTGCTGCCCATTGGGAAGCGTACGCCACACCTTCCGGCTGGAGTTGCAGAGGTTGAAGAGCTGAGTCATATGGGATGGACTAAGTTGTTGTACGTTAGTGCCTGCCACATCACCTTGTTTGGGGCATAGAAGTAGAATATAACGGAAATCTTCAAAATGTGGCACTCACGGGACAATCTCATCTTTCAGGCCGCTAAGGAAAAGGATAGGAACGTCGGTGATCTTCGGAAGCACATCCTCACTGGCCCAATATTGGTGACAAAGCCGCGCCAAGTATCTGGCTGGCGGAAACACTCTGTCGTTACGTTAGTCATAATCGTGATGGGTTAATATTCAATCATTTCCAAATACATACGAAGGTATCAACTTCCTAATACTCAAGAAAGTGTTCTCGAGAATCAAACCGGCGATGTCGCCTTTATGCTGATTCTTAGCAACCAGATTGATTGAGACAGCCCCGCCTAGGCTCTGCCCATATATGACGATCTTCGTGCCGCTTGTCTCTGCGCGCTGCCTGACATAATCCAGCGCTGTTTGAGCGTCGATATTCAGACCTGTTTCATCGGGCACTCCAGTTGACAACCCGTACCCACGATATTCCACCATGAGTACGTTACAGCCTAGTGCCTCTACCAAGACCTGGGCGATAGGTATGCGGTGGCCAATGTTCCCAGCGTTTCCATGGAACATCACAATGGTGACGTTCTTTGACAAACGCTTGTTGGGGGGCCGGAGGAAAAGCGCATTGAGCGACTCCCCATCGGGCGTAGGGATCTGTAAATCTTCGAAATCATGGATTCCAAAGTGGCTCGGCTTGGGAACATTCGTGCGCGCATCTACTGGCACGTTTCTTGGGTAGATGAGCTCGCTGCATCCATTGAGTCAGTCTCGGTGCCTCGGGCTATTGGGTTCATACAGAATGGCTTACTTTTGTTTAAAGTACAGAAGCCCGCTAGCGACCACAGCCAGTCCGGACGATGCAATCACCGGCAGACGGAGGAATTGGACAGCGCTGCTCGCAATCGTGGAGATATTCCACTGGGGCGGGGGTGGAGGTGATTCAGACATGGTCTGTGACCCGAGTGATGAGGTCGAATGGCGCCTTTGTTCAGCCAGATTAAAAGTTTGTGGGATAGGTTAATATAATAGTCTACAGGCGGAGATCCTGCAGCTCTGGACTTGATATCCAGGGCTCCTCTAGTTCCGATGATGTCTCGCAGGACGCGGGGAGAGACCCCAGCCTCTCCAGGAGCATCTCGGGACGGCCTCTACTTAACGCCCCAGCCAACCAGCGCTCGGTATGGCTCACCGCCCGCCGCCTCAGCTCCATTGCAGCTCCGCCGCCAACGCGTTGGTCGTCTGCCTTCGCTATCTAAGCTTCCATGCTCGAGACCTAGTATCGCTTGTTCATCCTCCGTTTATCCCCCTTACGCCCTTTATCTTCTAGACAGGAGCTATACGACTTTGACGACCAGCCTCGGGGAAATTCGAGTAAAGATGATGGACCACGGTGTGACGGGAATGCTGGGGGAGGGTCAGTTTGTCATGTCCCAGACCAGCTGTGCGGCACTCTGCTGACGGGTTGCTAGATGGTATCCATGTCGATATGAACCATCTGAAGAAAGGAGAAGTGAAGTGAGTTCCAGTTACAGCTCACGTCCATATCTACCAGCTAACCCGTTCACTTTTCAGCCTCGGAACATCAATGTGAGCCTCATGACCTCACCGGTCAACGAAAGTCGTCTTGTTAACCGCGAGCAGCATGGCAATCACCTTCAGAGACGGAGTCATCCTGGGCGCAGACAGCCGAACGACGACCGGAGCATACATCGCGAATCGAGTGACGGACAAGCTGACCCAGGTTCACGACACCATCTGGTGCTGCCGATCCGGTTCTGCGGCCGACACCCAGGCGGTTGCAGATATCGTCTCTTACCATCTGAACATGTACGGGATCGTCAACAACGAACCCCCCACGACTCAGACCGCGGCTGCGCTCTTCCAGGAGCTGTGCTATGAGAACAAGGACCAGCTGAGGTGCGTTTCTCATGTCCAGTGATCCCTTGCTTAAATGAGACTGACGACGTGCTTTTGTAGTGCCGGTATTATCATTGCGGGATACGACAAGCGACACGGTGGACAGGTCTATTCGATACCGCTGGGCGGTTCCCTCCACAAGCAGCCCTATTCGATTGGCGGGTCTGGCTCAACTTACATCTACGGTTACTGTGACGCTCATTGGAAGGAAGACATGACGGAGGAGGAGGGAGTCCAGTTCGTGAAGAGTGCCCTGCAGGAGGCTATCAAGTGGGACGGCAGCTCCGGTGGTGTTATCCGTATGGTGGTCCTGACGGCCAAGGGCGCCATTCGACATCTGTACCTGCCGGACAATGGCTACACTGGGCCAGGTGCGAAGTAATGAGTGTACTAATAATACGACGATCGGATCCGTTTACTTCTACCGCATTAGGAGGACTTGTTTTGATCTAACGCAAGTGTCCTCGGCATTATTGCAGCGCCTCCGATGGCCTTGAACGGGTTTCCTGTCTCAGCCTCATTGCAACTCGTAGTGAATTCCCCGTAATAGCCGCAGCAGAGCTCTTAAGCTCTTTGTTTCTAACGATGCACTGTGATCTTCTTGGTGACTTGCTGTGTCAAATCCAAGTGACTGGGTATGGTCATGTTCATCCCTAGATGTTATTACGATGCAATGGACAATGCTGCCCCGTAAGCTATAGATCATTAGCTAGTTGTAAGGGAATAAGCTGGTGGTCATAGTTCCGGATGGGCCAGGTAACTAGACGTCAACCATTGCCGCCAAGATTGTCCATCCTGAATGCTCACAGATCTCCTCGAGTTAGTTCGTCACATGGCGGATTATGTACTGTTCAGCTGCCATTGGGCCACTGCCATATCCAATCTTCAACGACAGATATTCCAAGATACAGGAAGAAGAATCCATCTACAGCGAGAGTCGCGTGCTGGCGCTTCTCGGCCTTTTTGTTCCTTTCTGTCCCTTTTTATCCCCTGCCACGGAGGTCGACGGGGCTGACGGTCCTTGTCTGGAGTTCGAGTTTCGCTAGTTTGGGCGCTCCTGGACAGGCGCGATCGCCGCTCTGGAATCATCACATCGCCCTCCGCCACCTGCGCGGCCGGCGCAACATCATTCGCCCATCTCCAACATCGCCCGTAACTTATCGCGTCCTCTGACGGGCTGCAACAAGGCATTGCGCGATCGAGACCATCTGTCCCTTCGATCTGCTCGCTCCCTCTCTTGCTGGAAGCGCTTGTTGGGGGTCTCGTTTCTTCCTTAGATCTCTTTTTAGTCCATCCTGCGTCCTTACTCTGCGATTCATCTTCCCCAACTGTTTCCTGCGCGTCTGGGCAACTATCTCTCTTTCGCGTTTCCACTGGTGTCATTCCGGTGGAGGTTGCGGTAGCTTCTGGTTCGCTGCCCGTGGCTCTGCTGCCGTCATCTCATCCCCAGCGGCGACGCGATACTGCCACTCGTATCTAAATCACACCGGAGAGTCAGGCAAACGCACTCGCAGTCTGGCCATCCGATTGAGTGCTTTGGTAGGAAATCTAGTAGCGTCAGCGGAACAGCAGGATATCTTGACCTCAAGGCGGGCCTCTTGGAGTGGGCCGTTCCGTTCCAGCGTCCTTCCATCTCCAGTCTGGGACCACGGGGGGTCTATCGTCGTTCCTCCCAGGCTTCAGGCCATCGTTCAACACCGCCACATCCATCTTGCGATCCATCTCGCAATGCTTCCTTGTGGTGTGAGCTTGTGGCCGTAATTCCCTCCTCGCTCCGCCTCTGGTTGGAGTTCTGTTGTTTGTGTTGCTGTGATCAAAGCAGTTTTGTCCTGCTGGCATCGTCAGTCCGTGGGCTAAAAGCAGACGGGCTTTCTCTTCGGATTGCTGCGATAAGCGGGCCTTTCCTTTCCTGGCCTGTATGAGACGCTTGTGTATCTGCTATTCTCGCTATAATCTCTTGCTGGCAAAGCATCCTGCTGACCTGGGGTGCGTCGCGTGAAAGCATAGCGGGGATCCCCTCTTGGATCGACTCCCCTCGCTTCGCCTCGATCTCGCCGGGCTGATATGGGATCGGTCGTCCTCAGCCACGCGGTGTCGGAGCAGGTCCATCCCCCATACACGATGCTGGGAGGTACGGTCAACCAGGCGACGACGTCTTCTGAACCTCCATTTCGGCCGTCTTCTCGTTCAACATCACAGCCCTCGCAGCTGGAGACTGGCAGCTCCAGGTCTGCCTCCACCGCTAATACCCCCACCTCGGCCACCGTCCCGCCATCGACGTCTACAAATCTGCCGCCCCGGCGCTCTCACGAGATCCCAGCCTATATCAATGCTCAATCTCACACATTCACTCAGCCTCCTAGCGGACCGTCTGCGGTAGCTCCCTCAGCTGACGACCGTTCTACTGCCGCGCCCATGACCGATCACCCCGCCCCTCCTTCTACCCACCATCATTCAGCGCATCCAAGACAGGATCCCGCAGGGGAAGGGCAAGAAACTGCCTATCATGCCCGAGGACCGTCAGGCCTCACAGCAACTGCTGCGGCATCTGGCTGGACGAGCTCCCCGTCCTCTCCGCGATTACATCCTACCCATCGATCGACGAGGTCCCTAGGGAATTCGGAGGCTTCCTCTCCAAGCCGCATCAAGGTGCGGGATCTGTCACATATCCAGAGCTTCGCCAGTGAAGAGTTTCTAGCGCAGTCTCAGCGGTCCCAGGGATCGGGAGAGGGAGGTGTCGAGGTCGGCCGCCAATATGAAATCAGTTCGATGCCGGTGACAGACATCATTGAGATGGTGGCAGGGTTGCTGACCAAGATCACAACCACGAATGACTTGCAGCATGAGAATCTACATCGACATATTCCGCCTCCGGATGGGACGACAGCTCTTAGCCCGCAGGCTACCAGCGTTCTAGCTTTTCATGGCAAGAACGTGCCGAGCATCACTATTCTAAACTACCTCAGTCGGATACACAAATATTGTCCGACCACATACGAGGTCTTTCTGAGTTTGTTGGTCTATTTTGACCGCATGACAGAGACCGTGAACAGGGACTATCTCCAGCGGTTGCGGCGGCGGGCCCAGCGCACCGTTACTGTACAACCGGATGCACCTAGACCCCCGTCCTCGGGTCCCCAGACGCCTCAAAGATCCAGAGCTCAATCGTCGATGGTCACTCCTCCATCGTCAACGGGTATGAGTGCGCAGGATCCGAAATCGCCGACGTCTTCGATACCCCCTTCATTACAGCTGCAGGAGGACGACGATGGACTCTCTCACTTTTTCGTTGTAGACAGCTTCAACATTCACCGCCTGGTGATAGCAGGTGTAACGTGCGCCAGTAAATTCTTTTCAGATGTTTTCTATACCAATTCACGATACGCCAAGGTATGTCGTTGGCCACCCAGCTACTCTCTCGGCCCAATGGGCGGTCGTCTCTTCTCTTGACGTCGAGACATACTCGTTTCCTTATCACTCATTGCTAACTCTGTACCCTTAGGTCGGTGGGCTACCTCTAGTCGAGTTGAACCATCTTGAACTACAATTTCTCTTATTGAACGACTTCCGTCTTTCCGTCCCTGTCGAAGAGCTGGAAGCATATGGGACGATGCTGGTAGAGTTTTATGCAAGGGAGGTGGTTGCGCAGCAGCAACAAGCCGCTCTTGCTGCCGCTGGAGTGAATCCTTCCGGGATACAGAGCTCGCATAACGATATGCGGCCCAATGGAGGCAGCCGATCCGTGGACACAGAGGTTAGGCAAACTCCTACACCTCCCTAAACCGGCAGCCGATAATATCAGGCGATGATCGTCTCTTTATCATATATGGTGTCGGCATCCACTTTTCATGTTGGCATGATAGAAACCAAACCAACGGTTTTATGCTGGAGCGTGGGCGCTTTTTTCGGTTGTATCGACCTATCCATTTGTCATCACCTCAACCTCTTACGATGTCCGATTATCCGGATCTCTCTGGGGTCTCCCAGACCCCTCCCTCTCCTCTAGTCCATTCCCCCATAGACTCATGTTTCATCTCCCGGACCATTATCAATTCACGATTCTATTGCTGTAAACTGGCCTCATCATCATTCCTCTCCACTGACTTCCATATCTAGCATTTTTTTTGTGCTGTCATTCTGGCATCTTACCGTGTCCGAAGTCGAACTGCTGGCGTTATATGGGCGTTTGTTTATCTGTGTCTTTTTATCTGTCAGGAAGGGGATTGTCTGTTCTTTAGCTTGGGGATCTTTCCCTGTGTTCGATTTCTTTTCTTTTTTTCTTTTTACCAATTCATGTTGATCCATCAAAGCATCCGCCTCTCATCATCCATCTATCCTGACACTACTGTACTGTGCCGATTATTTACTCTGACTCTTACCTTCTCGCTTCAGCTTCGGGACTCCTCATATCCCATGATCACTAGGACCGCTTACGCCCACATCGTCATCTAAGTTCGACTCTCTCAGGAATCCCACATCTCGATGTAGTGGTACTTTAGTACATAACAACTGTATCTTGTACAATCAGACAATTCAATGCTCAACTTGAAAAGTATATGGAGCACAAGGGACGTATCTGCTGCTTTAATTGCGCATTTCATCACATTTCAATCCTATTATGTATCATCCTCCCAATTTAGAGCTGTTGGAAATCATACAATTCTTCTGCGACCTATGACTAATCCCCGCGGCAATATTCACTAATAACTAGCCATAAGGTGAATTGTTTGGGTCATGTGACTGGGGGAGATCCGATCCGTCCTCCGGCTCCACTCCCAACTCTTGGTTTACTTTATTCGAACTACAGCTTCATTTCCTACACTATGCCCTCAGTATCTACGGCGGTGCACACTTCTCCAAGCTCCCCGATATACAACATGGCATGACGAAACAGCATAAGATATGCATTATACGATGCGTGCGGGTTAAAGTTATACATCCGATAAGAAATACATCGCAGTGTCAAAAACAACAACAACAGCAATCGCAGCGTCTAGCCGTCTCATCAACTGCATTGGTCAGCAAGCGTTTTCCACTGTGAAAGATATGACAGTAGCTTACGAGACAGGCAATACGACTGCACAACGATAACAATCTGGAGTGGTATCCACGATTCCTCCCAAGTAGCAACGCAGATGATAACCACATGCAATCTCACTAGAAGATAAATTAGCACTCTGCAGCAGTACAGTATGGTGAACTGACATACTATGTGTCTGACGACATCCAACCACCAATAGTCCCATCGGAATGCGGCGGCAGTCGTAAGTCGTTAACCTGTCAGCAGTTAGAGACCACAAGTGACGCAGGATTGAAGGACTTGAGAACGCACCGAATAACAAGCTACAAAGCTAGCCAGCACTACACGCGTCCGGGCGCATAATCAGATGCAGAATCTGATACGGGTCTTTATGCTGTCAGATAACTACTACTTGTGAAGCATCTGTCCACTCCTGGAGACGTACCATGGTGACTCGAAAGCCACACCACCATATCTCGCGTCCGGGGCGCATACTCAGAAGCGGAATCTGAGACGGGTCGGATCTATGCTGTCAGATAACTATTATTGTGAAGCATCTGACCACTCCTAGAGACGTACCATGGTGACTCGAAAGCCACACCACCATAACTCGCGTCCGGGGCGCGTCAGTCCGACCCGATGGTGGCGGTAATCTCGTTCGTCCACAACACGTCTTCTCGCCGAGGATGCGCCTTACCCCCGCGTACGGGATACGTCCTTATACCCTGTAGGGAGCCCCGTTGAGATGTCCTAATGTGATCAGCATAAATTTGTTTCTTGATGTTCAAGATACTCACCTGGAAAGCGCATCGAGCGCGCCACCATACCGACGTCTCCGGTGAGACAAGGACACGTGCGGGACGACCTATACAACGTCAGCAGTACCTGGATGACCTCTCCGGAGAGAGACCAGAGCCAACCAAAGGGTAATACATGCAGGAATATAATACATGCACGGTTATGGATACATGACAACAAAATGGGCTTCTCGCCCGAGATTCTTTAGGATGATTTTGTCTTTTCAACTTTTTTTGGTGCTTGGAAACAAGATAAAGTGGCCAGCAATACCTTGATTCCCAGCTCTTTTCGTTTTGGGGGAGGGGGGCACCTACCTTTATACTTACCTTACACTCTCACCTTCCATCCTTGTAATCCTCGGGGGATTCAGACAAGGCCCTCGAACACGTGCTTGTTCGGGTCGATCCACCTCGAAACGGTCTTGACCGTGACACCACCGAACCGTACACACTTCGTCCCCTTGTCCTTGCTTCCACTGGCATCCTCTTTCGAGAGTGCCGGTTTGCCAAGAACCGAGCGGATTGATGCGATGAGTCGGCGAGCACGGGCAGATACCGAATTGGGGTCATTCGACGACGTCGAGACCGGTTGGCGAAGAGTCGAGAACGATCCCTTTGGAAGGGACGACTTACCTTCCTGCGACCAAGGTCGAGGTCGGGCTTCTCGAGCTGCTCTGCGTTCCGCGAGACTGAGCTCGAAGACACGGGCCGATTCCTGGGGAACTGCACGTCGGGAAGCCGAGGACTGGGGATCTAGTGCACGACGGGCCACTATATCCGGTCGGGGTCGGGACTCGTCAGAGGGAACAGCAGAATGCCGTGGCGCAGGACGAACAGGCACTCTAGGTGCAAGCTTGGACGAGCTGCGGAAGACAGAACGGCGTACGGTCAAGTTCTGCTGATCCAGAGGACGAGTAGGGGGGTCGGCAGGTCGGCTTTGGGGGCGGTGCAGTCTCGGAAGCCGAGAGACGGGCATCTGTGACCTCTGGAAAGTTGACAAGCGAGGCACAGGATCGGGCCGTTCCTCAATACGCTGCGTACGGCGAATAAAGGGACGGGCAGCCACATCCTCTCGGATCGAGGACCGGACAGGAGAGTCGGCAGAGCGGACAGGAAGGCGAGAGGGCCGAGTCATTGGCACCTTTGACGTCGGGGGGGATGAGGAGCGAGGAATCTTGGCAGGCTGCTCCTCGCGACGCTGCTGGTCACCAGAGTAGACTCGGAGGAAGGGACGATGAACCGTCAGGTTCGATCGATCCACGGGAGGGGGCGGAGGAGGAGGATTCGCCGGGTGCAAACAGCTGTGAAGGCGGCGGAACTGGCGATCACGCTGCTGCATAGCAGAATTGACACCGCAGGCAGGAAGACCGGCGGACCGGTCCCCAATACGCCGCGGAAGACGGCTGGGGAAACGAGGTGCTGACATCGTGACAGCGGACCAAGTAACCGTCTGGGAGGAAAAAAGGATGTACCAGAGGTACAGCGGAGAGGAGAGGGTAAAAGAAGCTTGCGAGAGCTAAAGCGGTGGAGGACGATGCGAAACGGTATGCGAATGCAATACGATATGCGCGCCAGGACGAACCAGAAGGTGTTGAAGGAGGAAAAGAAGAAGAGCTACAGGAAGGGAAAACAGGTGGGTTCTTATACCCTTCTACCCATGAGTACTGACTTCCCAGACTTGATGCTGCGAAGCTTCCTGTTCTGGCAATATATCATGGTTCAGGGAAGGAGCAGCATCGCATCACGACCTGAGCGACTGCCGCAAAGGACTCAGGAATAGGGAATATCCAGATTGTTGCTGCCCCTTTCTGGCCCAAAAAGTAAGAACTGGAAGTCGCCTCCCACAATTTGATGGAAACATTTGCACAAGGAAAGATAAACAGAGGAAATGGCGAGACCGGATATTCGTAAATGTAGATGGGTAATATGTAGAGGGATTCCCGAGGTCTTTCTGTCGAGTATACTAAAGTGGCATCGGGGGATGGAGACGTCTACATAGATCTACATAGAAAGATGGGGCTATATCTCCACGAAAAATGATTAGGAGACACAGTCTTCTCAGATACCAAAAGAGATGAACCATAGTCCACAAGATATACATACACCAGCAGATCCCATCTAATATAAAATCATATCAACAATAACCAACCAAGCATATTCCATCTCTGATAACCAACATGAGCCCTCCTAAAAACCCCCTACTTCCAAAACACCTTCCCCTCCATCAGTCTTCTCGCAGTCCTAAACACCGTCGCCCTCTCAAGCTTCTTCCCATCATCACTATACTTAGCCCCAACCACCAGCTTCCCACTCGGATGTCCGATCCTCAACTCCTCCCTATCACCAAGATCACCAGTAAGACACTCCGACAATACCGAACCCGGCAATTTAGCAGCCGCAGAAACACTTAGGCCCGATGTGATGGGGAGAGCTCTATGCGGCTGACCGGTCGATATCGCACGAACGACCACATCAACGGAGCTTTCATGCAGCTCTTCACCGGAGATGAGTTTATGCGATTTAGGTTGAGAGACGAAGCAGATCTTCGGTATTGACGGAGGTACCTCTTCGAGAGTTTTGGAGATACCCATGGCAACGGTAGCTTGTCTACGGATAGACTCCAGTCGTTCCAGAAGGCCGGGATGCACCTGAGTATCATCAGGGAGCATCGTGCCATCGACGCCGAGATCTTCTGCCTTGATGAAAATGCAAGGATTGCCAACGTCAATACATGTCGATCTGATACCGTCAAAGATATCGACGGTATTTCCAGTAGGTAGGAGTTTTCCGGTCTTGGACCCTGCAGGATCGATGAAATCCAGTTGTATCTTCGCTGCTGAGCCGGATACACCATCGATTGAGAAGTCACCGTCAGCGACTGCTTCGCCGTCAGAAACTGGAAACGTCACATGGATCACTTTGTCCGTGTTTGTGTTGTACAATTGCACCGTTGTCAAGCCTTCTGTCTCGGCAGGATCGACGATTCCCGAATCAACAGCGAAAGGCCCAATAGCACTCGTCATATTCCCACAATTACCAGCATAATCAATCCCACTATTCTTCACACCAACTTGGACAAACGTGAAATCAACCTGAGCATCAGGACGATCCGATGGTGCCACAACGCATATTTTAGATAGGCTGGAGACTCCCCCGCCCATGCCATCGAGCTGTCTCCCATTCAAATCCGGTGAGCCGATTGTTCCGAGAAATATCGGCTTCCAATCTTCTCTCTTTGCAGGAAGATCTTTCTCATGGAATATCAACGCGCGAGATGTGCCACCGCGGTAGTAGGCTGCTGGGATGCTGTTTTGTCGCTTAGCCACGCTGCAGGTGGTTGAGAATGCTCTCCGCGATGTCGACCTTATCTAGGACTTGTTTTGAGCTTGATGTCCGATATTGGATTCTTTCAATATAGTGTTAACCACGTAGTTATGGGATACTCACGTAGGCTGGTAACATTTCGCTGTTTGTTTTGCAATGGTAGCGCCAGGGTCATGCACTAACCAGAGCAATGGGAGGATGTTTTGCTAAGAGCGGCACGATTATTCGAGCACCACATACAATTTACACACGCAATTTGTAGACCTCCGTGGTTAGGTCTCCTGAGGTTGATTCCTAGATGGTTGCTGTTCGGTGTTAGATTAACCGAGGGTGGACGGAGTGAACTCTAATGCATATTATATGTACGGAGACACGGGGTTTCGGGTCTCTGCGTTTCTGGGGTAATTATGAAAACAGCTGTAGAAAGGACTTGGCTTATTATTACAGTTTAAAGCAGAGCCGACAAAATCGAAAGATCATACCCAATTCCCGCGGATAACAAGGCTAGCTGCCAAAGAATTTGAATTCAACTTGATATCCGCAGCATGGCTCTAGCCGAAAGCACCACGATATCTTATTTTTGCTTATGCATGCTCATCTTTACGCTTGCTGAATGCTAGAAAGACACGACATAAACTGAGATGATGAAAAAGATCCAGACCCGGAATATGCAAAAGATGACAAAGTACAAACAGTCCGTAGAAGACACCTCTCATGATACACTAGACCCATATTGGCACGCTTGGGATCACAGCAGGTTCCGGATACTCGCCCACGCCAAGCTCCCACTCCTGGTTCACACTTCTTTAGAACAAAACACGTAAAAGCTGGAAATGACTCAGAAGAGAACAACGACAGAAGTTGGTTTGGTCATTCAATCCTTGGAGGACTCCGTGACTTTTTCCCTGCTGGACTTGCACTACCTCTCAATATATAAGTCAGTATTCGACCGTTGACAATGGTAATCACAATTTCATGTAAAAGGCTCACGGGAGAGAGGGAAATTCTGATAGTAGGCGGTTGAAGAAAGCGGATGAAACAGGCAAACTTACGATCTCCGTCTTTCGCCTTCTTTTCGGAAACCTTCGATTATTTTTGCGATCTCTTTCCTCCCGGAAGATGCGTCAATCTTCTTTCCTCCTAGGCTCATGCTGACTTTCTCATTTGAATTTGCCATTAGAAGCCTTTTCAGTAGAAGATGTCGCATGCTCAGACAAACGAAAACGCCGCAGTCACTGCTGTTCTCCTGGATGGGCGAGTCATCCAGATTGATGAAGCGTATGGGTCTATTTAATAGAGCACTGAATTTCATCGTCACTTGATAAGCTTCCCACCGATTGCCAGGAGGAAGCGAATCGTAATGGAATGCGATGCCATCGACAATCGATATCAGGAGTAGAGACCAGTGGGTACCACCTTCCGCCTCGTTGGCATTATGGCAGTCGTTAATGGGGAGAAACACATGCGTTGTTCGAGAGAAGTTCGGTAGGGCGTCGCGGAGTGTGCGAGGATCGGGCGTCTGGAGCAGCATGAAAGACATGCTAGGACGAAGGAGGACAATATTTGAGTTTTTGTACTGAGTCAAGAACTCCCGTTCAAGATATCTTCGCAAGTCAGCCTGTTCCTGGGGGCTTGCCCAGGTTTCGGAGGGACCTACTCTTCCCAGAAAGAAATCACCTGCGTTCGAATAAGCATTTGTTTCATTGCTACCAACTAGCATCACTTACATTGTCCGTCAACCAGTCATTCTTAAGCGTTTGAATGTCCTCTCTCGTTACTACACCATTATCAGTCGGCCTATTCAGAAGAGCCAGTAGGAGGGCAACATACGGCGAATATCGTAATCTGTAGGATTGATTGTACAGTATTAGCTGCGCAATCCCAGCAAGATTTACTAACTCCACTGCAGGGATCTCACTCACAGCTCAGATATGCGTCATCCGGATGCAACTGTGGACTCTTAGCGGGCGTTCTTACAATTGACCATAGCAAGACAGAGACAGTTGCGCCAAAGATAAGAAGACAGACGTCCCAAGGAAACATCGTGGAGGAAATGTCAAGTGCAAAAATGCGCCAGGCGCAACTGAATCGATTCGCAGGGTCACTACAGGGATGGTAGTAAGGAAGAAATGGCAGGGCAGGGTAATGGAAGAAGACGACGCTCCCTAAAGTGTGCTTTCGCAGCGGAGACCGCCAGTCTTTGAAAACACCCCAGGCACTCAAACAGATTCTACAACACAAAAAGCAAGCAATTAACAAAGGATGTCCTCCACGTACCGACTCTCCGAGACGCCCCATCATCCGCTTCTGCAGCTTACCAAGCCCTCCGTCCCGCATCTTCTGTTTCCTCGTTTTGCTTGCTCGGTGTGTTATCGGAGGACGGGCGTGCAGGTGACTATGTTTCGTATGCGAGTGTTCCCAGCACTTGGCTTCCTTGCACTGGCGCTCTTTTAGCTGCTGTTGATCCTGTTGCTGATGTGCCCAGCGTAGGAGTTCGAGATGACGGCGCTCCCAATGGGGATGCGACCGTTTCGATCGCGAATTCGCGGGTGTTACCTGTGGAAACATAGGGAATTAGGAATGCAAACGGCAGAAGAGCAATACGTCAAAACAGCTGGTGAAGAAAGAAAGGTCTTATGCGATCAACCGAGATACCTACCCCAGAGTACTTTGCGGAATTGCGGACAGTCAGACGACTTTATCCCGTTGGCGTTGATAGTCGATCTTGAAGATCTATGCCACAGGGCCGATGGAAAGGGGTTGCTCGAATTTTGGGACGAACGTAGCCTGCCCTTTTGGTGTCCGTGAGCAGTGAGACAAGATAATTAGCTGGCGCCGGCTTGCTGGAAGAGACAAGGGCCAAGCAAGATGCGCGAAACTAGATGTGAACAGCGGAAGTGCGCGGAGTGAGTGGCGAGCGCAGCCGATCGGGAGTCGCAATAGTCAGCTGTTCGAGACAGGGATGAACGAGGATTCTCAAGCTTGCCTGGACTGGAAGAGAGCAATAATAAGAGGTGGACGATCAGGAGAGATCTCGATAGCCAGATCGAGGGGTTGGGCGTGCCTGTCCGGGGGAGATCGACGGCCAACTTTCGGCGCGACGTCACGGCTGTGGCTGCGTCACGTGGCGATATATTATCATGACTTCCGACGGCTTTCATTCATTGATTATTATTATTGTTGTTCTTTATTGTCGGGACTCTCTCTTTTCAATGTGCTCTTGATATATACACAAACATCTGAATTGGTGAACCCCCCGATACCGCTGACATGAGTCCCATGAATCTATCTATACTTTTGTTTCATAAAGCGTTCCTCAGACATGAAGAGCAAGTAACCACATGACAAAGGAAATCTGGTGAAGGAGTGTCGCCTCACGATTAGCTAGAAGGGCAGGATAATTATACTGTGCTATGGATCCAGGGTGCAAGCAAGAGATCGCACTCTCTAAAGACACGCGAGAAGAAATAGAACATCTTGAATATTCAAACGAGCGCCGGGCGCCGAGTGCCTTCGTGGCGTCCGTGGCCCATAACGCTACTAAACAGATTTATAATAATACAAATGCGCGCGGATTGGGGTATATGTTAAATCAAAAAGACCACAATCATCAATGCGTTGGAAAGTTGGATGACAGGTCACTGTTCATAGAAGGTGGAAATGTAGAGTTGTCATGCTGAAAATGCTCGTGTCGTACGAGCTTGTAGTGCCGATGATTCAGTAGGACGGCCGTCGTTGACAGGAAGATGCACAGTATGAAAGTTATACCTCCGCATACCATTTATCTTCACCGTATCGTTACGGGGAATATCACCGTCGCCTCCGCTCGTATCGCCGTCGGGAATCACCTTGACACTTGAACTGATAGTCGTCAGGTGCATCCTCGAGCTCAGCGGTAACTGGTATTTGACCACACCGCGAACAATGAGCTCGAAAGGATGTTGCAGAACACGCTCCCATCTCTCGGTGCCGCCCTCTTCCGTCTTGTTTCCTGGCCGTCGCAGCCGGATCTGACCGATCGATTCGGACGGTAGCTGCTCCCACGGCGATGGGTCGAACGTAAGCGGAGAATCAAACTCAAAGACTCTGCCCAACAACATGGTCTGGGGATCTCCGGATGGATCTGGGATCGGATCCGTGCCTCTGTCAATTCCATGTCCAGGACGAAGAAGGCTAGCTCCTTCAAGATCGGCTCTGCGCGTATAGTTGACGGTCCGTGCCATCAGGGCCCGTCGTTTGCTCCGTTCAACGCGAGGGAAGTCATCTGGATGGGGCCCATGGTCTCTCCAGAACTTTTCGCTCCCGACAAACCTGCTCTTCGCGAAGATGTTGACATCCATGTCATTAACAGCAATGGGAAAGAGGTTAGGATTAACCGCCAGTACGTCCAAGTCTAGCATTATCTCTTGCTCTGACGCCAGCACGTTCTGGATCTCGATTACTGAGAGATCTCGCAGTGGCTTGGTCACAGCAATGACAAATGTAGTGGCACCGCCGACCAACAGAAGAATCAGCAGCGTAAAAAGAATACAGCTGCCATATCGGGAAAAGTATCGTCGTCGACGCTGCTCCACATATTCCAGCTGTCGCAGGCTCGCACTATTTGGTCGTCGACCATGACGGCTCCTATTGATTCGGACAGAGCCTACCAGCGGGGTTCGTTCGTCATCCGCTCCCTCACCATCGATGTCGTAGCTATATGCATCCCCAGTTTTCCTGGGACTGCCCATAGTGCGATAGTTTTGGGCAGTCCTCGGACTGGCATGTCTGCTGTGTCGGAAGGCATTGCCCGTTAGATGTCGAGGAGATTTAGGGATGGGCTGCGACGGTGGGAAAGGTGATTCGCGGTCGAATAATGAAGCATACCCACTCCGTCCGTGGCGGCCAATATGGCGACTCGTGTGTCCATTACTCTCAGCCCTAGATGAGCCTCGGCCGATATCGTCAGCAGCATCACCATCGATGCTGCTATTATACGCATTGTTGTTTGTAAACTTCATACTGCGCTTGCCAGTGACACTGTGACCCCCATCTCTGAGACCGGTGCGAGACCGCCCTGCGAACTGATCCATCTGGCTGACCATCGAAGTCGTGCTGGGCGTCCGGGAATGATATCTGTGCTGGACAACCGGATAAGGATCTGGAGGGTTTGACTCATAGACGAACGTCTCGTCGGAATCAGATACATCGGCTTCATCCACTGCGCTGGCAACCTTGGCTTCAAAGATATCGGCTTTGGACGAAACGGTCCCTGACTGAAGGGCAGTTGGTTTCCGACTCTGTCGTTTCCTTTCTTTTTTGGGTCTGATCGTTTCGGTGCTCGGCTTCATACGGATGGTGCCTTGATCTGCTCTTCCAGAAGCCCCTCGCTCACCGGCGCCGACGCCAAGTGATACCTGCGGAACCGAGCTGACGGTCTCAGTCTCGACAATCATGTTGCGGACAGACCCGTCGCCTGGCTTCCCCCGGGCACCGTTCAAGGACGTGAAGGACCGCTTTGGTGGGATATCACCGGTCTTGGAGGTGATAGACGAGTCGCGCGGACGCTTCTTTTGTTTGGTGTCTGAACTCCTGTTTCCACCACTTTCACTGCCGCTCTCGACAGCCTGTTTGCCATTACCAGGGAGTTGCTCTTCGGGTTTCGTCGGGCTCAACTTCTTGTCAGTGGAAGGTGTCGAAGGAAGGCTCGCTTCCTGAACCGTCTCGAGGACCGATCCAGCTCCGCTAGCACCCCTCGTCCCACCACGGGGAACAGCCCGATTGTGTTCATCTGCCATATCCGTTTTTGTCGATGTTTCAGATTCTTCAGGTGGTGGTGATCTCTTGAGGGATGTATTGGGCCTCGCCGACTCATGTTGGGGGCTGTTTCGCGAGGCCATGTCAGACTTGTCGGGACTGGGGACATTGGAGGACGCATCGATAACCGGGACAGGTAGCTGAGGTTTCGCCTGGGCGAACGCTTGCTGGACGGAAGTCGCAGAAGGGACTGCACCGGTACTGGTGTTATTCGAAGTACGGCTCGGGCTCTGGCCTTGACTACCTTTTCTTCGCCGTGAAGAGACTCTGGAGGCTGACGTTGATGCGCTGAGGCGAAGCGGATGACGAACGGGGGATGGCTCGCGCGAGGGGGCGGTTGAGGTTGCAGTTGATCCAGGCGTCGAGACGTTAGACAGAGGTGAAGATAATTTCGGAAGTTGTGACATGGCAGCAGGTGGGTTCTGTACGTCCTGTAAATCGGAGGGCGGTTGTTCCAGGGTATCTCCGTCAACACCCGATTCGGATGAGGCGCCTCCACGAGCCTTCCCTGTCTGCTTCGATGGTTCGGAGGATACGTTCGATGAGGCAGCGGATGCCATCTCAACAAGTCACGCTAGGTCGCTGACGCGACCGCGCTGAGAGTATTGTTGGGCGAAAGACGGTGGATAACGCGAGGTCCCAAATGGGGCTCCTGAGCTCTCCCAAACAGGACGTTACGCAGACAGAACGGCGGGACGAATGAGCAGAGACCACATGCTGTGAGGAAGTTCGAATAATCACGAGGGGACCGACGATCCAGACTGCTGTATAGCTGCACGACTTGTAGCTAGCTCATCGAGTGGGAAATGGAATCAACAGGTGAGTAGTAGTATGTCTTAGAGTGCGGATGCAGCTGCGGACATCATGGTCGGGATGCGCGGGATTGCGATAACTAACGAGACCAAGGGCGCTGCAGTCAGATAGATGGGCAGGGGCGCGATCGTGACGGCCAATGTCGATCCCAGTTTTAGCGCTTCATTCGCTCGGCTGCTTGTTGATAGACAATAGATGGTGCGTCGTCGTGCTCCCACGATGGCGGTGGAAGCAGCACAAGGGCCCTGGAGTCAGTAGCGAAGGCAAAGTCCACCAAGGCACAAGCCTTATAGGCAATCTAGCTCTGACAGTTGGGGGGCCTCCGCGGGTTCGGAGCGTTCAAAGGCCAATAGTCGCAGCCCACGTCACGGATGGCCCAACCCACGTCTGTCGCACGTTGAGGGAAGAGAAGCAGCACAGGGGAGAAGAGGAATTAATGGAGAAATCACAAAATTGCATAGAAAGAGATGGGATTCGGAATAATAGGGAGCTGTTTGCAGGAACCCGCGGGGATGGGATAATGAATCAAGGGAAGAGAAAAAGGACAGGCGGTTTTTTTTCTTTCTGGGAGTTTGTAGCTGTGTAAATTACGGTATAATACTGGCACAGTTGTCTTCACAGGCGTAGTAATATTGGTTACAGCGTTACAGATGCGGCTCAGTCATCGTGACCTCATGTGCTGCCTGGGGAATGACAATTAATCGATTAATTAATTAATTAATTGATTAATTCATTAATTCATTAACTAGCTGTGCTTATCCCAATTACCCCCTTTCACAATCATTATCAGATGCTGATCTTCACTTTCGCATGCCACTCTCAGGCAGATCCCCCTCATCAAGTCTTCCCCGTTGGATGCAGCAGACAATGCTACAAAGTCATGGAATTACACAAATCCTCCCGGTGCTTCTCTCCAAACAACCTTCCACGCTTAACGCTTATTGCATTCCAGAATTCCCTCAGGCTTACCGGAAAGCTCTAGCGTGCGTCGTCTTGCGGCAGAATCCCATTAGCTTCCGGGTTAGTGTCTATCTATAGCTGGTAGTCTCGAGGATCATGGATGCCAGCGTCCACGTACCGGCTATGCGGTGAGCCTTTGATCCATACAGAAGAGGCAGACGAAAAGCCATTATTTCACTTCCCAACATTCTCACCATCACTCTAGCGGTAGCCTCACTCTGAAAGCTGCAGAGTCCACATGTTCATCAGAAGTTGCATGGAATCAGTCAACTGCAGATAGTAGATACTAACGGGGACTCGGTTATAAGCGGGATAATCTCGGATACCAGAACTGTCTCTCTTTTTCCTGGATGCTATTATGATTATAACCGGGGTGTTAGTCGGAGGATTTGTTCCATCCTAGTAATTGAACTATACGGCATCAACAATACCGTATACTATCGTTCGCAACATTGGAATGTGGACGGTATTATTCCAGAACGTTGCCGGAAAACTCTTTCACCGCTCCTCATTTCGAAGACTTTGAAACCAGGCATCACCGCGGGAACTAACCGATAAATCAGGTTCCAATCCATGTAGTAGCCGGTTAGATTAACTTTAACCATATTACTGACGCTTTTAAGCATCACGCCTGCATGCGCGGGAGATTAGGCGTGCTGCATCTCGTGCCGAGGAAGTCGAACTCTAAAAGCATTTGGTGTTGATTTTTCAGTAACTATATGAGGTTTTCCTTGGAATCATCATGGTCACGTATTGAGTCTTGGTCTCTGTGTCTGTGATGTACATTCCAAGATCTCTCTCCTGTTCCAAATACTCTCTCACCGTCTTGTTTATCGTCTTATTCTGCATCCAAAGTTGTTTTTATTTGGAATTGGCTATTATCCCAACACGATATACGCATACAAAACTCTCCCCATATTCATAATAACTCACTATCGAATGGTGCGAAGAAGAGTCTAGCGCTCTACCTAATTGATCGGAAATATAGTTCGACTCCTGATCGTTTCCTCTAGTACGCATCTGGTTCCGCTCACAAGGCAACTAAAATCACAGCTGTTTAATATGGCAACAGTTTTTGCTTCCATGCCAGCACCCGTAAGATCATAGAGATTGCACTTAGATGAAGTTAAATAGTCCACGTCCCACGGATCGGCGCTAGAATATGATCAGAATTCATACCGTGAAGTGATGCAGACCCATGTTTCGGCAAGTTATGTTCTATTACTTATCTTAATGCTGCCTAGAGACTCGATTTTGCTGTTCCAGCCGCTCATCATATTATTAATATTAGTATTGACTCCTCGCTGCTCATGAACTATTAAAGGTATATTTATATCAATATGGCGGAAGAATAAAGGATCGCCTGGCTTACTGCGGAGGGGTATGTCGCTCGCTTTTGAAATACATTGATCCAATAAAATAAGCCGATAATATATTTCATAGTACCACTAGCTAACTAATTCACAGTTTTGTCGCATTCTCTCCACGATATTCTGTCCAACTATTCGCCCTCGAAGTCTGTAAAAAGTACTGGAAGAATTGACATTGTTTGATTGCCAATTATTGGTCCGCACTTCCAGCCCTAAGTAAGATCATGCACTCACTCTCTCAGAGACACATTATGGCGCTATGCCAGGGGAATTTGAGTCTGCTGTGCTGGAACAGGCTTCGAAATTGTACTGTGCTCTATTACCGAAGAGCAAAGTAACATAAAAGAACCCGTCTGGAGGTCTGTCTGGTCTTTGTGCCAAAAAAACAAAAATTGTTTCGTTGTAAGTTGATAAGAATGCATATTGGAGGTTAGCACGAAACATATATATCCTTCCCACAATATGGATATAAGATAAGCCCCCCCCCCCCCCCCCCCCGAGTTCTTATCTGGCCGACAGGCCGTGTACTATGTGGTATGCGGGGATTGTCTCATAATTTGCTGGATTTCCTGTGCTGGATTTGACCCTGGGCTTTGCGCTTGCTCTTTTTTTCTCCCCTTTCCGTAACAGGAGCGTTCTAATGTCGTGTGCAACCCGTATTTGGAAACAGCCAGCTCGAAGAGCTTTCTTCTCTGGCTCTGCAGATGCTTTGTGACGTGATCAATATCCTGAACCAGGACGTAGTATAGCTGCGCCATTAATTCCACAGAGTCCCAGTTTGCCTGGCCAAGCAGCGCCTTTCCAATCGCTGTTCTCCGAAAGGGCTCCCTCCCTCCCCCTTGATCCTCCCGTTTGCTTCCTTGTAATCGAAGCAGCATACTCCGATTGTTCTTGAACCTCTAAAGCCCTTGCAGTTTCATCAAGCGTCTGTTGTTAAACATTATGGTCTGGCCCTTTTTCAGGTCACTCTTCACCACAGCTCCCGTATTCAGGGCCCATGAAACTCCAGCCCCCGTGCTCTCTTCGGCATCGCAGTATCACTTCAGGACAAGGCATATTGGCGATTGGGAATCACGATAAGAAGTTTTATGGCACCTACGATACTTCAATTAGTATGCTAGCACGGCGAAATACAAGAGCTGCAATGGCTACTTACCGAATGGCACGCGTGGTTCATAGCCCAGAATGTGAAGTTTTCCGCAGTATGTAAATAGAAGTTATAGATTATTTATATGATGCTCGCCAAATCCGGATACGGTAGGTTATACTACCCGCTACCTATGAACTAGCCATATAGGATTGGTATTAGATAGAGATAACGTATAGATAAATGTTTAAAAAGACTAGGGGGAAGTAAAAAAAAAACTTGCATACTGTTGAGGGCGGAACATGTAGTTCATATATTAGTACTGTATGTTATGGGACAATCATTTATGGTACATATGATAGATCTATATTCTGTCATAATGGGTAACGAAGATACTGTTTATCGAAACAAAGGGAAGAAGAGGAAGAGAAGATTACAAAGGCTTTAAGAGGGACCAAAAGCGGGGAAGGGGTAGTGATAGTGATAAGTGACTCGAGGGTCTTCTAGTTGGGATTTGCCCCTGACTGCCGAGTTTATTCACACATTGGCAGCGAATCAATGCTGGAATCACAACATGTTGCATTCATGCTCCTATATCCAACAAATAATCCATTCATAACGGACCAGGTAAAGATTACAACAGTTATATTGGAGATTGCTCAACTATTCTTGTCAAGTACCAATAACAGAGATTAACCAAGTATATAGCCCAATCTAAACTTTAAAAAAAAGAAAACATAAATCGATCTGCTCCAACATTGACGCCATGGTCCATCTTGACTTTTCGCAAATGAAGCGAGCCAACGCCTTACCTTTGCAGGTGTCCAAGAACCGGTCTATTGACGTGACGAGGATATTCATACCGAGAATTAAACAAAACAGTAATGACCCACAGAGTTGTCGTTAATCTGAAGGCTCAGGTGTGGTATATATGTATGTACTGCACGCGCATTATATTCACATTCATCCCTGCTCTTTCGAGAACAGTGTATAACCAAGGGATTCGTGAGAGCTTGAGGTGTTAGTTGTGGATTAAGTAGCATCCAGCGGACATTGGTGTCCGTCTATACAATTCCGTAGACCCGCTTGGCAATAAGGAACGAGACGAAAGCGAAGATGAGCAGAGCGGCCGTAACTATCAGATATTAGTTCATCCACTGTCTTTTAAAATAGGGTCAAGAACAGGTGCATACTCGACCAGAACCAGGAGAGGTTATCAATATCCTGACCAGGCACTTTCACGTTCATTCCCCACATACCACAGATGATATTCATGGGAAGCACGATCGTACCCAGGACGGTCAGCTTACCCAGAACATCTGCGGTCTGTTCCTGGCGCTCGTTCATGAGGATGTTGATCTGGGCGAGGTAGTTGGAGTGGGCACGGGACAGCAGCCTGCTGCCGTGTTAGTCATTGAACGCTTAAATGAGACCATTGCATGGGGGAAAAGCTCACGTCTCATAGTGGGCCAAATTGCTTGTCATTGTCATGATATGGTCCTGAATATCGCCCAGATACAGACCAATTTCGGACTTGGGCGCCACCTCCCACTGCTCATTGCAGCGCTTTGCGAAGCCCTTGATAACATCGGCTTTGTTGCTGAGCAGACGGTACATGCCCATCACTTTCTTCCGGCACTCGCCTACCCGTCGCAACATGTCTCCTGGGGGGATTGCACTCAACCCTTTGTCGTCATTCTTGCTATCCTTGGAATCCTTGTTAGGGGCCGAATGCATCTGCATGATGGTGTCATCGATGTCGTCGACCTCATCTTCGATCGTCTGGATCAATGGCCCGAAGACATCCGTAATGTCGTCGATTAATGCATACGAGATCCAGTCAGAGCTGAGGAGCAGATAGTCCCGAAGCTGGCGGATTCGACGTCGTACATTGGCCGGATGGGGCGTCTGGGAGAAGTGGAAGGTCAAAATGCCGTCGCGGAAGACCACCATGTACATGTTGACGGGTTGGAGGTAGTTCTCGTTATGGCTGTCTTGCTCGAAAGTGCGGTAGTTGAGGAAGTAGTAATTGCGGAACAGCTCGACCTTCTCGCGGGCCTCCTGCATCATGATGTCCTCCGCCGTGAGGGCATGGATGCCAAACGCTTTGGAAATCACACGCATCTCCGCGTCCGTCGGGCACAGGACATCTAACCACCAAGTTGGCCGCGGTCCGTAGCGCTTTGGTTTGTCGTGCGATAACATTCCACGCAGGGGCGATTGATCGGAAGATACATTGTTGCTGTGACCATTGTTATTCGTGGTGCTGGAGTCAGTCACCGCTGCCTCGCTGATGGCGGACAGATTGCGATTGTCTCTTCGCCCGATGGCACCGTTCGTTGACGGGGCTAGTGAACTCCTTCCTCCAGTCGCCGTGTTGTTGCCAGGAACGTCCTCAGGAACAGAGTAAACGTCGTCCTCCTCGTCCGACGATGAATCGTCCTCAAGCAAGGGCGGATCTGGGATGAAGAGCTCCCGGAAGCTGCCTCCGGGTTGCACGAGTTCAGAGATCGTCTGAGCGTGAATCGTACTCGGGAAATCCTCGTTGAAGTACGTGAACCGATATGGCATCTCTTCCTCTTCTCGGCGCCATCCCGCATATTGAGGGCGCAGTCGGCCGCCCACGAGCACGGGCTCACTGATCTTCTTCACTCTAAGGTCTCCGCTGCGCTCCTCCTTCTCTTCTCTGCTCCATTCTTCCAGTACTTCGAGATCGGGCCACTCTCTCCGCCGTCGCCTCCGCCGCTCACCTTCCGCGCGCCCACTCCGTCGAGCAAACTCCTCCTCTGCCAGCTCTGAGATGACTTCGGTCGGAAAGCATACATCCTCTTCGGCCGGCAAGGTGATTGTCCGGCGTCGCCGCAGGACATCTGGCGGGGGCTGCTTTGGGGAAGGAGGCGAAGAGTCCGTGGACTTCTTCGATCGGGCTTCGCCATCCACGTTGATGACAGCATCACGGCTGCCGGAATCCTTTCGTCCTTCCTGTGATCTTGCGCTGCCAAAGTCAAAGTCTACACCCGTGGTCAACGCATCGTCGTAGCCCATCTCGGGCCCGAGCTTGGGGCTGCCCGGGATGGAGGGCGGATTATTAACATCATAATCACGGTCTGCCCCGGGGCTGCGACCAGAGCGACGACTGGACACCGTTGACCGCGAGACTGGTCGGTATTGATCCGTCCCATATCGCCCAAAACTCGCGGTGTGCGTCGACGACGGCCCGATCAATGGTGTGCGGTCGTCAACAACCTGTTGGCCATCATCACTCTCGTCATCAGAAACCACAGTAGCATGGTATCTCTGGCCCGACCGTTGCGAGCGACGAGGAGTGTCCGCAGATAGAAAGGGATTCTTCCATGAGTCTGGGCGGGCGGACTGAGTCGCGAGACGGCTCTCTCTGCGTGGGCGCATCATCGGTTGGTCCCTAGATATAGATAGCAGATAGCCCAGGTCAGCCAACCCATGACGCCAAGCGGACTGGGGGGGCAAGGTGATCTCTTTTCTGTTCACAAACAGCGGTGAACCAACCGACGTACCGATGATCTAGCAAGGCCTCGCTGTCTAAACTGGTCCCGCTGAGATTCGATCGCTGGCCCAGATGATAGAGCCGCGACCGGCCGTTCGCGGTGGCTGTCCCCGTCGCAGAGCCAAGAGAACCAGCAGCGGCAGTTGATGCAGTCGTCGGGGCACCTCCAGCGTTATTCGTCGTCCCTCCAGACGGATTGATGTCCTCAGCAGTCAGGAAAGACTGGCGACGATTGCGCCGTCGCCGCGGGCGGTTCCTGTGTTTCTTCTTTTTGGCCGGATTGCTCTCGCCGGCATCCGGGCGGGTCGAGGATGAAGTGGCTGGAGCGTCGTCAATGGGCGATCGGGCGACAGCGCCAGAGCTGCCACCAGTGGAGGCGGTTAGATGGGGGTCGTCCATGGCGGAGAAGAGGGCGAGCTAGAAGAAAATCGTCTGTGTCTAGTTTCGTAGATCAAGGGTTCCTATTGATTCATGTCTAGAGTACGATGGCGGGGAGTTGCTCTTCAGGCCAGCCAGAGCATCATAGGAAGAGGCCAGAGAGAGGCAGCAATCAATAAGACTCATTGGCCATAGAAGACGGATAGAGGCTGGCATGGACGATGGATATAAGTTCACTAGATAAGTCGACAAGAAAAACAACCTGAAGACCAGATGGAACGAGTTGTGGTGAAAAAGAGAGGAGGAGAGAAGGTCGTCGGATGAAGTCATAAGCTGGAAGGGCGACCCACGGATCGACGCTTTCAGGCCCAGACTGCAGAACCAACTATATGATAATAAATAATACATAAATACACAGTAGATAGACTATTATTATTCTGGTCGTATCTGCAACCTCGACAGTCGAAGATGGAATAAGGTCATCATTCATTATCATCATGGTAGAAGTACATACATACAGGCATGACATCGCATCTCATCTCATCTCATCTCATCACAGAACATGAGGTACACACAAGAAAGAAACGAAACCAAGATTAACCGTTAATGAACCAATAAAGCAGCGGGTCTCCTTTTGTCCCACGTCCGCATCTCGATCAAGGCGAGAGGGACGACCAATCCATGTGCCAGATGTGGCATATCAACCGAAAAAATGAAAACATCTAACAAGGAAACAAGAAAATTAGATATCAACAGACAACCAAGAGCTGCGACGTGATAGTCCTCTCCGCAGGCATAACCCGACGAGTGTGACGCCTCGAGGGTTCTGGCTGGAGATGGACCTCTTCACAGTCACTACCTAGATCATGTTACTCATGGCTGAAGGAGCATCGATAGACATTCGGTCGCCGCTCAACACGCGCACGACCTTCTTCTCCGTGGATGGACGAGCCACCAGCACCTGCGCTGGGCATACCACGATCTCCTCGTCCCCTTCGCCCAGGTCGTTGCCTTTCTTCACCACGAGCGGGAACAGCACCAGCCGCACCACTGCTTGTTGCGCCTCCAGTTCCTCGTTCGACGTCGTCTGGCCGCTGCGCTCGTTCATCAGCGAGGCGTTAAAGTATACTTGCCGCGCCAGGTCGCCGTTGGCGTCGAACTCGGGCTGCAGTGGTGGCAGCATCACGTATTCAGCACGTTGCGTCCGCATCTCGATCGACAGGTCCGCGGCCACACGCAGCACGTTGCGCAGGGAGTCCAGCAACGTCCCCTCGACTGCAGACGGCGGTGGCAGCAGGCGCGATAATGTGCCAAAGATCTCTAGGGCCACTGCCTCGGTGTCGTTAAGCCGCTGACGGGCAAAGGCCGGCCGGCGCGCCAATAGAGTCAGTGTCGTCGCACGCCAGCGAGACACCGCGCAGCGCGATCCTACTTCCGCCAGCTGCTTCTCGAGCGTCTTCAGTTTCTGACGCTGTTCGCGGTCCATGCCAAAGAGGTACCGCGTGAAGATGTATTCCCACACCATTGTCATCACCACCGACATGAACACATCGCGCCGTCGCACTCGATCGGCCAGGTAGCTGTCCACGTCCGATCCGTCCAGGATGGCATTGTCGAACCGATCGGCGATCTTCTCATCGTTGATCTCACTGAGCAGGCGGCATCGTCGTAGATCGGAGTGCTTGGAGAAGCGCAGCACCCACTGCTGGACATGCTGGCACAGTTTCTGGCAGGCGGCATCGAAATAGTCCTCGTCGCGCGACACGATCACATCGTCCTCCGGGAGTGATGCAGTGATTTGGAGCTGCAGCTCCTGCACCTTGTCGCGCGTGGCCGCCAGCTCTGTCCGCAGGAGGCGCAGTTCTTCGTTCTTTTGAGCCAGTGCGGATTCGATTTCGTGTCGCACGATATCCTCCATCCCCGTAGATAACTGCTGGTGCTGCGACCGCAGCTCTTCTAGCTCGCGGGAGGAAGCCTCACGGGCTTCCTTGAGCTCTTGGTGGTGTGCGGCCTCGAGGCCGGCGTTGGTCGCCGTGAGGCCTTCATTCTCTTCGGTCAGGCGAGCGACCTCCTTCTGCATCCAGTCCAGCGAGTTCTTCAGCTGGGTGATTTCTGCTTCCTTGTCGCGGAGATCGGCATCGCTGCGGTTGAGCGCGTTGTCACTCTTGCGGCGTGCACTGCGAAGGGTGCGGATCTTGTTTTCGGCTTCATCGCGGGCGGCGGCGAGCAGACGGTTTTCGGAAATTAACTGGTCGAGGCGAGTCTCGAGCTCTTGTAGATATTGCATGCTGCGACGGCGCCGGACGCTGGGAGGTCGGTTGGGCGACCGGGGCGAGCTGGGGGTCTCACCCCATCCCTCCTGTGTGGGGAAGAGCGTCAGTACGAAGATAAAAGCAATGAATCAATACTAACAATGAAAATAATAATAGATAAAACCATCACTTACATAGACATCGGCCATGACTCGCACCGGGCGCTTGCCCTTGTCGGTGACGGGGTCGTAGGTGGAAGACGAGGGGAGATTGACCAGTTCGTCTTCGGCCGCCCGACTATAGTCGCTACTGCGCCTCCCCGCCTCCTCCTTTTCCTTTTCCTTCTCCTCCTCCAGCCGACTGGCTGCGCGCAGATCGCCGCTAAGATTACGGCTGACCCGGCGCAATGGCGGCGTCCCGGTCGATCGTCTGCTGTTGATACTGCCTATACTGCCTATGCTGCCCACGCTGCTGGGTCGCACGACGGGCGCTCTCTGCTCCGGCGTATTTAGCTGCTGCGCGGGGGCTCGGCTGCGCGGTCGGTTAAGCTGGTCATCGGTGGACAGCGCATCGTCTGTGATAGAGGGCGTTGCCGGTGGAGGCAGACGATGTTCCGGTCCCATGGACAGCTTCGGCGTCCCGCTTCCCCCGGCGGTTCGTCGTGGAGCTTCTTCATCGTGCTCGCGGATCGTCCCCAGCGGCGTCCGGGGCGGAGTCACGACGTCGCTATTGATTCCCACGGGACCGCCAAACAGAGAGCGCGGTGCGTCACTCTTCTCTTGGTCCAATGACCATGGCAGCGGATGCCCGTCATGGTGATGGTGACCGTGGATGGACGTCGTACGATGGAGCCCGCCGCTCTGCTTCGGTGTGCTATTCTCCAGGTCAGCTCGCGTCGAAGAGGATTCAAGAGATGCTTACGATGGACGATCTTGCGAGCTTGCCTCCACGGGCGGTGTTTTACGGTGCATCTTTTTGCCTGCCGTCGAGAGATCAGGCTCCCCTTTCTCATCCTGCCAGTGGGCCGAATTCCCCGTCCGCTGCTCTGTGGCCGCATGGCCGCTGTCCCGGAGGGACTGTGCATCTTCCGCGAGAGGTGCTTCAGAGACCTGGATCGCGCTGGCGCGACTCGCATCTGTACCAATGGTCTCGTCCTCAGCCACCTCTTTTGGGTGCTTCCACCACTCCTTGGATTCGGTAAGTTTTTCTGATGACGGGCGTGGCACCGGCCGTTTGAAGGACGCCCGTTCTAGATTTGGGAAGATACTGGCAATCTTGCTCGTCTTCGGGGGTAAAGATATTTCCCGTGGCTTTTCGTCGATGGAAATAATGGGCGTAGGCTCTGGAGCTGGCACTGACGCGACCTCTTCCATGTTCGGGGAACTCTCTTTGGTTTCCACTTCATCAGCAGTCTTCTCTTCCGTGTCCTTCACTTCTGCCTTCTCCTCGGTTTGCTTCTCCTCATCTTTTCTGTTCTCGTCTGCTTCATCCTTTACCTTCTCCGAGGCCTTTTCCTCCACGTCGGCAGGCTGCTCCTCCGGCGGATATTGGCTCCGTCGTTCACTCTTCTTTCCCTTCTTTCCTTTCTTCAGAGTCGTGGACCAGGACTCGTCTGGATCCTCAGCTTCACAGGCTACTACGGGGGCTGGCGCTTCAGAGATACGCGGTTCAACGACTGCAGGTTCTGGCGTAGGAAGCGGCTGTTCCGGAGCTGCAAGCTCCTCATCCTGATATTCACCAGCTACAGCCTTCTCCTGGGCCTCCTTCTTCTTCTTGTTCTTCTTCTTATCCTTCTTGCTCAAGGGTGCAGCCCAGATATCCTCGCCGGAGGGCTCCTCCAGCTGCTTAGTTTCTTCGCGTAGTTCCTCGATCCGTGGGGTATCTGCAAAATCACCGATGACGCCTGGACCATGGTCAACAAATACAATGGGAAATTCCTCCGGAGGTTCTTCGGTTTCAGCCTGTTCCTCCAGATTCTGGTTGACGGCATCCATGGTGTCTTCGTCCCATTCAATTGGAGGCCAGGAATCATCGTTTGAATAAGGGTCTAGCTCACCTGTCGGCGCGGTATCTTGCTTCTGAACAAGAGTCGACTTCTCAGTTTCCGCCTCGCTTTGGACCTCTTTTACAGTATCCTTGCTCTTTAGCTCTTCGGGTTCCAAACTGATGGTGTCCTTGCGCTTCTTTTTGTTCTTCTTCTTCGACGAACTGCGGTTCAGTAGCATTTCATCATATCGAGACTTCTCTAGGGCTGAAGGCTCTTCTTGTAATCCTCCCTCTGACTCCTGTTCTTCAGCTGTCAGTCCCATTGTATCTGTAGCAGGCTCTGGTATATCCTCGTTTTCGTCAGGGATAGCTCTCTGCAACGACTTCTTTTTTCCCTTGGACTTCTTCGTTGACGGACTTTCAGGGGCTATCTCCTTTGGACGATCACCAAACAGATCCTCTGCAAGTGTGAGATCTGAGTCCTGCTCCAGAGCTTGTCGACGTAGTCTATCTTCGGACTCTTCCTGCGCTTTGCGAAGTGCCTCATCTGCCGGCGGATCGAGACCCAAATCAGCCAGTTCGTTGGCATCGTTGGCACCATTGGCCGTTGAGTTCTCAGCAGTGTTCTCCGCGTCCGACGGGACATCGAATGGGTCAAGGGAAATCGAAGGTTGGACTGGTTCTGGTGCTATAGAGATATCATCGGGTAGGACACTGATTCCTTCCTCGGCGGCAGGAGGGACGGCAAGGTCTTCGCCAGTTTGTACATTATCAAGAGGTGTGGCGAGACCTTCATCAACCGGGTGTACTAATTCCTCCTTTGGCTCTGCAGTTTCCAGTGGCAGAGTAGTCGACATATCTTTGCTGGACTTGCCTCTCTTACCCTTCTTCTTCCCTTTCTTGGTAGACACTGCCCAGAAGTCTTCACCTGGCTCTTCTGGCATCTTTTCGGTGGCTTGTTGGCCCTCAACATTTTCCACAGTAGAGTCGTGACCAGGTTCAATTGTGGTAGGCGTGGCAGCATCAGTCAAAGAATGTTGCTCCTCAGTCTCAGGTGCAGCGGCGGTAGGCTCGTCCCTCAAGGAGGCCTTTTTCTTCTTGTCTTTCTTCTTTTTCTTTGACGGAATAGCCCACGTCTCTTCAGGTTGTGCTTCCATCGTTTCCTTGACATCGTCGGATACAGGTTCTGCCGAATGTGATCCAGCTGGTTGTTCCGCAGAGTCGATCGCGCCCTCTGCCGGTACTGAAGCTGCCTGATCTTCGACCTCGACCATGTCATTCTGCTTGGATTCGAATTCTGCAACTTGAGCAGGTGATGGAATTTCCGTTTCGTTTTCGGCAATCACCTCGGTCCCCGTTGGCTCTAGTTGTTGCGATTCTGGTGGCGGTTCCTCTTTGTCTGCCGGCACAGCCTGCTCAGGTTCAGCTTCCTTTGAAGGCTCCGCAGGTATTTCTTCAGCGGCTACTCCTGCTTCCTTGTCTGTCGCAGTCACATCTTCGGGAGTAAAAGGGGCCTCGGGGGCCTCTGCTGGTATTTGCTCTGCTGTCTCCGCTCGAGAATAGACATTGTCATCCTGCAGTTCAACTGTCTCCTGCTTTTTCTTGTTTCTCTTGTCCTTTTTTCCCTTTTTCTTCTGTGACGTTGGTGACGGCCAAAGGTCCTCAGCAGCAGCGGTCGGCGGCTGCTCCGGGTTCGAAGGCTCCAGAATTCCGGTATCATCTACCCCGGTGGCAGGCTGATCTTCAGGAACGGTTTCTGATGGCTCCACGTCTCCTGTATAGATCACTTCCAGTGCAGACTGCTCTACATTTTCTGCATCAAACGACGCATCTGCAGCAGTTGAAGGTTCATCCGGTAGGGAGGCAGATTCCCGCTTCTTCTTCTTCTTTTCTTTTTTACTTTTTTTCGTGGAGGTCACCGAATATGTCCCTTCATCTTCACCAGGTATGGATCCTTGTTCACCTTGTTTCGGTTCCTCGCGTTCCTTCTCACCGAACTCTATTCCCTGCCTGGCGGTTTCCGTATGATCTGGCTCTGTAACGGGTGTGTTGGGGGTGGGCATTTCGGGCTCAATAGACTCGGACGGCGGCTGGTGAGGGAGTACGGGAGGCATTTCTTTCTGCTGTTCGGCCTGCGACGACGCCATCTCATCAGTCCAATGGGGTTCTTTTTCCACATCGCCGGTTTTCTTTTCTTCGGAGGACTGATTTTCTTTACCATCGTATTCCGCAGGCGTCTCCTGTGGCGGGAGTAAGGTCTCGACCGGCTTGGGCTCCTCTGCGGAGGCATTCTCATCGGCAGAGGTCGTTATGACGGGCGCATCTTGGCTGATATCTCTCTCTGTTGCCCTTTGTGCCTCGCGAGAAATCTCGACTTCTTCGACAGGCTTATCTTCAGCTGCAGTAGTGGGCTCGGTTGGGGCGGCAAGGTTCTCGTCTTCCCAGGTTACAGATTGTCGTTTCTTCTTGTCTTTCTTTGCCTTCCGTTTTCCTTTGGCAGACATGAATCCATCTCCGTCTTCGTCTGGTGCCTTAGTGGACGGCGTGGTCTCCTCAGTCTGAGTGATGCTTGTATCAGGTTTTTCGTCCTTGTCCTCACCCTCTACCCTACTGACCTCGTTGGGCGTAGCCGTTGGAATCTCTTCAGTCCAGTCAGCAGGCTGTCTCTTCTTCTTGTCTTTTTTCGACTTCTTTTTGGACGTCAGAGATGTGAATTCCAAGTCCGGCTCCGCTTCCAAAGCTGACTGGTCTTTCGATTCGGTCGTAGGTTCAGTCCCAGCGTCTACTGCATACTCGGTGGCCACATCAGCAGTAGGCTCAACAGTAGGGTCCGTAGCCGACTCAGCTGTCGATTCCAGGGTAACATCAGGGAATGAAGGTTTGTCATTGGTCTGCTCATCCTTTCTGATCTCTGATTCAGCAGCTTCCGTCTCCTGGATATTGTTATCTGGAACTGCATGCACTGCTTCAGCAACTACTGTCCCCTCGTTGTCGGCATTTGCGGAGCCAACGTCTTCACTGCTGATTGCTGTAGGCTCCTCGGAGCGTTCATCCTGCGACTCTTCGATAGACTTCTCTTCAGAAGCATCAGGTGGGATATTTATAGTTCCAGTTGCTTGTTCCAAAGACGATTCAGTAGGTGGCTGTTCTTCTTTGGTCTGTCCAACAGTACCCACTTCTGTGGGTTGCTTTTCGGCCTCGTCTTGGACTTCCTCCGCCTGGCCTATTGAGGCTCGGTTCTTTTTGCCTTTCTTCCCCTTCTTCTTGGATTTAGAAGGTTGGAATTCGTCGACTGCGGGGGAGGCTGGCTCCTCAGTGGTAGACTGCTGATGTTCCTCATGCGCAGCTCCAGGGACAGGCTTATCTTGCTGAGCCAGTGCATTCTCTTCATATGGCTCTGATGTTTGCGCTTCCTCCTTGGGTTCTGCTATCGTCACTCCCTCGGTCTGTTCTTTTGGGACCTCTTCAGAAACAGGAACCTCAGCGACAGCTGTTTCGAGGCTGGGTTGTTCTATGCCTTCGGTCTCCACGAGCGGAGCAGAAGGAGATTCGACAGCTGGAGTTATTTCATCAGCTGGAGGGGCAGCCTCTGTGGCGTCTGCAGTGGCTGGAGCCTCTTCCGCAATAGCAAGCGACTGACGCTTCTTCTTATCCTTCTTAGTTTTCTTCTTAGACTTAGGCGACGAGAACTCCTCTACGGGTGCTTTGGGATTGTCTTCGACTGCTTCGGCCTCAGGCACTGCTTGTTCTGGAACTGGCTGTTCTTCCTGTGCTGCAGGTACTAGTTCCACAGCGGGTGGCTCTTGCGCAGTCTCCTCTGACTGGTCGGGCTGTTCAACGGCAGTGGCTGATCCTTCAGTTGTTGGTCCTTCAGTGGTTGGTCCTTCAGTGGTTGGTCCTTCAGTGGTTGGTCCTTCAGTGGTTGGTCCTTCAGCGGTTGGTCCTTCAGCGGTTGATACCTCTGCTGCGGCTTGGACGGCTTCTGCGAGATCCTCCGTTGTGGTTGGCGTTGAAGGGTCGTCACTCAGGGCGAGAGACTGACGTTTCTTCTTATCTTTCTTCGCTTTCTTTTTTGACTTCGCCGACTGGAACTCGTCCACGCCTTCTCCATTTCCATCTTTAGGCTCTTCCTGTTCAGTTACTGGCTGTTCTTCTTGAGTGACATCTCCCTCCTCCTCCTCCGGTTTCTCTCCCACCGGGGAATCAGGTACCACCGGTGTCTCCTCAGCAGCTGGAGTGGCAGGCTCGCTGACAGGCTGCTCGGTGGTTTCGAGAGCAGGAGTATCCTCTTCCTTTAGAGATTGGCGCTTCTTCTTGTCCTTCTTCGCCTTCCGTTTCTGAGCTGGCGTCATTGGGACTTCCTCCTGCGGCAGCGCTTCCTTAGTAGGTTCCACGACAGGTTCCTTGACAGCCTCTTCCTCAATTGGCTTTGTTTCCTCTATCGCTGGTGGAACTGGGCCCAAAGGGGTATCTTCTCCAACGGGGACGGCAGTGGTATCCGCCTCAGCGACAGTGACAGCAGCAGGGGCGTTTCCGGTTTCATCTTGACCAGCAGACTGCGGGTCCTCTGCGTTCTTATCCGTCTCGTTGTTTTGACCTGTAGACGTCGTTGCCCCGAAAGAGTCATCCTGAGGCTCAGAATCCGGCTTAATCTGCGGCGACACATGTGGTTCGCGATCATTGGTTTCATCGTTCTCCACACTGGAGATCTGGCGATGAACCGTTTTCTGCTCCGAGCAATTCAAGCGCCCCGACTTCCGCGGTGGCTGCGGGGGCGGCTTGATCCACATCGTCGTTAATAATCTCTGCAGCTTCACCGCTAGGCTGCGGTGTCTGTGCTTGGGCAGCATCAACAACAACATCTGATTGTTTGGGCTCCTGCTCTGGCTCAGAAAAATTTACGCTCTTGCGATTCTTCTTTCCTTTCTTTTTGCTCTTTTTCTGCTGCTCATTCCGCAGCTGTTCTGTGTTCGCTTCCGATGGCTGGGCCGCAGCATCTTGAGCTGGAACAGCCATGGATAAATCGACGCGTTTATCTTCAATGGCAGGTTCTGAAGCTTCAGGGGCTTCCGGGGCTTCAGTGAATTCAGCAATGCTTTCAGGAGCGTCTTGTTCCTTTTCTGGAGCAGAAACGGGTTCTTGAGCAGGGAGTTCCAAGTTGTTCGCATTTTGGCCTGCCTTTTCTGCGCCCACAGCAGGAACGGAGATTGCTTCTGTATTGTCAAAAGCAGGTGCATCTTGCTGATCGACAATGACGGAAGATTCAGTTGCCAATTTCTCCGCCTGCTTGCTCTTCCGTTTCTCTTTCTTGCTCTTCTTGCGACTGGGAGCAGATTCAACCTGGGCATTATCGACTGCATTCCCAATAGTGGCTTCTTCTGTCGCAATTTCGCGTGATGATGTCTCTGGGGCTTGTATCTCCTCGGGCTGTTCTTGAGGCTGTTCTTGAGGCTGTTCTTGAGGCTGTTCTTGAGGCTGTTCTTGAGGCTGTTCTTGAGGCTGTTCTTGAGGCTGTTCTTGAGGCTGCTCCTGAGGCTGCTCCTGCGCCAGTTCTTGAGGCTGCTCTTGAGGGTGTTCTTGAGGCTGCTCCTGAGGCTGCTCCTGCGCCAGTTCTTGAGGCTGCTCTTGAGGGTGTTCCTGCGCCTGCACCTGAGGCTGCACCTGAGGCTGCTCGATTACGCCTTCTGGCTCAGCAATGGCAGTTGCATCGGTGCGATTCTCAACGTCCAGATTCTCGCTGGTCTCGGCACCGGTCTCTACGGAATTCTCGACCTTGCTCTTGCGCTTCTTTTTCTTGCTCTTCTTACTAGAAGGCTCTGCCCATTCGCTGTCCGGCGTGACTTCGGTGGGAGCATTTTCGACCGCCGTTTCTGGAGCGGCAGGTTCGGTCTTCTGAGCCTCCACCGCTTCTGCCAGAACAGCCGCAGACCCCGAGAGAGTTCCGTCCACAACTTCTTCAGTATTAGCCGCTTCTACAGGAGCTTCCTCTGTCTGCTTCTCTTGTTCATCATACGGCTTCGGTGCCTCTTCCTGGGCCTTGATTGTTTCAAGGGCGGCCTCCGTCACATCCGCTGGTTGACCTTCGTTGGCAATTTGAGTGACTTCAGCGTTACTAGCATCTTCATGCTGGCCTTCTGATACAGAGCCCTTATTCTTTTTCTTCTTCTTGTCTTTCTTGGCCTTCTTAGATAATATGGGAGTAGACGGCTCTTCCGTCTGCTCTTGCAGTTCGCCGATCACCCGAGTGGGTGTGTCAGGTTCAACGTGAGGATCCGCAGGTGCAGACATATTATCAGCCTCAGAAGACACCTCTTTGAATTCCAGTAAGTCTGCAGCGCTGTCCAGATTTGGCGCTGAAGTGGAAGGTGTGGTCATTTCAGGAGTGGATACTGGTTCCTGAGACGTCAAATCCACGCTTTCGCTCTTCTTTGCCTTTTTTGCCTTCTTTTTCTGTTTCTTGGACATGGGCGCCAGGGCAGCTTCCGGAGCTTCTCGATGTTCTTGAGACGGTTCAGCCGCAAGCTTATCAACATCTTTACTTGCCTCATTGGCGGTTTCAACCTCATTGACGGTTTCATTGACGGTTTCAACGCGCTGTTCGTGATCCATCACCGAAGTTGCGGTGCTGGCGTCTTTTATTTCTTTGGAGACTCCTTCAGCTGCAAGGGTCTCGGCGTTGTCAGGCCCTGTCCCATCGTTTCCGAGCTGCTCATCTTGTCCAGGCGACTTGATATTCCGATCTCCGCCAGTCGCGGCGAGTACTGCTGCGTCAACAACGGAAGCAAGATCTGTCCTTTCTGGAAGCGCCTCTTTTTCGGAGACAATTGCGGTCTGATCCGGTTCGACTTTGTTCCAGGGTGAGGGCTCCTCGTCTGTAGGTTTCGTCTCTGCGGATTTGACAGCCGCGAACACAGCTGCATCAACGACATCCCCGAAGCTACCGATTTTGCTAAATGGTGATGCGCTACGGCTTCCAGGCTGTCTCGTCGACGAAAGAGGTATTTGCGCATCTGCGCCTGGGACAGCGGCTTCAGAGCTGTCAACAGGGACAGCGACATCATGTTCAGAAGTCAAAGAAGTGGATGTTTGGTCGACCCCGCTCCCCTTTACCTCATCTGTTGTTGGCAAACTGACTCTTATCTCAGGTACTTCCTCGTTTTCAAGTGCTATTGGCTTAGCTTTTAGCTTGTCTGAGGAGCTGACAGCGGCAGAAATAGCTGCATCTACAATCGCACCGAATCCCGCCCCCAATCCCGCCTCCTTTAGCGACGACAAGGCCGCGTTGGATTGCGGCGCAGGCTCAGATATGGATCGTGCTTCTTGGGTCGAAGTTGAACTCCGCTCAGCGGTGGGGCAGGAAGGTCTTGACTCTCGAAGGGACGGTAATTGCTCATGTTCGATTTCTCCCTGATTCTCGTGGTCCTTCGTTCCGACGGCAGAGCCCTCTGCGGAGGGCAGGGAGGATAGCGTTGGTGAGGGTGGCAAGGGTATGAATGCGCAAGGATCCTGCAAGAGCTCCGACGGCGAGTGGAACTCGTACTTTGGTTTGTGTTTCTTCTCAACAGGAAGGCTTTCGCTGAACGTCTCGGCTGTCGGTGTGACTTGTTGGGAACCCAGGATATCATGATCCGTATGTTCAAGTGGATCAGTTGTTGAGACCTTCAATCCCACTGGTCGTTGCCTCTGGTCGAACATCATCTGAGTTACATCCTGGGTCTGCCAGGTTGGGATGACGTCTTCGGAACGACGAGACTTGAAATCCTCCACGGATGTGCTCCTGGATGAGGTCTTGCTGGATGGAAGAGAAGGCAAGGGCTCGTCTAATTGCTGGTCAAACTTGCCAGAGCTGTGTCGCTCAACAAGCCACAGGGGGCGGAACTCTCGTGCGTTCTTGAATTCCGTCGAGTTTCGACTGCGATGACCGAAGCGTTGCTGAGAAGGGGAGCTAGGAGATTGGACGACGGGCGAGCTCATTGACGGTGAGCGGTGGACACCGGGTGATGTTGGAGGTTTGCGAAAGTGCAATGGGACAGCTGTGGGAGAGGATGCCAGATCCGTGGGCCGTGCAGCAGATAGACGTCTTTGTCTGCTCGGGGAAGCCGATACTGTTCTACTTCGCGATCTGACCAAAGACATATCGATCTCCTTATCTCCAGACACAGGAGATTCTGAGCTACTTCTGAGCTGTTTTGGGAATCTTTCCTCACCCGATCCTCTTGATATATCCACAAAGGAATCAAGCCCCGAAGCACCGTTATCATCACCTGCTGTCACCGGCATTTCGGGGCGCTCTGCTAAAAAAGCCTGCTGTTCATCGGCATCTTCTGTTTTCTTGCGGTCCTGCACGAGAAAGAAACGATCTCAGCATACATACGGGAATGGCATTCTCAATGCGAATACGGGAAATGTGATGTACAAGCGGACAACATCAAAGAATTCACTATAAACTATACCTTGTCAGACAACTTTCTACCCGAGTCCACAATATCCTCATATCTTTGCCGCCGTCTCTCTTCTTTCCGTTGTCTATGGGATCTGGGGGATCCATCGGGGTCTCGGCTCTGGGAGTCGTTATCTCGGTCGACGTCTCGCCCAAGTTGCGAAAAGTCGGTTAACGAGTGGGAAGCGCCGTTGAGCATGCCGAACGCATGGTCTCCGCTAGAACTGCGCTGCTTGGAAGAGCGCTTCTTATGACGGTATTCGTCAACAGCAACCTCGGACTGAACGTCTCGCGAGGAACGCTTGTCCTTATCGCCAGAACTCGACTTCTCTCCCACCGACGATGCCTTTGAGCCGAATATGCTACTGAAAAGTCCGCCACTCTTTTTTTCCTTCTCGCTTTCCTTGTCTTTGCTCTTTCTCTTTTGCCTTGTCTCGTCGAGCTTGGCGGGTGAAGATGCTACGGACCCGGCATCGTCGAAGACCCCGCTATCGCGGTGGGACTTGCGCCGGCGGATGGAAGATTCATCACGTCCCTCCTCCTCAAAGATCTCGCTATCGCGCTTGGAACGCCTTTTCCGTCTCTTCTTTTCATCATTGTCATCTAATGAAGCCGTCTCACTTTTCGCGTCAAAGTCATCAACACTGCGTCGCGACTTCCTTGGCCTCCTAGAATCCCCAACAGGGGCAGAGGCGACAGATCGTGATTCTCCCCTAATTGAATCGCTGTCCCACTTCGGCTGCTGTTCCGAGGCTTTTGGAGTAGGGGGACCTTCGTCGACGGAGACATAATTAGACTCGTCAGTAGGTCTCTCGGGAGATGAATCCGCAACTCGTCTAGATTCATCGGTCCACGAATCTCGCTTTGTGTTAAGCTTCTCAATTACTTCTTGAGCAAGCGAGCGCTCTGCCGCAGCTTTAGACGAGACGTCCTTATCGTCGTCCTCGGAAAGCTGCGCTGGCTCTTCTGAGAACTCCTTTCCATCGCTGATGTGCGCAACAGGCTTGTCATCATCCGTAGGAGTCTCAACTTCGCCTTCAACAAACCCCTGTACCGGCGGGATAGGGCGCTGCAGATCCGATACAGTCTCAACCCAAGGTGATCTATATACTCCCTTCAACTCAGAGCCCGGAGGTGAGGACCTTCTGTGATATGTCGGGTTGTCAGTTACAACAGAAGGGTCAAACCCAGCTGCGGCTGCGCCTGCTGCAAGTGTAGCCGCGAACTCGATATCATCTTCAAATGTCCCAGACACTCTCTTTTCAGAATCGTTCTCTTGGTGGGATTCTTCTTTACTGGCAGATTTGGCCTCTTCGGGAGACTCGTCTTTCAAAGATGTAACAACGGACTCGTTAGAGCTTCTTGGTTCTTGGTCTCTGAATTCTTGCTGCACATCACCACTACTTCTCTCAGATAAAGGCGTCTGGACCTCAAATTCGTGTGTTCGGTGCTCTCCCCAGGATACCCTAGAGCCAGCACCAGGTCTCTCTCGCTCGCGGTCCTCGGAGCTCTCCTCTTCTTCCTTAACGGTAGCGGGAAGTACAACAGGAGAAGTCGTGTCTCTCACAGAGCCGTTCAAACTCTGCGGAGGGGTAGGCTCGATGACATTAAGTCGTGGAATAGACCATGGCGTATTTATGTCTGGTGCTTGGCCTTCCGAAGGCTGTTCCATCTCAGATATGGTTTTCACGTCAGCGCGCTCATCTACCCGAGATGGCCGGGCATCAAAGCCGTGTCGCAATTCGCTTGGTGCAAAGAATTTTCCATAATTCACATGGTTAGGGCCCGCGCGAACAGGAGCAGCAGAAGCTCCTTGATTATCACATTTTGTATCTTCTTCGCTGTCGCGTCGCACCGTCTGAATTGATGAAATCCGGGACGGGGCATCTTCTGTTTCGGAGTTGCGACGCCTCTCTGCACGACGTTTCTCTCTGAGCTCTTCATGCCGCTTCTGTCTCCTTTCCGACTCCGAAAATTTCTCTGCAATGGCCGCGCCAACCACTCCTATTGCGGCACCTTCGGCGGCACTGACCCAAGGGGAAGAGTCTTCTCGCTTCTTCGGGCGTTCGGGGTCTGCGCAAGAGGCGGAAGAGCGTGTATCATATTCATCGTCTCGCCGTCCGTTCTCTTTCTCTTTCTCACGGCGATGTCTTTCACTGCGCTCAATATCCTTTTTACGCTCTTCTTCCTCTTGAGCCCAGCGGACGCTCTCTTGCGATTCGCTCCCCCGTTTCTGCCTCTCCAGTCGGTCAGCACGACGCTCCTTGTCAGCTTGCTCCTTCGTAAGTTCAAATTGGACTGATGCCTGGTCCTTGCTGGTTGCGCGGCGTCTTCGGACAGACGGTAGACTCTCTTCTAGCGGCTCCGTAGGAAAAACAGGGGTAGAGTCGCTTCTTCGGTGAGTTCCGCTAGTACGAGCGATACTACTGGCTGTGGGAGTCGCTCCGGTCATATCATATGGGGCAGCATCAGCAAATACTGGCGGGCCAGACGGGGCTGCGTAAGAAGGCGAGGGTTCAGCTCGCGTAGAGTAGACGGACTGAGATACTGGGGTTATAGGCTGCGGTTGCTGGAGAGGAATAGGTCCCGGTCTAACAAACTGAGGCTCTCCCGCACGTCTCGAGGGCAATTGGACAGCATCGTATCGAGAGGGGTCGGACGTTGGCTGCGGGTAAACGCGACGGAGACTTCCCACACTACTAGAACCATCCTGGCTCGGGACGGCGGTATCTTTGCCATATTTTGATGCGATCGCTGCGCCTGCCAAAGCGCCAGCTGCTGCCTCAGCTGCTGGAAGGTAATCTGTGGACTGCTTTGATTTGTCCTTCTTCTTTTTGCTTCCCCATCGCCAGCCCCATTTTGATGTCCCTGAATCCGAGGAGCTGCTACCGAAAAGGGCACTGCCACCGTAAGCCAGGGCAGAGCTCACGCTCGAGGATGATTCAGAGGAATCAGCGTCTTCCCATTCATCATCCTCCTGCCCAGAGGAGGTATAAGTAGATCGCCGGTAATGATCATCCTTGGCAACTAGTACCCCTGATCTATGCTTGCGGCGCCGTTCTGCAGCATCAGCAATCGCTTTTGCCGTGACACCGAGGCCAAGGATCTCAGCATCGACGTTGTGCTTATCCTTCCTTTTGCTAGAGCGGCTCGATCCACTTGACTTGCTTGACTTAGTCGATTTGTTAGGCTTCTTCAGAAATGCTGATCCAAAGGCCAAATCTGCGTCGGAGGAGGAAGAAGACGAGTTCCCGAAGGAAAAGAAACTCTTGCGCTGCTTACGGCGGTTGGCAGACGAGGCGGAGAAGAAGGACGTAAAGCCGGTTGACGTGGACTTGGCATGTGAGCGCCCAATATCCGTATACGAGCCACTTGAAGAGGAGGATGACTTCCGGTTCTTTTGCTTCCTAGGCGACCGACTACGACTCCGCCGACGAGACTTCAGGGCGGCTCCTGCGGCAGCGCCAACGGCAACTCCGATGGCGGCATCCCTGAGACCAGAGTGGCGCTCCCACGATCTCGATCGCGACCTTGAGCGCCGTCTAGAGAGCTCAGAACCTGTAGACTTTGAAGTAACTGAGCTCTTTCCCAAATTTTTGTAGTCGTCGCGTCGGGAACGCCGGTCAACACCGTGCGATAGATGGCTCTTTCTACCCAGGGATGAGATGCTTTCACTATCGTTCACGGAATACCTCGAATCGGCAACGTGACCAGAACGCACACTGTAAGTCTCGTCGAAATCCTTGTTGCTAAACAAGGACTTTGACACATAACCTGCAAGGCCGCCGGCGAGTCCAGCAGCCAGCCATGACTTCCCTTTCGACCTTCTGCGCCGGCTCTCTTCTTCTGAGGAATGGCGGCCAACCTTTTCGATCCGTGAGGAATTACCGTAACGATCCGCCTGGGTCTTCCGCCGCTTGTAGTGATGCTTTCTAGGTGCATTCTTGGAGGACGTGCCAGGCTCGAAGCAATATTTGCAGACACCAATGGCCTCAGTGTAGTCTTCGTACATCCCCACACCCTCAGGGTCTCTCCAGAAGTCGACGAACCTCTGTAGGGGCCCGTGATGTCGCTGGTGAAAAGCCAGAGACCCGGGCTGCAACTGTTGCATTTGCTGTCCGTTGTAAGCATCGTACGGATAGTGTGCACCGTTGGCGAGGGCACCATAACCCGCAGCTCCTGCGGCTCCGGCATCAAAGACAGCAGCATTTCCATTGGAGCCTTGCTGATCAGGTCTAGGCGGTCTTCCATGATCATCGACAACATAAGACGGCCCCGGGTAGCTGCTAGAATTGTAATGCGCCGAGTGTTCATCATGGTGGGAGGATGAGTGGTGTCCCATCATGTATCCAGCGGCTGCGCCTGCTGCCGCCAAACCTAAAGAGGCCTCAGTAGCGTGAGAGTTCGAGTGAGAATGGGACGCTCCGTTTAGTCCAGGTGTAGACATCGGCGTCGCATAATAAGGGGAGGGTCCTTCTCCAGCAAGCGACGAAGAATTATATTGCACTCCGGGACTCGAGGGTAGTCCCGTTCCAATACCATACGTCGCTGCACCCAATGCTGAAGCCGGGACTGCGGCTGCTGGCTTACTCGGCTTGTTCGGCTTGCTGGGTTTCGATGGCTTCGGCGGTCGCGACGGTTGTTGAACTATATTGTCAGGCAAGTTGGAATGGTTCGCATAATAGTCCGCAGCCGCTCCAACTTGACCCATACTGCTTGGTTCCGGAGGAGGGTTCGGTACTGGTGACGCTGGCATCAGATGCGGTTCTGCGCCGACAATCAGAGAAGGCGGTTTTGGTCGCACGCCCGGCTGCTGAGCAACAGACTCGCCCTGATCACCATAATACTCTGCAGCCTCGCCTGCTGGGTGCGGTGGTCGATACGGCTCCGATACATACTGCGGAAATTGCCCAGGAAATTGCTGGGGGACGTGCGGGTCATAGTTGGTTGACGAGACGGGCACGGCGCCGGACATCGTTGTATCATATTGTCCGGGGAACTGGGAGAATCCTGGCGACGAAATTGCAGCAGCGAAGCGATCATCAGCACCCGATGTTGGCGGTACCCTCGATCTATCCGAGTACTCGTCGTCATCTGATCTTGTGCGCCGTCGTTCCTTGCGAAGGCTATCTGTGTCTCTGTCTCGGTCAGTATCCTTACCTCTGCGATCCTTTGTATTCCTCCTACTCTCCTCTCCATATCTGCTATCCACGCGCGGGCTTCTCATCGTTGCCTCAGAAGTGCGATCATCTCCATTATACACCTCGGTATACCTCGACGTTCTGTCGGTAATCGTAGAATTCGTATCGTCATAGATGCTTCCCGGCTCGGCTGTCACATAGGTCGATGCCACAGAACCTTCCGTCATGCTAGGCGCACGTCGTCTCCGGCTGCTGGACGACGAGTAGGCCGATAAATCGCCCAGGCCGCGATCACGGTCGTCACCCCGTGAAGACTTGTGGCTGGACGATGAGGCGGATGGTTTCGAGCGGCGCGAGGACGTCGAGCGGACATCGTCATCGGCGGCTCTGCGTCGTGAGGACTTGGAACCGGTGTCGCTGCGCACATCGCTGGACGAGCGACCACCACCCAACAGAGCTCTGAACATGGAGGGCAGCGAGAGAGCTCCGTTTTACTCCGCGATAGCGAGAACCATGTGGGTATCAAATTCCGGGGAATGCCCGATCACAGCGTCACCTCACCAGCGCAAAGCGGACCGAAATAAGATGATACTGATCGCAGGAAATTAAGAACTAGGCAATCCAGCGACGAGAACGGTCTGGTTTAGAGACGAGGTCAGAGGCGGGTTGTTGTTTTGATAGTTAGCGATAGCGCTGGGGCAGAGTAAACAGAGACGGAGCTGAACCGCGGTAGCAACCCGATCGGTAAGCCTGGGGGTCAACTCCAGCTTGGAGATGGCGCCAACTCTAAAGTCGAGGGGGTATCCTATCGTACAGGTGTGCGTTCAAAGGAAATTCGTCTCAGTCATCAGTTCATTTCAACAGGTCGTTAATATCATCGAGTAGAATTGTACAGGAAAGCGATAGACGGGTGATCAGAGGAGGAGGAGGTTGGGGAGGGAAGACGAAGCGAGCGAGAGAAAGAAAAGAGAGAGAGAGCAAGACAAGAAAGGCTGCGAAGTCGCGGTGAGGCTGGGACGGCACGTGCCGCGCTGGGCTCAATGAGAATATCAATGGTGAATCGATGAGCAGACAGACAGAGGGAGAGAGCAAAAGACAGAAAATAAAAACCGATACGACCATCTGAGTAGTCGAGATCGGGAGATCGCCTTGCCTGCCTTTGTGTGAGTCGTCGGGCTGCTCTCCAACGATCTGGTCTCGACAGTCTCCTTGCAAGGCTAGTTCGCTGGCGACGCTGGTGTGTGCGGCGCTGCAGCAAGTGAGCAATCAATCTCCCTGCAGCTGTGGATAACTTGGCATAGGGCTGGCTGAAAATACTATTAATCGCAGTTACTTAGCGGTATTATTAGTTCAGTCATGCTGGTCGTGTTGGCTGGCCACTCACTGCACTCTCCTATGCAGTAGACCAACAGAAGAAAATGCAACAGGAAAGCTCTCGAGGTGCGCACTATCTATACAAGAGGAATTACTCGAGTAACTATAGTCTTCAGTTGTTGACGGCAAAGACAAGATTAGATTTGAACGTCTTGATACATTTCCTATCCAAAAATGCCAGGGATATATCATCGACACTACGGACAATGTATGTATTGTGCTCCTGTATGCGAACACGACGAACTCCCACCATCGAAATACCACCCAAAGATGTACAAGCCAAGTCCACTTGTCCCCTGCGCATATCGAAAATGCAACGAGTGAGCCTACCCAGAAAAAGACAAAAATAACCAAACCGTACCGGGTGCTAGGAGAAAGAAGGGCCGTCAGTAAACACGCTGGTAACGCGGATGAATCGATAAAGAATCGAGAAAAGCCGCCCATCCCCAGGATATGATGGAACAAGCAGATAACAGGAAATGTGGAGACCTGTCCAGGATGTATGGTCTCAAGTGGTAGCATCACAGCAATCCACCCATGGCACAAGCAGAACATCGAATCAAATCAAAGAGACGACCCGCCAGGCGCTGGAATGAATGAAAGTTCATTTCTCACGGACACGAGAAATTGAGGCAGCATGATCTGCCATTATCCAAGCAAGAAGAACGTGAGGATCGGATGGGCCCCCAAGGACAGACGCTTGCCACCTAACTATCCGCCTGTCTTCAGTCACCGGAAGACTCTATCTTCAAAGAGAAACCCGTCAGGGAGAGCTAGAGCCTCCGAGACGGGAGATATAATCAGATCTCACAACGCCAAAGCGATCAGGTAACAGCCACACCAAGATATGCATTCGAAAATTCCTCCCCACCGGCCAGACGGTCGTTGCTGAATAGTGTGCACACAGAGATCCGAGCCTAGAAATAACAAAATCGACAGAACGTAACATGGACCCAATGCGAACAGTTGTAGATATATAGACGAAGTAACATTAAAGTGCACCATAGGCAACCCAATTAAACGGAGCTCGACGTAAAGCTGGTAGCGGCCTGGTCTCCGAAAAGCTTATTATAGATCTCCGTCAGGATCTCGGCGTCCGCGCGCAGACTGGGAGAGATATTCCTGCTCTGCAGAAGGAAGTCGATCGTCCGTTTAAGAAGTCGCTGGAGGACGTGGCGATCGACGAGCTCAGAGAGACTAGAGATGTAGGTTGCAGAAAGGACAAGCATATTACCAAATTGTCTGTGGGCAGTCAGCAAGACCTTGTCCGGGGAAGGCAGGACCGCAGAAAGATGCACTTACGCATGCGCTGTGCCAAAAATATTGGTAATCACCGGTCGACCTTGGATTCCGTCGAAAGCCTCCGTGCTCTGGATCGCGGAGTCGATACAGATCTTGCACGCGAGCTGGAGTTTCTTCGGGAGCTGTTTAAACGGGCAACATGGCCACGCTGGATTCGTCAAAGGATGTCGGCCCGGGGGTCCCATATCGCTAGACCATCGGGCCATGCTTGTGGCCCGCTGGCTGTGTGTCATTGACGGGGAGACTTGCTGGGATCGAGAACCAGACATCACTGCAGAACCAGTGGGGGAGTCAACCGCAGATCCCTCTTTGAAATCAGCGTAGTGCAGCGCATGATAAAGCAGAGGCCGGTGAATAATGTATCTTGCACCGTAGTACTTCGCGCGCATACGCGCTGTGTTAATGTCACTAGACGGGGGATCGCTATCTTTCCACCTCATGATCTCTGGAAGACTCTTGCGCCATAGTTCGAGGTTCATGCTCAACACCTCCTGCACACTCGACGACCACTGACTTTGACCTTTCTCTGTAAATAGCAGTTAGTATGTAGACAATCGCCCTAGTCCACCGCTGCATGACTCACTCTCGGCTTTGTAAAGATCTGTATGGACGCGGTTCAGAACTTTCCTAAGATGAATCTGTGCTGAATAATAGAACATCATCATAGTACTCGGGGCGCGGATTTCATTGGGAAGGGTAAGTGTAAAGACACCCTTCGGCAAAGATATGCGCGCTTCTGAACGCGATATGCCACTAGCAGGGAGGTCGAGCTCGGCAAGAATATCACTATATCAATATGATCAGTCCCTATCTGAGCAGTATAATATGATAATCAACAAACCGATCCGGCGATTCTTACCTCTCGAGCTGTAGACAAGTCCAGTAGGCAAAATCATAGAGATCCTTCTTGGGGCCGTCTTGCATCTTTTCATATCGTCTCCTGTTTTCACGCGTAAGTCGCTGCTAAAGGCATATCGCATAATCGATACTTACGGCCGGACAAGCACTTGACACGCTCGGGATGCCTGCGAGATCCATCCGTGGCTCTGGAACGGATGTGCCAATTGACCAGCGTAGAGTCCCGCTAGGAGACCGGCCTGGACATGGGCTAGCCCATTTCCACCCTGGAGATTGCCCAGGATATCCGTGGCGTAGGCATAATATGCCAGACCAGGAATGACCTCCATATTCTTCGGGTGGGAGAATTCTGGTCCATCATGAGCGGACCATCCTGTGGACGACAGAGGTCGGCCCGGGACGCTTCTGCGGTGATCCGATCCCGTCGGAGAAGGGAAGGACTTGAAATACGCACCACTGCCACCTCCTCCTCCTGCTCCTCCTGACGAATGAAATGGAGAGTCTGGGACTGCTGGAGACATCACGTTGGCCCACGGTGCCGAAGTCGCCATCATCTGGTCTCTCTGGATATCTGAGGCGTCTTTGACAGGCCCAGGTATCGGCTTGTCCGTCCAGTCACATATACAACCAAGCGCTAGGACCAAAAGAATAATAGCATTATCGATCGATTTCTCAATCCGTCGCAAAACAGGGCGTTCGGGATTCGAGGAAGGGGAAGAGGATTGCATATCATATCCGACACCATGCAACCCCTCAGAGGAACGCTTCCGCTTGGCACCTCGAGGCGGATCACCCGGGTTGCCTGGCATGACCTGACCCAGATTGTTCTTCCGTTGTGGGCTGTAGAGCTTAATGAATCTCTCAATCTTGCGCTCGAGGCTGTTCTCGTCCAGGAAAGGATGCAGAATATGCAGATGGTTAAGGTAACTTCTGTGGTGCTTGCGTACAGTCTCCGGGTCCGTGTTCAGCTGGCCAAACTCGTCCAGGCCACCAACAAGCTGATCTCGAGTCTTTGGTTGGGCTGTGTTCGTCATTATTGGAAGACCAGTACCCCAGGGCAGGTTGGGCGAAGCACCCTGCGTGTAATCATCTTCCCAGCACGGACTAGAACTGTTTGTTGTTGGACTCCCGGCAGACCGGTCATAGTCACTGCGATCGTCACCTTCGCCTCGTCCATACACGCGAATCAACCCACGTTCCTCTTCCAACCTCATCACGTAGTCCTCGTCGAATTCTTTGGGGCCTAGTAGCCTCCGGATCGATGGCCACAGCAACAGCTTATGCGCCGCTGTCGTATGTTCCACCGGAATTGAAAGCTCGCCGTCGTCATCGTCCTTGATCATAGGGTCGTTGACCTTCTCACCACCCTCCACCTTGGGGCCTCCGGGAACAGGAACATTCTCGCTCTTTGGCATATGCTCGCCCGGTATAGGTGAGACACCCGTGGAACTCAAGGATGGCTGGACAGGGGTGTTCTGCAGAATTGCAGCTTTCGAGGCGGGAATACCTGTTGGAGGGATATCTACAACAGCCGAAGGAGATCCTCGAGACAGGATTTCGCTGATCTGAGCACTCTGCTGAGAGAGCTGAGCACTGTGCTCCACCTGCTGCGCTTGTACCTGCGCTTGTAGCTGCGTCATTCGGTCCTCAATCTGCTGCAACTTGTCGAGAACGAGTTGAGTAGCCTTTTCCTGCCTGTTCGATCAGGTCAACACACACAAAAGTCAACGCAATAATTGACAAACACCACTCACTTATGTGGAGGCACCTCTTTATAGACACAGACAAGGTTATTCTCCTTGCAGTGGCTGCATGCTGGTCGACCTTCATCGCATTTAGCCTTCCTTGCTCGGCATTGGTCGCACGCCTTCAGGAGAGGGACACAAAAGTCAGAAATCCACTACCCAGCTTCCATATAGGGCACCAGATGTTCTTACCTGTTGCGCTCTGGCCGCTTTGCGCTGGCGAGCACCGAAAGCTTGATTATGGTAATAACCAGGCTCATATGGCCCCGGGGGTTGAGACATATGAGGCACACCCGGCGGATACTGTCCTGGAGGGATCGAATGAGGGGGCGGTTCACCGTTTGTATGAGACTCGTGAGGAGGATACGCCATCCGTGGCCTATACTCCCCCGGGGCAGTATGAGGGATAGCCTCATGAGGAGGCGCTCCGTTCATGGGTCGATAGGCAGGATGTGGCGGTGGATGAGCATCCTGAGGAGAATGAGACGGTCCTGGTAAACTGTTGGGACGGCCATATGGCGCCTCGTGAGGAATCTGCGGCAGCTCCCGATTGGGATGAACTGGGTAACCATGCGGAGGTATCGGGGGCTGCGGAGGAGCATTTGTAGGCCGACGCTGGTCCGCAGTGGCATCAAAGGTCGGCGGATATGGACGCCAGGACGGCTCGTACACTGCATGGGAGGATGGTACACCTTGGGCTCCTTCGGGAGGTGGCATGCGGTGAGCCGGAGGCGGAGGACCGCCGTATGGAGGTAACGGCTTTGGCTTCTCTTCTGTCGCATTTACATCCATCTTAAGATCAGCTCGACGGCTGCTGCGGCCATCGGTTGCAAGTCGTTTCAAATCCAATCAAAGAGTCCCCGGCATTGATAACATGGTTTGTTTTTCTCGGGTTTGCGCCAAAAGGGAAAAAAGGTCTGTAGGCAGTTCTGGCAGTATGGCGAGACTTTGTCGCAAAGGAAACTTGAAAGACCAAGAGCACCAAAAATTTTCCCAAGCGCGTCTGACGACTCCGACACCGGTTATGCACTGTCCCTTTTCCTGTCCAATGTGTTTGAAATCTGTTGTTTCGCGATTAGCCCGTTATGGCTTTTTCAGTTTACGTGCTGGCGGAGGACCAGCGCGGAGAATGCGGATTACTTTCGGGGGTGGTGAGTGTTACCGTGGGACAACTACCGTTGACAGCTCTCTTTCGATCAAGCAGCGCTCTGCTGTCCACCAGGCCGTAACGAGGGTGTTAGGAGAACGTCAGGACAAGTGAGGATGGACGCGAAGCCAGGCAAAAGCGCGCAATCAGTATCGTCTAGTGCTCCGGCCTGGCAAAGCAATGCATGCACAAATTGGGAGGGGGGGGTTGTTTGACGGTGGGCGAGGACGAGCAGCGAACAAGCACCCAGAATGCAGAGATATGGGCCTTAGCACCAGCACAGAGCAAAGTTCCAAGCCGCACGGTCCAAGCGGTATTGTATAGGTCGATTCGTTACGCAGTTCGTAACAGCGCTCTGTTTCTTTCCCGAATGCTCGGCAGCCACGCTCTCGGGTTCTGACGTCTTGCCCTAAGTAGACCGTAGGTAGACAAGAGAGAGAGAGAGAGAGAAGGGAGTTTCTTCACCGTCAGATGTGAGAGTAACTGTCGTCCTGCCCCTCTTCTGGTCTTCTGCTCTCTATCGTTCTCGCTCTTTCTCACACACAGAGATACACTCACACACTTCTCTGTCTCTCGATTTCGCCCCGAAAGATAACAGTCCTCGAAGCACAGTGTACACCGGTCTATTCCCGGACGACCGCCAGTACTAAGTGCCGTTGCTTCACATTCAATAATGTACCGGAGCGACGGAGATGACAGATCGTTTTGGAGAACAATCCCCAGTGGAGCAAAATGTGGTCCAATGATCCAGGACGGCTGGGCTCTGCAAAATAATAATAATGACCGCCGCGACTACGAAGCTGACCCTACCAGGCCCGAGAAGAAGTCGATTGGGGCCGCCACAGGCTCCATCTCTCTTTCCAGAGCATGGGCCCTGGCTTGCTTCTTCGTTCCACGCCGTGCCAGGGATGTTGGATGTTCCAGCAGCCTCACGCCGCCAAGCAGGGAGGGGTAACGATCGCACAGGCCGGGATGATGAAAGAAGGGGTTTCGGGCGTCACAATTGCCTTCCTCGACTGTAGTGGACCCCGAGGCGGGTGGAGAGAGAAGAGGCTGGTGAGCTGATAGTCGCGCGTAGTCGAGCAACCGGCGGATCGCTCCAGTCGTTCTTTTTTAGACTCTCGACTCGTCGAACTCTCCAGGTAAGGGCGGCCTCTGAGCATAAGCATCAAGAAGCGTAAGGTTTCTCTGGATGCAGCTCTTGATGCTGCTGACCGTCTCATGGACAAGCACGATGACCAGCCTTCGTCAGCACAGCTGTCAGACCAGAGACGGGCTGGGTTTGGAGTATCTAGCGACCGTAAGTTAGTTAACTATGGTAGGTATTTTCCTCATTCTGGTGGGGGACAAAGCTCGGCGGTGACAACAGCCAGCGCCGTCCATCTCCGCGAAGACGGTCTCTGGTACCGAGTACCGGCCGTGTATCGTGTATCGTATGCCAGGTACTCTGTTTTATTACCTGTATGGTACGGTCGATCGGGTTGCACTAGGCAACGATCGGTGCGCTTGTGCGTACCTATGTACTGTACCATACACAGCTTGGGCGGCCTTATTGTCACGTTGGTCTCTCCCGATTAGGTAATGATACGAATACGCCCCCCATACGATCCATACACGGCGCCGTACGGAGCCATACGGCAGCTCCGACGGGTCAGGAACACCCGCGGATTCGCCCCATGGATCTCTTGATTTTTGCCTCTCGCCTACGCTGCCGATAAGGAGAAGCTGTCCACGCTCCTTTTTCCTCATACGAGTGGCTGGCCAAGGTAGAACAGCCAAGCGACGGACGCAGGGTCGTCTGCTCTGCTGCTGGCTATCTTACCCAAGTCTCTGGATCGTGCCGTTTGGACTGCTACCGCGTCTCTGGAAGCTCACGCCTAGTGTCGCCCGTCCCGAGACGCCATGACGCCGGTGGAGCAGAGGAGATGCTCGCGTCGCTCTAAATCCCATTGTCGTTTACCCCCATTCTAGCATCTATGGTGCCAGGCGGGAAAGAAAGGGAAGAAGAAAAAAAAACCAAAAGGAAAAAAAAAAAATCAGAGCCTTGCTACCCTCTACAAGAATATGACGATGCTGACAGTGCTGAAGCATGCCCTTGTCAACATCAGTGGAGATCGCCACGTTGCACAAAGGCCCTCTGTTGACCCCAAAGGCGACTTAGTAGAGAAAAAAAGACGTTTCCATACCGCTTCTATGACCCAGTCGCTGATCAGGCGGATCACGTTTCCTTGCACCATGCCACCACGAGACTATCCACCATCCTAGCTAGTCTTGACCGACTATCACCACATATTGCCAGTTACGAACAGCCCAGTCGATCCGTCGTTCCAACATCCCGTTTCCTGGAATGCCCGGCCCCCGACGGCTGCTTTGACTTGGAGTAACGGCGCGGATCAACAGCCATGGGTTCAAGCAGGCTGCGAGCCACCATCTCGCTGTCTGCTGCCACATGCGGCATCTGAATCGCCATTATTATTATTAGGGGCGGTGTTGCGAAGGAGCCCTCGTTCATGCCGTATTCGAAGCCGGCCGGAAATGAGATGCGGCCATCCAAGTTCTAGTGTTAGGAATGCAAGGGATGAATCGCATTACGTCGATACCCAGATATTTTGGATTGATATATACTGGTACAGCATATACCAGGTTTTGCTACGCAGCGGTCACTAACCTGGCCCGATTTTCGTCGGTTTGGGCCCTTTATCGCCATTAGGAAGGTCCCATACTGCACGCCCCCAAGAGCAGGCGATCAGTAGTGACTGGAATCTCTGCCTCCTATCTAGGCCAGTCATGGAAAGCCTTGCCTCTTTGATTGGCGGGGGAGATTAAATCAGACTCCATAGCAAACACCAACGAGGTGTTGTCCAGCTGGAAGGGCGGGGTTGGCCTCGAAATCGAGACATTATTATTGTTATTCTAGCACCCGGAGGGATCCCTGAAAGAGGAACACCGCCTTCCTAGGTACTACTAGTACTTTGGAGACTCTTTCATAAATATGGCCTTCACATGAAGATAAAGCCAATAATTGGGGTGCATACCATGGATCGGATCGCGGCGGTAATTGCGGCTGCTTATTTCGCATTGCTTTACGGTCGGGCATCGGTGAAATAGCATCGCCAACAGCGGCGGGGTCGACGTACAGGCCTGTCTAGCAGACACCTAGATCAATGGACCATTAACTCTCGCAAATTGAGAGTGTGGTTCCCATGGTACACCGGTGCAGCCGCCCAGGAGGAAGTTGACCAACAATTGCACCACCTGAGCCAAAACGGTCAGGCCTTGTAGGAGACAGCTCATGAGATGTCGATACGCTAAGCCCAAATGTTTGCTGCCCGATCGGAACGGAGATTGAATACTGTTGAGTGTCGTCAGAAATACAAGGATGTTGATTTGGGATGTCGGATCTGCTCTACGGAGTCGACCATACCGTGTATGGAGAACAAGTGGCTTTTGATATCCGGGGTAAGTATAAAACGTGAATATTCCGAGGACAAGGAAAGTCCGCGATGGTTGTAAGTATCAAGTTCCCATCTCGGAGCGGACATTGTCAAGCAGGCACCTTCCATAATCCTACACTTGGTTTCCTTGTATAGCCCGCAGGTGGGCTGTACCATGTGTTCGCATTAAGCAGTGTACCATATAATAATTCTTGGATCTTGTTTCCTATTGGCTTTGGTGATGTTAATGCTGATATTATCCTCGCCAATCCGATCGCTCACGGACTTGCATTTAGGAGTCATTTAATGTCATACTGTCATCCGTACCGTCTTGCGGAAGCAACTACTGGGTGCATTGATCCTCGAATCAGATAACGCTCGACTCGCGTCTTGTGACCGCTATTAGAAGTATAGGAGTACTACTTAGTTAACGACTTGAACGGAATTTGGACACTCAGTGGTCGGATGTTATCGACGCCGTCATCTTAGTCTTTGTCTCAGGCTAAATATAAAACTGTATCATCAACATCATGATTATTTCCGCATGAATCATTGACAGGCTGGCGGTTATCCTTGCGGATTGTCATTCCCGGCCCGTGCCGTCGTAACCCAGCAATCCTCTACAATCCAATCCGCCTTGAATCTATTATTGCAGTATATTCGAACCATTGGACTCCGTGGAAGGTGTGTCGGCTCTTGCAACCGGTGGCCACACTCCTGGGCTAAGTTATAGAAAGTCATCACAGAGTTACGGGTCTGCAGCAGCACATAGCCACAAGCAAGGGTGGACAGTCACGAAAGCCTCTCTTTGGTGCTTGGGCCTCTTCCCTAAGAGAATCACCTTCGATGTAGCTATCACTTTGAACCTTGTGCGTGGCGTTCTCTCCCCGTCCCACGGGCCTCTGCGTCCCCGCGACGGAGCCCCCAGATCGCTCTTTTTTTGTTGACATGTCACATTGTGAGCACAGATGCCAGAGACAGATCTTGCTCGATATGCAACCCTCCCTGTTCATTTGAGTACCGAACACCTGGGTAGGGCGCCTGCACTGCACTACTGTCGCCATTCGTCTTAACCTCTTTAGCGCTGACCGAGCAAAGCCGACCACTTTGACGAGACTCACTTCCTCGCGCTTAAAGCGCATCCCTTGAGGATGTGGTCTCGACCAGACTAAAGAGACGTGGCTGAAGGGCTTACGAGTATTATTACCTTTATCACTTCTCCTCACCAGCCACAGAAAGACCAGATAGCTGTACCGTGGACCGGGACAAGATAACGGAGTACGTACAGTGCATACAAGGTCTGCATTGACCTACAGCTCAGGGTCTGACCGACTCATTTCTGGTCTATTTCTGTCATCAGGGATGGTCCATGCTTGAGATATGATTCGAATTGCCGCGCAGTCGGTAAGTGCGGGTGATATACCAGCATCGACACAATTATCCATGTAATGCTTTTTGGCCCCCGCGGTTGCTCCAATTCCTCCAGTTCGACGCCCTATCCGCCA